AAAAGAAAAAAAAAAAAAAAAAAAAAAGTCTGGGCACGACTCACGACTCACGGACGGGGGGGCTTTTCCAGTTCGGCGGAGATAACCGGGTTGTCCGAGGGAACTAATGGCAGATGCTCCCTCCGCATTGTCCACCTTGCGACTACGGAGTTATTTACCCATCGATAAATGCGTTGTATTCGTAGGTCATATCCTTGTCTCTCTTCCCCTGGTCTAAAGAGCGTGGGCAACCAGGGCCAACGTACATGCATCCTTGGAAATCACACGAAATGGCTGGAAGAGGCCCCTCCAAGCAAAATGGGTGGGAAAAAGTAAGGATGCGAATGCACGGTAAAAGAACCCGGGGTGCGGGGTGCGGGGAAGAGAGCTCCAACGCCGGGAAAACGACTCGATGAACTACGCTACTTCTTCGATACTACTACCATAACATCCGGTGCTTGGAATGGCGGAGATGACGCCAGAACCCTAGTCATTGATGATTTGATGTTGGGCAGGGTGGGGAGAAGAGAAGGTCCGGACGAAAAGACTATCCCTGAGCTCCGACTCGGAGGCCGGTACCGATGACTTGCCATTGAATTGTCGGCAGGTCATGTCGGAAAAGACTCCCTGTCGCGCGGGGACAACATCGGAAAAGCGGGTAAGACGAGAAACCAATCGCCAATTGTCATCCAAGAAACAACCTTTTGCAAATCTTGAAGGCACAGGAGAGGCACTTGAGTAATAAGAGGCGAATGTACCTTTCTGTCAATTAAATCCCCGTTTCAATGGAAATAGTGTCTGTGTCTATCTAGTGAGTGAAAACATCAACACGAGGAGCGGCACACGGACGTACCACCGGAAACATGGCGGCCAGATTCAAAAGTGTGATTGAAAGGGAAGCATCCATGACCGGCTCTATCCAAAGCATAGAAAGAGAGAAATATTGCCTCCAGATCCTAGATGCAAGTCAGAGCCGGCAGCAAAAGGTAAGAATTGACAACTGTGAGATTCGAACTCACGCCTCTTTCGAGACCAGAATACGCCCCGCTCTGGGGAAGTTACCAAGGTGGAACTTGAGTCTGGCGCCTTAGACCGCTCGGCCAAGTTGCCGTGTGATTCGTTGGACGTTGGGCGACGCTACAGAGACCAAGTTGCAAGGCGGTTGCGAGATTTTCTATTCTCGGTGACAACCTGGGGTTGTTTTCTCTGAGATACGGCTGCTTCTAGTCGCACCTCACCTACGTGACCCCTGCTCTCAAGGATCTTTACCCACTCTACTTACCCTCCAGCTCTCGGCTTATTGTTTCTTGCTATGGTTGGTTGAGCGTTGCAGCATTTGCAAACGATCGTCGCGTACAGCGTGACAGTCCATGGAACTCATTGCTGTGAACAAATCCAAGCGAGGACATTTCCCACCCCTTTCCAAGTGTGCTTGTGTCATGCGGCAATCAAACAAGGAATTTCGGCCGACGGTGGTTCTTCAATTCTACTTCACAGGTTCTGGGACTCAAGTCTCATCAGCGAAGAGCCAGATATGCAGACCAAGAATTGGCAGTGCTCTTGAAACCAACTCCCTTGACATCTGTTGTCTATCATAGAATCAAAAACACCGTAAATTCTATTCCCAAGTCTATGTGAGTTACCAAACAGTAGAAGAACTCCCAGGGCAGGACATCAAATGAAAATAGGCCTCAATGCTCAGCAGTCAGGGACACTGACGGGAATATTAAAAGGCACGCTCGTCGCCAGTCCACTCAGACTAGTCTCCTTGAACTCGTTCCGCATCCCCTTGGCCGTAAGCCGCATCGCCCGGATCGCATCATCCAGCCTCACCTTTTGCGTGCCCGTCTCGCTGCTCAGCGCCAAGTTGGCGCTCGAAATGGCCTTGATGGCGCCCAGCGCGTTGCGCTCGATGCACGGCGCCTGCACGAGCCCGCCGATGGGATCGCACGTCAGTCCGAGGTTGTGCTCGATGCCAATCTCGGCGGCCTGCTCAATGGCCTCGGGGCTGGCGCCCATGCAGGCCGCGAAGGCGCCGGCGGCCATGGAGCAGGCGACGCCCACCTCGGCCATGCAGCCGCCCTCGGCGGCGGAGATTGTGGCGCCGCGCTTGTAGAGCATGCCGATTGCGGCGGCGGTGAGGAGAAAGGTGGGGATGTCGCGCTCCGGGTCGTCAGAGATGAACTCGATTGTGTATTTGAGCACGGCGGGGATGATGCCAGCTGCGCCGTTGGTGGGCGCCGTGACGATGCGGCCGCCCGCGGCGTTTGTCTCGTTGACGGCGATGGCGTAGACTGTGAGGTAGTCCATTGTCGGGAAGGTTGTGCGGCGGGAGGGGGAGGGTGTGATGGGGTGGTCGAGGGAGCCGAGGATCCGGGGGGGTGGGCGGCGTCCGACGCTCAGGCCGGGCGGCTTGGATTTGCCTATCGTTGCCGGCGCGGACGCGGACGCCGAGCCAGCAGGTGAGCCGGGCAACGATGCCTTTTCGCCCGCTCCCTTGTCGAGAGGGTTTGGCGACGTGTGGCCGGCGGTTGAGTAGAGTCCTCGTGTCAACCTCCGGTACAGAGCCGGTGCGCGGCGATGGAGCTTGAGAGAACCGGGGAGCTTGGTGTCCAAGGGGGCTTGCACGCTCTCCAAGATGCTGGTGTCCATGACTTGCCAAATCTTGAATAACTTGTGGTAGATTTCCTCGTCGGTGTAGCCATGGCTCTTCTCGTTCTCGTACACGAGCTGAGCGATGGTGAGGTTGTGCTTGCGGCAGAGCGCCAGCAAGCTCGTGGCATCTCGGAACGGATAACGAGGGCCAGAAGACTCGCTGGTAGAGCTCTCGGATCCATGCTCGGCGCCGCCGTCGACGCCGTTCTCAGCCGTCGAAACGACGGGGGACAAGCCCGTTTGAGCGCCCTCGAGAAGCATCGAGTCTTCCTTTGCCTCATCGAGGGGCTTGACCTCGGCACCGGTCCGACGGTCCCCGGCAGCATCGGATCGCCGAATCTCTTTGTAAAACATATTTTCCGCCAGGTCGGCCGGATGCCTTCCGGCCGTCTCGGCCGTACCGTCTGCGCTTTCCACCTGCGTCATTGACGAGGAGGAGGATGAAGACAGCGACGCGTCCGGGTTGATGGACAGGGCGCCGTTGACGACGAAACCCCCGCCGACGCTGAACATGTCATTTGTCGCCAAGACGTATCCCTCGTCGTCAAAGACGGTGAAACGCATGCCGTTGCTGTGCATCGGCAACTTGCGACCCCATTCCCAGACAAAGTCGCGCTCATAGTCAAAGTCGACCTCTTTTCCCTTGCCATCCGAGAGACCCTGGCCCAAGAAGAGTTTCTTGGTGGCCTTGATCTCGGTGAATCTCTCCGGCACGTACGCCGTGTCGACCGTCTCCACATCGGCGCTCTCGAGTCCAAGCAGCAGGGCCGACGGCGTCATGTGGCCCTCGCCCGTCAGCGCCAGACTGCCGTAGATGGAAACGCGAATCTTGTTGACCTTGTGCAAGAGGTTCGCCTCCACCAAGTCGGCCACAAAGATGTTGCCGGCCCGCATGGGGCCGACGGTGTGAGACGACGACGGCCCGATGCCAATGGAGAACAGGTCAAACGTGGAGATGACGGCATGCTCGTGGTCGGCCTCGCTGTAGCTTCCCGCATCCTCCTCATCTTCGGCGGCCTCATTGCGTCTCTGGGCTGTACTGTGGAATAGCTTCTTGGCTTGTTGCAGACCTGTGAAGGTCGAGGGACCAGCAGTCTGTCGGATCTCTTGCCGAGTTGTCGGGTTGCTGGCCGAGAGAGTCTGGTACCTGGGGCCGGCGAGCCGCGTTGAAGCGCGTCGAGCCGATGATGCCCCACGCAGCTGGGCAAGCCGCTGGATCGAAGGACGGCTCATGGCTGTTGCTGGAAAGAGCAACGCCGGTCAGTTGAATGACGGTGTAAGCTTATCTCTGTAGACACAACAAGAGAAAAGAAGTTTTTTTTCTCATGATGACAGGTAAACTTTGCGTTTGACAAGGCGGTCTAGGGGTAGCCCCGAGATAAGAGCACAGATCAAAAGAGCCGCCTCCTCATCCCTGGGCTGGATCCGATGGTCTGGGGTAAGACAGACAGAGCGTCGCATTGACCAATCATTCGGCGTAGATTTGTAAACTCCACCGAGGGGCATCAGGGTACGTAATGCTTTGAAGATGGGTGTTTGCTTCAAAAACCTTGTTTCTCTCGCTGGAACTCCCACGTTGGCAACGGTCGTTCGTCGTAAGATGCACACATGGGATGGCAGTTTCTTCAGGTATTGGTTACATGAGGGGAAACGCGCAACAGAGCGTCCATATTCAGGAGCAGCCTTGTCATTATTGGATGAGTAGAATGTCGTAAGCGGCGTTAAGCCTGTTCGGGCAGGTCCCTCAGGATTGGAGGAGGGCTTGTGGTGTTGGTCAGCGCTTTCGATGCCACGCATCATCTCACCTCAGATCCGAGAGCCTCACCTTGGCAAGATAATATTCAGTGCAACTCACCCTTGACCACTTCGCCCTGATCAATTCTCTCATTCAGCAATCACAACATGAGTGAACGAGAGGATGATTGCAGAGTCACTCGCTCGGTTGAAACTGAGGCGGCAGACGCGGATAAGCCGCAAACGGCCGCTAGCAACCCCGCTGGGCAGCTACAATCACAATCAAGCTTCTTCTCCGCTCTGCCCCTCGAGATCCGCCAAAACATATATAGCCATTTATGGCAAGCTACTGGATCAACTCAGCACGTTTATAGATCTGGCCCCTCCACTCTAGCGCCTCTGTCTCACTGCCAGTGTATCGCGGACCTGGACGCCGAGGACAACCGTGAAGTCGAGCTAACCCGCGTTCTCAATACGCCGCCTGCAGCCCCATCCACGACAGAGGGCGGCGTGGGCCCGGATTCGGCGGAAGAAATGGATGCGATCAACAACTGGCGCTTTCGCCTCGTCTCATCATGGTGTAACCACTGGACTTGCGAAGAAGAGCCACCGGTTCTGCGAGAATTTGGCCAACTCTCGTTAGAAGATGAGGCTGAGGAGGAAAAGGCAAAGGATGGCTCCAAGGGGAAGAAGCGTCAGCTTCTCGTCAAAGAGTTCAGCCCGTTCCTGGCCGTTCTTCTCACGTGCAAGCGCATGCATGAAGAAGCCATGGATTCCATCTACAACGACACAACCTTCTCCCTCATCAACACAGATGCGTTCAGCCGCTTTCTCCAGACCACGACTGTGCGCTCTCTTTCCCGGATCAAGAGGCTTCACTTTACATGGCGAGCTCCCATAGAGACGTACATGGAACCCGAAGCTGAAGACGTCATTGCGGAAAGAATCAAGTGGAACGAGGTGTGGATGGATGCGGCATCGAAGCTCCCTCGCCTGAAGGAGCTACGAATCTGGGCCTACCCATACTACGCCAGATTTCCGACCCCTTTTGAAGAGTGGTTCGAGCCGCTCCATCAGTTTGGAAGAGTGCCTGTTTTCCACGTATCGTTACGCTGGTTCCAGAATCCGCCGACGCCGGATACCGGCCCGCTAGATTTTCTAGAGGCCGCCCCATTCGAGTATGACAGGATACCGCCGTGTGAAGAGAATCCTCTTCACTTTCATTGGCGCCGTTTGATTGGCCTGGGGCCAGATGAGCCACGGGTACCGATTACTCGGCGGCAGAAGAAGAAGCGGAGATATCTGGGAAGAGCTCTTTAGAGAATAGTTATGCAATGGTTTTTCTAGCCTAGCCTAGCTGATCTGTTTCCAGCAATTAGACAATTTCCAAGAATGCTTTCAGCATGTTTTTACGGACAATAGGATCGAATAGTTTGCTGTAAAGTAAGTCGCTTTAGTCTAGGGCCCGAGTTGCTCTATATACCCTTCAGGAGGTCTGGGACAAGGGATCTGTTCTCACAGGCATAGTGCCCAATACAACAAATCTTAGCCCTCTCATTCACCTATCGTAACTGACATCAAGCTTTCCGTTGTCCATGGGCCTCCCGTACTCGTATTCAAAACCGTTGAGCTTAGCCAGCTCGGGCTCCCAGTCGCGAACTAACCGCCATGCATTTAAGAGAGAGCGGTATTTGCTCGACTCGCCATCAAGATCACACTCCAGGCACTCTACGGAGTCGCCGGTGGTGGGTTCCGCGAGCTTTTTGCCTTGATCGCTGATACTTTGGGCCAGCTTATTGTAGTCCTCGGTGATGGGCAATGTCGAAGTGGCCGAGGGAGCAGTGCGTACTCTTTGAAGTACGTGGCAGTGGCCTGTCTGCAGCCGGAAATTTGCTAAAGGAGGATTTTGACGAGGAACAGGCTGCTGAACAGAAAACCTGATTCAGTCATTGTCGGATTGGAAGTCCAACTGGACCCATGGGTCAGGTAGGCCGAAACAGCCACCTCCTTGGATTATGTCAATTGTTCGGCGAGCAGCCAGTCCGCCGGCGGAACCGTGTCTTCTTCATGAAGAACTCAAAACAGATCAATGGACCTTCGTCACTACCAGAATCGTACGATTCGTACAAGTATCCCTGTGATACGGACACGAACAGAAATAGTTGAAGAGTGGATGAAAATAATGGCCAAGGCTAAGTCTTATCCAGGACTGCAAGACAATTCTTGATTGGACTATATACAAGAATTATACGATGTGTTCCATTATTCTGGGGTGGGGTAAATCAGCTAGTTGCTGCAACTGACAATGAAGCCGGAACTTCCGTGGGATCATATCCCACCCGGAAAGCAATACGATTCAGGAGAACCTGCAAGTTTTCATACACTCTGTCAAGCTTCGTCTCCTTGGCATTGTGTCTAAATTACGGGTGTGCGTCCTCCATTTCCCCAGATGACTTAACTTTGGGGTTTTGTGGGACAGAAAACCTGAACATCAGCCACAGGGTGGTTGAGGAGCTGGTTTCCGAGGAACCCGAGATTCTATCCCTAACCTTATGTCCGTACGAGGTCTTGAAAGTCATTTTTATGGGTTCTTGGCTCACCCTTTTCCACTGCCATGTAACACCGGTCATCTCCGACCTCACAAAATTGAAATGCACCAGAGAATAGGAATCATGATGAAGGCTCAGAATTGCTTGATTTCGTCATGAAGGCTGAGAAGTATCCAGACGCATGGAATAACAATGTATCTCGGACTATCAAAAACCGAAGGGTAATCTCCCAAATAACACAAGGAGTCAATGTCAAAGGCACCAAGTTAACGAGAGAAATTTTTTCAAGCCCAGAGGTACATGATGAGATTCCAGTACGATATCTCCCAGATATTTATGAATAGATATATAGGTCATCTTGGCTGACCCTTCGTGCTTCACTAAAAGCCTTTGTTCAGCCGACTTTGCCAAACTCCTAATTTCCATCACTGGTTCGAGACTGCACTCGCTTTTCCCCTTATAATTTTTCAATATGTATTCGAAAGGCTTCCTTTGATTTTGTCTGCACTCGTGTTCGGGCAGCTTTGCGTTGGTCTTCCAACCCAGAGCCAGGTAAGTTTCTCCGTTGGCATTCCGCTGCCTCCGCATGATGTAACACTTGGCTAACATTACAACAGTATCTTGTAAGTCAGAGTTGATGAACGGTATCGACTATGCGAACTTTGCTGATACACCGTTACTTCAGAAAGACAAAGGTTACTGGCTTTCTTACTCGGGCGACAGATATTACGTGTATACCGATTATTATGACGACGGAGACGATGCCGTTGACATCATTGGTATTGACACTTACAACAATATCATCTCAGTGTACGCCTCATATAATGGCTGGGAAGAACGAGAGGATGAAGACAGGCTGAAACTGCGCGATATTCAAATGGAGCTATGGGATATACAGCCAGACGTCAAGCGGGCAGATCTCGAGGCCATCCGTCGCATTGGTATCGTGAATAAGCCAACTGTCAGGCAAATTGAAAAGGTGTACGCGGCTGTCGGGAAAGCGAAGGACCAAACATTGATTTTCGACTCTGACGACACGAACGACGAAGAAGAGTGGGCGCTGCTTGCAAACACGCCATTTTATGGCGGAACGAAGAAGCTTTTGGATGAGTACAAAGTCGGGAAGAGCATCGCTCGAATCATTATCAGGCCCACAACTCAGGTTTTCGGAGACCATGACATGGAGTTTAGGTTTAGTCAGGCTCATCCGTCCTTAGCGTGGTCCATGTACGCGGCTTGCGGGCTTCTTAGTTTGCCTGATGGTCGGTGCAAAATTCTAATCACGGGAAGGATACAGGAAGAAATGACGGTCAACGCACGGTTACAAAATATCTTGATAGAAATCATAATGGTACTAATTGAGACAAGATTTCCGCACGAGACTAGTCATCGTGTACACATTTCGCACATTTCCTATCCTTGCTTCGCAATCTCCCCTTCTCTTTTAGCATATGTAAGAAAAAGGCATGGTATTTAAGGTTGGAAAGGTTTCGTTTTTACAGTTACCTGGAGCATCGTTTGCCGACAAAAGCTCTGTGTACAAACCGGATTCCTCTGTGTTTCGGGTCGATGAAAAGGCGATGTTGATAGTTTCCTGGTCCTGAAATAAATATAGTATACAGCACTATTGTGGGTTTGCCTGTTATCTAAAAGACGATATGAAACGTATAATAGCATGTAATTATAGTTTAAAATGCAAGAGGACATTGCCACAAGGCAAATCCAACGTTGGCCATTGCTTTGGTATTGGAGCACAGTCTAGCACGATTCCAGCCTGCATCAAGTGATCTTGGCCTGCGACAAGCGCCCAAGACCGAGACAAACCGCAATGGCCGCCAGCATCCCCCACTGCGGGATCATCGGCCGCCTATCTAGGGCCGCCCTGACGGTGCCGTACGCGACCACCGCTCCGTTGAAGAGCAGCGCGGGCTCCCTCGTCTCGGGGACAATGACGGCGGCGCCGACGGCGATGCGGAAAGCTGCGCCGGCGTACCCGGCTTGTGTGGGGGTGAGGCGCCGGCCTGAGATTTGCGACATCCATTCGCTCTTGCCGGCGTAGTATTCGGCGGCGCGTCGGCTAGGGAACGGGACGCCGGTGAATGGTAGGGCGGAGAGGATGCATAGCCCGCCGAAGGTCCAGGACGAGAGAGTTGAGATCATGGAGAGATCTGGCATGTTGGCCGTTTTGTTCTTGATTGCATGTGGTGTATTCGGATAGCGGCGAGGCAGTATGAGGAAGGCTTATGCCAAGTGAAGAAGAGTCTGGTTGAACGACATGGGATAAAGTTGGTGATGAAGAAGATGACTTGATGTAGCTACAGCCAATAGGTCCGTACTTGGTTGCTATACCTTTGATTACGTCAATATGTTTAAAGTCAGCACTAATCCGCTTTAGTTTATCAGACATCCAAATGCGTTTGACACTAAATGGCGGAAAGACTGGGTACGTATTAATATCACATGTTGAAACCCATAAACACGGGGTGGATCGTAAACACGCTTAACTGACGCGCCATCGTGGGGCGTCATCATCTCTCATTCATGCTATGATAGGAATGTTACTAGATCTACTCGATCTGCTCTCCCTTGACCAGTGGTCTGGCACCTCCAAACCGTCGGAGCGCGCCGAGCAGCCCCTTCGCAACTCTGGCGAAGGGATCGCTTGCATGTAGTAGTCGGGCTGTTGCACATAACTCGAGCCTACCCCCCGAGTGTCGTGGCCACGCTGGTAGTCTTTCAACAACGCGTAAAAGAAGGCCGTATTTGCGACGATACAAGCGCAGAGTATCTCTATGGATGCCCACTGGGAATTATTTGTTAGTAGCCGATCGCTCGGTCGATAAGTACGCTGGCGAAACTTACCATGGAGCGAGATCTCTGTGATACTGCCTGGTTCAGTATCATTGGTAGTCGCAGGATGGTAATGACAACAACAACGCCTGCGATGCTGAACAATAGTACGAGCTGCACCTTACTGCACATAGGTCAGTCCTGAGACCATGAGGCATTGGTGGGGTGGGGTTTCCATAGGGGGAACAAACACTTTGCTGTCGAGCTTGACGTGGCGAAAGATGGGAAAGGGAAAGATGATGAGTGCAATATCCGTAATAATATTGAAAACGGCCATTGTGACTAGATTTCCAAGGGCTCGGTGGCAGGTATTTGCGCCAGTAGGATCAGGGGACCACATGCTTTGGCAACGGTTAGATGCGCCGCGACTCCAATCAGGTGGTGGATAGGAAGCAACACAAACTTACAAGTAGAGTGGCCGACATTCCGCTAGAGTGGGTATCAAGATAACAAAAAACGTAACAACAATAAACCACCAAAGAGCATTCGTGACAGCTTTGCCCCATCCAAAGATGTCCACGAAGCGAGAGTAAAAGTTGAGCAGGCAAAGCTTCAACGACCATAGGCTACACAAAAGAAACGGCACCGTCAGCAGTGAGCAACATTGACCAGAAAACGGCACACCGCCTCGACTTGAGTTGCCACCCCAAGCGAAGGCGAGGGCGAGGGCGAGGTGGGATAGACGTAAGCGACATACAATAATGCATAGAATATGCGAGCTGGGATCAGCAACTTGTGTGAGATGACGTAATACTCTGCGAGTTTCTCGACGCTGAGATTCCGCGCCGCCGCTGCCTCTTCGGTGGCGGGATCATACGTGTGCGTCGGGTTGAGGTAGAAGGAGAGCGAGATGCAGGTCGTGCGGCCGATGAGCGGCAGAAGCGCAAAGGCCATGTAAGCGTCGTCGACGTGCCACATCCGGTGGCAGGTATCGTGGACCTTGCATCGCAACAAGATGCGGTACCCGCAACGGACGATGATGAGGGCGGCGCAGATGCTGGCCGTGACGATGTCGAAAGTCACATCTGCCGACATAATGGGGAGGGGGGAGGGTCACTATCGCGACGTCGGCTGTGTAAGTGTTTGGCTGGCTGCTGCTCCGGTAGCGGCGGCAACGAGGGCCGTTACGCTGGTGCTGTCATGGTGTTCTTGTACGTTTTGTCGACGCTCTTTTTCGAGCGAAATATTGTTGTCCAGGCCTTCTTCGCAGTTGCTATATCGATATCGAGGTAATCTTGACGGTCCCTTTGACGAGACTGAACTGCGCATCCCCTTGGCTGAAAACGGCCGATGTTCCAAGACCTCGGGATCCCGATGAATAAGGGACGAATTCGATGTGGACTCTTTTGGAGGCGTTTTCTTTTTTGCGTTTGGACGTCCACGTGTGGAGAAAAAAAAGGGAAACGCAGATGGGACGAACTGACAAGGAAGAGGGGCACAGCCAGGAGTTTAAAGAGAAGAGGCGGAGCAGAGACAATCAGAATAGGGCGCCGCTGAAAGAAGAGCCAAGCGTGAGGAATTGGAAGGAAAAGGGAGAAGAGGGATCAAATGGAACCTGGATTCTGAGTCAGCTACTACCACCCGCCCCCAGCCCATGCCAAGCCGTCTTTATTCCAAAGTAGCTTCTGTTGGACCACCGCGCGGGGTGGGTGATTCGATCTGGGAAAGGCGCGAAAGACGCAAGGCAAGGGAGGCCACTGAAGGAGGACGCTAGATGTGTCCTAGTGAGGCACAGAGGAAGCGAAGGAGGAAGTGCAAGAAGAGGGCGAAGCGAGGCGGCAGAAGAAGAGGGGGGTGTGGTGGGTGTTGTGGGCATTTTGAGGAAAGCAAATGGTTGCCGAGTTTGCATGCGGCTACACTCTGAAAAAGGTCATTGATGATCCGAGACAGCGGTCCATGGTTCACGGTGAGGTGTGATTCGCGCGATGGCCCGGGGAAACGGTAAAGGTCGTCAGCAAGTTTGGCAAGGGGGCCGGCGGCGGACGAGGGAGGTCCAAGGGGGCCTTGTCTGTCTGTCGGTACTATTCGTAGTTAGTACCAGACGCATATTTGGTGTACGGATACGCAATTGTGACGACCAGCTCTAGCCCGAGTAGCCTCTCAGCTCTGGCACGCTGCTGCACCTTCACTCGGGTTGTCGGGGGCCCCTACGGCCTAAGCAGGTCGAGGTTCAATTTCCCCGCATGGAGACGCATGGGGAGACCCATGTAGCCAAGCGCCGTTGGTGATTCGCTTTCGTAACGGGGAATCGGATGTCGAAATGAAGACTCTTTTCTTCTGCCCTCTCAGAGTCTCAGGTGGCGGACATGGTCTGCTAGCTGCGTTCCAATGGGGAGACAATGTCTCAGCCCTCTGTGAGACTTCCAGGGTCTTGAAAGAGTCTCTCTCGAAATGTCAATTCAGGGGTTGGTTTTTTTGATATGTGTACCAAAACATGAACCGATACATGAGCCGATGCCGATGGCTGTGGAGTCGATGAAAAAAAAATTACGTTGCCCAACGGCGCACAACGGCGTCCCTACCTCTCCTTCGACAGACCACGTACCGCCCTGCTCCCTCGGCGTCTCTTTGAGTTTGGTCTAGGGCTCGACTGTGGGAGGTTGGCATGGTTGGCTCGCCGCGCTTGTCATTCTGTCTCGAACCCAAAATTGGCTCCGGTCTTCATCGAGTCTTAGCGCCGCCCTCGAAGAGCCCGCGCCATCGGATGGCAGAACCGGTCCAGAACTTGGCACCAAGTTCAAGCCTAACACACGGCCCAGAAGACCAGAGCTGGAGCTGCCAAGCTGGCAGACACGAGCGCCGCCAGCCAGCCCATCGGTGGCAGGGTTGTTGACAAAATGATTTTCCTCGGGGGGACAACCTGGGGGGCAAGCAAGTCCGTCTCCGCATGCCGCCAGTCCCCGATTCCCCGGTGATGGAGCTGGGCGCACGAGCATTCGCCTAGGCCGCGTTGGGACCGACTCAATCAGAGCTGTGGTAGCATCGCTTGCAGCTCCTGCGGGCCGCCGCAAGTCCGCTAGCATTCATTGACTGTCTCGTGTCCTCGTGACGACGAGATGATCTGCGTCGCAAAATTACGTGCAGTGTCAGCCTGACAGCAGACTGCCCAATGCTGTCCATGCCGTCCTGCGAGCCTTTGTGATCGTCCCTGCAGGCTGTGTCCCTATTTTTTTTTTCTCCTTTGGTCCTGATGGAAGCCTAAATACTATGGTAGGCTGATCATTTCTGATTTCATCCTTCACAAACGGTCCCGTTGTTTCAATAATCGACATCCATGACCTGGCCGTAAAGTTGCTTTCTTTGCCTTTGCAGCGCTGCTCTTCGGCACATTTAGGCCTCGCGTCTTCGTTGATTGCAGCCATCGATGATATTACGCGATCTTCCTCCCACATTCATTCGGTAGATGAGAGTTCGAGACGAGCCAATGCCGAATCGGAACATGGTCCTGAGCCACAGCTTTCGGCAAACACAACACCCGATGTCGTTCTTTGTGCACCCAATTTCGTGCCTGCGCTTTCAACCCAGCCACAACCGAGGATGGCAAAGTATCACGCCGCCGAGAACCATCTGCCGTAATCAGCTTTCACAGAGCTCGCAAGCGCTCCAAGAACGGGTCGTGTGTCCTACTCTCTGAGAAAGACAAGACTTCATGACAACGCGACGCCTTTCAAAGCACCCAGCTTCGTTCGAATATGTATTGGTTTCTTTCCAAGATAGCACAGCTCAAAGTCTGACAATTTGGGAATTCTCGGTGAGAAAGCGGGACCTGGTAGCTGCGCACCACAAAGCTGGTCCGCGCACGGGAACGCGATTTTACTACGCGTACTAGCACCCGGCGAACAAATCTCCTGGAAGGAAACCCCCGGCCTGTAGTATGAAGTTTGACACTACGTCCCGGCATATGTGACTATGTAAGCCTCAAAACTTTACAACACAGCGTTTCTCACGAAATCCTTCACATGTGGAGATTGTGCATCGGGCGAATTCCCAGAGCAGCCGGCTTTGCCAAGAAGCCGTCTCGGGTGAACAGCTAGCCGCCCCTGCACCAATGAAGTTGTGTATTCTGTCGCACTAGCAAGCGATGTCTACCAGTAGCCGATCGAGGTCTGGAAAAAGGCTGAATTAAGGAGTGGTGACCAGGTGTGGCTCGGTGCAGCGAGACGTGGTGTGCGACTGGATAATGGTTGTAGCCGCTGGCGAATGTTGCTAGAGACCGGTTTGTTTGTGTTCAAGGTGACCAAGCGACAGCGCGGCAACGTGTACCCAATCTGCCTCGGCATTTACCAAGTCGCGATGAATGCGTGCCTAATTGGACAGACAATATTGATCAAGTACGCATTCAAACGAGTCATTTGGCTTGGGGCATATAGGGGCCTCTACATAAGGTAGTTGTCGTAAAACCGACGCCGTTCATTGCGGGCAGCAATTAACGCCATGTAAACCATTGTGAAAATGGTAGATCATGCAATCGTGGTTCCGCTGTCAGAAACTCCAGCCTACACCAACCTGATCAAATAACGGCTCCCTAGGCATTGTTCTCTGAACAGCATTTTTATTTAGATGCGGAGGGGGGAACAGACTCGTTGGGGCCAACAAATGGCATGGTGTGATGCCAGTGCTCCCTTCTTGTCGGTAGAGGGATGAGGTTGCAGGGCGTGTCGCGATAACTTTTCTTTGAGAGATGGCATTTATGGTGAGCCATGTCGCGTACTTCATGGATATTTTTGCGTGTTCGTCAGGTAGAGATGGAAAGCCCGGATCGTGTCTCATTGCTTGAAGATCAAGCGCGTCTGACGCAATTTCGCACCTGCTGCTTCTGTATGCTCTATTTTGCAACATCAATACACCTTTCTGATTGCTTTGTGGTCGTTGCTGGACATGGATTTCTGGCGCAAGCCATTCTACTTCCTTCGACTGCCAAGGATGAACTGAGGCTATGGATGATGGTGATCCCAGATATTTGAGTACCCCTCTCGAAGGACATTTGTTTCTGCACAAATGCGCAATGATATAACTGCACTGCAAAGCATCTACAGCCGGAGACTGGCGGGAGTTTTGAATGCTTGTCAAGATTTGCGTCAGCCCGTGATTAAGAACAATCAGTAGCTGCTCTTTAAAAAAAAAAAAAAAAAAGCAAATGGAAGGGAAGAAAGCATGTTGATAATTGAACCACCCGGACCGCCTTACACCTGCAACTTTATGATGGACAACGGAAGCGGTCCGCCATCCGGGGCGGCAGGCCCGGAATAACTCGGAGGGACCCGGAACGGACCGGGTGGAGAACGGCCGAAGATGGAGCAAGGGAAATGTGGGGACGGAACGGGGAGGGGAAGATAGGAGCGGCCTATCTTGGTCCCCGCTCTCGAATCCTTCCGATTGTGCACAATGCTTCCCTCCCCCCCTCTCAAGTTCTCCAGCACGGGAATAAGAGGGAAATCACATGATCTCACGTAGATACAGGACAGTTTACACTTGGACCTGGGCGGCCCGCGAGTCTTTTTCTTATCAAGCGCAGGCTCATCCCGACCCGCAAGGATGCCGCTGCCTGCGGCGGCCAACGTGGTGCTGTTTCTCCATAGCTCCAAAGAGTCCAAACTCCACCCCGCTGATCCGCCCCCCAAAGTTCCCAACCTCGAGCTCAATTTGGTCTCGCACGTGGGGTGATGTTCGTGCACGTCATTGGCGAATGGCTTCCTCGCCAAAAGCACTACTAACGCTAACGGAAACGTTTCATCAAGAGTGGTGTGTCGGTGATGCCTCGCCCAGTTCCTGCGTCCAATAAGACATCGTTCATATCGTCGGCTCACTCTCGCACCAATCGCTGACTTCGTCTTTGGAGGCGGAGAAGACCCCGGTGTCCGCCCCCCCCCCCCCGGCCGTCCCCCCCTTGTCGGAGGGGCGCCCCCCCAGTCGCCCCAGCCCTCTCCGTTGTTGCCCTTGCTTTCCCTCTTCCCCGGGGCAAACCCCCCCCCCCCCGGCCGGGGCGCGCCCCGGCCCCCCCCCCCTGCCTGTCCTATCATGTATGATAGAGCTCGCTCAAGTCTCCACAGGCCTTCTCGGTGTGTGCCTTGCTTTACCATTGATTCGGGGAAATACACGCCGCCTTTGAACGTTGTAGCCGCAAGACCTTGCCATTTCGCATGCAGCTTAATCGCGCTATGAATGGGCCAAGCAATCAGATAGGAAGCGGACCGGCACACGACGAACAGGATAGCTTCAACAACATGATCCCGAAAAGTACAATAGTGGAACACTCGCCTGCGCCAATTTCACTCGGCCGTGTGACATTGGTTGAGGCTCGTTCCTCTTCACAAACCCCCCCCGCAGAGAGACAACTTGGACTTTTTTTTCCAATCTGAATTTGACTTTTCTTCTTCTTCTTCGTTACGCTCAGCTTTCCCTGCCTCCCAGTCTTGTCTCTTATCTCTCTCTCTCTCTCTCTCTCTCCCTCTCTCTCTCTCACACCCCGTCGCCCTTCTATTTCTCTCCCTCTCGAACACCAAACACCACCTGCATTATGCATCACGACCCGGACGCCAAAATGTTTGACCCGGCGACGCAGAAGAAGACGGTCGACTCCGATGTCGCGGCCCCGGCCTCTGACATTGAAAACACCTCCGTCAGCTCGGCAAAGGACATTTTGGAAAACGAGGGCGAGGACCCCGTGCTCGCAATGAAAATGCACCTTGTCAATGACGTATGACCTTTACACAAAAAAACCTCTCCAGAGTCTGGGCTCGCACGGTCTCTCACCCAGACACGCGACAGCTCTCGTGCAGCTCAATGACATTTTTACAAAGGGAATAGCACTGACCAACCCAGGCCAACGATGAAATTGGTTGGACAAACTTCCACTGGAAGCTCTTCGTCCTCAACGGCTTCGGCTACGCCGTCGACTCGCTCCTCGCCCAGGTCCAGTCCGTCACCAACACGGGTGCGTTCCTGGAGCTGGCCTCACCCTCCACCTACCGAAACGCGGGCACCGTCTCGCTTTACGTCGGCCTGCTCATCGGAGCCATCTTCTGGGGCTTCGGCGCCGACATCATCGGGCGGCGCATCGCGTTCAACGTCACGCTGCTCATCACGTCTATCGCCACAATCGTTTCCGGTGCGAGCCCCAACATCGCGTCGTGGGGCTTCTTCACGGCGCTGTCGGCGTTTGGCGCCGGCGGTAACTTGGTGCTCGACCCGACCGTCTTTCTCGAATTCCTGCCGAGCAACAAGCAGTGGACGGTCACGGCCCTCGCGCTGTGGTGGGGTTTAGGACAGGCGTTGGTGGGCTTTATTGCCTGGGGATTCCTAAGTATGAACTGCATAATGCCGAGCTTGTTGATTCACGCGTCATGAGATGCTGACTCTTTTTCTCTTTTTCCAGCCCAGGACCGATGGAACTGTACCGAGGGCATGCATTGCAACTGGTCAAACAACGCCGGTTGGCGATACGTCTCCTTCACCTCGGGCGCTTTCGTCTTCGTCGCCTCTATTGCGCGAGTGACCGTCATGCGCCTTCAGGAGACACCAAAGTACCTTCTCAGCGTTGGCCGCGATGCCGACTTGGTGCGCAACTACCAAAAGATGGCGCAAAAGTACAACAGACCGTGCTCGCTCACCTTGGAGAGGTTGGAGGCGTGCGGGCAGATCAAGAATGCCGGCCAGGACAGGAACAACTTCAAGTTTGTGCTCCGCGAGCTGGCCGCGCATGTCAAGGGCCTCTTCTACACCAAGAAAATGACGCTCAGCACCTCCCTGGTCTGGTTGTCCTGGACGCTGATCGGTCTGGCCTACCCCCTATTTTATGTGTTCCTGCCGTACGTTCACACGAGACCTCAGTAGTGTGATGGGTGGCTGACTGGGAATAGATCTTACCTCGCCACACGAGTCCCGGATAACAAAGAGACGCCATTCGAGACGTGGCGAAACTACACGTTGACCAACATCTCTGGAATTCCCGGTCCGATCATCGCTGGTTACCTGGCTAACATTCCTCACGTCGGCCGCAAGTACACAATGGCCATTGGTGCTCTCCTGTCCATGGCGTTCTTCTTCGCTTACACGGCGGTGACGACTTCTGACCAGAACATCGGTCTCAGTTGCGCGATCGGTAAGTGCCCTCATAGGTCCTTCGTTTCCCCATGATCATGAGCTAATATTGTGGGCCACAGCGTGCGCAATCAATATTTACTACGGTACACTGTACGCATACACCGTCGAGGTTTTCCCATCGGCCCATCGTGCGACAGGCAACGGTATCGCGGTCGCCTTTAACCGCTTGATGGGTATCGTGTCTGCCTTTGTTGCGAGCAGCGGCAACACGACGACATCGGTTCCGTTGTACGTTTGCGCGGCACTGTTTGGAGTCATGGCGGGCGTTTCCGCTCTGTTTCCCTTTGAGCCCTATGGCATGAGGAGTTCCTAGACTCGCTTCAAGTTCCGTTCTTTACGTTGGTAGAAATATCTCGAAAAGTAAGAGGAAGATTGTGGGAACATTTGCCTCGGCCATGCTTTTATAACCGGTGGATACGATGCTACACCAGCACTCCTTGGTAGAAAAGACGTTGGATTGTGCGCGCCGTTTTGGGATCTTGCCAAAAAGACCACGCGCCGAGGTTTTTATGATGCACTTCAGTTCCAAGTTCGAGCGGTTTCGCCGGATTTGAAATTACTTCTTGTGGGCATGTGTTCTGTTGAGCACTTGGGAAGCAAGACACTTGTGAGATGCTTTTTCGTTTAAGCTGTTCAACATCAGCTTGTTGTTGGCCACGTCGCTGGCCGGGATAGATAGTTCCGCTGCTCCATAGCAAGTACGATACCCTTGTCCGATCCCAGTCGCGTCTGCTACATTGATACCAACAGAGATAGGTATGCTTGCAGGTGGATCTATGATGTGACCAGGCAATCAGATAAGCAATGGACAGCTCAGATACGGACAGGTACTGTCACCGAATGGGCTTGCTTCAGGCACGCCTCGTTAAGAAGCTTGGCCGGCCCGTTGCTAAAGTTTAGATGTGGGCTGTCAACATGCCATAGCATATGATCCATCGTTGAATTTCTAAAGGGCGGTGCCACCAGCCCAAGTCTGAGGGTAGAAGCGTGTGCAATGTTGGCCAGCCGTATACAACCCCTTTCAGAGGCACATCATCTACAACGAACAAGAATCGTCTGATTGTTCGGCGACTGTTCGATGCCCGCCGCCGTGTAGACCACCACACCTTCGGCTCGGCCTTCCACAGAGCTCGGAGCTCTCGGTGTCGCAGGACGAGGGGCCGAGATGCTCGTACTGTCTGACATCGGCAACTCTTTCTTGCATGCGGGAGGTTCCGTCGGAAAGAGCCACGGATCCTCGTGGCATGCTAGACGTGTCGATTCGCAGCAACTACGGCTGACATCTTTGCAGTACGGGATCAAAGAAGACGCTGGCAGTGATGATGGCCCACTATCTCACTCGCCTTGGTGTTGGTACCGATCACATCATGATCATGGCGCTGTACTCATACCACTTTGGCGCTTGCTTACTACCCAGAAATGGAAAGAAAAAAAAAAAAAGAATTAGCAAGGTGGTCGATTGCGGGGCACCTATGCATAACTTTCCGCTGATAGATGAATTTTCCCGATCTCATTGGACCCTCTTTCGGATGTCTCCTTGCTAGGTTTACTTCAAATCGGACTAAAGTCTGGAACCCAGTCGCGCGAGGTCATGCTCGACTTGCACGTGTCCATGGGCTGTCAGCGTGGGCAGAGTATTTGCCATTGGCAGGCAGCACATCTTACTGTCACGGGATACCCTTACCTAGTCGTCCCATACCCCGGGGGCAGATTGCTTCTGATGCTCAACAACCTTCCCAATCCAGACCGGAAACTTCAAATCATCAGAGTAGGTTTAGGCGGGCTCGAGCTCGGCGCCGGGCCTGGACTCCACTGCAGCCTGCCCGTGCGGTTTTTCCCAGCCTTATAATGCATTAATGCTTGTTTATACCTCCAACGTTGTCGTTCTCATCAACTTTATCCAAGGTCTATGTCAGCCTCATTGTCCTTCCACTTCAGTCCAGACGCTGTTGGCGGCCTTGAATTGTTTACTTTCCTTCTAGGTAGTTCATTTAATGGTGCTCTATCGTGCAAATTACGGCTGTTTTTTTTTTTCGTCAAAAGAAAAAAGAGAAACAAAGAGAAATGCAAAGCCTTTCAAAACGTTCAAATTACAAGTCCGAGTTTGCTCTAAATAAAATCTGACAAAACTGAAATTTTCTTGTTTGACGATGTAAACTTTTGTAGGGACAAGGCGGTATAGAAGAGGGGAGCAGCTGAGTTTGGGTTAAGGAAACCCTTTGCGGGAACGGCGAGATGGAATCTTAACCGGTTGGGTTTCGCTTGAGAAGCGGAAAGTCTAGGCATACCACAGCCTTAAATATTGAGCTACCAGGATCAAACTCATACTGTGTCTCTCCAATTCTCTCTTCAAGGGAGTTGAGATTTCAAAACCCAACGCGCTATCTTGAGCGCTTGGGCGCAACTGGATCGCCGTCATTGACTTTATAGTGATCCACATTAGAGCAGTTCATGATAGCGGCGATCATCAACCGTGTCAACGTCCTGGACGAAACGGAACATTGGACTCAATACTGCTCATCCGCTGGAAAAGTTGATTGTTGCCGAACCTCTAACAGGAATCCCTGCCTCTCAGCCTTAATCATGGCAAAGGTTTCGTCAAAGATGGGATGGTGAGAGGTCCGTGGGACTATTCTGAGGTGGGCCACAAGCACCACACCAGAAACAAACATCATCGCATGTGAATCTTGACAAGAAGATCTCCAGGTTCGGAAAGTGGTTCGCGCGCCTCGATTAGAAGTGACTTTCGTTCAGTCTCTCCTGTGTCTCCATCACCGTACAGTCTGGGCCCTGAGACTTCTCGTTGAAACTTGTGAATGAAAGTCTATGTTGTTCTGGCCGGGAAAAAAGCCTCATTATTGAGGGACGACGAGCATTGATAATTCACATGAAAGGAAACGGCGGTGCTGGTACCATGCCCATACTATTGTGTAGAGACCAGGGTATTTGCCGACTATAAATATGAGATGGAGAGCCTCTGACGCCAAGGACGTGGCTTGCATCTCCAGCAGTTCATTAACTTACAACTTCCAAGACCAAAAGCAACACTTGACCAGCTTCTTCAACATGCTTGTCCCCTCTCTCAAAACCATTGTCACTCTCGGTGTTGCTTTCTATGCCACCATCGCGCTGGCCATACCTGTTGTCGAGCTAGGAGCTGATGTCCAGGATCTGTCCGAGGTAAGCAGCAATATGCCAATCTCCAGGAACAATGAAAGCTAATGAATATTCGTTGCTAGAGGAACGAGGCTCTTGTGAGAAAATACTCCAGCCCAGACACTGACTCTCCAGCAAAACATCTCTAGCGGCAAGGTGTGCTGTCAACTGATCTTTTTGACAATAGGAACAGCCCGCCGTCGATGCCGTTTCCGTAGGTTTCCAAAGCAAAGCATTTAGGGAATACTGATTGATTTCATGATCTCAGGGATTCGATGGTGCCATCGAAGCGCGTGCCAAACAGGCTGCACGACCTGCTCGCCGCCCCAATGGTAATAACAACAACGGTCGGAAGCAAAGGCCCGGGAATGGAAGGCCTGGGCGTCCAGCAAGATAGGATAAAGGAGCACACATAGGGATCAAGGCACTGGCTATTGGCTGAGAATATATGATTCGGACTGCCTTGAGAAGTGCCGCTAGCCAATGGCCTTGATGGAAATGGTGCAATGATTTGGTATGCACATTTGCAATCCAGGGAAATGCCGTGTACATGAGTGAAGACAAGGTTCAATCAGAGAGCTTTCTCGTCAAAAGGACACCTCGTCACGGCGTGTTTAGCCTGTTGCCGTACCAATCTTTACATCTAAATATCATCTGATGAGTACTTATTTTTATTTGATGGAATCAAATATCTTGTCAGGCAGGAAGGAATGAGGAAGCAAGATATGTTGGAACATCCACCAGCACATAATTTTCACGGGCAATAGTCAAATGTTGCGCACACATCTGATATTTGATGATGAGATGTGCACGTAGTCAACTAGAGGTAATTTTCAGTAGCATGCCTGACAGCACCCTTGACTCCTTGAGATTGCCAAGATCCTTTCTGTGTGAGTATTGAGTAACGGAGCCGCAGTGATGACTACATCGAGGATAAGTACATGTAACTACATGAAATCAATGCTGCCTTCATGCAACCTTGAACTGTTTTTATCAACGCGAGAAAAAATTATGAACGTGAAAATATGCCAAGCAGATTCTACCTCCACTGCGACATGTGAGTCTTGACCGCCCTCTCAGCCTTGTGTTCTGTCGCATACGGCCACCGAAGCTTGGTTATCTCGATGGCAACACAGATTCGACCCAGGCCCACGCTGACATACTGGCGAGTGTCCACCACACCCATAACAACCAAGGCCCGTCACACACTCGCCTCTGCCAGGATCACAAGGTTCCCCTTGCCCGCTGGCCCTCTTCCGAAGCCAAGGTTGCTTCGATATGTTAGTGGATTGATATTTCGTGAAACTTTGGGGTAGTATTTACTGTTGCGTCTTCTACCCAAGATGTATGGTATTCTGATCTGAGACTTGATTCTGATACCCGGTTTTTGGCGTCGGCTGTGGGTGCGGCATGTGCAATGGTGATTGCGGCCACATATATGAGTAGAGTCGAAAGTGTCTTCATTGCCACAGGCGGTAACTTCGTGATGGGCTGATGGCCGCAAGCTGCTATTGTGAAGATGGATAATAGTCAGGATTGTTTGGTGGGGATAAGTCAAAATTTCCACATGCAGCTTACAATACTCATTGTCTACGCACAGGGAACAACTGGGTGGTGAAGTTATATAGCCGCACGCTCAAGCCTCGAGTACCTATGGCGAGGTTTTGCTTCAAGTCACAGCGTGCATCATCCGAACTGCTCTCTTGCAGCCCATCACTGATCAACGCTGCAGCAAGATCATACCATTAGACTCGAACTTATCATGATGGCCGATTGGCTGTTGTATCAGCATGGACGTTTGGGTTGTCGGGGACTATTAGATATCCTCCCCGATCTCATATTGCAGCAAAGGAAATTCGCAATCGGGGACCTCATCATGGCTGGGCAGGTCATAGCCCGAGATGAAAAGACAATAGGCTACTCAGGTGTGCAACTGCTAAAGCTCATGATGTATTCAATGCCTCAAACGGCTTTTTTGATGGACCACCGGAGTCTGATGCGAAATTCATATCTTGGTGATGCATCAGTATTCGGTGGTGAAGTGTGTCCGAACGGCTTGTAGGAAGTGGCGACCTATGGCCGCGTAGAAGGTAAGTAAAAAACGTTGCCGGACATGAAACCTTCTTTCAGAAACTGACGGCCAAAGTGCCTTTGCATGCAAGCCGGTAAGGCTCGGATTCATCGTGTTCGCTTCCAGTAATCCCTCGTCGGCGATCACAACATCAGGTGACGCGCACATCAGCCGAAAGCTCGTCCGCAACGCCCAAACTCAAGGCCCCGAACCACGGCCCTGAATTTATCGGCAACCGAGATAGAAACGAGGTAGTAAAGCTTGAAACCGGTGACATAGTTTTTGTTCGTAATGGGTGGACGACATGGATAATGGTCAGCAGCCCAGGTAATCCGATAGACATGACAGTGAGGTCGATAAGTTGAGGCCACAAATCTACGATCTTTCATCAGCGTGTATGACCTGATTTATTCGACCCGTCGCTGCTTTGCATCATAGAGGACCTTTGTTTCCTCTGGAAAGTCAGGTCAAATATCAAGGGATGAATTTGACCAATATGCTGAGGCGGCTGCGGATGTCGAACAGCTGATTGCACTGGAGGTCGCATGGCCCCTTTCAGCAAGTGTTGTTGTACCATATAAGCTTTTTATTCAATTACGTAGAAGATTTTCTGCTCGTGCTGTACCCCTAGTAAAGGAAAGACAGATTATCACATGACGGAAGCCTAAGGACATATTGTCTCCGGCGTCAAGCTCGGGGGTATTTCAGACCGTGATACTATCGACCGAATAATATATGTATCTTTACAGGTAACCCGTGCTGAGTTTCGCAGTATGGATCAGATCCAGGATGCAGATGATAGAAACCCCGGCGACTTGCTACAGATCAATGCCATAATGTGGGGGGAAGTCCCTGGTCGTACATAAATCGAGACCCAGGTGTAAATGAAAATAGCGGAAACGTCTTCGGTTTATTTTTTACCGAGACCACACCATGTTGCCTTCAGAAAGTATGACAGGCTAATTGTTCATCCTGTTTTCGTCACATATCTCCCGAGTTGATAGTTGACGAATATCCTGGAGGTACCCCCACTTGGCCTGGCGGTGACCCAGTAAAGCTTCATAGATGATAACACTTGTTCCCAGCAAGACACCCCTTCTCTTTGTGGACTGCTAGAACACCAGCAATTCATGAAGTATTTGGGCTCATCTTTTCGTCGACTGGAAACAAGTATCATTCAATCTGCACCAAAAGGTTTCAATATAGCCACTTCTAAAAATCAGCAAGAGAGCGGGCGAGTAGGGCCAGGTCCAGCCTTGGATATAAGGCTATTTCAGTCAAGGAGCCATTTCAAGCCATGCGCATCTGCAAGTGAACCGCCCCATGTGTCTTCCGGGTTCAGGAAGAGGGTGAGCCGCAGGATCGGTCATCTATCAAGACCGATGCGTCGACGGATACTCCCGCTCATGTAACAAAGAGGGGTCTAGCCTCTTAGTTTTCGAGAGTCGGCTATTGCTGCGGGAACCTTGGTGGGTGATCTACGTCAGAAAATGCCTGCGGCATGGCCATGCAGTATGCAAGCCATGGCTCTGAGCCTTTGTTTGTAGACATCCCGGCTTTGAAACAACGCTGCTCGAATGGCACCAAACGAGGAGCATTTAAGTGGTTTGGGTCACGCCCCGATGCCGTGGAGGCAGAATGGTCTCCCTTGGAATATCACAAAGCTTAGTTATAAAAATCGCCAGCAGGGATCATGTTCAACGTTGCACAATGTTAGAAACTGCTCCACGTGTTTCTTGAGTGGGAGACAACGGAGGCCATGAGACAGAGATACAATCAATTCCTAGACAAGGTCCTTCATTTGAATTCGGTCATCTGAATGATTCACTTTTGTGAGTAGCGACTTGTTTTGAGTTGGTAGAGTTTGGTTTCGCACGAGATTCTTTTTGGTAGAGAGCAGAGGTCAATAGGAACATGTTTTTTTGGAATACCTCAACAAGAAAACAAGAGGACCCACAAACAAGTATTGCGGGATCAATTCATCAGATCTTCAATTGTAAACTTTGTTCTAAGTCGCGTTGACTATGCCTATTTAACCGTCATTGCTCACATCCGGGGCATCAGGAGTATGGGCGGAAGTTCGCGACATGGCTCCCGCAGTTAACCAAGGACCTAACCCGAACTGCAATCCCAGTGGAACCGCAAGGTAGAAGTTGGACAAGAGAAGAGATGGCGGGGCGGGACCCCCCTGCTAGTTTGTCTGGATCCTTGCCACAAGACATGTCCGGTTTTCGTGCTCGGTCACTGTCCGAAGCCAAGTTGGAAGGGAGACGCGGGGCGGTGTGGAGGCGTGTGGAGGGCGTGGAGGGCGTGGAGGGCGTGGAGGGCCGAGTGAAGGCCGACTCCAGGACTTGCTCCAGAAGCTTCCCCCAGGTATCCGTAATTTTTGTAATAAAAATGGAGGATCTGGAAACGCGGGGGTTGGACGGGTGAGGAGCGGGAATCGCGAGAGTGATAACAATCTCGCGGAAGTAAAAAGTTCCATCGGAGTTAATGCTGACAAAATGTTGAACATCCGATACTTGGCGCATGTCAAGCTTTCTCTTCTCCACTTGATGCCTTGCTCCTGTGTTTTCTTTTTGCTGTCTTTGGGGAATTACTCCAATTCAGCCCACCTTTGCGGCTTGTGGCGTTGACCCATTCCTGGAACGCCCCTGACAGCAGCTTTTATCTCAGGCACTAGGGTGGATTCACGATAATGGGTAAGACCATTGCGTTCTCAGTAGTCATTTGGCTAGACTCGCTTCATGCGTTCCAATTCATTATGGCATTCATTAATCCATTCTATCGACGTAATTCTTGCAACACAACCTCGAAAGGCGTGGTGAGATGTTGTTTTGTTTTTCATGTACAATACGCTCTTCTAATGGGTATCAAACCGCAAGGTTTCAACTTCACACAATAACTCGTAGCGCTTAGACAAGGTATCTGAAACCCTTGCCCAACTTGCGCGCAGCCTCGATCTCATCAGTATTGGTGGCGTTGGCGCTCTCCGCAGCAACATCGCCGTTGACCTCCCAGGCACGCTCGTCCTCCTCGAGCTTCTTGTTCAGGTTGTCAAGGATGACCTTGAAGATGTAGCAACCGACAATGGTGATACCAAACATGGCAGTAACGATGCCGTAGCTTTTGCGGAAGCCGTTCTCCTTGAGGTCCCAGACATACGAACCGGCCACGTTGCCGAGCTGGGAGAAGGCGTTGATCATGGCGATGGCGACGGCACGCTTGGCGGGCGGACGCGGGAACGAGGAGGAGATCCAAGAGTAGAATACGATGAAGCCGGCGTACGAGCTGGCCTGGAGGAATAGGGCGACGTAGCGCGCGGCGACGTTGAGGGTCGACATGGAGATGATGAAACCAACCAGGCCGACGCAGATGGGTCCGACAATGTGCCAGAATCTCTCCTGCGTGCGATCGGCGTGCCAGGCATTGATGAGGGAGATGATGCAGGAGAAGGCCCAAGGAGGGGAGCTCATGAGCAGGGTGGGGACGTAGCCGAAGCCCAGGGTCTGAGTGAGGGTTGGCTGTAAATCGATTAGCAGGTGAAGGCTTTTTTGTCTATTCATTGTAGGGAAACTTACGAAGAAGGCGTTGAACGAAAGACCGACAACGTAGGCAGTGAAGGTCAGCATCATGATGTAGATCTTGACATCCTTGACAGCCATGATAAGACCATCGAGAGGGCCCATCTCATCCGAGTCGGCATCAGCCTCACCAACATCCTCAGTCATGCGCAGCTGGGCGACGTAGAGCTCCTCCTCGGTGAAGCCACGAGAATTGGTAGGCAAATCAGGGAGAATGAAGGCGGCAGAGATGGCGACACACATGGTGACGGCACCCTCGATCCAGAAGAGCCATCTCCAAGCAGAATGACCGAGGACGCCCTGCATGTTGGAGAGGACACCAGCCCCGATGAGGGCGGAGAAGGCGTTGGAGATGAGGTTACCGCAGAAGAGGATGGCGTTGCGGGTGGTGAGCTCGCGGCGGGTGTACCATTTCGACAGGATCATGAGGGCACCGGGCAGGAAAGCGGCCTCGATGAAGCCCAGGCAGAAACGGGTGGCGACCATGCCTCCAAAGTTGGTGGTCACACCAGAGAGGGTTGAAATCATGCCCCAGATCAACATGGCGATGCCAATGTACCAAGAGGGGCGGGAGATCTTGTTGATGACCATGTTGGACGGAATCTGCATGAGAATGTAGCCGACGTACAGAATACTGAGGCAGGTGGCATATTCGTTGTTGTTCAGCTTCAGGTCATCTTGCAGACCGCGGAGACGGGCAGCGGCGATGTTGTTTCTGTCGAGGTAGTCTAAGAAACGACGCGTTAGTTTAGGACGGAATGAGACGAAAATCTTGGCGAGGTTGACATACTCATGATGTAGATGAGCACGAACAGAGAGCATCGCATGTCAAGCTTTCGCTTCATGCTCTTCTCGACTACCGCACGACGCTCAGGGCTCATAACCCGCGGCGCGTTGGGATCAATGTAGTTGTTTTCGACATTATCGACGTCGGCGCCCTTGAAGTCGGCGCCTTGGGAGATCTTGTCGTTCTGTGTCGAGTCCATCTTTGCGACTGTCCTGTCGGATCTCTACACACGACTGAGGAGGGCGAGTTGGGAAGAGAGACCAGGGAGGTTGGAGACGGGAGAAGGAATCAAGAGGTCGTCTGGATTGACTCGACAACAACTGGAGAAAGCTACGAGAGCGACGGAAAGCCATTTAGTTATAGAGCGGTGGCAGGCTTCGGGCAAGTCCCGATCGTCGCGGGGAACCACTGAACCACCGCCCCTCAACAACATTTTTATGTGGGGTGAAACCTGCTTCACCCATCACAGCAAAAGCATACGCGCGTGAGAGGCAAGACTTTTGACAATGGGCTGGGATCTGGTACGAGTCACCCTTTCGGTTGCAGTCCAGTCTCGGCTCAGAAACGCGGCATGCGGCTGCTGGGAACGCGAAAGCTGCAATGGACATGGAGCTTCTTCGGCCGCACCTGGATGACGTGGGGATACGCCTGTCCATGGGGAAGCCAGATCGGAGTTAACGAGAAAGCGACTTTTGGAGTGGTTGAGAACTTCGATGACAGAGAGCGCGCGCGCGCGAGACAACTCGTTCTCGCCTCCGTCCGCGGGGAACGTCACCTTGCATCCCGTGGGGACGAACCCGTCGAACCAGCTCCCAGTCGCCCCAGGCCCGTTCCCTCAAAGCCCGGGATTTGAGAGTCAGCTGGAGTTCTAGAGGGCCCCGAAGTGGAATCTTTGGGATAAGGCGCTCCCCCAACTTTTTGGCCATGCTCCAGCTTCCCCCGAGGGGATCCCACAGTTTCTCCTCATGGCGCTTATCTGCGAGTGGGAGAAGAAAGCAAAGTCGTGTGACTGGGGGGGGAATGGTCTGTGATTAAAGGTAGGACCGAGATTTCCACCGGATGGTCCCGCTACCTGGCCGCCAATTCGCGACAAGTACCGGTCGAGATCCATCGTCTTGCGTCTGGCTGGGCGTTGGAAAAGGCTCAAGAGTCAAGCATCTTTCTCCGCAGCCTTGGTGGGACGGGAGCAAGAGGAGACTTGGAGAAGGAGAGGGCACAGCGTGGGGAAAGGTCCGAATTGAATCGTCCAATGAAATCCTCACCGACTGAGCACCACTTAATATCTCGTTGCGGTCAAGATTGTCGGTGCTCATCTCCGAATCCGGGACGTGTGGCCGGCAAGGGTTGCGTTCGACCAGCGACGGACGGCGCGCGGAGTCTCGCGGAGTTTAAACGATGGTGACGTGACCTGAGCGAATCCGTTCGAATCGTTCGAGATCTCACGTCTTTTCCAAGGTTTTTTGCCCAGATGCTCAACGTCCGGCAACACCAGGGGATTTGAAGCAACCACTAGCTCACGTGCTCGTAGATTTTGTCCGTCATACTAAGAATGACGTTTCAGTGCCACTCTCTGTGACCCCACAAAACATGGGTTTCGACCAAGAACTTGATCCCTCAGCGCACTGCTGTGTTGTGTCTGGGCACATGGGGTAACAGAAGCGTTTGTTTCATGTCCCCAGGCACGTCAAAAGAAAGATATTGCCCAGAGACTTGGGACGAGGGTGGCGTTCTGCCAAGATGGAGATTTTCTTCTTATTCCCCATTGCATGCGTATAAAGTTCCATGGATATCGTCGGCCGAGCTTGGCGTCCTTGGCCCGACGGGATCTCATCACGTGGTTGTCCTCGCGACTAAAAGCCGTCCCGCTTCTCCGGGCAACAGATGTATGCCCGGGTAGGCCTGCTTATTGCTGCTAGCCAGACGTTTGTGCCGCCCCCCTTCTTACTGTATCTGGTGTTCTCCCAGTGTCTGGTTGGTGGCTTCAAACACCGGGTATAGCTTAGACTGGGAACCTTGATTCGATGCCGAGCCGGGCACAATGAATCATTTCTAGCCAGAACTCTGGGTAGTATCAACTGAGATGAAAAATGTCCATTGCATCCATTCGCTGGGATTGATTTCCAAGAAAACCATTGCATGGCTGCTATGAGACCCCAGAGCCATTTCTCCGGCAGTATGACTCTGCAAATGCACCTCGCCTGCAAACATGAGCACTGTGCGTACCATCTGGGATGATTGGGTACATTGCCTACATGGCTACCACTGAATTCGATGACAGCATGGGAAAAGCTTCCCTATGCCCCCAGCGACTGACCTGGCTTGCCAGGTCTGCCAATACCGCTTGGCCACGAAGGAGCTGATTAGCAGTTTCTCAATGTGCCTGAAGTACTTGAGTTGATGATAACTGTGTCTGGTCTGCACGGCACATGAGCTGTTTTCCGACGATGAACTCCAAAGCCAAGCTGGAATCTCATTTCAAGGCCCAATCTCCCTTAATGTCATAGTTCAACGGTCTGAGGAAAGCCAATTCGGTAGCTCCCGGAATCTTGGAACTCGTCTCCCATCTCGACTCAGGACATCGTGGCGCCCGAGTCCCCACTCATCAGCAACCTCTCAGCAGCTGCCTCATCATCCTCGTCTGAATCCTCATCATCATCATCATCCCCGCCCATGAGGTCGATGACCAGAACGGAACCCGAGCTGAGGGTGTCTAATTGGAAGCCAGCCTGCAAGATTTCAGGGGCATCGAAAATGCAGCCGGCGACATCGAGGCTGATATCAGCGTCCTTGAGCGCCAAGCAAACGAGGCGGAAGTGCTCGTGGTGCTGGTCCGTTGCATCTGCCCCGTCCTTTTCGCCATCGAATATCAAAACGACGTTGCGGTGGCTGAAGCAGAAGGTGTCGTTGACTTCGGGTCGAGCGACGTCTCTGAGAGTGGCTTCGAGCTTTGACGGCTCGGTCTGCGCGTTGGCTGTGAGTCGCGTAAACATGCTGCCGTTGAGCAGGGCCTTTGCTGTGGTGGGGCTGGCTGGGGAGAAGATTGTGACGTTGGGCGGGAGCGCTGGTGCGGCTGGCGCCGCGGCGTTTGGAGAAGCCTTGGGGTCCATGGCTGATTTCGATGTTATTCCCGTGCAAATTATTGTCCGTGTCGGAGGGTACCTTGGGTGACCAGTCCATAGAAACGGGCAGGGACTGAGACGACCTGCAAACTTTTCAGAGATGACTAATCTGAAAGGCGGAGCATGTGCGGAGGTCGCCGGGACCGAATCATTCCGGAGGTGCTCCGATGTGGGTCTCCATAGGCCGGTGAGGCAGGCACGGCAGGGAATGCACCGCGATAGGGAGATAGTTGAGGATTCGGCAAATACTGCATACTCTGTGGAATTCTTTGCACTTCAATTCTGCCGAGAAAGCATCATATAATTTGGGTATCTTTAATCCGTAGGATACACCCCTCAAACAATCTGGCAAGCAAGAGAAACCGAGGCCAAGTCATTTAATTATGGATGACTTCGACTCAGCAGTCATTAAGTGTTGCGATTGCTACGAAGCGCCCTCATCACGGGAAATCTCATCCAACTCAGTTTCTGCAACCAAAGCCTACCCAAGTCAGGATACAATGAGCAGCAATCACAATAAGCCTCCATGTTCCGGCTCCTTCTTCAACTCGATGATGTCAATAACTCCCCAGGATGGACTATGGTATGTTTCTTGTAATAGAAGCGACGACATGAGAGCGTGAGAATCATTTCCCACCAGCAATCTCCCAGAAGACTCCGCCTCGTTGCCCAGGCGTTGTGGCCCCCTAATCGCGTATTATCGTATCTTTAAAGGTGTGAGGACGTCCATCTCATAATCGAATTTATCGACTGAGCGAAGATTGATCGGCAGGGTGATGCGAAAAGGGTCCTAAAGAGTCCAGGGTCCGACGATCAGGCCGATTGTGATGCGTGCAATTGGACTCTGCCGTTCCTTGTGAACATGAGCTTTATGGACCTCCCACCACCGCCGTCCGAAAACCGCTGGACCCGCTTCATGCTAGTGACGCCAGGCAACTTCAGCTATTCATGTGAAATGAAGAAGCTTGGATGGGCATCACTAGTTGTGAGAGCGATCAGGCGTGACGACGATGGGTCAATTGATCTTCAATCAGCGAAGATCCAGAACCAGGCAATGGCTAGGTATTTAGCCTGCTTCTACAATGTACTCGGCAGAAATCCAATTGGATAGATACCTGTGGCAGAATGAAGATGTTGGGGAGCAACTCGTTGAGGACTTGATTGCACAGTTATATTAGACGAGAAATGAGCAAGCAGCCTCATCACCCAATCATGCAGTGAAACTGCTTGTTCTTAGGGGCTGCTGCTAGAGTCTCCAAGCAGGTGGGTGTCAATGACAGTCGATTCTATTTTCTTCGGCGAAGGTCCTGAAATATGTTCATTTTGTGTCCTTCTAGTATTCTATGCCGAGGTGGTTTGCGATGAGGGTTACGAGGTCATCTGCTGAAGCCTCTGGACTAATGCAACCCAAAATATGCTGATCTGGTCTCACCAGAATTGCACCGCCCTTGGAGAACCCTCCCTGAGTATCATACAATCTCCGGTGACTATTGGAGGAGAATTGAAAATCGCTGTCCGCCCCCCAAAGCCTCAGACGAGAATTCAATCTCTGCCCCAGGACCGCTTTGCAGTCCTCGAATCGATGACTCCAGGCTGCGCGGCACGGCGTAATGAGAGCGAATGTACCCGCATTGACCAGGTCAAGTGTGGAAAATTGCTGGGCTGCGACTTGCTCATCTGATAGCTCCTTCACATATGATGTGTCGATTGGTTGTGGCAGAAACTGGCTTGGCTCATTCGGTTTTGTGATCTTGATCCAGGCGTGGGGTAACCTCGCGCCGACCTTGAACTTTGGCGTAAAGTCCGAAGCATTTGCAGGTGGCTTCGGGTCACCGTACACATAACCGATGTGAATTTCAAGCTATGTCGGACCATGTTAACAGAGCAGTTCTACGTGCTTCGAAATTCCCCGAGGTCGCAAGGCACTTACATTGTCAAAATGTTCACGTTGTCCCTCAACCTTCTCAGCTATCAATTCCTGTTTCGACGGGTCGTGAATTGCTTCATACATCCGTTTCCGGGCTTCGCTGAGGCTTTCAACCTCTGCCGTCCCGATAGCCTTGAGAAACGAAAATATCGACTTTCCGTTCTTCACACTCTGGGCAGCGGCAACTACGGCAATTGACCGTCTATCAGACTCATAAGTGTCGAAAATTTGTGGACTAGCCCACCCCTGATGCACAGCGGCAATCTTGTAGGCAAGGTTATGTCCGTCTGCCAGCCCAGAGTTGAGACCAAGGCCGCCGGTTGGGGGAAATGAATGTGCAGCATCGCCAACTCTGGTCGGGTTCGTGTTAATGCACTGTCAATGTAGAGGTAGGGACTGGAAATTTGGGGATACGCACAAGAACACATTCCCACGCCGGTACTCCTTCGCCACCTTACGGCTCAACACCCACGGTCTGAAGCTCATAATCTGGATCGGAATGTCCTGTCCTATCGCAGCCGATACCGTAGCATGTGCGAGCTCTTCGGTCCACGATTCCACAGGATTTCTCTTAGCCTGAATCAAAATTTGTCAGTATTCAACGTAGCAACTTTTAGAAATCAAAAATTTGTAGACTCACATCAAAATTGCTAATCAAAACCTGGTTTCCGTCTAGATCATATGCTATGATGAAGCCAGAGCAAGCAGGATCAGCTATCCAATGCAACATGCCGACACGGTCTCCGACCACTGGTCGGAGGTTCGCATTGAAGTGTATCGTCATCATGGTTTCGTCTACAAATCTTCCGTCAGTCCGATCAATCGATGAGAATGATAGTCAGGGAAGACTCACATCCATCTTCTCCTTCTGTCTCAATTCCAAGAAAGCGGCGGACCTGGCTCTTTGCTCCATCACAGCCGATGACATGTCTTGAAACGATGGTCCAGCGCTTCTTAGTCGCGCGCTCCTCGACGACGGTAGTTACCTTGTCACCTCGCTGTCGCGGAGTCAGAATTCTGCCCTTTAATTGTCTCACGACATGATAGGATTGTGAGGTCAACTCACTTGATCGCACGAAACAAACCCAACACCCTTGCGAATCTCAACATTCGGGTCATTTTCTAGATTCTGGGCGATGAACTTCTCAAAATCTGGTTGCGGAATATTGTGGATCATCTTTGACAAGCCCGTTAGTGATTGACCTCACGGGAGATTGGTAATAGGCATTTCAATTGCTTTCATACCTCGGGTGTGCTGTCCAAAACCCCAGGATCCATCCGCTCATACGGAAGGACTCCAATCTTCTCCCCAGTGAGATTCGTCATGAAATTGACCCAATAGGCATCATCGCGAGGCGACCCCAGTTTACGTATCGCTCTCGTGTCGAGACCATATTGTCTACATATCTCAAGGGTTCTTGGACATAGTGCATGGGCTTTGGGAGCAGCGAGCCTTTCAGGATACTTCTCGATGAGAAGCGACTTCACTATAAGCCGTTAGCGTTCTACCCCATTAAAGAGAGAGAGAGGCCAAAGCTGCAAAGGCCTACGTGTACATACCACCGTGTTTGGACAGCATGTATGCTGTGAACAGACCAGTCGGACCACCACCTGCGATGAGAACAGGTACCTCGACTGAAACATCTCCTATTTGGACATTGTCTGGTTTCACGTTACAAGATGAGAAATCAACCTTGTAGGCGCCCTCAGGGCGTGACGGCTGGGCGATTTCAAGCATCATTTCCGCTGGCCAGGCTGTTTGTCAAGACGTGCGGAGCTTTGTGCTCATGGGGGAAGACGAAAAATGTGGTCATCTATATTGCGGAGGAAGGGCCGACGGTATATGCTGGGAGACATCATACCGAGGCGCAACGGTTTCCGACGGGCGGCCTCCTATTCGCTTTGAGCGTTGGTCCCGAAAGACTCGATCCGATTCGTTCAATTTTCTGGGGTAGCGTCAGTGCGAGATCGACGGTGGTGACTGGAGGCGATCCTCTCACTCCTCAGAAACCTTGACCGAACTTCCTTGTCTCACAAACACACCTCACGGCCACCCCTGCATGGGCTATGGGCTTGTCCCAGATGATCTGCTGTTAAGCCCGCAGCACTAGTGAACCGTAGCTTCATAGCCCCGAAGCCCCGCTCGTGGTACGCGTTTCCTTTTTCGCAGTTCTCTCTCTCAACGTTCATCAAACTTCTATGATTCTGCGATTACAACGCATCTCTCATAATGGAGACGGAAATCTCCACTACAGCCGCTGGATCCTCGGATAACCCGAATTCGGGTACCCTCAAGAGGAAGCGAAGGCCTCGGGCGCCGATAGCTTGTGGTACATGTCGAGCTCGTAAAGTCAAGGTCGGTACAGCTCCGATGTTGCCTTTGCTGAATGAACATGTTGACAAGAGCTTTTCTCAGTGTGATGGTAGTTCGCCGTGCTCCAACTGCATTCGTGAGTGTGTCGCATTCCTTGGGGGGTAGATATTGATGGCTGACTCTGTCTTCCCTAAAGGACACGAATTCTCGTGCTCGTACAAAGAAGGACCAGAAGACTCGTATGTAATAGAGTGAGGCCGGGATTGTATTAGGGCTGACCTTACCCCCAGGCCCAGCAAGAGGGCGTCTTCTTACGATCCCACTGGCCGCATCCAACAACGCCTACAGCCTCAACCTCAGCTGGTCGCTCAGCCGCAGCCATCGTTGCCTGAGCATCTACATCCATCACCAGTCAGCCTAGATGAGCCAATCAAGCACGAAATCCCAATTCAGCCAAATCCACAAGAGCCCAGCCGTATGGACAGAGGTTCATCAACATCTTCAGAACAGGAAGTAGACGGCCTTGGCCAAGTCAACGAGCACACCGAGGGTGCCGAGTTTTACGGCCCCACTGGAACCTTCTACTTTCTTGCACGGCTTCGCTCTCGGGCGAACACGCAGAAACAACCGGACGTCGGCACGCACCGGAAGCAGAGTTCCATCGTCAATCTTTTGCACAGCTCAGACTACTCAACGCCCCCAGATTCTCGCATCCTCGGCCAGAACCAGTTCGGAAAGGCGAGTCCACAGAGTAACGGCGGCAGACGAGAGTCGTACCAGCAAGGCGTCATTGCCGATGTGGTTCTCAGCGCGGCAGACGCCGCGTTCGCGACAGAGATCGAGCGCGAATGTGTTCGCCTGTACTTTCAAAACCTACACAACATCCATCCTATCCTCGAACAGATGACCTTTATTAAGAGATGCGAGGAAGAAATATGGTCGAGGCTGTCCAGACCAGACATCCTAGTGTCTTCCCAAATGCGCCGGGAGGCTAGATTTCTTGCTCTTTATAATGTCGTCATCGCTATCGGGGCCATTACCGCGGGAGAGACTTCCTTACTCATGGAGGACCATACAAAAGAGTTCTTGGATCGAACTGGACAGTCTGGCGACGAGGAAACTCTCTACCCGCCTATTCGTCTGGCAAGAAGATTTTTTGAAAGGTCGAGACTTCACCTAGAAGACATATGCGAGTCGAGCTCCCTCGAAACTGCGCAAACACTATTTCTCATGGTCAGTCTCAAGCTGCAACCAAAAGACCTTCAGTGTCCTTGTAGATTGACTTGCAAACTGTAGTCGGTATTCGGTCAGAACGCATTGAAGCCTCATAGCTGCTACATGTATAGCGGCATGGCGATAAGGACTGCATCAGCCATGGGTATTCCTACCAACATTCGTTCGGAGACAAGTCCGGAGAGCTTGCTATGGTGGTAGGTGACCACAACCGCGCTCTTGATTACACGTACCGCTAATATGTCTAGGTCGCTTTACTCACACGAGATGTAAGCACTTTCTTTGTTTAAGTCGACGCAATGCTGATCTTTTAGTGAAATGTGTTTTTCTGCCGGGCGTCAATCGGGGCTACGCGCTCCAAGCTCCTACTCAATACCGTTCCCGAAGACCTCTGTGAGTCTCGTGTTCCAAGATCAAATGCATATTCACGTCGCTAAGACTACGGCAAAGCACTTCCCCAATTCAGCATACTGCCTGATCAACCCTATGGTTGATTTGGCCAAGATCCTTATGTGGATGACGGACAATCTAGGTCTGCATAGTAGCCACACATCATTCCAAAGGTTATCTCAGACTGCCCTTAACTTGGATCGGGAGCTGGACGACTGGAAATCTGGCCTGCCGAGGCAACTCCGTTTTGACACATCATCACTGGAGGATAGCGAGTTTGCCATGAAGCAGAAGACTGTTCTCAAGCTACGTATGCTTCGCCGGCTCGTCAAGTCAATGGGCAGTACTGACGTGCACGGGCAGGTTTTCTCAACGCCAGAATCCTTCTTCATCGGCAGTTCATTATATCAAAGACGCAAGAAGCGGATCGTGCCACAGTCTCACGACACGTCACAACGTGCGTCAAAGCCGCCACCGAGACTATCAAGTTCATGCACACGAGCTACCTCCATCGCCCGTACTTCAGGACATGGTAAAATCTTCACGCCCCGTGGGGCCTTGATCCTGACAACCGCTAACGAGAATCAGGTGGTATAACTGCATGTACCTACTAGATGCCTGCATGGTCCTCCTCCATGTACTCATCTCCAACATCTGTCCTTTCCCCGCCGAGGAGGTGATGGAAAACATCGAGCTGAGCCTCGACATCTTCAAAGCAATGAAGATGCTCGCAGTGGCCAGGAGATGCGCCGATATCGTCAAAGAATTGCTCAACGTCGCTGCAAAGACGCATTCAGTACAGCAGCGTCAGACGAGCGTGGCCACGGAAGCCGAGCCCGCCCTCAAGATTCACGATGACGTGAGCCAGCTGATGCATACGTCGCCCGCATTCATGTCGGAGGGCATGGGTCTCCACCCGGGGGACACCGAGCTTGGAGACGCCCTGATTCCTGGGGATTTCGATGCAAACTTGGTGGACCCGAATGTTGTTTGGAATTTCTTGAATTTTGAGCATTGGAATGCGTGGTCTGATGCAGCCTTCAGATAAACGATGTAAGAAGTGTATGAATAAGAGTATTGGGCTAATAGCATACCTGTTCTGGGTAAAGGGGCAAAGCGCTGAAGAGACTCTCAAATGAGCCCAAGCTGGCTACTAGTGACTTCAAGATCCAGGCCGCAAAACTTCATATTGCCACTTGAAAGATCCAAATAAGCCTTTTGCCTGCACGGGCAAAATGTGCAAGAGACCGCCTCAGAGTTACGTCGGAGTTCCACCAACTTCCTAATTTGGGTGGGATTGGTGGAACAAGCAAAGCCGTCAGGAGCAGGGACTTCAGCTCGATGCTGCATCAAGTCTTGGCAGAGAATCCCTCGATGCAGTACGGAGAACTGGAGTACGATTTGAGCCCATGAATGAGAGGGTGTGCTGGTCTTGGCGGATAATCTCATGATAGATTTACCACGACTAGGAGCCGTCGGTCGACCAAAGACCTTGCCGTTGGCTTCCATCTTATGATTTTGTGAACAAGAGACAGAAACGCATGTCGTTGGAGGAGACAGCTGCAATGGAAGCATATAAAATGTAGCTGACATTGGCATCAAATTCCCTACTGCCCCTGCCCTCTCACAGAGCCACATCGATTTCGCGTCCTGCGATCAACCAAAATGCATTCTACCATCATCGCGGGGCTATTCTTGGCCATTAGTCTGGTATCTGCCCAATCTCGAACTACCTCGACGCGAACTACCTCGACACGAACTACCTCAACAAGCACCATCAAATGGCAAGCCTCCGGAGGCGTATCCTGCCCGCACCCTTCCGTCAACACGAACTGGCCCACACCCACCGGAAGCACCTCGTTTCCCACCGCCTCCTTGATCGCAGCAAATGCAGTCTTTGACGGCAAGATGGCCCTCTTCGACCGCAAAGGAAGCACTGGCGACTGCAAAGGGCAAGCCGAGCAAGATGAGGCCGCCGCCGTGTTCATCTTGGAGAATGGGGCGACGCTGAAAAACGCCATCATCGGCCCTGCTCAAGCAGAGGGTGTACATTGCCGCGGCCCCTGCACCATTGAGAACGTGTGGTGGGATGATGTATGCGAGGATGCGGCGACTTTTAAAGGCACTGGTCCAAGATACGTTAGGGGTGGAGGGGCAAAGGAGGCCAGTGATAAAGTCTTCCAGCATAATGGTAAGTGATGTATGCTTACAACTTACAAGTTATATTATATATCCCTCTATGTCAATATACTAACCTCATTGATTGGCAGGTGAAGGATGGTTGTATATCGATGGCTTTTACGCCAACAAATTCGGAAAGTTCTATCGGTCGTGTGGCAACTGTAGCCAGCAATTCCAGCGACACGTCAACATTACCAACTTTGTTGGCATACAAGGAGTAGTCAGTAAGTGCACGATTTCCTGCGTGAGCTTCACGCTACATATAGGATGCAGTCGCATACTTGGGCGTTCTCCGGCGCTAATGCTCATCAGTGGGAGTCAATCAAAACTATGGTGACACTGCCACTCTTTCCAACTACTGCCTCGCAAAGATCGGAGTCATTTGCACACGCTACGAGGGCTGCGTCAAGCCATGTGAAGCCGGAGAGATCGGCGAAGGCGCACTGGCGCCATACTGCGTGGTTAATGGACAAGACTGGTCCTGAAATGTGATATCTCGGGCATATCGATAGCGGAGGAATTCAATTTTTATAAGATCTAGCTGACCATTATAACCCTTCAAAACAAGGCTTCGTAACTGCAATTAAACGCATCTTATCATTAACCAAAGGCGGCGGGAGAAGGTCCCGATGGCCGGGAACGGCTGAAGGGGAGGCGGGGCCGGTTAGAGACGGGAGGGGGTCCGGTCGCCAGCTTCCCGTGTCGATATGCCGGGTTCGTCTCGGACTACCTCGGTGGTTTGCTGGTGTCTCCAGTCCGTTACACCTTAATTACCCCGCAAGATGTTACACTACTACGATCGCCCAATTGCCGCTAAGATACCCCGTGGGGAACCGCCGGATGGCGCGGGGAGGATATGAACCATTCAAATCCGACTTTATGTGTAGCCACCCATGTGCCTCGGTTTCGAATCGGGGCACCTAGCCGAGGTGAAGACGGCTTATTTAAATATATGGAGTCTTCTCATCCATCCATTGCTCATATCGGTTCTGTTCAATTGTATTCAAAATTAATTTTCTACAATGGGCATGCTGAACGATCAAAAACAATCAGGGTATCTCCTGGTGGCCCTTCAGTTAGCACCGGCAGTCCTGCTGTGCTCCTGGCTCCTCTACCAACGCGTCCTCTCGCCATTCGCAAAGGTCCCGGGGCCCTACTGGGCCAGCCTTTCGAGAGTATGGCTCACATACCACTCGTATATCGGCGATCTTCACATCGTAATGATGCGTCTGCATGAGGTCCATGGCAAGGTTGTGCGCATTGCGCCAAGCGAAGTGTAAGCATCACTCGAGGCGGACCTTGGGTGGCTTCTTCCAACCGACAGCTGAGTCGTTGAAATTTCTCTAGGAGCATCTCGGATCTCACATCCATCAAGACAATCTACGGTAAAAACCATAGTTTGATCCGCAGTACATGCTGGATCTGACCTCTACTAGGAGCGGGGTCCAAGTTCCGCAAATCCGACTGGTATAGCGTCTGGCAGGGCAGGCGCAAATTCGACTTATTTCCCGAACGAGATGATCGGATTCATTCGGCCCAGCGTCGCCTCGTAAGTAGGCCATATGCAATGACCTCGTTGAAAGAGCTCGAACCATACGTGGACAGCACCATCCATGTCTTTCTGGAGAAACTTGGCGGCATGCTTGACAGAACCGTGGATCTGGGCACTTGGGTTCAGCTCTATGCGTTTGGTATGTTTCCTTCGTCGAGTGTGCCATAAAACCTGCTGGTATGCTGATGGAACTCCTTCACAGACGTGATTGGGGAAGTCACCTTCTCAAAGCGATTCGGCTTCATGGACGTGGAGTCCGACGACGGCTCCATCAAACAAATTGAGATTGCGCTACGGTCTGCCGCCTGGATCGGTCAAGTACCATGGTTGTACTGGCTCCACGATTATCTGTCTCCCGTCATCGGGTCCTGGCTCGGCATCGCATCTCGCCACGGAACACTACGCAAATTTGCGGCGCGCGAGGTAGCCGCAAGACAAGACAGGGGATCCGACCACCAAGACATTCTCACAAAGCTGCTTGCCGTTCACAAAGAGAAGCCTGAGCAGTTTGACAGCTCCGACCTGGTCTCCATGGCCACGTCCAACATCTTTGCTGGCACCGACACAACGGCAATTTCGATTCGGGCAATCATTTATCATCTGCTAAAGAACCCTGAAGCAAAGCGCCGACTCATCGGAGAAGTCGACGAGCACTGGAAGCAAGGAAAGCTCAGTGACCCGATTACCGTGGCAGAATCTGAGAACATGCCTTACCTGCAAGCAACCATGTACGAGGCCTTGCGCGTACACCCTGCTGTTGGCATGACCCTTCCTCGCGTAGTGCCCCAGGGCGGCTATGAGATTGATGGCTTCCACATGCCAGCCGGAGTAAGTGCTGCCTCCGTCTTCATTATGCCTAGCTCAGTTCAAGTGTTGGAGTGTGTCGTTAACTTTGATGCCATTTAGTCTGTTGTTGGGGTTAACCCTTGGGTTATTCACCGTAGCAAGGAAGTATACGGCCAGGATGTCTACTCATTCCGCCCGGAGAGATGGCTCAAAGAGGACAATGGTGACATGCGTAAGGTTCCCTGGCTGAACGAGTATCCATCCGCTGACGAAATTCTGCGTAGACCGTTTCTTCTTTGCCTTTGGCTCAGGAGCTCGTACGTGTATCGGTCGAAGTAAGTAAATGTGCAAGCATCAAAGTTACCAGCTATACTGACTGACTGGTCTAGATATAAGTTGGATGGAGATGTCCAAGGTTCGATCCCCACCCGTTCTAAGGTATTTCAGTAGCTGATAATGTGACTGCACAGCTTATCCCGACCCTCTTCCTGCACTTTGAACTGGAGCTTACCGACCCAGAGGCAGTTTTAGAGGAGAAATGCTAGTAAGGAACCTTCCACGTGAGATGTACGCGGATCTAATGCTGACTACTATACTAGCTGGTTTGTCTTTCAAAGGGGCTTGAATGTCAGGCTTCGACGGAGACAGCTTCCGGCGATGGAGGAGGTCAAAGTCTAGAGACTGAGATCCGAAAGCCACAAAGTTTACCCTAGGCCGGATACTGTCATTTGTTCATCACCCTGTCAGATTAATTAGGCTTACGAGGCTCACATCAACCGCATAGACTGTAGTGCAAGTCTGTAGTTGAAGAGCCGACAGAAAGAGTCGCACTTTTCCAAGTGATCAATCTGTTATGTGATCTGTTTCCTCCTTCCCTTGCTAGAAGGCCTCTCTCTGTGTGCGTAAGGTTCGTTATACATTTGAACCCACTTGAATTAGACCTGTGAGGTTGCCGCATCCTCCGTAATATATCTGAATGGAAGAGTGGCAGATTCTTTCCACTGGGCGTATGCAACTGCCGTCAAGTGCGAGGATCTCGCCAGAAAGTAAGTTGAGGGTCTACCGGTGTTCCCAGTTATGTCGTAACAGCTGCGTTACTGAAGGAAAAACAAGAGCCGCCATACGCGCAGAAAGTACGAAGCGCTTTTTAGATGCCTTCCGCACGCTGTTTTGGGTCTCGTTGATATACGAAGGCGACTTCGTGCCCGGGATTTCGATCACAGTAATATACCTTCAGGTATAGCAAGATACGAAGGTATTATACCCTAACCAACCCCAGAAACACCCAAGCAACACAAAGAATTTACCATGATCGAGGTAATTCCGGAAGCTGAGGTAACGAGGCCGGCTTCGACCGACCTCCTTCTACCGGAATGAGAAACTAGTCGCCTTCCAGATCAGCACCAATGCGGCAATCGGGCACTTCCTCAACCGTGTCAACAGCATCGTCTTTGACAGCAAAGACTATTTCCGCATCACCCGCGCTAAGTATGCGAACTGGCTGCTGCGGATCACGGAGGACCTTCAGTCGTACTAGAGCGCGCTCTACCGCAGTCTACCCGGCCTCCTACTGACGGGCCGGCATACTACGTGTTAGCCTTTCGCGGACCCAACCTAATTATGCAAAAAGTCATTAGAAGTCTCAATATCGAGCTTCTATTGATGCAATGTTTTGTTTCTCATATGTCGATCAGACGGAGAGTACTTCCATCCTCCGGAGTCACATGGCACGCTGAAAGGCTAATCTCGGGGTCCTTGCTGACTTAATAGACGTGAGCGCAGTCTCATGTGAGAAAGTGCGTGGTGCCAACGTAGATGCCATACAGAGTAGTGATGCCGCAAGTCCCTGCAACCAGAACCAGCACCATAGAGACCGAATTCGGAGGAAGATTTGAAGCTCCTTAGGGCCAAGAGAAGAAAATGTCGAGACCGGGTGCGAGTGAACAAGCAACAAACTCAAGGTCAGAAATATGGGTAGCAACACGGATCCTGAAATTCAAAAATGTTGAAAGAAGCACTGCCCATCAAATAATGATTACATTCTGTAGCGTACTTTAGGTTTCGCGAGGTTTCTCTCTGATCGCTTCCTTGTCTCTCCCTCCTCTGGGTCTTCAACTCTGAGCTCTCATTCTCGAACCGATTCGAACATCAGTCATTCAACCGAACAATAGTCATCATAGATGAAGTTCTTCGCAGACGTCGCTCTCTTGATCTTGGGGCTAACCGCCTCTGTCTATGAGGGTGAGTGCTACTGTTTTCCCCGGTAACTAGACCCTGTCCAGGATGACCTGGCGCGTGCTGACGACGAAATTGGCAGCTCCCGCACAAAAAGGGCGTCGCAGGCCAGGCCTGCACTGGTAGGACTTGGTCAAAGGAACCTGTTCCGTAGACGGTCGCCGTGGATTAAAAATTCTAATTAGTTGCCAAGCTAGATTGTCGCGTGTCAACCTGGACGGTAGTTGACCAAGCAAACAATGAAAATAAGAGCAATTGAAGTTATTCAATGCCGCTCATTGTCTTTAACCACGCCTGTGAGCTTGTGATGTTCGGTGGTTCGTTCGGGATGAGATTGGGGTTGTTATCGCTCGGCAAGTCGCGACTCTGTATCTCTCAATTTGGTGATGACATTGCTCAGCTGAGGCGAAAGCTACAATATGTGACAGGCAACAAGAAAGAGAATGGTTCCAACGTCTTGAGGCATTCTGTGTGTCTGTCTCACATCTTTTGGTGAGTCGACGCGAAGTGGCTGCATGGTTCATTATGAATCATACCTCGTCAGTGGGCTGCTAAGACTTCATTGGCAGGATCTCCCAGCAATAGTGGAACGGCTGGCCCGTAGCGGGCTTTCTTGGCCTGAACAGGCAAAGTCCAATTGCTTAGACTCATGAACCGTCAGCCATGTTTCTCAGAGTCCGATTGCCTCGTACATTGCTGGGCACTCAACTTTGTCTAATTATCTGGATCTTCTGTATATATAACGCTTGGAAACAAGATAGAAGAGATCGTTCTAGTCATTCAATTCAATCCGGTACAGGAATTTAATACTCGAGCAAAACAAAAAGTCTCGCTATCACCACCTCCTACCGCATACACCGCAAGCCACTTCCACTCAATAGAGACTTATTAATGCCGGGTGCAACCACAACGACGAACACAACCGCAACGGCGCCGCTATCGAATTCAATGACTTCGTTCCCACACCAAGAAAACAACATCACACCAACGCCCTCGAAAGAGTCAATGGACTCTTCCTCCGCGGCCATGCAACCCTTCGCTCCTGGGCAATGCCTATTCTGCTCCATTCTCTCACCAAACTTCCCTGCCAGTGTCACTCACATGCAAAAATCACACGGACTATTCATACCACATCGGCAAAATCTAGTAGTCGATATCGAGACTCTCTTCAAGTACCTGCATCTCGTCATATTCGCATACCGAGAATGTCTACATTGCGGGACCGAGAGAACAACGGTTCAAGCCGTGCAGCAGCACATGATCGGCAAGGGTCACTGCAGGTTTGACCCGTTGGAGCGAAATTCCGAGTTTGCCGACTTTTACGACTTCATAGTCTCCGAGGCGGAAGATGGCGAAGAGAGTTACACTGAGAGCGGCGATGAGGAGGCAGCAAGCCCAAATCGACAGCCATTACAGGTCGACGAGGACTCGCTCCGGTTACCATCAGGCAAAATCATATCCAAGCGGTCCACGGAACAAATGGGGCCATCTATCAACCATGTACGGCGTCAGATCCGGATTCCGCCTTCACAGCTAGAATACACTCGGGTAGAATCCGACGAGGAGGAGTCCAGCGAGGCCCGCCAGGAATCGGGTACCTGCGAGACACAGGCACTGTCAAAGAGGGAGAAACGAGAGAGGGCAGTCATCACGCATCAGCTGGCAAATATGAGGGCGAATGACCGAAAAGCCTTGATGCACTTACCTACGTCGCAGCAGCGGTCATTGCTGGCGGCGCAGCACAGAAACGAGGAGAAGGTGCAAAAAGAGGAGCGCCGCCGGCAGGGCAAGATTGATCGGAAGGGGAATAAGAACTTGCATGCGTACTGGCACACTGAAACGCCCATTTTCCAGTGTGGGTAGATAATGCAATGCAGGTTGAATGAATGTCGTCATGAATAGTTGATTTACTCGAAAGTTGGCCTGGACTTAGCATGACTTGCGCAGCCGTGAAGAGCTCTACCAATGCCGACCTTATAGATGTTGATATAAGGTAGGGTCCAAAGTCACGCGTATAGAACCAAGATACATGTCATGCAGCTGGCCTGCGAGGTTCGCCTTGCGTTAAATTAATTAAGATGGAAACCTGTCAAACATCAGATCAAACGTCAGACAGATTGGCCAGACATCTCCTCGCGGAGGGATTTCCCTTGAGATAAGGAGAGAAGTCAGGGAACTTAAGAACAGAACTTTGTCGTGCTGCCCTTGCACGCATTTATTAGAGTTCCATTTGTGGAATTCAGCCAGCTCAACTCCGGTTTGTAGGGTACCTGTCGGCGGACTACTTGGCCAAACCTCTTGGCCACCACAATTAGCTGAGACTCTATAAACTTTTTGCGACCTTCTTTCTACTACTGATACTGAACCGATGTGCATCGGTTTCCATCAAGATCATAGACAGCATGGCGGGCAGCATTTCGAAATGTTGGAAAGGACATGGATGGAAGAGATAACTGGGGCGCCTCTCCGCGATGCAGGGGCGCTTCCCTGTTGCTCCAAAAAGGGGTCGATGCGTAGACCTTTTTTTGAAATTGCCGACTGATTTTAAAGAGCAAGCCCGAAAAGGCCCGGCAGATTTCAACACTTTTACGGATACACACAACGTGTTCGTAGGGTTCTTCCAAATGTACACCGTAGAACTCACAATAGAGAACGGGTTTCATTTGGCGTTTAGTGTGATTTTCAAAAGCCTCTTCTCCGTGCTGGGTTCTTACCCTGGCCTCCACTACACTAGCCTTTGGCTCATCCAGCGATGCGTTCGCATTCATGGCTCGAGTTGAAGGTTATGCGGGCATTGACGGGATCCGAGCAACCAGACTTGACAGGTGCCGGTGTCAGCAATTGATTGCCCCGATTGGGGTCTTAAATTCAAACTGGTCGGCAGTAAAACAAAATTCCCACACGGCACCTACCATAAAACAAACTTGATAAGACGCCACAATGTCCGACAGACCGCTGTACTGTGCCCACTGATGCAAACAGATGAGCCGGGTAGCTCCGTATGGCTGGCTCTGACTTGTACGTGCCAGCAAGGTCCAGTTCCGCGGAACAGAGCCCAGCGTCCCTGTCAGACACGTTTCGAATCGAAATTAAAGTCACGGGCGTGCGGCGCCTGTGCCGCCCACATCCCGGGCGCGGTGCCGCATGCAGATGGCACTTTGAATCGCTGGAGTAGGTAGTGCGCCGCCGAGCTGGCTGGTGCCTCTCTGCCCTTGCCCACGGGATGCACGGCGGGACTACTGGGCCGGCGGCAGCGGCAATGGGACGAACAAACGTTGAGATCGGGCGGCTCATGGAGTAGAAATGATAAGATACTAAAAAAACGCCGGTGATCTTTAGCTTCTAGCCTTCTTCTTTAGCTGCCTCGTGTAAGCTTGCCCTTCCTTCATCGAGTCCCATGTACGCGTCTCTCTCCACGACAGACTTTGGCGATATTCATTCGTCATCATTCTCTTCCCTCCTTCGCCACCAATCTCGTCGAGATGCTTCCTGCTACTTTTGCTCGCCGGTGCTGGCATCGCTAATGCGTATACAATTGCCGTGGCCCAGCTCATCCCTGGCTAGTAAAGAGCGACATCCACACTTTCATTGGCTCCGACGCCCTCACTCTCAATACAAACCCCTCTGCCGAGGTCCAGACCGGCTACTTGTGCCATGTTAAGCTTCATGTACGTAGAACACTTTAACTTTAAATGAATGACGACGAGAGGTTTTGTCTGAAACGGCATATTCTATAGTTCTGCCATCACATGTTGTAAAGGAAACAGGATATTTTTGATGGGACTGATGCTGGCGTTACCCAGCGTTCAGGCTGGTGTTACATCCAATTTACTCCAGTCAACGAGACGATCAAACTGGCAGCCAAGCATTTGTGTACCACAGCTCCGTACACATGATCTATCTCAACATGTAAAGTGTGGTTCTTTCAAACAATTCACTTGTTTGTTGGCGATGACTTTGCAGGTATTACGGCTGTTCGATGCTTTTTCAAATCTTGCCGCTGTCGGGAGTTGCAGGCGGTGATTCCTCGTACCTCTCAGCATCATCAGAAATCCTCACGACGGCGCCGCCCGTCCAAATATGTTTCCCGCCGTCCATCTTGAGTCCGACAATGAGTCCTCCCTTGATGCTGACCGTCGATTTCGGCGTTCCATTCTCGTCGTGCGCGCGATGAAAGACGCGCGACCCGCACACCCGGCAAAAGTAGCAGTCCATGTGCCCGCCGCCCTTTGTGGGACGAGTCCAGACCTGGAGCTTCGATTCAAGATGCGCAGAGAGGGGGAAGAGGCCCTCGGCGGGGAAGATGGCCGAGGTACCGAATGCGGACGCGGATTGCTTGCGGCATTGCGAGCAGTGGCAGCAGTATATGTCGAGGGGCTCTGGTGCTGGAGTCTTGAATGTGACTGCGCCGCATTGGCATTCAACGTCCATTTTGAGCACTCGTTGTTGGATTGCAGTTGATCACTCGGAGTGTGTTTGGAGTTGTTACGATGCTTATGATATGAGTGATCTGTTGTTGGCTCAAATAGGTTGTTTGCGAATGACAACGAGGAAAGCAAATGGGGCCAAAACATCCGTCTCAGCAGGCGCCGTGGTCTGGTTGTTCAGGCTTGTAACGCGAAGGGCGCCATCGATCAGCTGAGATGGCTTCATCTCAGATAAGTCGCTATCGATGATTGGCTGATTCCCCACTGTCGCATGAGCTCTGTATCTTAACCATGGCATCCTGATTACTCAAACATTTCCTGTCTCTAATATATGGCTGATTGAGAGTATGCATCTCACTCATCAGTCGGTTCTGTGAAGAAAAATGAACAGTTCACTAAACACTCAGACGAATTCGGGGTGAGTCTGAGATGAGTCAGCACCAGAGAGAAACATCGAGCCCCTGAGCGTTCCCTTCCTCCGGTCGTCTGTCGTCTGAACTAGCGTCAACTTCAGCGCGTCACTGGTGTTCAACCCTTCCATTTAGCCTGTAGTCGCATTGCAACATCACCAACTTCATCTGGTAAGAATCGCCTCTTCCCCAGGTTTCGCTCCGGAAGATCTCCCCCTTGGACACATCCGGTGCCACCATGCCGACCCAGCCGCTCAAAGAATGCACATGGGCATCTGCCCGGCATCACCGAGCTGAGAAGTCTGGTCTGCGTTCAATATGCGCAGAAACCGTCGTCTGAATAGCAGCCCTGATATACCCCCAGTCGGCGTGGCTGGGGCCATCAAATCCCCGTCAAAACTCTACAGTCCCTTTTGACCGCCACCATCCGTTCCAGGTGAAGCACCCCCGCGGCCTGGAAAAGAGCCTAAATGAGAATGAGCCTGCTCAATCAATGCTGTCATCCGCTCCCCTTTCGACTCATCTAGATTGGCCTTGGCCAGATGTGGTCGAATCGAGCCCCTTGAGCCCCTCACTGCCGGCCTCGCGTCGTGGTACTCTACCCCTGGGAGAAGCAAGGTTTGCCTCAAGCCATGAAGCGAACTTCCGAAAGGGTTGCATCCGGCCCTTCATCCCATGTTCAGCAACCCCACAAAGGAGGTTTCTCGTCTTTTTCAATCTTTGGGTGCACGAGATTGAAGTGGTTCGTGTGGGCTCATTATCGTCTCTTGAAAGTGTCTAAGGTATGGAATAAGCATATATAGACAGTGGCCCAGCCAGATCACTCCTATTTGTGAAAGGTTTGATGCCCACCCCCTTCACTAGTTCCCTCGCGACTACACACTCTTTAACAAAAGCTCCGATTCGTCCATTCGCTCACCATGCTTCTCGACACCGTCGTCACCGGCCTTTTGCTGGCCGCCAGCGCCGCCGCCATCCCCATCGAGAACCCCATGGAACTCATCAAGCGCGCCCCGAGCGCCGGCGTCGTGATCCAAAAGTGCGCCAAGCCCGGCGTCTTCGCCCTCGCCTATGACGACGGCCCGTACCAGTACACCTCGCAGCTCGTCGACATCCTCAACAACGGCGGCGCAAAGGCCACCTTCTTCATGACGGGCACCCTCTACGGCTGCATCTACAATCAGCGCGCTGCCGTGAAGAAGGCCTTTGACGCCGGCCACCAAATTGCCTCCCACACCTGGACGCACCCCTCCAACCTTGCCAGCCTCAGCCAGGCGCAGCTCACAAGCGAGATGCAGAAGCTCGAGCAGGCCACCGTCAACATCTTTGGCAAGAAGCCCGCCTACATGCGTCCGCCGTACCTCGCCACCAGCGGCTCCGTGCTCCCGACCATGAAGACGCTGGGGTACAAGGTCATCACCGAGGACGTTGACTCGGGCGACTGGAACGGCCAGACGCCGGCGCAGAGCGAGGCCAAGTTCACGGCCGCCGGCACCAGCGGAAACGGACACATCCCCCTCATGCACGAGACCTACTCCACCACGGTGCACACCTTGACGCCGTGGTTGATCAACTGGGCGAAGCAGAACAACCTGAAGCTGGTCACTGTTGGTACGTGAGGTGTTGATGCAGACTCTTGGAGCGGAAGACTAACGTGTGTATTAGCTGAGTGTCTCGGTGATGCTAACGGCGCGTACCAGCCAGGCACTTTCACTGGCAATGGCGCGACGACTTGCTAGATGGGGACAACATTGGGAGAAGAAAAATCTGAATGGGGAGGCAGCAGCTCCATGGAAACTTCGTGAACATATTATTCTGTACACACCTATGATGCCCCGCGCATATTGAAAATACAAAAAGCATTGAACCTTTGCTGCAGGTGTCACAGCGACAGCACCGTGTGAATTTTGAATGCTGGAGGTCAGGCTGATTCACCTACCAGGCTCTATTCTAAGGCCGGCAATCATGCCCCTTATTTAGCTTCGCTACGTACCTAGGCAGACTTATATGCAACCGGTAGCCGCAAGGAAAGTTAACACCATTGAATCCTTCCGCATCCTTCGGAGCTTTCCAATGTGGGGGCGCCGGCCCGGACCAGATGGACTCGGATTTACAGAGCCATATTCGTAGCGTAATCCCGATCCGGATCGGCTTTGACCTGCACCGGCTCATCATCAACCACCCATGCCGGCCCTCTCTCGGATTAAGCCAAGGTTTTGACCCGATCACCCAGCCGGGCCTTGATTTGTGGCTTCGAACCGTTTTAGTGATGGCGCGGCCGTGGTCTCCTGAAGGCTGGGGCTGTGCCTCCCAAGAAACTATCTCAGGCTTACCGAACTGGCTCACTGAAAACATCACGACTTGTGGATCGGACAATGTAGGGATAGAGGATGGCTGATGATTATATAGAGTCGATACTCCATAGCTTGGAATACAATCGACAGCAACGAACAACATCATAACACCAGAACCCAAGCACATCGTGTTGGCCAAATTAATCGCTGCATTACTCGTCACGTATGACCACAATCGCAGAACATCATCTGCAATCCACAATGTTAAATCGCAACATGAATCAGCTTTTCCCTCCCAAACCGACCTTTACAGAAGAAAATCTGCCGGATCAAGCAGGCAGAGTATGCTGCGCAATACCACGTACCATCAACATCGAACACTAACCAGGCGCAGGTATTCATCGTCACTGGTGGAGCATTAGGCATCGGATTGGAACTCTGCAAGATTCTCTACGGATCCAATGCCACAATATACATTGCAACCCGCTCCAGCACAAAGATCGCCGCAGCAATCAAGACTATCAAGTCCCTGCTTCCGTCAAGCAGAGGCCGACTCGAGTCACTCGTCCTGGACCTCGCAGATCTGACAACAATCAAGCCAGCAACTGAATTGTTTCTCGCCAAAGAGACGAGATTAGATGTGCTGGTGCACAACGCGGGTGTCATGATGCCGCCGTCGGGAAGCAAGACCGCCCAGGACCACGAGCTGCAGATTGGCACGAACGCACTCGGCCCATACCTCTTGACGCGGTGTCTGGAGGAGAGGTTACGGGATACTTCTCGACTGGGAGGGACGCCGAGAGGGAGTGTGAGAGTGGTCTGGGTCGCGAGTATGATCTCGCTCGGGGCGCCGAAGGGTGGCGTTGTTTGGGATGATGCCAATGGTGCGCCGAAGCTCTCTGGCGACGCTATGAGTGACTACATGCAAGGCAAAGTCGGCTGCGTTTTTCTTGCGGATGAGTTCGCCAAGCGGGTCAAGGAGGACGGCATCGTCTCTGTGGTAAGCAGGGTGCTCCCCGAATACCCCTAGTTCGGGCACAAGCACCGGTTGCTGACTTTGCTCGACAGAGTGTGAATCCGGGTCTGGTCAAGACAGAATTACAGAGATTTGCTCCGGCAGCGATGGGCGCCGTCATGGTATGCCCCGAAATCTATGGTATGCTTCTCGCCGTCACAAAGCTAATCGAGGGCCAGGGTGTTATTTTCAAAGGGGCCAGACACGGAGCATACAGCGAGCTCTTCGCGGCGTGTTCACCGGACGTCTCGATGGAAAAGTCTGGCTTGTACATCATCCCGTGGGGGAGATTTGGCTGTATTCCTGAAGATATTGCCGAGGGGTTCAAGGCGGGATCAAGCGGTGGAAAGTCTTTGACAAGGAAATTTTGGAACTGGTGTGAGAGGGAAACCTTGTCTTTTCAATGATTGGATGTTCCTTACATTTGCATGCTTCTATGAATTAAAGCCGGCTCTTTGTTGGTTATTGAGCCATTCTAGTACTTGTTCTAGCTCAGGCCGAATCCATGAGCGGTATTTACGGCGAGACTGACATGAAATGAACCTACGATACAAAATTATGAAGCATTTGGATCCTGAATAGTCGACAGGATTCCGAGGTTGAAGGCGATGAAGGGTTATGAGTGTTGGGCCAGTAACGACGCCCACCTACCGACCTCAACTCCAAAAGGAATCGCGTGTCTACACAATCCACTTCCATCTCAAGCAGTCAACAATGACCACAAGTACTTCATCAACCTAAGCATACGGCTGACCTTCTGACTTAAACATCAACAATACACATTCGGCGTATTTCATCCCTTCAAGACTCAATTCCACTGAAGTGGCTAGTCGTCCTCTATAGCTGCTTCAGACTAAAAGCCCACTGATATTCAAGGATATGATTAAGTAGGGAGCTCTGACGATCGCACGAATTCACTATCTTATCGTTATTGCGGAATTTGATCGTTCAATGCGTACCAAAAAGTGCTGTGGCATGCGACTGCTAATGACAAAAAATAAAATGCGTCTGATGGTTCTCAGACTCGATTTCGAGATCGCGATAGTTCTATGGGAAGCTTGTCCCTTCTGAAATTTGTGGCTGAGGCCTGCTATACACGTGCCTCCTTGAAGTTGAATGCTATTAATAGTCTATTTTACAAGTTGTCGGGATTTAACATCAACGGCAACCGAGCCAAATCTCGGGCGAGCTCTGACTGGGTGTTTGGTGCCGCATGTGACTGGCGTGTGTACGTTTGGGATATGGTGATTGACAGATCTTGTTATTGTGATGTCAGAAGATAGGTGACACTAAGATCACAGCTCTGAGGATCAAAAGTCTGCCCGCCGAGAGGACAAGAAGAGGGAGACGTGTTTGGAGTGAATGAGTCAGATGCAAGGCAGCTGGGCGTGCAGACTTGGTCCTTGTGACTACCAAAAATTGCACTGTCACTAACAACCCGCATCAATCCATCCACTATCTTCCCATAATTCTGCCGCGATTAGAAAAGTACCGAAGACATAATCGTGGATGGCTGTAGCAATATTGTCGTCATCGCTTCTGCTGGCCGCTTGCCTGGCCATCCTTGTTGATCCAGTACGTAATACTTTATCTATGGACAACATTCAGCCTCAACAGTCAGTACCACCTCGACTAGATGGCCCCCCGCGCCAAGTTTATGTAAGAGTTCAGACAAAATCATCCACATCGGAAGTGGAAGAGCTTTCTGCTTACCCAAGTACCATCTTGCTCTGGTACTTCGCGATAAAATCAATAATGTCTACCTTCGGTACATGTATTATGTATCAAGCTAGCAGAAAGTGACCGTCGCCGACGAATGGCAATGCTTGTCCTGGCCCATTACTGACTCTCAGGGGTGACTTGAACGAAGGATGATATTTTTGAGGCCTTGGGAGGTCTCACATCGTTTGCCAATCAAAGGCTAAATCGATCGAAATATCTGAAGATAACAAATTTTGAGTTTACTTCAGAAGTAGGAGGCCATCAAATACTGATAAGCTTCTTCTTTTCTTCTTTCAATGTTGACCTCTCGAACCTCAAGATGATGCCGCTGCACCCGAGGACCTAAAGTGACAGAGTTGAGGCCTACAACAGCGTCTCCGTCTCAATGTGCCCCGAACTCCTCGTCATTCAATAATCAGATGGGAAGGCCCGGCATGTGAACGCTAGTGAAGCACCTTATTCTGACTAACTTTACGGTGTGCCAATGAGCTCCACGGATCAATAGGAGCAAGACGGGCCTCCCGCGTTAGCTGCTGTGTATGTTTCAGACATCCTTTTCGGTCCAACCAGCATTGTGCCTTCGTAGATTGCCGTCAAAACCCACATCACAAAGTTCTGTTCCAGAGTTCCAGAAACGAACAGTAAAGGAAGAATGCCGTTTGCTTTTTCGCTTGCTTTCTTCCTTTGACACGCCAGATCGTTCTTTGCCTCATGGCGAGCTTGGTTCTCAACATTTTAGATTCTTTCTCCAGGATCTATTCGTCCGATAACGAATCAATACGTCGTTGGTGAGAGAATTTCGAGGGAGGAGGCTATCCAATGGCAATGCTGGGAACATGAAGCTTGGTCTTTTGAAAATGCATGTGGATGCAGCATTGGAGAGACCCTGCAGAGATGTACAGTTGAGGCCTACAACAACCCGAAAGAGGGGTCCACAAACGAGGCGGCATGTGAGTCTCACCGTCAATGGCGTCGACTCTTGTTGGCCCCGGGCAAGTGTTGGGCTGCAATGAACTTCGATGAGAAACGGTACACTATTTATAAAAAGGTACTTGTCAGGCCAACGTATATGCAGCGCAAAATCTTTTGAATCAATCTATCAATCTTATCAACTTTGAAAACAACATCGCTGCACCAAACATCATATTTTCTTTGGAAAATAACAAGATGAATGACCAGACAAGTCTCTACATCATTCATCATGTTTTTCTACCGCCTCAACTGCCTCAAGCAGATGACTTCAGCCCGGAGAATGAGAGTGCCCTGCTCCGGTTCGTTCGAGATTCTGTTGTCGACTTTCGAAATTACGTCCCTAGCAGCCAAGCGGACTCCGTAGGGATTGCCATTGGCTTGATGGAGGCCATGATTCGTATTCATCAGCCTCTGGGAGATACTGTCGCCGTCGAGCAGGACGAGCTATTCCAAAGCTTGCAACATTTGGCCCGAGATGGTATGCACCTTGGCGATAATTGGCTATGCAAGCAGAGGCTAACACTCCCGAAGGCGACATCATTCCTCTCAATATCAGCGCTCAAAATGCTGGTGTGTTGATCACCAAGGCTAATAGGGCGATCCATGTGGAGGCATTCGAGCTGTCTCCAACCAACGAGGCCGTCATGTCAAACTTGGGCCGTCTCCGAAGGACATTCCCCGGAGTGGGAGTCTCTATTGATCTGGAGGATTTCGCCCTGCCAGACTTCCAGAAAATGCTGGCTGAAACTTTATCGAAGATGAGCTCTCAGCCCGCGCTTGAAACCCAACCACTAGTGAAGAAGGCTGGGCAGCTTCAACAGGAGAACCGTGATACCGCCAGTCCGAAGATTGTCACTGAGCTCCTCTACTGGGCCTTGCAATCCATGGGACTTCCTCTTGACCAAGCGAGGATCTCGAAAAACACCCGCGAAGAAGTCAACTGGAGGGATGCTTCCCTTCCATGGCGTCGTTCTCCGACTTGGCTGCTCGTTCGAGTCGGTTTGCAGTTGGCATTTGACCGGAGCTCGGATGGCAGGGACTACAGTCTTTACAAGACGTTCATGGTCTTCCTCATGGCCGCAATACTTCGTCAAATCATCGACATGAAAATCAAGGTCTCGTCGGACCTCATTCTCGTTATGATATCGAAACTGTCTAGACGACTGCGCAAGTTCCAAAGTGTTCCGCTTCAAGCCGTCATTGACCTTGTTCACAAGGCAATGGTACGATCTAACCAAGTCCTTTCGGATCGTTGGAATCATATTCAACGGGAAGACTCGCCCTGCCTGGCTACGGAGTTGGCCGATCTGAAGACGTTGAATTTCGATGCAGACTCGCTCATGCATCTCCCAGCGCTTGAAAGCTTTCTGGCATCCTTTGGCAGTCGAGGGCGGCATTCGCAAATTCTCGACTTCAGTCCGTCTTGGACTTTGATCAAGTACAACCCGGCTGTCTTCCCCTCGACCGTACAAACACCAGACGAAGAACATCTGCTCTTGCATCTGATCGTCTTCGAAACATGGATCGAACGGCATCTACAAACCTGGCTCGCCAGCGAGGCTAGCAAAGCACACAGCGGGTCATGTGCTAAGCTACGGAATACCATGGAAGCTTATTACACTGCCGCCAAGAGTCTCTACGAGGGGAATCCTGAGGCAACATCTGTCATGCTCTTGACGATTCTGGAGCTATGGATTGCTTGTGATAAAGCTGCCGTTCACTTGTTCCCGATGCTGGGAGACTACAACCCCGAGATCCCCAGAGGCGTTCTGCAGAATTTGCTTCTTCCACTCGAGTGCCAGATGAAGAGGCTTCATGAGGCTGAGAATTATCTCCTTGAGCGCTTTCGCAACTGCAAGACCATAGAATTCGCCCCCAGCATCTACCACACCTATGGCTCTCAACGCTGTTTTCCCGTCCGTCATTTTGAGCTGTCAAACGAACATCAGGGCCTGAAGAAAAGAATCGAGGCGAAAGCACGACAAGATAGAGAGAGAAAAATTGAAGAACTACGGAGAAAGAAAGAGCAGTACAAGTATCTCATCAGCAAACATGATTCCAGCAGTTGTGAGTTCTATAATGGTGTCGATGCGAAAACAGGACGCTATTACAGAGGCCACTGTGGCGGCTGCTCCCGGTGTTCATACCTTCAACAAGCTAACAACTTGGAAATCGATATTCACGAATGGCCGTTGCCTAAAAGCCAGTTCGACGCAATGTCGGTGGTGTTTGAGCTTTTGGTGCCGGAATCATTCGGACAATGGCGGGAGGCGAGCGTGTTTTTCCTGTTTAAAGTTCTGGAGGTTATACCGCAGATTGGGGATCAGGTTCAAAACTCTTCTTACCCTTTGAGAGACTACCAAGGTCTTTCGAGTTTCTTTCAGCAATCCTTTGAGACACAGTTCATCAGCCTTCTTTCTGAAGTCAAGCCGAATACAGTTACCCACCGGAAGCTCATACCCATCGCGACTGCTACCAAAATGCAAGTCTGTCTGGACAACGCACTACAGTACGCCTACTATGATAACCGGAGACACTGCTTTATGGAGTCATTTGAACCATCCGATATTGTTCCTCAGCATTGTACTTACAAGTTGCCCGCCGCATCGACGGCATTGCAACAGTTTCTGCTCCGGCCATCATCATGCCCCAGCGGTCCAACACCCAACACCGTCATCGCAACACTTCATGAGTGTCCCGACAACATGTCACTTGAGGAGTTCAAGGCTCTCGCCTCAATTCCTCTTGGATACAATTTGCAGTGGATGAACATCTTGCTGCAGTTATTCGCCCCATCAGTCGACTTTAAAAAGAGGGAGACCGCCTTGGTGGTTCTTCAGTGCATCTATCAAGCAGGCCCAGACGATGATTCGGATTGCAGAAGGGCTCATAAGATCTGTGGAGACGAGCATTTTGCAAAGAAGCTGCTAGATGGTCTGGCCGAAGCCATTACTCGCTATGAGGAGAATTGGCAATCCTCATCTGCGCTGGCGACTTTCACGGCCTTGGCTCGACGTCTTTTGAGCCTTACTCCGTTCGCCAACATTCAGAGACGATGCTTCGAAGTTCTTTCCGAGGCGAGAAGCATCACATTTCGCTGGGCTCAGATCCTCAAGACAAAGGCGCAGGATGCCACCAACGATGAGTTCAAACTGGATTTCCAATCCCGGGCTTTGGAGGTTGTTTTAATCTGTGCGGATACATTCAATGTGGACGAGCAATTTCAAGGAGATATCTTCTCGGAAGGCTCCGCCATCTCGACGTTCTTCCAGTGCTGCATCGCTATTCAGGAGGGTCAACCGTTACTTGGATCTTTAGGGGCTTTCATCCGCCAGCTTCACTGTCGCTGGCAACGAGCAACTTACCTTCATCACCGGTATCTGGCCGAGATGATATTGTCGAGAGACAGCCCTGGACTTGACGACGCGATCAGTGCGAACTGGTCAAGCTACGAGCCCAGTCGGGAGTGGAACGTTCTATCCGAGACACACAGCTCATGGTTGGCCAGCGTTACCGCATCCGCAACCAACTCTCTGCCCGTACATTTCAATCTCGTGACAGGCGAGCTCCTTGTCAATGGCCTTCCTTTGGACCATTTACCCCAGGAATATCTCACCCACGTGACCTACCAAAGTCTCTTTGGGCGTCTGTCTCTCGAAATTTTGCCGACGTCGATACCTGGCATGACATTTTCCTCGAAGCGACCCTATGCTGGGCACGTTGTCAACCTAGGTCTTGACAGTGAGAAAAATCTCTTGGTGCATGCAATCCAGGGTCAGAAGCGATTTGACTTGGTCCCGAAGAGTTGCTTCACAGGGCTGTTTCCGACAAAGTTCGTCGACGACTTCCTTCATTGGTACGACTACAGCGACATGTGCATCGAGTTCTGTGACCTCAACACGCCCTGGAAGCATGCAGCGTCCAATTGGAGGCTTATGAAGGATGAATCCATTGGCACTTGGACCATGACACGCAATGGTTCGCATCTGGTCAACGTCAACAGTCATTCTGCCAAACTCATCTCCAAGATCCTGAAGCCATTGGAAGTCCCTTTTTCCATTCACATCGTTCTGCAGAATGAGAGTTCAATCGTCTCTATAGACCTTCCCCGCGCTCTTCTTGAATTCAGCCTCAGGCCAGGAGAAGCCTCAATAATGTCGAGGCAGTATCGGGGCATGTCGGTGGACCCAAATCAGGCAGTCGGAACTCTGATCGGTCTCAGAGATAAGTTGGTTCTCAAAGTCGACAAGACTCCACATGCCGCTCTCCCTGCCGCGCGCAAGATTCTTGTCCTTGAAGGAAAGCTTTCCTACTTCAGAAAGGATGACCATGTCGAAGTCAGCATTAGCAAAGGTCTTGCGCCAAGAGTACACGCCTACGAAGTGGACAAAACACTGAATAGACTAGTCGGCAACGGCAGTCGACAGAGCAAGCTGTTTCTTTGCTACTTGCATGCCTTGACAGCTTTTGGTATTCCGGATCCTCTTACCCTTAGGACGGGTACCGAAGAGGCTTTGTCAATTCTCAGCTCAGCCTCGGTCAGGTCGTTTGACGTTCTGACGACCGAGAACGTCCAACTACTTGCCGAGATCTCTTGTCTGAGTCCGACCAGGAGCTACTATCCTAAACATGAGCGTGTGATGCAGACCGTAGGCTGGGACTCGCGACTCAGCTTCTTGTCTCAACATGGTCTATTCCGCGAATTCGTTCAGACAATCTTCACACAAAGCACCAGATCCAAGTTCTTCTTGCCTCAACAATATGTCAGTCCACCTAGGCTGAATACTGTGGATCCCCAACTTCTCGTACGAGACAACATTCGAACGGCAGTGTTTCGGGTATCAGGGTTCGGCGCTGAGTGTTACACCGTTGATCACGATGTTCTTTACGAACCAAGGGATCGATACGACTCCTCGCAAGGATCTCGAGCGTTTTCAGCGGCCAAGCTGGTCTTCTGTGATCAGCCATTGCTGTCTATGCCGGTGCCCGGTTGCATGGAGACTCATCTCTGGGGTTTTCTTTCGAGAGGAAGCTTGATACTCGGCCCACATTCATCTCTTCCAACACACGACATAACATACAACGCCGATTTCTTACAAGAATCCTCTCAGTTCATTACAGAGAATTGGACCGCACTACAGTCTGAGTCGAAGTCCAAAGTCAATAAATACAGGTTTATGATGTGGTTAGCAACGATTGCCTTTGCGGAGAACACGGACTTTGCAGTGGTCCAGACCTTGGCTTCTTTCAGGACAAGCAGTACTATTCACGCACTCTCTGCGCCCATGGCAGATGTCTTCAACCTATCGAATGGCGCAAATTTCAGAGCTTCAGAAGTGAAATACGATATTGAGACAGAACTGATCCCTGTCAACTGCAGTCCCGAAGCTCATATGCAGCAATTGCCGTACGAATGCGAAACTTCGTTCATGAAAAGGAAGGACGAGGAATTCCAAAAGAACAGACGCAAGGCTGTGAATGAGCTTCTGAGCACACTCGAGTCCCAGTGGCTTTGTTAGGTTCCGGAGCTGCCGTCCGACTACCGACAAACGAAGAACTGGCACGTATATGTGCGGGTTGGCAAGGCCATGGAAAAGGTCAGGGCGCTTTTCAAAACTTGGCACGATAACCTGCATTTCCGCAATTACCTTAGAGAGGTCGTTGCCGCCTTGCCGACTACAGTCAAGCCATTGATACTGGCGAAGCCTTTGTTGACGACACCAGACTGGACCTTGACGGATCGTCCTCGTTTCTTGAGCGAAGATGATATGTTCATCCCGCCGCCACCTTCAATTAGGGAAGAATCATGGGTTTTGGATTACGAGTCATTTTCCAAGTACCCTGAGAGAGAGGATCGATTGCCAGCATTGCTTTCTCGACTCGGCAAGCGCAACCTTGGCCGGTACGAAGAGCATTACGTCAAGGCATTGGGTTCAAGCATGAAGGCTTTGAAGTGTCATCAATTGACGCAAGAGCATGACCGCCCATCACACCATGACAGCACAGAGAAGCTGGTTTCCTACCTGAAATTCTGGCAAGCAAATATGAAAGAGATATACAGCCTCATTTTGTGCAGCCTCATGAGTGCTGAAGGATCAAATGATCACTCGTCGCCTTGCCTATTTCCCGACTTTTACCAGTACCCGAGAATCTCAGCCTCGTCGCTTCTTGGTAGACTGAACCATCTGCATATCACCTCTACGTCAGAAGCTTGGAAGAGAGCGTTGACGCAGTTCGGCATTGCAATCTGCCAAATTCAACGCGCGAAGCGGATGTTGGGTTTACTGGAAGACCCCGCTGCTTTGGCAACTGAGTTGCGCAACCCGGGCCATACAAACTGGTCTCCCATCAAGTATCCAGACACTCTCCTACTGGAAGTCGAGAGCGGACTTATTGTCAGGGAGGTACAAGAAGAGATCGCGGCCAGCATGAGAAGCCCAACAGACAATGAGAACGTTGTCATGCAGTTGAACATGGGCGAAGGGAAGTCATCGGTCATTGTGCCCATGGTGGCAGCGGCTCTGGCTGATGGAACACGACTTGTCCGGGTTATTGTGGCCAGGCCTCAATCGAAGCAGATGCTCCAAATGCTCGACTCGAAGCTTGGAGGCCTGCTTCAAAGGCGCATTTTTCATATGCCGTTTTCCAGGGCAGTCAAGGTCGGGGAACATGAGGCGAGAGTTATCAGTTCCATCTTTGAAGATTGTATGGCCTCTGGAGGAGTTCTCCTAGTCCAACCGGAGCATATCTTGTCGTTCCAGCTCATGGCGATTGAAACCGCTATCACCGGAAAGATCGGTCTCAGTCACCTGCTCGTCAGTTCCAAGGACTTTCTCGACGAATTCACACGCGACATAGTGGACGAGAGCGATGAGAATTTCAGCGTGAAGTTCGAGCTGGTTTATACAATGGGTACCCAACGGCCTGTCGAGCACAGTCCGGATCGATGGATTTGCATACATCAGGTGCTTGAAGTCATGAGGAAACTTCTTCCAGACGTCCAGAGGGAAGATCCTAGGTCGCTAGAGGTTGCTGGACGAAATGCTGGCTGTTTCCCGCGCACGCGAATCTTGCGGGATAGTGCGAAAGCTACTTTGCTTGATCGCCTGGCTCGTCACCTTAGCGAAGCTGGCTCGGCTGGACTTCCGATGGGAGCTCAGCCTGCCTCAGTTCAAAAGGCGGTTTACACCTACATTTCCAAGACTAGCCTCTCACAGGTTGAAATTGAGGCGGTGGAAAAATCTGATCTCTGGTCGCCGGCTACTCAAAACACACTGCTTCTTTTGCGAGGGCTTATTGCCGGCCAGGTTCTAAGCTTTGTGTTCTGTCAGAAGCGATGGAGGGTTGACTTCGGCCTGGATCAAAACAGACGACCAAGCACGCAGCTCGCAGTTCCATATCGAGCAAAAGACAACCCAAGCGCCCGCTCCGAATTCAGTCACCCAGATGTGGTCATAACTTTAACATCGTTGAGTTATTACTATGGCGGCTTGACTGATTCCGATCTCTTCATGAGTCTCGAGCATCTGGCTCTTTCGGATCAGGCTGACATGGAATACCGCGTCTGGGTGCGAGACAGCGATAAACTGCCTCTCTCGTTTCATCAATTGTCTGGCGTCAACTTGGAAGACCGCCCGCAATGCATTGAGCAGCTTTTCCCATGTTTTCGCCATGCCAAGGGTGTTATTGATTACTTCCTTCAGCACATTGTATTTCCCAAGGAAATGAAGGAATTCCCGCACAAGCTTTCTGCCTCGGGATGGGACATAGGAGAGAGGACATTGAATCCAACGACCGGCTTCAGCGGAACCAATGACTCGCGAGCCTTCTTGCCATTGAGCGTCAACCAGCTGGACCTCCCGAAACAGACGCATACAAACGCTTTGGTCCTCGAGTATCTTCTCCAGGATGAAAACTCTGTGGCGCTGATTCCAGCAGATTCAAATCCCTCCAAGTCAGATGCCGAGGCTCTCCTGGAAATGGTTGTGCAGCTGAAACCTCCTGCTCGAGTAATTCTTGACGTTGGCGCTCAAATTTTGGAACTTGATAATCTTGGAGTTGCGAAAAAGTGGCTCGAGATGACAAGGGATAATGAGACAACACAAGCTGTTATCTTTTGCGACGAGAACGACAACATCTGTGCTGTGGATCGAAAGGGCCGCGTTGAGAGCTTCCAGACTTCACCTTTCGCCAGCCAGACCGACGTATGTCTCGTCTTCCTTGACGAGGCTCATACGAGAGGCACAGACCTCAAACTTCCGGCAGGATATCGTGCAGCGGTGACCTTAGGGGCAAACTTGACCAAAGACAGATTGGTGCAAGGTGAGTAGATCATGTTTATGAATTTAAATGTTTACTAATAAGTCATCTAAGCCTGCATGCGAATGAGAAAGCTCGGTAAAGGCCAGTCAGTGGTTTTCTGCATATCAGATGAGATTAGGGACAATATCGCCTCCCAATCGCACATTGACAAAGCCTCTATCACCGTGACTCATATTCTGGAGTGGTCTATATCCGAGACGTTCACGGATCTACAACGAGGTATTTGGCTATGGGCGAACCAAGGTCGTCGGTATCAGCGGCACAGAGCTTTGTGGGACGAATCCATCGTGGTTGAAGTCACAAACCTGACTGAGGATCATGCGGAGAGATTTCTTGAAGAGGAGGCGCAGACTTTGGAGAATCGATATCGACCAGGGCACCAACTAACAGCTGATTTGATGGACAACGATGACGCCGGCGATGCAATTACCCAAAGACTGCTACAGTTTGGCCATCTCAACGCACAATCTGCGACGTTTAGAGAGGAACAAGAGCGGGAGCTATCACCAGAAGTTGAGCAGGAGAGGGAAGTGCAAAAGCCCCCTCCTGCATCACCTGCGAAACATCACATACACCCCGATCTACGCGCACTTGTAACTCACGGTGCGCTTAAGAAGCATTCGGCAGCATTCAAATTCGCCTTTCGATCCCTGTCAGACACAAGCGCCGCTCAACACTATGATGTGAACAGGCTCCCGCAAAGACTCTTAGTGACGGCCGACTTTGCTCGAACCATCATCCCACTGGGAAAAAGCTACGTGTCGGATCTGTTTCAAAGATCTGTCCAGTGGATTCTCACAGTTGATAAGGATGATTTTCGATTTCGAGCGGCGATTATCATCAGTCCTTTTGAAGCGCAAGAACTTTGGCCAGAAATACAGACGTCCACCCTTGTTTCGCTTCACCTCTATGCTCCACGACCAAATTTGGGGTTCCGTCCTCTGGACGGTTTGGATCTCTACACCATTCCGCATCGCCTACATGCCCAAAGCCTCCCCCCTCGACTTGTCACTGAGCTCAATCTCTTCTCGGGTCAGCTTTACGTCAAATCTATGGATGACTATCAGGACTTGCGGAAATTTCTCGCCTTGGATCCGGAGGACTTGACCGCTTGTGGTACCGGGTCAAGCCAAGCGACTGATCGAGGGTTTCTCATTCAGTTTGTCAAAGTCGTGTTGATGAAGATACGCAGGAACTGTGAGTCGATTGACAAGACTCACTTGGGACGAGTATTAAACCAGAGGATCTTGGAAGCCTCAGATTTCTACGATGGGAACTAGACTCACACGTCTGTATCTTTGATAAATCGCATGATAAATAGAGAGACGAGGGTTTTCATTTTCACCCTTCGCATGATGACTCTAGATAAAAATGCTATTGAGCCCAGGTTACTAGAAGTATTCGGGAAGTCGGAAGTATTCAAAACCAACACAGATTCAGTGAATGGAATGGGACAAATTGCTGCGATTTTTCATATTTTCTTAGCCGTTTTCGAACATCTGACGAGTTAGAAATGTTTCAGTCTAACGGGTTGAGTGAGCCATAGCCCCAGCTAGTGTAGGCTCAAATACTTAACATGTCACACTAGTCTGTCTGGTGCCAAAGGACAATCATTACGGTGCCAAGAAATTCGAAACATTTACTTTTATGGCCAGGCTATAATAACTTTGAGGAAAACAAGAACCCGTCGTCACTTTCGTAGTTTATTAAGACGAGAGACAATCCGCTTTTCTTCCTTCGACAATCCCATTACGTCCAACTCGTCCTCCGTTGCCTTTCTAGACGCGCTTTCCCTCCTGATCATACTCCTCCTCCAACCAAGACCCAAAGTCCAGTGTGCCAGGATTCTCTCGCTTTACTGCCGCGATATCGACTCCAAAGCCATCAGTGTAAAACCATCGGTACATGGCGCCGAAGTCGGATATCATCCAATGCAAGAATCTGACCAGAAACTGAAACGTCTCTGGGATCTCAGTGCCCCTTTTGGCTTTGAAAATAGTATTGGCAGCTTCCAGTGTAAGCTCGTCGCCAGCCAAAGGAATCTGCCTGCCAGAGAACTCCTGGGGGTGAAGGAATGCCTTCGCGGCGGCTCGTCCCACATCCTTGACAGAAACCAACTGTAGAGGCTTCTCCTTGACAGCAACTCGCCAAGATGTGACCATGATTTTAATACCCATGCCTGGTTCCATGTTCTCCATAAATGCTACGGGTCGAAGAATGGTCCATTCCATCTTACCGCGCGCCTTGTCGACCAGATAATGCTCGATGCGATACTTGCTGACGAAATGAGATACACCAGGGACGTAGTTGTCGTATGAACCGTCTCCGCCTCGGTCAATGGAGCTGTATGTGAAGAACTTGATGTTGTTGGATAGAGCCGCATCGACAAGTGCCTTTCCTTGGGCTTCTTCGAGCTCTGCCGATGCTCCCTTGCCAATGGCCGTCTAGAGAAATGTTAGTGACACTATTTGACCAGTGCAAGATTCTCATACGTACTTGTACGCTAAACACGCCCCAAAGCTCAGTGTTTGAGGAACTCAAAGTTGCTTTGGCGTCGGAGAAGATGGCAGGAACATTGTTGAGGTCGCCTTGAATGACAATGACCCCACGGGATTCCAAGCTTTTGGCTTTCGAAGACCCAACATTGCGAGTAACGGCGATGATTTTGTAAGCGCTACTGCTTTCTGACTCGAGGAGTGCGTCGATGACGGCGCCGCCTTGCTTGCCGGTTGCGCCAGTGACGAGGATCGCCCGACTTGACTGAGAATCGCCAGACATGGCTTATGAGACGATCGATTGTATGTGTGTATTTTCGGGCTGTAATCTGGTTTGTTGAATTATGCCTAAGTATCAAATGGTAGTGGATGTAATGTGTTGGTTGGAGCTGATGTTTCTTTGAAGGACTCAAGGAATCAGTGAGAGTCCATCTGTCTTATATCCTCAGGACATGACACAATTAAGTCAAGCTTCACTTCCGTAATGGCCCAAATCAGTTAATTGCACAGGCTCGCTTCTTCGCTTCTCGCGACACTTGAATCGCCGGACTTCTACATGATTGCTCATCAATCTTAGTTCGTGGTGGTTGCAAGCGAAAGGATTCAATCCCCGGCATAGTGTAGTAAAGCAACAGGTCTCGCGCGCCGGGCAAACGGACAAGAGCGCGCTTCAGCACGCTTCCCGTCAGCTTAGAAATCAGTGTACCGTGCTGTTATGTGATTGGGTGATGACGCCACAGCGAGGTCGAAGCTGCTCGCCGATACCCATTCCAGAGTGTGGTGGATTCGTCAGCTGCATTGGGCTACATGAATCTTACCGCATACAGACCCTGTGGCTGCGGGCTAAGCCCATTGCTCGAATAAGGTATGAATCGAGTGTGAAAAGAGTAGTTTATATCGACGTGCATACAGCTAGTTCTTCCACGCGGTTCTGGTCAAATTTGTTTGACACAACCATCCCAAAGGGCTCTCACGTGCAGCAATCTAATGGTGATTCTTCAAAACCTGGTAAGGTAGGGTCGGTCAAGTAAGTCAATGCCACATCATATTCCCAGACCACATCAAGCGACACAATCACATTTAACTCGGTACGGTTATTTCTCTCTCTCTTCTCTCCTTACTCATTTTATCTACAGATATGGTCAATCTTCGAGTGCCCTTGCGTCACTTAAGTAGGTAGATAGGCTTACTATGAAAACTGCATGTGCGCAAGATTCATGCTAGATAGAAAGGAGATGCTTGCCCCATGGATTAGCTGGAGCGAGCGTTAATACGGTCTGGGGGCACAGCATTCTCTTCACCTCACTTGTCCTGACGCGCAATCGTTTCGAAAATCAACAAATCAAGTATGGAAATAAGGGCAACAATCAGAAAAGACCCCCAGAAGTCTCCGTCTCAAACAGACTCAGCCGCATGCCTCCAACCTTTGGAGCAGAACACTCCGTCCCGTTCACACAGACGTTGAAGCCGCAACAGTTGTCAACCAGACACACGGCACCTCCAGCGCACGCAGACGTGGCATTGCACTGATCATACCCGACACACCTCCCCGTTCGGAACCCAATACCGCCGCCCTCCAATGTCTTGCCGCAAAGGCAATCGGAGCCGGGGATCGAGGCCTCGGGAGGGTAGAATCGCTCCCCGTCGTGGACGATACACTCACTCGCGTTCGGGCAGCACGCGAGAGCCGTGGGATCCGTGACGTTGCGCGCGTACTCTGGTCCCGGCGAGGGCAGGGTTGTGATGTTTGCGAGCGACGTGGGGGTTGTGGAGGTTCCAGCCATGAATGTCAGATTCAACGTCTCGGTCGAGATGAGGGAGCGGCAGACTTCTGTTTTGATGGTGGTGACTCCGTACCCCTCGACAATGTCACCCAGACCAGATCCAGCGCCTGAAGTCGAATTCTTAAAGGTCGCGGCAGAAAAGTCGTACAGATGCATGAAGCTGTCCAAAACGGCAAGAATTCCTCGTCCGGTATCAGAGCCGAGCTGGAGCCCAGCGTCAATGAAGGGCTTTAGCAACTCGTCGACGTTGACGACGCTGCCAAGCTGCCGGAAAAGCAAGCTCCAGACCGACGTGAGTGGCGGACAGCTTCCCACCAAAGAACCTTGGGTCAAGTGATCCAGAGTCTGTTGGACTGATGTCTCGCATTCCATGGAATCGCTCCCGCTTCCAGGGAAGGCGCAGTTGGCGACGAAATCTCCCGTGGCGCCTGGTAGGACGACGCACTGCGTATGGCCTAGCGCGACTGATACCGGTAGATCGGCGCGAGCAGGATTGCCGCACTGATCTTTGAGATGGAGGGTCACGTCAAATGCTTCCTGTTGCCTTTCGTTCAGCGTTCCTTTGAATATAGGTAGACGGGGTGGCTCCGTGCTGTTGACCGGAATCTCGGTGGTGTTTCCACAGGTAGAGTTTGTCAAGGTGTTAAGCTGCCCAAAGAATCCAGGGATAAAGACGTCAATCTTGGGCGAGCATTTTGCGGATGCGAAGTGTAAACCCTCGCTATCGATGGACAATACGTTGCCGGTTTTGTCGATGATTCCCAACTTTGAAGGGTCGGAGACGTCGATGAGAATTGGGTCGGAGGCATTGTCGATCAGACGAAGATACTGAACCGAGTGGGTGGTCTCATTGAGATAGAATGCGTCAATGTACGGGGGAGTACGGTTGGTGGTGTTGAGGAGAGATTCGTGGAGCAATGTTATGGGTGTGGGAAGGGCATAGCACGAAGTCGCGTTTTGTGCCACAACGACAGAGATGCCAGTGAAAGCTGAGTTGTAGCCTGAGGTCGAGGTTGCTGAGGTGCTTGTTGGCGCAGATGGAGAGCCAGTCACCGGTGATGGGGTACCCGCTGTTGGGCTCGTTCCATTGAGGGTGCTCACGAATGTGGCGCCGCCGGTCAGAGTGACCGCGGACACTGTCGGACTCGGAGAGCCTTGTTTCAGGGTACCAAAGATGGTTGAACCGCCAATGACCGTCCATGTCGAAGCCACGCCGTTAATGACACTAGTGAATACTGTAGGTGTAGCGGTTGCGATGGGTGATCCAGCGGTGGCGTTGGATGAACCGAAGATGGTTGAGCCCCCAATCACTGTCCAAGAGGAGGCGATGCCTCCAATCACACTAGTGATGACTGTAGCACCCGGTGGCAGATCGGATGAGGTAGATGTTGCGATGGGGCTGGGGCTGACTGTCGAGCCCCCGATGACCGTCCACGATGAAGCGATGCCTCCGATAATGCTTGTGATGACGACGGCGCCACCAGTCGTGGTAGGAGTAGCAATAGAGTCCGTGGCATTGGTTGGCTTACTGATGGTCGTGCCCCCAATGATAATCCAGGTTGAACCGACGCCTCCGACAACGCTCGTAACGACTGTGGCTCCTCCGGATGGAGATGGAGTTGGTGCTGTTTCACTGGGGTTGGCAGACAGTGTGGAACCGCCAATTACAGTCCAAGTCGAAGCAACACCATCAACAATGCTCGTGATCACAGAGGGAGTTGCAGATGGAGTCGGCGAACCAACCAGTGTCGAACCCCCAATGACGGTCCATGTTGATCCAACACCACCAATCACGCTTGTGATGACGCTGAATGCGCCAGTCTCTGTTGCGGATGGAGTCGGGGAAGGCGTTGGAACCGCGCTCCCGTTGGACGAAGAGCCAACAGTTGAACCTCCGATTACTGTCCAAGTAGAGGCGACTCCACCAATGACGCTTGTGATGATGCTAAATTCAGGAGTCTGAGAGAGGCCCGGCGATGATGTAGACATCGTAGAGTTGGGAGAGCCGGTTAGAGTCGAGCCCCCAATGACCGTCCACGTCGAAGCCGCACCATTGATGATGCTCGTGAACACAGTAAAGGCTTCTGATGTAGTTTCTGATGGCTCCAAGAGTTGACTAGTTGTGCTGCTGTTGGGGGAAAGCCCGCCGCTGGTGCTGCTGCCGAGGGTGACCACCCAAGTAGATCCCACTCCGCCGACATCACTCGTGATTGTGGTTACTGCGGTGGTAAGTGGTAGAGTGGGCGTCGCGACGATTGTCTGGTTGATAGAAGAACCAGTGGATTTGGAAATCCAAGACAGACCCCAAGAAGAGGCTCCATCAGGCAACGTGTTTGTGAGGCTGCTGATTGAAGACGATGAAAGGGGAGCTCCGGTGATAGTTGTCGTGACCCCGTTGATGACCGACGTGATAGTCTCTGCAATTCTAGTAGAACTTGAGTCGGACACCATGTCAGAGATCGTCTTGACCGTCGTGTAGTTGCCGCTGGTGATAGTAGTCAGCCTCGGCACCGCCGCCGTCGACTCGATAGATGTCTGTGGCCGCGTAGGAAGGCCAACGGTAGAGTTCCCAGTCAACGTAATAGTAGACACGAAACCAGAAGCGGTTCCGCTAGATTCGCCGCTGATGGTTACCGTCGTCGTCGGGGGCCCGGGCCGACCACCGCTGTCCCCGTCGCTGATTGAAGACAGACTTTGCGCGCTGCTTGTGTTGGGAATCCCCGAGCTGTATATATAAATGGTGCTGACTTGCGTCTCAATGACTTGAACAATGGTGGTCGTCTCGCCCCAGCCGCACGTTGAGGCTGTTTGGGATGGTGCGGTAGGGCCGGGGAGTGAGTAAGAGTAGCCGCCGTCGAATGTTGCGTGGGTTGTGGTTGGGATGCCTAGGGTATCCGAGACTATCGTGGATGGAGCTGGGTCAGGTGCTCCTGATTCATCGCTTCCACGTGTCGAATACTCGGCGGCTGGTGTTGGTGTTGCAGTTGCACCAATTGAATGGCACGGCGCCTGAGATGTTGAGTCGAGACCCAGAAGACAGGAACACTACAGTTTGTTAATTTCCCTTTATGCCAATTAGGCTCCTGAAATGGGTCATTTGAAACTTACGGCCGACGAGACGGAAACGGCAGGATAAGTCGTTGGAACACCATCAGGTGAGCTCAGGGCGGCAGTCGTGTTACCAGAGTCTAAGAGCATTAAACAGTATCTCGTCCCGTTGTGCCGCTCCATGGCCCGGAGGAGGTTATCGCCGTGACATCCCTCCGCCGCAACCAGTGCCGCGCTCCCTGCGAGAAAGATGAGAGTCGAAAGATACATGGCAACGGATGAGTAACGAACGAATATGGGCTTCTAGTTACAAAAACAATTGAGAAGATAAGAAACGGAAAGAGAGAGCGATTCAGCGAGTGTAGAGGGCAGAGCTTGTCCTGCTTCGTCGGCCTCTGATCCCGTTGAGGTTCCCCTTCACCCTTGGTATCTCAGCCGAGACCTTTATACAGAAGCAGCGAGCATGGCTCATGATAGCCTCACGTATCGCAAGTAAGATACTATGTGCCGGCTCTCCGAAATAGACCACAGCGCCGAGACACTCTCTCATGTCGAGACATTCCACCTATCCATCTGATCCCCAGACCAAGGCATCGGCGAGGATCTCGCACAGCACTCATGAACACCGGTCACATGCCCCGAGGAAGGCAATTAGACTGTGATGCCATCACTTCCGGATGTTGACTATAAAAGCATCGCCGTACTACTAGCTAGACGTTGTCCGACGCCAGGCTCAGCTGCTCCGCGGGGCACCAAGGTCTCCAGCTGCATGCGCATTTGAGACCGATGCGGTGCGCCATCGAGATCATGCAGGTACGAAGTGACAACGCTCAGCTACGCAACGGCTCGTATTCGAATCCTGGGGTACTCAACGGACTTTAATACTGGTACACAGAGTCAATCTCCATTGCCAGGTGAACTCCTCTCATAAGCTACTCTGGTTTCAGCCACGCTCATCACCAAGCCCAAGACGCCATATCCCGAGAGTCAACGACACGTTTTCACCTTGGTCTCGTTCGTTCAAGCGAATATTGATGACTCACAGCTCCATACATGTCAACGGAAATTCGACCAAAACCTTGTGGAAGATCTCGGGATGAGACAGAACAAGGGGAGGATGGGACAAGATCAAGTCCTTCAGGTCCTACAACGCGACCAAAGAAGCGAAAGGCAACACGAGCTGAGGTAGTAGGGTTGACTCACAGGTCAAACAATAGATTAGAACCACTCAAGTCTGACAGACGCGACAAACAAGTCAAACAAGCCTCCAATTTTCATCATTACATCCATGATGCGCCCCTTCGTACAGTCATTATACCGATGACACACAATGAACCGACCCAGGCCCCCAAGGGGCGCGATATTAACAGACATGATTAACTCAAAACGCGCGCAAAATAGCAATGAACCATCATTCGTAAGACTCTCCCTTTCCCCTTCTCATCTTCTCTCATCGCGCCATTGTCGTCTGTTGCGTGGCTTGCTGAACCTGGCCTTGGCCCTGGCCCTGACCCTGCACGCGAGTCCGCACGATGTAGTCCTGATTCTCGATCGTTACGCTCTTCGTCATGTGGTTCACCTTGTAGACACCAACAAGCCGAGCGGCCAGCTCGAACATGTTGTTTCGGAGCGAAATGACAATGAACTGGGCGTTCTTCGTCCGTTCCTTGATGTAGTTGGCAACGATTGAGACCTGGTGATGCAAGTTAGTATGGATCGGGGGCGATAATAGCCAATGATGAGAACAAGAACTTACGTTTCTGAAATCCAACGCAGCATCAATCTCGTCCATGACGTACAGAGGCGTCGGCTTGTAATGATGTAAAGCAAAGACAAGCGCCAAACTGCTGAGCGTCTTCTCACCACCGGACAAGTTGCTGATGTTCCTCCATGACTTCTTCGGGGGCATGACACTGAAGAGGATACCTTCGCTAAACGGGTCGAGTGAATCGACCAGCTCAAGCTCGGCATTACCACCCATGGTAATCATCTGGTACATCTCCTTGAGGCGGAGAGAGATGGTGCTGAAACCCTCCATGAAGCCTTCGAGACGCAGACGACGGAGCTCGTCGCAGCGCTTCTTGGCAGCGTCACGTTGGTTGACGGCGGTCTGAAGATCAGATGAGCGGGCGGCGTGCTCTTCGACACGGCGGCGGTATTCGGCGAGGACACCGAGATCCACATTGACGTTTTGTGTCTTCTCCTCCAGGGCGGCGATTTCTCCCTTGAGTTTCTCTTTGCTCATGTCCGCGAGTTCATCAGGAGTGTAGACAGGTAGCTCGAGGGCTTGGTGGATCGTCTGAGCAGGCAGTTCAGACTCGTCGGATTGTTCGTCCTCATCCTCGGCTTCAACGGATGGCTGGGACTCCTCGCCAGTGACCGCGTCCTGAGTTACTGTCTTGTCACCATCGACTTCTGCGTCGTCTTCTCCTTCAGCAGGGGCCGGGGCAGGGGTGGCCTTGGGAACAGAGTTGGAGGTTCCCGTCAGATCGTCCACATTCTGAAGCACCAGCTTGGACAGCTTGTCATTCCAGTACATTAGTCTCTTTTGGTTCTCCATCAGGACCTTCTGGTTCTCTTCAAGCTTGTTGCGCATCTCGATCTCGCTGGCCCGAGTGGCATTCAACTCTGAGGTCTTCTCATCGAGCTCGGCTTTGAGGGATGTCAGCTCTTGTTTCTTGGCTGCCAAACCCTCCTCGGCCTCGTCGACTTGGCCTTGTAGAGACTCAGCCTTCTCGCCCTGGTTCTCGATCTCATGCTCAAGCTTCTCCAGATCGCGGATCGCCACCTCAATATCCTTGGTGGCTTTGGCGTGATCCCTCTCAAGCTTGGCCTTTTGCTTCTCGGCCTTGACCTTGCGGACCTCAGCGTTGGAAGTCTCTTCGTTTTGAGACACAATCTCTTCCTTCAGAGAGTCGACGTTGGCTTTTTGCAGGCGAAGCTTCTCACCACCCACCTGCATAATCTTGTCTTGCAGAGCCTTGATCTCTTCCTCAACGCCAGATGTCTCGTCATGGAGCTTCTCAACCTCCTTGTTGAGCTTGGCAATCTCTTTGCGGAGCGCCGCGATGCGGTTGTTATCCGAGGCAGAAGGTTGATGCTCCTTGCTCAGCTCCTTGATGCGGCGATGAGCATCGGCCAGGTTCCTTGCCGCGCTCTCGATCTCAAGAGTGATCTTCTGCATCTTGGTGTCGAGCATAGGGATCTGATCGTTGAGTTCGCGTAGCCTGGTCTCAAGCTCGCGCTGCTGTTCCTGGAAGTCTTGGAACTTCTCCTCAAGGACATCGCGGTCTTCCTCGAGCTTCGACACTTGTTCCTTGGATGTTTCGGCGACAAGCTTTGAAGACATTAGACCTCGCTTGACAGTTGTGCCACCACCAGACATAGTACCGGACTTGTCGATCAGCTCGCCGGCCAAGGTAACAACACGCCATCTCTTGGCACCGTAGGCGATTCTGTTGGCCTGGGCCAGGTCATTCGCTACGAGTGTATCCTGGAGGGCGTGGTAGAATGCTGGTCGGAACCTCTCCTCCTTGGGGTTGACAAGGTCGAAGAGGCGAGGCGCATTCTCCGGAGTCTGGATGGCCTTCATGTCTCGGACTCTCAGCTTGTCCAAACACATAAAGTTGCCGCGACCCAAGTTGGTCTTGCGAAGGTACTCGATGCATTGCTGACCAGCCTCAACGGTGTCAGTGACGAAGTTGTCGAGAGCGCCGCAGGCCGTGGAGATGGCCACATCGTACATCTGGTCAATTGCGCCCAGGTTGCCGAGTCTTCCGTGGAATCCATCAATGCGACCAGACTCGCGCATGCGCATCAGAGCGGTCAGAACATTGCCCTGAGTCTGCGTCTTAGACAAACTAGAGCGAGCCTCGTCCGCCTTCTGTCTTGCGTTAGACACCTTTGCGCGAATCTTGGGTTCGTGAGCATTGAATCGGGTCAACTCATGCTCCGCCTCCTTTCTCTCTTCCTCGAGCTTGACCTTCTCAGCCTGGCACTCCTTGAGTTCCTCAGCCTTGGCAGCGCGAGCATCCTCGATGGCGGCAATCTTTGCCTCCGTCTCAGAAATGGCCACAGCACCGGCATTGGCCTTCTCTTCGAGGATATTCATCTCGCTCTCTGCAACAGCAATGGCCGACTGCTTCTGGTTGATCTTCTCCTTCCACGGCTCCAATGACTTCTGCTTGACAGCGATCTGATCGGAAAACTTTTGGGTCTTGCCCTTGAGACCTTCACGGATGGTCGCAAGCTCGGCTTCCTCCTCTTGAACTCTGATCTCGAGGGAAGCAATTTCCTTGGCGCGAGTCTCGATCTCCTCCGCGCATTGGGCAACGGTCTCGTCTGCTTCGGCCGCGGACTTGTCGGCATTCGCGATCGTTTTTTCTAGCTTCTTCTGTTTGTCGTTCAGGAACTTCTTCTTCTCGTCAAATTTGACGCGCTCTTGCTCGAACTTGGCCATCTCCTTAACAAGAGCCTCAGTTTCCTTTGCTTGCGCTTCGAATTCTTTGCTGCCCCGAGAGTACGACTTTTGGAGTTCCTTGATGATCTTTTCGCCGCCATGGTGCTTCTCCAATTCTTCGTCCAGCTGCGCCTGCATCTGACTGATCGCCTCCTCGGTGACAGCAACATTGTCGTTGCATTCGCCGATGTAGAGCTGATACAAGGCAGATTTCTTGATTGTGAGCTCGTTTTCATCGCGAATGTATGCAATGGCCTTGTTCTTCTTGTCCTCGAGACCGTTCTTCTCCTTCTCCACATGCTGAACACGGCCGCTCTTCTCCATGCAGATTTCGTTGAGAGTCTCAACCTCTGTCGCAGATTCTTCAATGGGCGTCTTGTATTTCGAAGTGCCGATGATATCCTCAAGGTACTCAAGAAGACCGTCGTCGTGCTCGTGGGCAGCTTTGGGTTTCATCTGGGCAATGGACTCAACCTCACCCTGAAGGATGAGGAAACGCTTATGGTCGAGATCGATGCCGCGGTCGCGAAGGAGGGTAGTAACCGTAGTGAAGTTGGAGGCTTTGCCGTTGATGAAGTATGTGCTGGAGTTGTTCTTGAACGCCTTGCGCGAAATGATGAGATCGGAATCGGGAATGACTTCGTGTCCACCACCGGGCTATGTTTGGTTAGCTATAATTCGTAAAACATCTTCGACGTAGCTGACCTGATCCATGACCTCTCTGAAATGTACGGAAACCTCGCAATGGTCCAGATTCGGATGCTGGGCTGAGTTGTGGATTAAAGCGGAAAGCTTGCCCTGGCGCATCTTACTTGCGCGGAAACCAAAGACGAACAAGAGGGAGTCGATAACGTTGGACTTGCCCGAACCGTTGGGACCAACGACGGACGAGAATGATCCGTGGAAAGGACCAACTTCCTGACGTCCAGCATAGCTCTTGAAGTTGGTGAGAATCAGGTAGGAGATAACAAGACGAGGCTTAGGAGTCGTGTCTTCCACCACTGGTGCGGTAAGAGTCCGCGACTTCAGTACAATGTCCATTGGCTTCTCCAAAACAGTGTCCATCGCGCGGACAGGCTTGAATGTAGCTTGCGTCTCATCCGCGACTGGTTTCTGTTCGTTGACTGAAGCAGCCGTGATGTCGGCAAGAGGTTCGCCGCGCACGCGAGAGGGCTCGGGCGTAGCAGATGGCTTGGGATTTGGTATAGATGACGGTGTCGAGGACTTGGTGGAAGCTCGGGGTGCAGCGCTGTTTCTAGGCTTCCTGGGAGAGGGTTTCCTTGTGGAGGATGGCGGCTCGTTCTTGCTAACCGTCTGGTCGGGATCAAAGATTTCGCTGGGCTCTATTGAGGGGGTAATGCCATGCGTTGAGAGCTCTTCGGCGATAGATGTCTCGTCCGCAACAGACGGTTCCTCCACCGCCGAGGGCGCTTCTGCGATGGAAGTTCCATCTGCAACCGAAGCGTCTTCTATAACAGATGAGGCCTCAAGCTTTGTGGGCTCCTCGGTCACAGTCGTATCAGCATTCTTCTTAGGTCTGCCGCGGCGCCGAGGTGCTGTCGGGGCGGACGCCGATGGGGGGGCAGCGCTCTTGCGGGCCCGTGTTGGCCGGCGCACTGGGCTTTTTGAAGGCTCCGGGGCGAACTCCTCTTCGCTCTGCTCTTCTCTCTTCACCGTGGTGTTTGCCACTTCGTCGTCATCAGAAGAGTCGACGATGGCCTGGCGGCGCGTCGCTCGGCGCGGGCGAGCTGACATTATGCTTGTGATAAGGTTGTTGGTTAGATGTGGGAAGCGAATGAACGCAAAGAAGAACGTGCGTAGGGTATCTCAATCAAAGTGACAAGAAGCCAAGTGAGAATAAAAGAAGGAATGCAGCAGGCGCAAAGATGCTGCGGTAATAGAATCGCGTTCTTTTTTGGTGATGTCGGATGCGAAAAGAGAAAACGCAATTGTGTTGTTTGCCTCCCCCACTTTGATTTGTTTGAATCCCTCACCGATTAGGCCGATTGTAAACAAACAGGCGACACCGCCCCACCCCGCACGCCACGGACTACGGAGACACGTCAACGCGACTGTGGCTGGTGTTCTCCAGGTGCTGTGGCTGAAGCTCTGAAGCCGCTCCGGCGCAAAGCCGTCGCATTTCATCCCGCCAACTCAGAAAAAAAGGGCCCAAACAACCAACAAACCAGCTCCAGCAAGCCTGTTGTCCCAAGCATATTGCAGAGGCATTGCCAACTCCACCTCACCATGTTCGACTACACCAATTATGATCATGTTTTTGGGGCGCAACAGTTCCCTTACGACCGCAAGTCCGTTCAGGAAATTGACACCTACCGCAAGAGCCTCGATGGCGCCCTCTTTATCGACCGGGTCTTGAAAGCCTTGGGCCTCACCAAGGGTAGGCTTCCTTCCTAAGGAGTTGAGGACTTGGTTTATTATTGACATCATAAAATAGCCAAGACGTATCCTCCCAAAACCGAGAATGCTCTGCGTACTCTGCACCAACAACTTTGCGAAGCTACGATGTCAACGCACCATCGACTCTCCATCTTTTACTACATCTTGCTCGACTTTGACACGAGCCAGACTAGATCCCATGCTTCATCAAAGTTTGCCGTGACGTCAGGCGTTCCCAAGAACTATCAGATCTTCATGAAGGGCTTATGGCTCTTGGACCACCAGCAATTCGAGGTACGCCATGCCATTATTTGTTCACCCAGCTCATTTTTAGCTGCTGACGCCTTTCTTAACCAACAGAAAGCACTCGAGTACATCGCGCATCCCTCTCTGACAACCGACTTCGCCGACGAAATTATGACGGCGCTTGTGCGCCATGCTCCCGACGGCGACTATACCCTGCCTCTTTCGTACTTCCACACCGTTCAGCCGATCCTAAAGACCCCCGAGGCTCTGGAGCTTCTCTTTGAAGCCATGTCGCGAACCAGCGTCACCGAGGCACTGTACTTCTCCAGGTCCCATGCAGATGCCGTCAGAGCACAGCTGTTCCGCCAGCTTATCTCAAACGTGATCGGTGCCCCTCCAAACGAAGAGACAGCCGCGCGGTCTACTGAGCTGATTGGCCTGCCCTTTGACACAGCGGAAGAGGCTTGGTTCGAAAACTTCCTCTCTCGTGAAGATGGAAAGAAGCTGAAGAGGGCGCGAGACACACTGCTTGTGAGAAACTTGGTCACGGGCCGGCTGAGCGAAGCTGTTCAGGACAAGAACAATGGAGGCGGTTGGGGGGTGGTCTTGGAAGGCATCAAGAGCGGCTTAGGTGGCCGAGCAGAGTGATTGCTTCAGCATCTTCCAGGGCAGTTTAGTGCGTGCGCTCTGCACCATCACGAGGTTGAGCATTTGATTTTGGCATAGCGTCGGCGTTTGGGCATTACCCTGTAGCTTTACGTCGGGTATGAAGTAAGCGAATAGGAAGCTCGGTTTCTACGATAGAGACCACGTAATACTTTGTGACGAAAGAGCATCACCCCAACATGGACCTGTTATGCGTTTGTTGATATGGCTGGGTGGCTGCTCACCTCGGTGACAGGAAGGTGTGGTGATTCTACCGAGAATACACCGAGAAATCCCGCGGATGACTAAGCTCCGCTTCGAGTCACACCTTGCGGGTCCCCCGGCCGCCTGCCCAAACCGTGGATCTCACTGCGTCAACCGCTGCACCCGCCTTACACCAGAGCCCCTTCACCGTCAACCTCGCGCGTTACATCTCATTTTGTTTTCACTGTGACGGCGATCCGCTGTGATCATGCTTCGCTTGCGCAACATCTCTCCATCTCTTGTTCCGCTCGGAGTCAACATTGCCTCGGGACGATGAACAACCCTCCCAAAGGAGTCAAATTTGTCGGCTCCGACTCTTCGGGGCTTCCCTTGAAGCGGAAGCAGGTTCTACAGGCATGTGAATCATGTCGCAGGAAGAAGGTCCGCCAATGAAAATTACATGCTCTCATCTCAAGCCGTTTTTCTGACTTTCACAATTTAGAAACGCTGCATCCACGGGGAGCCTCCGCCGTTGGAGGCCGCACATGACGGGTCTGCGGGTTCTTCGCCGCCGGACAACGTTGGGTTGGTTTCCCAATCAGGCAACATTGGATCTTAGCTGACTGACCCTCCTTCAAGACATGCTGTCGCGGGCTCCGGTTCACCAACCAAACATCGCCACTCGGCATCTGTCACCGCCGATGCTGCGCTATCCACGACCCCTGCCCGCCGTGAGTCGGCCACAGCAGGAAATTTGGAGCCAGCGCAGACTCCACAGACGCGCTTCGTTGGCGATCTCAACCCGGAGGGCATGTTTGCCGAGGCCGCCGATTCAGGTCCGGCCGCCAATCCGACGCAGAAGGCCGAAGTTGGTGTTTGGCTCCCATCGCTGAACGCCGCTTCCACGCAGTCGACGACGTCGGTAGTCTCGCGTCCGTCGGCCATTAGTGACCAGGTCTTGCTGCCTTTTGTCAAGCAAAACTGTCTCACCTGTGTCCCACCGGAGAAGGACTATAAACATCTCTACAAGGTCTACCGACAGAAGATCCACCCCATTTTCGGGCTTGTCCCCGACGATGCTTTAGATGGCGGTGATTCCGCCGCGGCCATTGTCATGCGACAAGTGGTATGTCTGGCTGCTGCTACTGATCCCGAAATGAAAAGCCACTTGCGCCTCGCTACCCAGGGAAACAAGAGGCTCTCATACCAAGACTTCTCCCAGACACTGTCTAGCTCTATACGGGCCATACTCGATACAAGTCTGATCTCAGACCGGACGGTGCACATTCGTGCCTTGTGCATGCTGTCGCTCTATGTCCAGCCTTCAGGTGCTGATGAGGCCGACCTGCCTGCTCAACTCGGCGCAAGGGCGGCACACCATTCGCAGACCCTCGGGTTGCACCTCTTTCACTCGAGCAATGATTCGCTTGATAGCCTTTTTTGCGCTGTCTGGGCCCTGGATCGCATTAATGCGGCGACATACGGACGACCTTGCGTCTTGCACGAGGGAGATATCGGTCCTGGGTTAGACGACTGTTTCCGCAGACAGGCGCCCTGCTTTCAACTCTTCTTATCGGTCGTGCAGTGGCTAGACAAGGTGATTGAGCTGTACCGCCCGGGTGTCATCGCTCAATCTCTTGAAGCGAAGCCTTTTATCGATCTCCCAGTCCTCGAGCCCATGATTCTCGACGCCAACGCTTTGCACGTCCCCACCCCGCTACTTGGTACGTCAAGCACTTCTCTATTGCCTCGGCACCGTGAAATATTAACCGCTCGGCAGCGACCATTGAAGTTTTCTACCATGCCGTAATTATCCTGTCATGCCGCTTGTCTAGACCCGGTCCCTCAGCACAATACGCATCTTCAGTACCACCGCCGTCGGCAAACGCACGACGTTCTCTCGCAGCCGAGCGAATATCTTCCGCCATCCGCCGCGACCACTTGAGCCCGGTGCCTCTCGTTCCCTACGCTCTCTCACTCGCTCTCAGCGTCGAATACCGCAAAATGCGGCATAGTGCCTTGCCGATGTTCCGCGCCCGCGCCCGCAGCGCATTCAAGTCCAACTCGGAGCTGATGAAGAGGTTCGGTGACGTATTCTGGAGCGCAAGGGTAGTCGCAGGACTGGGCGAGCGTATCTTGCGAGAGATGGAGCGGGCTGCAAACTCCCTTGCCCAGGAAGGAGGTGCCGCATTACCAGCAGCTCTCGTCGACGTCCCTACCAATGGCACAGTGGAGGAACCTTTGGTGATGGACGGACAGCCGGCCGAGCCACCGTCAGCCCCCTTGGCCCCTGTTTCAGCCCCCGAAATCCCGGCTCTGGACGCCATCGATTTTTCAATTGTCGACGCAATGCCGCATCTAGACGTCTTTGGCCATTTCGACCCCAGCTTCAACCTTCCGGCGGTAGACAATGCTCTGGAGGCTAATCTCGATATAGGGCTGCCCCTGAACTGGGGTGAGTGGGACCAGCTTGCTGGTTGAAGAGTCGTCTCTGTCTTTGTCGTGGAAGTTTTTAACCTTTGCAAATGAGCAACGCTCACCCCCGAATAGCCGATTGTCTCAGGACTGAGATGCGGGAATGGAACTGCATTTTGCTAAGCAACCAAGGCTCTCGCCAGAGTATCTGTCTATGCGGATAATAGATAACCTCACCTATCCGACCGATTCTTGGACCCTGCCGCCGAATCTTACTGGTTGGTCATAGTAAGTCTCGCCGATTTAGACGCTACACATGGACATGATAGCGATTCAAAGGCTTCCGGTATCCACAGGACGTGGCATCTTGCTGTGGGTTGCTGCACTGGCGATGCTCTCGCCGGTCAGAAACCCCGAGATACATACTATGGTTGTTCGCCACACAGGGAAAGCAAGAATTCTTGTTTGACCAGAAACCATCAAATTTCTGGTGTGGAGGCTGCGTCATATACTCAAAGCGGTGTTAATGAGGAGCCAAAGGTTTCAGCGCCGTCGATTGCCTTGCTTACCTACCTCAGGTATTCGTCGTCGGAGAAAAAAAAAAGAAGTGTCAAAAGCCAGATACCCGCCATATTACCGATGCCTTAAATCGTGAGACATAATTAGTTTAATTTCATTATTCCCATTGGGATCGCGTCAGACATGATGGAAATATGATACGAAATGGAAAAAGACATGAGCTGTGTGTGACAGTATGTGGAACCACCAAATTCGAACTCGAAAGCTCGATGAACTCGCAAATTTTGCAGGATCCATTACGCGTAAATAATCCACCACTAGGTAGGTCATACATAATTCAGACGCTGCTCATGTCTGGCACCTGATGTTTATTCCTATGATGGCTCGTAATTGTGAATACTCTCAATAAGGTAAGGTACCTCCTTGGCAGGAATATGCCACTGGCTGGGAAGGCACCTCTGGACCAATGAGCGGCCAAATGCATGATGCTTCCATTCGATGACTAATCCACACAAGGGTCCCCACTGTATTTTGCCGCTGCTCCGGTCGCCACTCGCGCAGACCACCCGGAAAGCTTCATAGCCTTTTGTAGAACTCCAGCTCCAGTCAACGCCTGTAACACACGGGGCCTGTCCCTCCTGTCACTTCTTTCATGGTCTTTCCGCATTGAACAACGCGTCCGACATGGCACCGCCTCTCAACTTGGTGATTCGCGCTCTCGTGGCTTTCGAGGACGTGATTATCCGCCAGGTATGCCAAGCCGTCCTGCCCTTGACCCCCTCCGCGCCGCCGTACGAAACCCCGTCAAATATGCAGTAAGCTAATGTTGGAGACGCCGCGCAGATTCTGAGAAGTCCCGGCTTCCACCGTGGCGTTGGCCGGATCCATCGATACGTTGACGAGAAACGGAACGGGCCCATGCCGCATGAGCCCCTGCGACAAGGACAGGCGACTGGTACGTGGGGTTTATGCTACGGGTGAAAAGATACTTGAAGAGTGATAGTTAACATTTTGGACACAGCAAATCCAGAAGATCGAGGGTTCATACAGTACTTTCTTGAGGAGCTGAAGCATCAGTTCCGGGGAACGTCGTCCAACTCGCCACCGCCACCAGGACCGCCGAAGCGATGAATATTCGATTCGAGAGATCGATACTTATCAAGCCGGTCAAGGATCTTCATGAGGCATCACCACAGAGCCCAGGTTCCGTTTGCACCTCGCTTGAATTCCGCTTGACGCTCAATGGCACGACGGCTTAACGATGGCTCCTAAGCACGAAGCTTTTGGACATGAAGAAAAAAGACACTCCAATGCGTCGTCAAAACCTTGTCTTTGACACTTGGGAAGGCGAAAAGACTCTACTCAACCAACATAACCTACCTTGTATCATGACACAGCGTTTGTGTGCTGACAGTGGTCCACACATGTCCCGCTTGAGGATTCTTCTGAAAGCATCACTTCTACAACGCCGAGTCTGCGAGACACCGAAGAGCTGCATCGGCACGTTAACTTGAGGTTAGCGATCTTCTCGCCAAGCTGAAGTGTTTTATCAAGGAGACAGCGGAAGGCAAGTATATCCGTCGGTGATTCGGACCGTCGCCGCTCGGCGCCTTCAGTTTCGCTGCCGGGTCGGCAATCCGGATCGGTCAGCGTGCCGGGAGCAATCTAGAAACTACGGGCTAGCAGGGGCATTCGTCTGATGCTGATGGCCGGGTACAAGCCATGACTCGGAGGAAATCCAGCAGCCAGTAGGATTACCTCACCCCATCTAGGCGATGAATACCCTGGAGAAACCCAGATGTTGACTGGCATGATCCTAAGAAGAAATACAAGCATTCAGATTCAGGTCCCCTCCAGTCTCTCCGCCCCCCTTCATTGAATTGAATACGTGACCACGGTCATGAGTCGAAAATGTCACACCAATCGAGCTACTCTATGCCGCTTGCTTCCAAACAAGCGTAAATTCACCACGACTGCGACCTCAATCTGCGCCGCCTGCCCCCGCCATGATTGAGGGGTAATCGGGCAACGGAGGTAAGAAGGAAAATTGCCTCTTTCGGCCATCATTCTTCTACGTGATACAACCCATACAGCCCTCCTTGATGCCGGTGTATTTCCTTTCTGGGACTCTGCAAGCGACACTCCGTCCTCAAAAGAGGCTGGCCTCGCCCGTCTACCAAATCCGGACTCTTTCTGCATCTCCCGTATCGTCCAGCGTCTAGTTTCGGAGTAGCCTCCGCTCGCTTGGCCGCTGCGCATTCAGCTTTTCAGCTTGTTCCATTCGTTGGTTCCGCAGTCATCATGTTCTCATGCGATTTTCCACCAAGCGCAATGCTGCGCGCATTGGCAGCAGGTCTAGCCTTGTAAGTTGTGTTCTCAACATCAGGCTCCTTGAAGCGAACCACTGCGTATGTGTGTGCTTGAATGAGAAAGAAAAGAGGCGAGTGCTTCTGCGTATAACCTTCCAGGCTTCCTCAAGACCCCTTCGTCCATCCATGTTTGCATGATTCTGTGAACACGTAGATTAGTACTCTCCAACTCTCTCGATGAGGTCAGACGTAAGCTTCGCCGTGCTGTATGCACTGGTCCGAACAACCTCTGCCCAGCAGTCACCGTACGGCCAATGCGGCGGAGCCGGGTGGACGGGACCGACCACGTGTACGGCCGGGTGGCACTGCGAAAAGACAAACGACTGTTAGTCTGTGACTGCCGCTGTGACGAACGACTTCTAATTCTGGTACCAGGGTATTCTCAATGTCTCGAGGGAACGGGCTCGCCCTCCCCAACTACCCTTCTGACCACGACCTCGAAGCCGCCTGTCACTGGCACAACAACTACTGCATCCGCGTCAAGCTCCTCTCAGTTAACAAGCTCTACTAGATCTTCTTTTGCCAGCGCCGCGCCCACGGCGTGTTCTGGCACTTTCAGCGACATCTCGGGGGCGGACTATGTCAAAGCCATGAATCCGGGGTGGAACCTGGGGAACACTCTCGATGCTATCCCCAACGAGGGATCTTGGAACAATCCGCCTGTCGTCGAGAAAACGTTTGATGATGTCAAGGCTGCGGGCTTCAAGAGCGTTCGTATCCCAGGTAAGTTTGCCTACACCTTGAAGGCGAATGGAACGTCGGTACTGACGGTTCGGCAGTCACCTACAGTGATCACTTTACCAGTGCAGCTCCCAACTACACCGTGGACGCGGCTTGGCTGCAGCGTGTGTCTGATGTGGTCGACATGGCCACCGCTCGTGGACTTTACGTTCTCACCAATGTCCATCACGGTAAGAGCAACCGGTCCGCTCCCTTTCTTCAATCTCTGTTCTAACACAACAAATAAAGACTCCTGGAACTGGGCGGATGTGACAAAAGCAACTTCGGACGCGGACATCAAAACCCTAAATGACAAGTTTTACAACCTCTGGCTCCAGATCGGCCGCAAGCTCGCCTGCAAACCCAACCTCGTCTCCTTTGAAGCCATCAATGAGCCCCCCGCCACAACCGCCGCCGACGGCGCACGTATAAACACCCTCAACGAACTCTTCCTCAAGGCCCTTGCCGATAGCGGCGGCTTCAATGCCCGCCGCGTTGTCAATCTCGTCGGGGGCAGCATGGACGCCACGAAAACGACGCAGTGGTTCAAGGCACCCGTGGGCATCAAGAACCCCTGGGTGCTGCACTACCACTTTTACAGCCCTTATGACTTCATCTTCTCAGCGTGGGGCAAGACGATCTGGGGCTCTGATGCCGACAAGGCTGCGATGAGGAACGAGATGGCTATTGTTCGGGGGAACTTTACCGATGTGCCGCTGGTCATTGGCGAGTTTGACGCCAGTCCGCTCAATACCGAGCCGGCTGCGCGTTGGAAGTGGACGGATCAGTTTGTCCGTACGGCGGCGGAGCTGAATACGGCCGTTGTGATTTGGGATAATGGCCTGGACCACCTTGACCGCAACGCACATGTCTGGCGCGACCCGACTTCGCTTGGCATTCTCGACGCCGCTATCAAGGGGACCAAGAATTCCCTGCCGGACAGCACCATTGACGCCTCGGCAACGACGCAGTTCTCGTCGGCGTACGTCTGGAACAAAGTCGGGACCGCGGCGGCGGACCAGACTCTGCCCTGGCTGTTCAACGGCAATTCCTTGCAGATAGTGACGACGGACACGGGGACCTCGTTGGCGGCGGATAAGGATTACACCGCGTCGGCCACAGCCATCACCTTCAAGGCGGCGTTCCTGTCACGCTACTTGAATGCGACCGCCGCGCCGGGGAGCAAGGCGAACCTGACGCTGGGGTTCTCGGCGGGAGCGACGTCGCAGGTGGAGCTGGTGCAGTGGGATGTGCCAGTGTTGAGCGGGACGAGCTCCAAGGCCGTTGCGGGCGCCGACTTGACCATCCCCATCACCTACAAGGGAGTCAAGACGGTTGCCGCTGTCAAGGCGTTGCGGAGCGATGGCGTCTATTTGTTTGATGACTGGACGCAGGTCCTTGGACCGCTGCAGCAGGCTCGTATTGTAAGTGACTATCCCCGATTTTCCTTTTGCAAAAGCATGTTCCCCTTTTTGGTTGGAGGGTAAATGGAAGCAGTCTTTGACTAACGCCTGGGTATAGACATATAGCGGGCAGTGGAACTTTGATGGCGCCAATGTCATCCTGCCCTCCGCCACGGTTCAAGCGGTCATTGCTGCTGGTAAGGCGACGACGTTTACGTTTGAGTTCTACCCGAGGGTTCCTGGAAATAACGTCACGTATACTCTGAACCCATGAGTGAAAGCCTCGGAGTGAAGCTGTCTCCTAAGTTATGAGGCTGGGACCCTGTATTGTCGAGCAGAAACCAGAGCTAGTTCAAGTTGTCGTCCTTGTAAATGTCCACAGCTTATATACGCGATAAATTGTTGCTTACATCTACTCTATCTTTTATAGAGCGTCCTGAGCCTGAGATAAAGAACACTAGCAGATTAAGTTTCAGACGTTGAGACCGTCTTTGCGGTGGCTTTATTGCAGTACTGTTCAACTTTGACAAAGTCCGTCTTGATTTGCGTTCCCAATCTATCGGCGTTGGGAATTGTGGGGTTCCATTTGTCATGCGGAGGGATTGAAGCCGACGCACTCGAGTTTCTTCTCGTCTGACAATCCTTGTAAACGCAGTATCCTATTTCCTTCGTTTGCGCTCACTTTCAACCAGATCAAACCGACCCGACATGGACGATATGAAGCCATGTTGGGCGGCTTTGCCGATGGAGTTGAAGCTCTTGATCCTGGAACAGCTAGCGAACGCGCACAGCTTTCACGACTCGACGCGCAGCGGCTTAGCACCGTATGCCAGTGTGTCCAGAGACTGGCAGAGATTCTTTGAGAGCTTGACGTTCAGAAACTTTGTCTTGCGTTTAAAAGACCTCATACCATTCAGGGAGTACACCCAAAGCCCAAGGAGGCGTGGCTATGTCCGGCACATCTGGCTGCGCCTCGAGGAGTCCCGCGACGGCGAGGAGAGTCTGGGCATTCCAGTGGGAGGATCATCGACAAACCACTTTGGCTCGGCGATGCTGTATTTGTGGACTACGCTAGCGTCATGGACGATCGAGGAGTCTAGTGAAGGGTTGACGCTGGAGATGAGCACCCACACCCTTGCAGGGCTGATCAGGTACGCCAGGCATGTGCCCAAGGACGACATTGGCCACTATTCGAAGCATCTTGAGACGGGGTCTCTTGAGCAGTATGACCATGTCGCACGCTTCAACCACACGAGCCCGAGCTGGGCTACCCACATTGCACCAAGTTCATCGATGCAAGCTGGAGCCATGCGTGCCCTGTACACCTATGACGTGAAATTGAGTCACATCAGACTGCCGCCCGTGGAGGTCGTGACCAAGTTTCTGACGCGGAGGGCGAACACCCGTAATATTCACCCGGATACACTGGATCAAATCGTCAGGAGTCTTCCTCGGTTGGGGGAGATACACTTTGAAAGGTGGCGGCTTGGCCGCGAAGGAGACGAGAGACGCTGGCTCAAAGGTAGGATGCCTGCCTACAACCACTGCCTCCAAATTTTTTTTCCTTTGTGACGGGATACCTAATTGCTGGATCTATTTAGGCTTGAACGACATGTGCCGGTATGGCCTGCCGCTTTCGGTGAAGAAGTTGACAATTTTTCACGAAGAGATTCGCGTACCTTTTTTTGCGCGTTCTGCTCCGAGACGCATGGTCATGGAAGAACTCATAGGCTCCCTGGTTCAAGGAGCTCTTCACCTCGAGCATCTGGCGCTTTGTTTCATTATCGAGGCGGACGAGTTCCTGAGCAACACCCTTGAGTTCCGGAACCTTACGTCACTTACCCTGACATCTGCACTCTTTATTGATAGAAGCGCCGACACCGACGAAGCTGTGGAGCGGCTCATGAAAACTAAAAAGCTGCTGTTGTTAGCTGCGATGGCGGCTTCGCGAATGCCCAAGCTTCAGCTCATAGAGATTTGGAATGGCGGGGATGGGCAAGCCAGTGTGTTTTGCTACAAGGTTGGCGGTGAACGTGCCGAGGTCATTTGGAAGAGTACTCAAGACGAACTGATCGTTGATGCCGATGTTCTCGAAGCTTGGAGGGCTACGGCGAGGGTCCATGGGAGGAACGAGTTGCAATGTTCGGTTACACGGCTGGGTATCGGTGGGTTCAAGTACTATGGCTCTGTTTTGCCATACTTGGAGTCCAAAGAGCAGGTTCTTCATAAGGTCTCTGCTGTTCAGATGGAGTAGAAGGCTTGATGTAGAGAAAGGGGGGGAGTTTATTGGTGTCTGCTGGTCAGGCTACGAGGAACGAAGATTCACAGGCCAGCGAGCAGCACCTGGTTAAAGACTGATCCAGATCCATGTGTATCTTATCTCGGAGATCAGTCATCCAATCAATGCTTAACACCACAGGAGCTATAACGGTGTATTGGATTTCCATCCTCAAAATAAGCCGCATTGTGACCTGTTGTTCTCATGTCCAAAGAGGAACGCATCAGCCTAGGCTGAGAGACTTATCATTAAAGTTGATTTATAAGCAGTCCCTTCCGTATGCTCTTGCTGTTTCGCTTCCTTCTGCTCCCTCCGGAGAAGTCAGGTTTAGGTGTTCCGACAACATTACTCTCTCTGCGCCCTAAACTGCTGATGCTCCCCGCGCATCGGTCTATGGGCAGGAGGCTGCGTACTCTTCGCTATAGCCTGCTCAGCGCCTTGGGCACTGGATGGCAGCTTCTTTGGTTACTCTTCATGTTCTGGCTACGAGGCAATGATGACAGAAAGGATGAAGGGGAGAATGAGTAATCTTAGACTGTGACAACATCTTCGACGCCTGGGACACCTGGAAGGACCGGATGTCGAGCGAGCATTCGTGAATAGAGTCATCGAAGGCAGAAAATAATGGAAAGAGCAACATTACCACATTGATCTGCCCTATCTTCTTTAGCACGTACGCAACACAGAAGCCCTGCAGCCGCAAGATAAGCTTATGCTTTCCTGAATCCTCGGGCTTCCAATCTCTCGGTGACGACTTGCCAATCAGATTCGAGCCGGCCTACAGCATCAACACAGTACTGGCGATGTAGCTCGTTCTTTTGTAAGCCACAAAAATGCGGGTCTCGATATCTTGGGGCGGGCAGAGACGGCGGCACATACTCGAGACCTCCTCCAAGGGTCGGATGCATTGCTATAATGTGTTCAAAATTGAGATAAGCGGGAGTATGTTGAGAGATCAAGATTCATAGATGACTTGGAGCTGCCGCAAGTCTCCAGATTGTTCCACAGGTCGGTCTTTCGAGGCCTCTGTGACCCTTGGAAGAGAAAATTGGTTACAGTAAGAGTCTTGGAAGCTGCAGGAGCTTAATTTGACATAGTAGGAAGGGCACTTGACGGGAATCAAAATGGCTTTTACTCCTGGAAGTCTTTTCTAAGCTGGATGGACGAGGCTGATAAGATAATGAGCATCATGAATTTTGGAAATGATCTATGGGTTCTTCACTGCATGAGCTGGGTGACGATCTATTGATTAATGACTTAAGTAATGATGGCAAGGCAACAATCAGTGTTGTTGTAACCCTTCTGCATGTTTTTCTTTTTCTAATCTTTCTGAATGCCCCCGAGATTTAAGAATCGCTGTAGAAGAGAGTAGAGTTAAGCTGGAATGATGTAAGAAACCAGACCATTAGTGGGAATTTGGAATGAAAAGTGTTCTCCCCAATACATTAAGTAGCTTTTGTGAATAAGGTCTGGTATGCACTCTGCGTTGACATGCAATGATAGATGCTGCGTGAGATCAAGGCAATAACCCTACAACGCGCTCTTAACTGCAAGAGCAATCCAAGTAGACCGTCTATGCGTCGGAATATCCAAAAAGAAATAAGTCTAATAGATGGACAACTCTGTAGCCGCAAGCCTGTGAAATGCCAATTTGGGGGAATTCACAGATCCGCGCACTGAACCGCCGCCACACCTCCGTTCCGTGGACAGAGCAGCGTCCCATCCGACATCACCACACACCGGTGCACCTCGTCGGCCGTCGCCCAGTCCCCCGGCAAGAAGTAATACCGCTGAATGTTCGCGGCCTCCCGCGGGGTCGACGCAGGCGAGATGTGCGGAAGCCGCCAGGTGCAGATCCACCTCTCGACGTCGAGGAATATGAGCTTCTGACGCGGCAGCAGCGATAGCGGCTCGCGGATTCGAGATGCGATACGGGTTGGGAGGATGACGCATGGAAAGGAAGCGCTATCATCATAGATGGGCTCTTGGCCGCTGGGATGGTCCTCCTTTGGGGATCTGATGCGTAGGTCGTTCACATCGAAGAGGACGTACTTGTGCCGTACCCGGTTCGAGGCAGTGGAGCACAGCAGCTGAAGAAGAATGCGTGGTGATCCTGCATGCGAGAGAAGCCTCCCCACGGCATAGTGTTCCTCGTCAGGGCTCTCGGCCTCTGCGAGGGAACCTGCGGAGATATCTGGTCCACCAAGATGCGGTAGTGCGTAATGCTGTTCATGAACTTTGCGCAAGTCGGACCACTGAAAGACTTGGACCTTTCTGGGCCCAAACGCAAGTAGGTAGTCTAGTTTGGTCGGGTGATTGATCCATGTGCACTGCTCCATGTCCTGTGGAAGCTCTGCCTCTGTCCAAAGTTGTGTCTCGATATCTACGCAAAGGAGCATCGAAGGTGTGCGCGCGCACAGCTTCCTGCCTGCAGAATGGAACAGCAAATCCGTGGCCCTGCCTTTGTGAGGCGCGAGTACGACGTTGAACTCCAAATCGACCTGCCAAGCGGAGTGGTTATCGACACTTGGGGAGACCGTTTTGATCCAGAGTCTTCGAGCTCGGTCAGTCAGAGCGATTCGACGGCCGTCTTGACTCCATGCCACGTGTTTGACAGACATTCGGCTGCTCAGCCTCTCTATCTGACATACTGTGCCGCGGCCTTTCTCACAGAGGTCTACCAGCCCGCTGTCCGTTCCGAAACAGTAGAGAGGGCCATGCGGCTGAGATGAGAGACTGGTCACGCTGTTCACTCTGGCTGACTGGTGCTCCGGGTGGAGCGACATCTTGGCCAGACTATCCGTCTCGCCAGTCGCGTCGCTGTTATGATCTGGAACCTCTGAGCTGTCGGAAAGACGGATCAATGTGTTCGGCTCCCACACGTTGCCATATGGGCCTCGCGTATCGTAAAGTCGTCTCGAGTCGGAGCTGAAAGCCAAGTCGTTGACAAAGTCTTGCGAAGATAGCTGGTATAGCAACGAGAAATCGGCTGTAGCAAACACCTTGATCGTGCCTCGGGGGTCTCCAGTCGCTATGAGCGATCCGTCCCGGGACACAACCATCTTGTTGGCACCAGTGCCTACCATCAGCCTCGTCTCCTCTTCGAAGGGATCCCACTTGAACATCAGGCCGATTTGGGTCAAGCCAAGGACCTCTCCGCTATACGGGTGCCATCTCAGATGGAACACCTCGCCCACGGTCTTTCTCTTCCTTGAGATGTTTGCTTCATCTGCGGGTATGTGACACTGGCGCAACATCTTTGGCGGATCAAGCTCCCAGGCTGCAACAGGGTGTGCACGATACCCAAAGACAACCATGGTCCCATCCGGACTGATGGCAGAACAGTTGGGAAAACTGTGTATCGTTCCCTTGAACCTTTGTTCCACAATCTCGGAGTGTGTATCCCACTGGGAATCAGTGGAACTGTGGATGGAGAGTCTGCGAACACACCGGTCTTCATTCGCGACTAAGACGGTCTGGTCGTCTTCGATGAAGCGAAGAGAATGAGGCCGGGGGCGATCCTTGGGATTCTCTGCAACCTGGAGGCAGTTCCCTCTGAGAAGATTCCAGACTCTTGTGGTCAGATAGCCGTATGTGACCAGCAGATCCCCCATTGAGTTAGCTTGCATGGAGAGCACCCGCTCCGGGTGAACCAGTCGTCGCTGCTCTTCAAATGTCGCAGCATCGTAGATGAGTATGTGGCTCGAGGTGTGAATGGTAGCCAGGACAACGATGAAGCTGCCTGCGGCAAGCACTGTTGAGGCCGATGCACCTTGTTCAAAAGACAGGCGTGTGAGGCAGTCATCCCATGTCGAGCCCACGGACCCGGAAATCTGGAGCGAGTGACTCTCCTTGCTCCCAAACTGTTCGTAGATGGCCGAATCTCGGGGGCAGAATGGCGGGATGAGCTTGTCAATGGCGTCGGGGGATTGCCGAAGGTTGCTGCCAAATTTTCCAACAATCTTGACCAGGTCCGTAGCCCAGCCCTCAAGAAGACGGACGGTCTGGCGATGGGTAAGTGATTCATCATCAGTGGTCGATCTTCGTAGACCGACTACCATATCGGTCAAGTAACGCGATGCTGTCACCAGAAGCCTTATCTCGTTGTTTTTCACAGCCAAGTAGATCCATGTCAATATAGAGGGGCTGTTCAGAAACTTCATGACGACGGTGAGGACTTCGGTAGAGCCATGGACTGATGCCCGTGAGAGGTGGATGAACCAGAATCGAATCGCATAGTCCAAGAATGCCGGCGGTCGTTTTCGGTTGAAATGGCCTCGAACCGTAGAATCACTCAGTTGAGCCATGCATCTGCCAAAGATGGTGCTATCTGCAGAGCAAGTGTCCACTGCCACCGGAGGGAGGGGAGTTGTCTTCCGCGTAAGGTATTGCCGGGCTGTTTCGTGGATCATGGCGACACACCCTTCTCGGTCCACAGTCACAAAACCACCGCAGAGATCTATGATGGTTCTGGATTTCTCAATAAGGCCATCCTTGCGCAAAGCTGCGCAAAGCTCGTCCAGGGTGAGCGGCCGTTGGGTGCAAGTCGCCCAGTCCAAGATGGCTTCCCCCAATCGCTGTCCCTCAACACCCGGCTTTGACTTGACAGACTCCGCCATCCGATCGTACAGCGCTTCCATACCAGCAGGGAGATGTTTGAGTGCATTTTGAACGTCCAGTTTCGTGTGACAGCCGTTGATCTTCTGGACCGCGAGGTGAACCCATAAGAAATTGCCGCCCGCTCGGTCCAGGAGCTGGGCCGTCACCTCTTCGCGATACAAATCGTCTCCGGCCACGTCCATCTCCTGTTCAATGTAAACCCGGAAGTCCTGGACAGAGCCTTCCAGACTGATGGCGTCGACCTGAACTTGACGAGACATTTTCGGAAAGGCCATTGCAATGTCGGCGGTTTTGCGACTGACAACTAGAAGACGAAGGGGCATCGCAGCGTGTGACAGCTCGGAGAAAAGTCGAATGATTGAACCGGGACTGTCGGCTTCATCCAGCCCATCTAACACAAAGTAAATGGGGTGGCTCAGACTCAGACTGAAAAGGCTTTGCTTGAAGAGATACGACCATAGACTGCGATAATCGGCGGTCTTGTAGGCAATTCCAGCCGTCTCAAGCAGTCGAAGCTTCGCCGCGTACGATGGATTTGAGGTGGCTAACTGGTACGCCAGGGACCGCAGTATTGCGTTGATGGCACGCTTCTTCTGATCTGTGAATCGAATAAAGAAGTAGTAGCAGGCCAAGCCGGACTGAGTGAGGTGGTTAATCAAAAAGGACGAAAGTACCGACTTGCCACTTCCTGCATTGCCATTGATCCAGAGGACGCGAGGTTTGCGGCTATCATCACCGAGCCAATTTTGGAATGATTCGGTGTCCAGAATCCACGAGCAGGTGCCGAACACCAAGCGATCTTGGAAGAAACTAAAGTCATCTCGCGGCAGTGTTGAGACGGACAGCAGCTCTTCAAAGTGGTTGTCGAACGACGATTGGGTCGGTGGTGCCACTTCCAGCATTGGTGTTGATGCACTCCCGATTTCAAGTTCTGAGGACCACGCGGCTCTGTTCGCATGCGGGCTGGAAATTCCACTCTTGTTTGACTGCTCGACGAGGGTTTTGAGAACGTTGCGCACCGTGATATATCGTGGGTCATTCTGACTGTCGTATTTGCACAAATCACTGTGGTTGGCATCAAGAGGTTTTGATATCTCGCCGGGGTATCCAAGGACAGATGAATCCTTATCGAGGATCATCTGAGTTGAATGCATCAGCGTCTGATCCCTTCTCAAGTGTAGCTTGGCCCGGCTATTGCGTGTAACCGACTCACGATCTGATTCAGCTCGGACACCGGCGTTGGGCGAGTTTCGTAGAAAGACACGATCTGCAATTTTCGGGCCACTTGTCGAAAGTTCTCGTTCACTTTTTCTAACATTGAAGACCCCGCTACCAGTTCCGTAATGAATGGCCTCGAGCTTGCGCCGAACGATACTTGGAGGACCTTGTTGAGTATACCCGCAAGGTTCGTACCTCGATGTGGTGTAGACAGAAAGACAATAGATGAAATCTGTTCAATGATGTGCTCGAACATGGGATCGTTCTGGCCTTGAAGATATGCCTATACTCGGTTACCGGGGGCGTGTGAGCTCATCGTGTGCATGACCGTAACACATCGAAACATGTCCGGGAAGAAATGGAGACGCTTCCGTACCTCTTCGACGACCAGTCCCCCCATTGAATGCACCACGAAGATGATTGGGCACTTTTGAGCATAATTAATACTTTGAATCCAATAGAAATTGACGAGGGCTGGTGTTTTGGATGTCACAGCCTGTTATACTAACCTCTCCAATCCCCAGATCTGCCAAGTTTTCTCCTCCTTCATCTTTCGCATACTTCATATCGTACAGCAAGTCCTTGGCAAAGTCTAATATCGACATTACGCTCTTGCCCTCGCGTGCTCCAAAGTTTGCGTTGTACCCAAATGTCAACAATCGGGCGTCGCGAATGACAGGTTCCAAGGGGAGGAAGTTCTTTGGCCAGAAAAAATCGGGGTTGTAATCCTTTGACCAGCTTTTCTGACTTCCTCCCCCAAGTCCATGCACGAATATGATGTCGGCTATCGGCCTTCCGAAGGGACGGTGTATTACCTTGAGCCCTACGGGATCTTGGTCTAGGCGCGGGGTCGAGCCCGTCACGAGTGACGCCGGTACGGAAAACGACGTGCTCGTTGACGGAACCGCGGGAGCCTGAGACTCGGCATCTTCCAAGGGCGCGATGGTGTCACGAGAGCCGCGTTGTACGTCCCGTTGGTGGCGGTCCCGCTGCTTGCGAAGGCCCAGTTTCTTGAGCTGAACGACAACAATGGTCAATAAACGATCTTTCACAGAGCGCCTCGTTTAACAAGAGGGGGGAATAGAGAGATCCCGGCGTTGCCTTCCGCATGTTTGAATATCAACAGCAAGAAAAACAGACACATACCATGTTGTCTGGAATTCGATGTCAGATAGCACGATGCACGGCTGGTATGGTCATGCAATCTTGCGAGCACATGGGCAAGGAGGTGAGAAGAAGAGGTACGATCCCGGTCGAGCCTACGTTACATCTGTGGCTGCTTCACAGTAGTCATTCCATGTTTTACATTTTGGCTTCATGGAAGCACAGTAATCAGGCTCTGAACCACGTTATCTCCGTGGCCTCGGTGAAGGATTCCCGGCTTACTCTACCAAGAGCCTTGCCCATGCAAGACGGTGAATACTGGTCGGAGCCTGGCAGGGCGCTGCGTGGACGGAACAAGGCAGTTCGCTGGCATTCCCAGATTGTTTGTTGCCGAGACCCATGGTGAGGATTGGCGAAACGGACTCGGGTAACGGCAAGGTGCCCGGCGTTGGTACGACTGTGTGATCTTCTACCAAAAAGTGCATGTAGCCGCCACAGTCCACATTTCGAGATAAGTGCTGCCAATCAGTATCATTTTCAAAAGACTTTCCCGGTAGCCTGCTTTCACATTTGCATAAGGGTGGCCAGGAAGCGGGGAAAGAGGCTGGGCACATGGTGCTGATAATTTGGAAGGGGGGAAAGCTGACAAGAGAAATTGATTGTGGTCATTGTCTTTGTTGGAAGTTTCTCAGAATAAATTATGAAAACACAACATTCTTGTAATCTGCACTCGCTTTTTAGCCAGTACATGAACGCAGTCTTAGGTAACCGAGCTCAACCTCATTCAGTGTGCCATCTACATTTTCAGATTTCTCCAACAGTAAAGTAACTTGAGAGGCACCCAGCATGGAGACATTCACAACGCTGTCCGCCGGATTCCTCCCAGATAGTAAGGACAACCTTATTGGACATAATGATGGCGGTGCTACCAGTTTCGGTACCAATAGCGACGCGATCCTTGACCCTCTTGATAACAGCAACCCGTCAACACCGGGCGTCGACCTCAAGTCCCACCTATTGATCCAGGAGATGCGAGTTCGTCAGAACGGTGTGTTTCCAATGGATGAAGCCATTGCGAATGGTACGTCCACCAGTTGACAAACGACGCATATCTTGGGTCTTGCATGCTCATTCTGGGATTATGTCTCTTCCAGCTCTGCCGGAGGGATTCACGTTCGTATCAGTAGTGTATTTTGGTTACAGTGCTTGGACCATTACGGGCAAGCTCGTCGCTCGCTCTTCGAACGCCAAGAAGGTCTTTTTCGTCAAGATTGCATATGGAGAGACCGGCAGAGTCATGCTTCTTGGCGAATTCGAGTCGTCCAAAATCATATACAAGCTGATGCCAGGCTTCATCCCGGAGCCCTTTGGGTACGGACAGTACAAGAAAGCAGACACACCCACGTACTTCTACATGTCTCAATTTGTTGATCTCGATGTCACAACAGCACAGGACCCCTCCATGTTCTGCGAACGTCTGGCCGAGCTTCATTCCAGGAGTCAGTGCCTCGCGGACAAATTTGGCTTCCACGTCACGACGTGCGATGGCGACCGCGCACACATTGTCGAGTGGGAGTCGAACTGGGCCGTATTTTATAGGAAAATGTTCCTCCATACGCTCAGCCTGGACATCAAGCGCAACGGCCCGTGGCCTGAGTATGAGCGTGCCGGGCATCAGGTAGCTTGGGAGGTCATCCCGCAACTACTGGAGGGACTCACGTGGAACGGAGAACCGATCAAGCCCAGCCTGATTCACGGCGACCTGTGGGAGGGAAACACGGGTATCAGCAACGAGACGAACGTGCCCATGCTGTTCGACGCCGGATCGTACTTTGCCCATAACGAGATGGAGCTAGGGCATTGGGTCTGTGAGTTTTCGGCAACATTTGGTGCGCAGGCATACATGGACCGGTACGTTGAGTTCTTTGCGATGGCGGAGCCCGCCGATGAGTTCGACGATCGAATTCGGCTCTACAGCCTCAAAGGGGGCATCAACTATTCCGCTGGTCATCCTGGCAGCAGACTGAGAAAATCGTAAGCTACGCACTGTTGCTTGTCTCAATTTTTCATGACTTTTGGACTCTTTCACTGACAAGTTGCAGGGCTTATAATAGCATGTGTTACCTCTGCCAGAAATATGCCCCGATCGACGGCATTGATGCCTACGACGAATCGATCGATCCGATCAAGACAGGAGCCAAGATTGTGTCCCACGAAGAGATCAACTGAATTAATGAGCGATATCGCATCTCCTGTCTGGCGGATCGAGCGTCCATGTTGGGTCAATGATAATTTGAATGTCAGGAATACCTTGGAGACAATGGACCAAGTCCTGGACTTAGTATTGGTTGAAAGATGTACGGAGCATAGAGTCGTTACTCATGCGGAACAAAAGCTCTTCCAGGAACTTCAAACCATGTGTCTTGTGACTTGGTGTCTTCAAGTCCAGCCTGAGTTTCCATCCTCAATTTTGGCGTGTCCTATTCTTAAAGGTCTAGCAGCAGCTTGTACACAGCCTATCAAGTGAACATGTCTCAAGGCTCTGCTATTGTTCCGTATAGCTGCGATTGTATAGATACTAGAATTGTTAAATAAGAAGGCATGAGGGATTGGTTTTGGTGGCTTCTTGCAGATGGAGGTCACGTGGCGTGTTGCGGTGTTGTTCCGAGGGCCATAGATTGCTATCAACAGGAACACTGTTGGCTAACATGCATGCAAACTGAAGGCTCGGGTACGGTAACCGCGGCTCAAAGCGGGGGGATGTACCCAGTCTGCTTTGTCTTCTTATCTATGTGTGTTGAGTCTACCATGCATCTAGTAAGCTGGAAGTCTATGAACCACAAAAAGCGACCCGTCCTGCTCCCGATCTTGCAGCTCCTACAAACCCTAGCTCGTCGTTTACCGTATTTTTCGACAGAGGTGAACTCAATATGCTCTCCCCATGTTCTTCTGGTCAGGAATCCCCTGCAACCGACTCTTCTCGGGCCCTTCCCATAACGCCTGGACCTATCGTAGTGACATCGACCATTGCCATCACCGACCCAGAGAAAATGTGCCAGACAGAGGCGGCGGAGCTGGTCCCAGCGACGCGTGAAGCCGCTGGCAACCGGACGTACTCGGTCTTCTCTCCAACAATGCGCAGATACCTCACCTACCTTCTTGGCCTCATCATGACGCTGTCTACGCTCACAGCAACCATCTACTTTCCGTTGATACCCATGCTTAGCGTTGAGCTGGGTGTCTCCATCCAGGCCATCAACTTAACAGTCACTATCTACGTCGTAGTCCAGGCGGTGTCGCCGGCCTTCTTCGCCTCGCTCGCCGACACTGTTGGCCGCCGACCGGTGCTCCTGGGCCTGGTCACTCTTTACACAGCCGCAACCCTCGGTCTCGTGCTCTCATTCGTCTTTGCCACGGGTCAGGCTGGCTACAACGCGCTGGCGGTACTACGCGCCATGCAGAGCCTGGGAGGCTCGACAATGCCTCCCCTGGCTTATGGCCTCACATATGACATAGTACCTGTCCCGGAGCGGGGCGGCATGCTCGGGCCGATGCTGGCCTTCTGCAACGGCATCTCGGCCGTGGGCCCCGTGATCGGGGGCGGCATCGCACTGGGGACTGGAGGTGTGCTTTGGGTTTGGGTGGCACTGCTGGTGATAGCTACCGTATGTCTGCTGCTGACAGGATTTACACTGCCAGAGACGGCGAGGAATGTCGTAGGAAATGGAAGTCTCCCGGCGACGGGCGTGTGGCGGACTTGGGCGTCTTTACCTAAAGCATTCAAATACAGAGAAGATGATGGACCGACCGCATCCCAGGCACGAACTGGCAACGGCTATTTGAGAAAGAGTCCGGAATTGAAGTGGCAACCTCTCCAAGCCCTGGACTCGTTTCGGATCATCCTCTATCCTGAAGCGGCGGCGGTGCTTTGGATGATCGCCTCCTCCTACTCGGTTTACTACACGTTCCAAGTGGCAATCCCCGTCATCTTTTCAGAGATATACGGATACAACGAACTACAGATCGGGCTTGTGTTGCTCCCTGGCCTTGCCGGCATGACGCTAGGCGGGCTGGTAGCCGGCAAGCTTCTGGACAGAAACTTCGCTATTGTTGCACGGAAGCTGAACCTGGATACCAGCCACAAGATTACACAAATTATCGACGACTTTCCACTGGAAGTGGCCAGATACCGGCGATGTCAATGGTCTCTTCTATTCATGACCATCTGCGCAGTGGGCTACGGGTGGGCTGTGAATTTCCACGTCCACGCCGCGGTGCCCATTGTGCTGCAGTTCTTCATCTGCGCGACGTCCACGCTACTAAGCCATACAGCGAGCGCTCTACTAGTAGACTTTTTCCCGGACCGACCGAGCACAGCGTACGCATCGGCACAGATTGTTCGGTGCGGGCTCAGTGCTGTCTCTTCGGCGGTGTTGCAGCCGCTGGTAGATGCGGTAGGTCGGGGTTGGTACTTCACAATGTTTACATTGTTCATCAGCATAAGCGGCTTAGTGTCTATGGTGGTGAGTCGGTCAAAGGGGGTAGATTGGCGAAGACGAAGGCGGGGATAGATTCAATCAGATGGTTCACTGTAGTTTGGTACTAGGTGGAAGACGAGATCGTCACGTCTAAAACATGTTCATCTTGATGATCGAACTGTACCTTAGGTTAAGTTGTATCCGTCGGTACTAATATTATTTAAAGACACGGACGGCATCATCTCAAGGAGTTCGGGCACCGCCACGCGGTCGAGACAAGCCCTCCGCTGCATACTCAATCTCCGCGTGCCTGGAGCCGTCTTGAAAGACTTTTCATGGCAATCCGGCTGTCTACAAACAGCCTCGTGTACTGAGATCACTTCAAACAGGGAACCATCCAGCCCTTGATTGAGTAAGTCTAGCCGGGACATTTTGACACAACCCTAGAGAAGCAGCCGACAGCGGCTTCAGCCCGCAAGAAACGCGGAGCCCGTATGAGGCAGACCTTATATAAACACTCCAGAATCTATTAGAAGACCTCCCCAGATAGTTATGCCCTCCTCCTTAGTGGCCCCTTCATACCGGCTATGCGTTTGATTCCCAGCATGGTCCTCAGCCATCTAGGACAGAGATTTCAATACAAGGCTGTATCGGCTGTAAATACGACTTTGGTATAGAGCAGCTCTATCCACTTCGCTCTCAAAACGGTTATCCACTTCATCGCAAACTTCCCCCACTGGCACCGCTGGTAAGTCAAGCTTCACGAGGATCTGCTGGGGTCCGAGTGCGGCGTCACCGGCACCCAGACCCACTGGGGCTGGAGCCCCGCCGTCGATGCCGCCGACACGCAGCACTCGCTCGGTTTCGACCCCGTCACCGGCTACGGCGGTGACGGCAAGCGAACGGGTAGCGACGTACCCGTAATTCAGCGCTGTGCGGTAGATGTGCCGTTTGCCAACACGAACTTGACGTTGCCGACGTAGTGGCCCGACAAGAACACATGAGCAACCTACCTTGGAGCCATAAGCGCTCACTGCTTAGCATAAGCGCTCGTAGAAGATCATGAGAGCTCACTACCCCGCCTAAGTGATCACTAGCCAAGAAGGTATTCAAAAACAGGACTATATAATATAAACTTGAGCTGGACTTAAGGACAGATTTCTATAGCTTCTTCAGTAATTTATGCTATATTAGATCTCATGATCGCATTTAACTTATTCCCTTCAAGAGCCTTATTTACTTTACGACCTGCAGACTTAGCTTCCCTAAAGCTGATCTTACGAAGATTACTCTTACTATATCGTAGCCTCAACTTCTCTCACTTATGCGGGTTAAGAGGGGGTTTTCAATGGTCCCCGGAAAGGGTGTCTGCTCAGTGACCCAAGGGTTCATAAGCACTTACTAGAGTAGGTAAGATATAAAAATTATATATAAACAGCATAACTCAGAGATACAAACTTTTTTTTTCTAGAATCGACTTATTCTAAATAGAAATAACTATTTTCACACTATTTGTAGGGCATGGGCATATCTCTGATACGTGGGTGAGGCATTCAACAAACTTTAAGTAGTCAATTGAATATTCACCATTACAGGACGATTAATGACATCTTACGAGCCTCTGCCCTCAATTAGATAGCGCCACGCCGGGGCCATCCCATACTTTAGGTCTCTGAAGCGTACTTAGCACGTCTCAGTTTATAATCACAAAACATTTCTTCTGATCAAGCATTCCTACCATGTACATGTATTTGGGCTCTCGGAAATCGCACGAAGCAACCATAGATCCGGGCAATGTGTACCCAACATAAGGCATCGAAGTCGTCCGCTGCCAGAGTCGGTCTCTTAAATGACGGTAGCTTCAGATTTCAAAGTAAAACAGGCTGAAGTTTTCAATGTTATCCGGTCCTGCCATATCAAGTGAGGAGGAACGTGTAAGTTTCACTAAACGGGGACAGGTGCCGTCCCGCCACTTCAGCTCAACGTGCGTGAAACCTCTCACCCCATCTGCCACCATGAGACAACTCACCAGCTTATCGCCAAGAGGCGTGCGCCAGGCGCCCCAAGCTCCAAGCTGGGAACGCCACTCACCTCAGCCGCAAAGGCCCAGCCCCACGGCGCCCTCACCTAGCGCGACTACTACTCACGGCCTGGAACGCATGTGCAAGCACTATCGTGCTGTAGGAACATCTGCCGTAGAATGCTATGGCTTGTTAGTGCTATTCTCCGTCCCCCTTGCTGGTCGCGTGGTTGATCCAGCGTGGTGGTTCGCTTGACTAGTGCGGGATGGACGGCAGCTCTGGGGTCCAAGATGGCGCAGATTTGGGAAGCTTGAATGAACGAAAAGCGCTTCGTGATTGGGGCAGCCGCTTGAATGGAGACTTGTCAGCTTATCGCTTTGTTCCACAGCCTATCCCGTTTATGATGTTAGCCTCAGACAACGACTTCAGCCCTCACCACACCGTTGGCGCCACTCAGCTTCAAGTCTCGACGACTATGCTGCGCAGGATTAGCTGTCTAAACTCGGTCTGGTATGTTCAGCCAAAAACATCCCACCGGTCGCATTTTGGAGAGAGTTTAGGAGATCAGTGCTTTCCAAAAACTCTCCTGGCTGGTCGGGGGTATCCGTCCCTCCCGCTGTGTTCCCCGCCGCTCGTTGGAGATTGTTGGGTGGCGGGTGGCGCGCCACAACCAGATACTCATAACTTAAATGGCATTACTCTCCCTTGTCCATAAAGCAATTGTGTTACCTATATGATTCCCATCTCTCCAAGCCGTGAATTGCATTATCAGAGATCATGGCGCCCACGATCGATACCCTCATCATCGGCGCCGGCCCCAGTGGTCTCTGCGCCGCAAAGACACTCCTCCAACATGACCCTGCCGCCGAAATACTCATCCTCGACGGTCGCGCCTCCGTCGGCGGCGTGTGGGCCCGGGAACAAATATACCCGAACCTCAAGACGAACAACCTCGTCTCGGCAATCGACTTTTCTGATTTCCCCATGGACCCCGAGCGCTTCGGCGTCACGATCGGGGACCATGTTCCCGGGGAAGTCATGCACGAGTACCTCGTTGCGTATGCTAAACACTTTGGCGTCTGGGACAAGATCCAACTAAACACCAAGGTCATACGGGTGACTCGCCCAGCGGACCAGGGGCAGTGGAACGTCGACGTTGAGGAGAATGGTGACGCCAAGACCGTGACTTGCACACGCCTCATCGTCGCGACAGGCGTTCTCACCGCACCGCACATGCCCAACATCACCGGATCCCAAGACTTCAAAGCCCCGATCATCCACTCCGCCGACCTCGGCCCCAGGTCAGACCTCTTCTCCTCTCCCGACATCGCCACGGTCGCAGTCCTAGGCGGGAGCAAATCTGCCTACGACGCGGTCCACCTAGCCGCCTCCACGGGCCACAAGGTCCGCTGGCTCATTCGCCGCTCCGGCCGCGGGCCCGTGTGGGTCGCGCCGGCGTACACGCAGCTCGGTCCGTTCAAGGTCTGGCGCGAGCGGCTCGTCACCAGGAGAATCTGCGCGTTCATGTCGCCGTCCGTATTCCCAGATTTCTCGGGTTTCGCGTGGGTGAGACGGTTTCTGCACGAGAGCGCCGTTGGGCGGGTGGTGAGCAAGGCCTTTTGGAAGCTCATCCGGCACGACACGATCAACGATTGCGGGTACCAGACGGACGAGAAGACCAAGGTGTTGCAGCCAGAGCAGAATATGTTCTGGTGAGTTTCTTGCCCCTGGTTATGCTGAGCTGTGTGACTGATCCCGATTTTCGACAGGTACGGCACTGCCTCTGGTATCCTCAGCTTCGAAGACGACTTTTTCGAGTACGTCCGTAACGGCACAGTCCAGATCTATCGCGAAGATATCGATCACCTATCAGACGGTACCATTCACTTCAGGGACGGCTCGAGCGTCTCCGCCGATCTCCTAGTCACATCGACCGGCTTCTCTGCAAAACCCACCATCGACTTTGAGCCCGCATCTCTCCATTCCGACCTCGGCATCCCTTCCACATCCCTGGGACCCAAACAAGAAGCGTTCTGGAACGACGCAAACACAAAGGCAGACGCCGCCATCGGCGCACGCTTCCCGCGCCTGCTCGACGGCCCCTTCCAAAGCCCCACGTCCTCAAAGACAAAGTCGTTCAACCCGGGCGCCTCAGCAGAGGCATCCTACACCCCCTGGCGCCTCTACCGCGGCATCGCACCGCCCGGTCTCGCAGCCCGCGACGACCGATCCCTCGTCTTCCTGGGCGCCTTTAGCAACCTCGCCAACATTATGCGCCTCGAGGTGCAGTGTCTCTGGATGCTGGCGTATTTTGAACACGGGATCCCCACCTTTGACGTCGACCGCCGCGGGGGTCGCGTGTTTGAGGAGACGGCGTTGTTCCAGCGGTGGGCGCAGCACCGGGCGCCGTACGGGCACGGTCGGTTTTATCCGGACCTGGTTTTTGATCAGTTGCCGTATTGGGACATGCTGCTCGGCGATGTCGGGGTGGAGACGGCGCGGAAGGACGGCATGTGGGCCGAGTTGTTTGAGAGCTATACGCCGATGGACTATCGGGGCATGGTACAAGATTGGATTGTGCAGAATCGGTACAAGTCTTCTGCTTGATTCTGTAACGACGGTAATACCAGCAGGTGTAATGACTCAATAGCTAAAGATATAGCAAGGAATCTGGCTATCCATGAGCGCCGTCGTCGCCCGATGGGGATTTCCGTCACAGTCTGATATCAGTCACTTGCATGTAGTACTGTGGGCTAAATCCGATCCGAATTCACCGCCAACGTCTTCCTCCGCAGACATTAAACTGCATTTGGGATAGGCTGGATGCCATTTTACCAGCAATCTTTCCTTGTGGCGTACTTGTGAGACTTGCATGCCAAGTTTGTGTCCCCGCTCCAGATCATCCCGTTCGATGCCGAGTGTCAGATCGCCAGAGACCGATCCGCTCGTAATCAGACTTTCACCATGTGATGAACCTTGGCCTAAAAGTCAGGACTTCTTATCTCTATCAAAGAAGCCATTCCTCCATACTTTTTCCAGCTCATCCAAAGTACTGTTGCAAATGGGAATACTGTATGCGTCAAAACTTCTGTGACTTTGAAGTATCAGAACGGAGCTCATCCAATTGGGATGTAAAGTTGGCAGTCTGTTGGGAGACTCAAAGGGGCTACAAATTAACACAATGCGTATTCGAAGCATGCAGGACGCTGCACCTCTGATTGGCACGATCTATTGATTGAAAGCTTCGCGCGACTCTCCTCGACGCGCTGCTCAACCTTTCCCCGTCACAGTTAGAAAAGGGTTCAACATCGTATCTATCAGTAACTTTCTTCATGTGACGTACAACTTCAGACCGCATTGCAAGAATTAGGTATAAGAAGATTTCGAACTTCCGCCTTCTTCATTCTTTCCCTTCTCCCTGCAAGGTGGAAGAGAGTTTAGGAGTTGTTGACGAGAGAATTTTGAGGATATGGATTATTTCAGGGATAATGAGGAGGAAGGTAAGAGACCTGAAGCATGCGGACGTTAGTCAAGAAATCTACTAATGGTTACTACCTAGTACTTGATGATATGGCTTTCAACGAAACCCAGGGGTTCGAACCACTCAATGCGCTCCTCGAAGATGGCAGTTTCAAGCAGGAAGTCATGCCTGACTATTGTCCCGAGCCCGCTCAGCTCGTAAATATCAATGCGGGTGCGGTCGGTGCCGATATGAGCTACTGTCAAACGCCCCCGGGATTGCCCACCGGGGGTTCGGCCGGTTCATGGGAAGGCTGCGGCGTCACCAGCGCATCCAATGCCCTTTAGAGCGGAAGCTTGGGATACAGCCAAAAGCCCCTGATTGAACCTGGCTCGGACCGTTCGGTAGAGACAGCTGTCGAAAAGCAACCCGCACATTATTTTGTCGGCATGGTTGTCCCAGAGGGCATGGTCGAATTACCGTTGCCTGAGGATAGTCGAGGAGTTGGGCAGATGGATTTTTCAGAGGAGGAGATACCCCTGCTGAAGGATGAGAACGTCTGGTATGGGTTCTATTTTTGTACTTGGCCTGGGTGCGAGGACTTTTTTCCCACACCTGGCGCTAGGAGGTAAGGCCTGTTATACATTATTCTTCGGATGAGGTGGACTGACGAGAGATGCAGGAAGCATTACAGGGCCCATTATAGGCCCGTCATCTGTCCTGTGTGCGAAAAGCGAATGGCTTGGAACAGGGACATGAGGAAGCACTTCGAGACGCATTTCAAGCGGCCGCGTTTTCAGTGCCGGTGCACGAAGGATTATTCCAAGATGGACAACCTGAAAAAGCACATGAAGAAAATGAACTTGCGGTCAATGAACTTACGGTCAATATTGTAGACGAGCACGATGGTTTGCTAAATCCTTAGCACAGTGTCTTTCGAAAACCTGGTTTCATTCACGGATGCGGAAAACAAGAAAAAAAGTTGAAAATTTTCAAGACTTGGCAAAAAAAAGTTGAACACAAAAACTAAGCTTAGGACAGAGAAGATCGAAAAATAAACACACTCATTTGGCGTCAAAAGGTTCAGTCCCACATGTATCAAATTTGAACACCGCCCCCTTCATCATTCTCGGCTTCGTCATCGCCATTGACCTTATCATCATTCTCGAGCTGCCTGTCATCCTCAGACTCCTGCGGGTGACCCCCTATAGTATCGTGTTGAAGATTGAGTAGGCCGATAGCACTGTCCAAACCGAACACTATTGATGGCACAGCGTGTCAAATAAGCCAGAACCACACCTACTCGGCATTGCGTAGTATGTCCAGTGCACTCACCTTCACTTGACGGACCAGCTTGACTTCCATCCGCCTCCTCCGTGTCAGACCCCGAATCGTCGCCAATATCAACCAGCGACGCAGTGATCCCGGTCAAGGAATCCGGATGCTTGATAGTAGTCGTTTGGAGCTCCTCGAGTTGTTCGACCACCATGGCTTTTAAGTCTCCAATCACATTATTGATGATCTTCCGCTGATTTTTCCATCCGTCGTTTCCGGTACCGCCCAGGAGACTTACAACCCCCCAGTTCGCATAGACGTTTTGGTGGTTGTCAAGCAGAGTGGCTCGAGCGGGATGATGTCGCACGTACGACTCGCAGCCGATGCACGCCGGCTTGCTACAGGCGATATAACGGTCATTTGAGACGTATCGGCATCCACTATCCCAGAAGTGATGAAGCATCTGGATCTCTGCATGGACGCAAGTCTGCAGTCCACCAACTTGGAACTTGGCTTGGAGCTTGGACTCGATCTGAACTTGAGAGTCCACACGCTGGAGGAATCCTAGGTGCGACTCATATTGTGCATCCGTATCTGGTATAATACGGTTCAGGATACGCGGTAAAGTCGTGTGCGCATCCGCCGCCGGGACTTCCGCGCTGATGGGACGTTCCACAGCTCTGACTTGGTAGGTCTCGAGAAACGTCTCCATGCGGCTCGCGTCGTCGAGGAGCTGGTTGACGCTGCGGATGCGAGCGGCCAGACGACCAACCATGTGTCTGACGGCACGATACGCAGCGGTAACCGGCGCCGGATGCAAAACGTCTTCAGACTCCTGGCCGAGCTGTTCGATGCGGCGCATTTCATCGTCGTTTCGTGAACGATACGCCGCCCGGCACAAGGCTCCTAGGTCAGAGTGTTTATTTTCGAACCGTCGGAGCCAATTCGCGACTGTACGATCTGAAACTTGTTCAACGCCATGTACCATGATTTGCTAACTCCAGGGAAGACATAATACTCACCAGCTTCTTCGTCGCTACCCTTTGGAGAATTCTGACACTTTGTAGCCGAGTTGCGAAGGATCCTAGCCTCCTGCTTGATTCGCTCAGAGGCAAACGCAGTGCACCAAGCCACCAAGCCGTCCTCCGCCGCCGCGCGATCATCGACCCGCTCAACAAACTTCTGTAACTTCTCGAGTGTCTCTTTGAGAAAGTGCACGACTCTGTCCCCGGCGCCCTCGTTTGACGCAACCCAGAAAATATAGCAGTCGATACTGTCCTCTACGCCAATGGCAGTAGTACTACTGCCTCCCTTTTTGTAATCGCAGAGGAATGCCAAGTTTTTGAAGAAGCGTCTTCGTATGTCTTGCAGTGTGTAGTTTCCGAGCTGAGAAACGACGTGCGGGCCGCCTACCGGACGGATGATGGAGAGAAGAACGAGAGCCTCGTAGAGGCGAAAGAGCAGCCGCAGGTAGGGGTTCATTCGAGGCGTGAGAGCCATCTTTGGTGATTTTTCTTTTCGTGTCAAGGGGTTTCGATTGAAAGGGTTCGTGAACAGAGTGTCTCTGTGTGTATTTGGTGACTAGATCTACCAGGCTGTCGCGTAGTTGCACGCAAGTGAGTAAACATGAATAATAGGGGACCGAAGGTAGCTCCCTCAATAGCTTCTGACAGAGCTCCCTTCGGCCCCCGCTGGTATTGCTAGTCTTGGGCAGATGCTGGTGACAAGAAACGCTTTGGTGATAAAGCAGGAGGCCCTCCGAAATCAAGAACTTAAAGCGAAAAGCGAGATTGAATTCGGTTTTCCCAAAGTTTTGTTCACAACGTGCCACACCAAACTCTCACAACTAATCGACGTCATCAATCTCATCAAGACTTAAAAATGAACAGAGCGTACCGACCTTTGAGGGGTCGACCTGCATTGCTGCCTCAGACGTGAAGCTAGATTTTGGGTTCAGTAATACCTTATTCAAGGGTGTCTTTCCCCTTGCACTTTTGCCATTTGTACCGAAGTCCTTGTAGCCCTTGGAGATTGATAATGCTAAGACTGCCTATATGGCTCCGGAATACTTAATGGAATGGGGATGGCCATCGGATCTTCGCATCTGTCGCATCTGCGACTGGCATCAATGATCATGGGCATGATGATCACTCATCGCCACATCCCCATACTGATACATAAGGCGCGTCAAGTGGACTACCAGCTAGCTCAACTAACCTTCTATCTTTTCATAAAATATTCAAGTATTGAATCACACACATCCACTCTTTCTATCAAAGGTTGAACGTTACAAAACAGACCAAAAGCAGACCAGAAGCATCGGCATCATCTATCTTCCCAGAGTGCGCTGCGTCAACGAGCAAAAAGATGGACGATCTGGGAATCGAACCCAGGACCTACCGCATGCTAAGCGGTCATTATACCACTAAACCAATCGCCCATGGCATGATCTAGCCCGGACTTGAACCGGAGACCTTCAGTGTGCTCAACCGAATTGCTTCAAGCTGTTAGACTGACGTGATAACCAACTACACCACCAGACCTTGTTGAATGGGGCACCTAAATTTGGCAATATGAATGTTGCAGTGGGAATTTGCATGCGAGATGGGAAATGTGTGGTGGAGATGCGTCAAGCGAAAGTAGATGCAGAGGCGGGTCGCGATGCAGGGTGGCATCCAATAATCGACTGCGTACAGCCGTTGGCGTTGACAAGGGTCGGGGGATGGGAATGCATTCGCGACGCGGGTCGAGATGCACAAATGGTGCGGCTAGCTCGGGGGCAACAATACCTTATGAAGACCAAGAAAAGCGCTATCATGGCGTAGATGTTCAAGGTACGCAAAGCAGACATACAGTGATCCAATATTTCCAGGCAGATGCCTCTCAGGCGAACCTCAAAGAGCGTTGTCATGAGAAACCCTGAAAAAGACCAGACCCCTTGCTAAACGATTCGGCCAATGATCACGTCCGAAAGATGGCAAATCGCGAACTCTCAAGCCTAGGGGACGTGTGAATCGCGTCGACAATGTCAGTCGCGATTTACAGTATCCGTACGACTGGCGGAAAGGGATGCGAACAAACAAAAATAAAGAGCGCTCTGAACGCCAGACGGTCGCAGGCCCCGGCTTAAAATTGTTTGGGACGACCGCGGCTGGGACGGGAACGATTGGCTGAACGCGCGGGTGCGGAGCGCGGGGCGGGCGGGGCCGTTGAAGTGGGTCCATTTGGGCCGGGGGAGCTTGGGACGCTAATCCCAAAATGGAAATGTGTAAACAATAACTCCATCAACAACAGTTTGGCATTGAAGTAGAAGGGAGTAAGTAGGTTGACAATTGAGACACGATATCGACGTTGGAACAATCCCTCTGTAGAGAAAGTGTCCATTCGTATTTATCTCAGACTCTTATCCCGCTGCAGGTGCAATTCCTCGTAGCAAGCCTCCTTCCTACGTGGATTCATCGCTCTCCCCTCCCCTTGAACCAACCACATCAGAGGCCTCAACCTCAACAGGGACGTCCAGTCGCTTCAAGATGCCAAACGATGACCTCCCCATCGCCTTACGGCGCACGCGGCGAGGCATGATTGCATCCGCTGCAGCGCCCTCGCAACCGCCAGCACCACCAACCGCACCATCACAAACACCACGCAAGGCCGCAAAACAACGAGTCCGCTTCTCCGACCCGGGCCCGTCGGCCACCACCCCGCGCACAATCCGCACCGCCTCAACCGGTCTCACGCCCATGATCAACCGCACCTCTCTATCCCGCGACGGCACCACCACCACCACCCCGTCCTCCTCGTCCCGCCGTCGTCACGCCATGCCACCCCGCCGCAACGGCGCGGCCGCCGCAACAGCAACAGGGACAGACCTCCTCCCGCCCAGCGGCGAAGTCCACTTCCTCCCCCTCCGCCAGGTCCTCTCGGGCCGCGTCCAGCGACGCCTCCGCCGCAACGGCCTCAGCGAGGAAATGAACGCCATCACGGCCGAAAAGCGCGCCCGCGCCAAGCAGGCCAAGGCCGAGGTCGAGCAGCTGCGCGACCAGCTCCGCCAAAAGGACGCCGAGATTTACGAGCTGCAAAACGCCACCATCATCCTCGACACCGAGCGCATCTGGGCTCTCGAGAAGGAGGTCGACACGCTCAGGAGCCAGCTCGCGGAACGGTCGTCGTCGTCGTCGTCGGTCGTCGTCGCCGCCAGGCAGAGGAGCTGCGTCGACTGGACGCTCGCGGCGCGCGACCCGTTTGCCGACGATTTCATGGAGACGGACACCGTCGAGGCCGAGTCGTTGTGCGGGGAGCGCGTGCAGTTTGCCGACGAGACGGTGTTTGGGGACGCGACGATGGCGGAGATGGAGTGTAGCACGCCCACGCGGGTGCGGTCTTCGTTCCTGACGCCGCCGCTGACGAGTCCCGTCGCCGCGGGACCCTCGACACCTTTGTCGCATAGGGGGAAGCAGAGGGTTGCGGTCCCGGCGCCAGCCGATGCCGGCGTGCAGGCTTGCTTACCCGATCCCGAACAGGAGCGTCTCGAGGAGGAGCTGGCATCCCTGCGTCGGGAGATGTCGAAGCTCACCGGCACACTGGAGTCCTACTCTGCCCTGACCGACCGCTTATCGCAGAAGCTCTCGTCCGTCTCGCGAGAAGAAACGTCACCACTAGCAGCAGCAGCAGCAGATCCCCTCACCACCATCGAGTCCCAAATCACCGCCCTACTACGCACCATCGCAGACCGCACCGCCGCACTCCAGCATCTCAACACCAGCCTCTCCGCCCTAGGCTTCCCCGGTGGCTCCGACGGCGCCGAGGTCGTCGCCTCCCTCTCCTCCGCCCTGCGCACAGCCCGCCTGGAGCTGGAGTACCTCACCCCCGGCGAAATTACCCTGCCCCTCTCCTCCCGCGGCGCAGAGGTCCTCGACCTCCTCCTCACGCGCCTGCGCGCCCTCGCGAAGCGCGCCAAGGAAGACGAGGCGTCCATCGACGAGTACCACGCGCTCGAGCTCTCTCTCCGCCAGCAGCTCGGCGCGCGCGTGGCCGCCATGGGCGAGCTAGACGCGGAGCTGACGCGCGCGAGGGCGACGCTCACGGAGAAGGAGGGCCGGGTCGCGGAGCTCGAGGTCAGCGTTGCGAGGCTCAAGGGCGCCGTGGCGGGCTACGTGCGGGATATTGGCGAGCTGGAGGGCGTCGTGGGGCGGATGGAGAGCGAGAACCGCGATGCCATGGCGACCAAGGATGCGCAGGTTGAGGTGGGGCGGCGGGTGCTGCGGGCCAAGGAGGATGGGATTGCGAAGCTGGAGATGAAGCTTGCGGATGCGGTGGCGCAGGGCCGGTCGCTGCGGGCGAGGCTTGCGGAGGCCGAGGAGGCGCGGACGAGGGAGGTTGCGGAGGTGACGAGGCGGGGCGGCGCGGCGCTGGCGGTGCGGGATGCGAGGGTTCGGGAGCTGCGGGAGGAGTTGGAGAGGGTGAATGCTGGTTTGAGGGCTGCGCATGAGGGGATTAAAGATTTGAGGGTTGAGAAGAGGGGGTTGGAGGGGGAGATGGTGCGGGAGAGGGAGGCGGCCAAGGGGGTGATTGAGGGGATGAGGGGGGAGCTGGAGAGGGTTGTTGGGATGAGTCGGGAGTTTTTGGGGTCCGGGGCGGAGGCGGAGGAGGAAGTGGAGCAGGAGGCCGGGCCGGAGGGTGGGGTCGCCGGGTCGGAGACGGGTACGAAGAGGGGCCTGCTTGCGGGGGATCTGGCGAGGAGGTCGTCGGGAAGCAAGAGGCGGAGGTATGATAGCGGGTTGGGGTTCTTAGAGGAGGACGAGGTTGACGCATGAGGCTAGCTGTGCGCGTCTTTGCATGGATGCATGTGCACTGCACTGGAGAGCGCCATGGAATTACTCATGTGGGATCTAGAGGAGGGCGTTTTGGCGCATGTTCCCATCGTTTGCCGTGGTCACGGCGGTATTTCTTTTGTCGGTGGTAGACTCAATTCTGTTTCGCCGGTTTCGGGTAGACTAACGGGCGAGGCGTTGGAATGTACTGGGAATTCAACGTGAACTCTTAGTTTGACGCTTCCGTCTATGCGCCAACTACGTTCGCTGCAGACAGCTTTGAGTTAAATTAACTCTGGCATAAATCGATTTGATTCAAGTTCAAAGTAAATGTATCCTTACTGATCATTGAGGAAATCACTCTCGCTTCATGCTTCTACATTGTGAAGCGCCCAACTCATCAAATGTTGCACTAATCATCTCATTGATATGCCCCTGTTTTCTTCTTGTTGACCGCACTTAGGACATGTACAACTTGCCTATTTGATCGATTTCGGGGCAACTCAAATTCTACTAGCTATTTTCCCAATGTTCCACCCTTATCCTGCCTGCATTCGTTCTCACGGCCAAGCCGCATCCGCACCGTTCCGCGGCCAACACCAAAACTCTCCACCAAGTTACGAACCCACCTGCATCGCATCAAATCCCATCCCCAAGTAACACGAAAACGGCCGCATGCGTGCAACACCAGCCCGCAACCCGACAACATGTCCTACATGAACATCAAAACAGGCTCCCCAGCCCCTTTTCTTTTTTTAAAAAAGTAATCAAGCTTCATCCAGATCCAAAAGACCCAATTTCCCGGCAACATTCCCCCTCGTGTTTCTTCCCAAGCTTCTCAATTCCCCAATTTGACTCATCGCCAACCAACCACCAGGACCCCAAAGACAAACAGACAAAAAACCATGTTGCCCCCAAAAGCCAAATTCGTCCGCGAAATCGAGCGCGGCAGCACCAACAATCGCACGCGCAAACCCACATCCACGACCCCATCCCCCGCACTCTCACATCCCAAATGCACATTCACGGCCCCCTCACCACCAGACATGACCTACTTTGCCCGCATCCTCCGCTACCAACGCTACGGACGCGACGGCCTCGGGCCCGCGTACGCAAGCGACCTCACGCTGCCGGTGTACGAAAAGTACAAGTCGCCCTACCAGGTCACCTACACGGAGCGCCCGGGCTCGCCGCGGGGCTCGGCGCAGAGTGACCAGCTGCCCTTTGACGTTGCTGGCTATCGTAGGGCTCTCGTGGCTGCCACGGTGAAGAGGCGGCAGTGGTGTACGTTTGTGGCGGTTGTTCTTGCGCTGCTGATTCTCATATTTGGAGCCGGTGTTTTGGCGTTTGTTATGGTGTCGGTTCGGTTGAAATGAGAGAGGGGCGGTGTGTTTGTTCTTATTTGTGAATGCGAGCGGGCGTTTTCGTGTTGGTGCTCTTTTCACAAAAGTTTTATTCAATTTAATGGGAAGTTGGCAAGTGGTCAAGGTCGTTTGGGATCAAGAGATTCACGGCAGTTTTGGAGTCACGGAAAGGACATGGGGCGTTGGTAGCTCACAGGGCACCGTTTCGAGCTTTGAACAATGAATCGATCATATAGTGATCAGTAACAAGTAATCTAGGCTATTGTCCAAGCTATTAAGCCTGATTGACTTCCTGTATAGCCTTTCCGAACGTCACTCATCTCCGTGCCAAAAAAAGTAATCGTTGTCATGTTGCTCGCGGATCATACGACCGAAAGAATTCAAGACTCTCAACCCGGTGACAGGGCGATGACATCCCTGACTATAGACTTACTTTGCCCATTTTCGCTCAACAAACTCCATAGGCAGTGAAATACAAGCTTGTTCGAAGAACTGTACCTCCTTGCCACTTTGATTCAAGATCTCGAGGCGACGCTGTATGGGTAGAATTTGAGACCACGAGGGTCCGGCATTGTCTATGGGAAGCAAGTTAAGACATATAGCCCGACTTCCGGGTCAGATGTGTCAAGAATCAAACAGATCGGCCCAGATCCACTGCCTACCTCGCCGTCATCAGTGGGTTGAACGTATGGGCGAGTCCTCGAAGAGCGCCGCATTTCAGCGCCATCAATATCGAGTATTAATTACTCTTACGCAAAGATCAGCGTACTAGAGAGTTTTCGGGAAAGACCCCGACTGTCTGGAAGACTCGTGGAGGGTGATGGAGTCAATTTCTTTGTTCCCAACCTAGGGATTCTAGATATTGGTAGCGTAAAGCCGCTCTTCGACGAGATCGCGAGACGTGGCAAAATCATCGCAGTCCTCCTCAGATACTGAACATTGTTTACATATCTTGCCGCATCCAAACTGCCTCAAGCGACCAAGGCAGCTGGTACGAAACCTTAATGAGGTGGATGGCAGGCTAATGCAGCTCATTGGCGGCAATGTTGCAGAAGGCAGCCAAAGGTGCCGGGTTGAATGAAAGGAATACCAGCCAAGAACCGCATATAACCTTGTCTCACTGCATTCGATGAAATTTGTGTATTGGTTCTACAACCTAAGGGCATTACTTCTCAAGCTCGGTGACCATCCTATGCAGTGCGAACTGCGCGGTAGTCTCTGTTTCCAAAACCACTCGCCCTGAATCGGCTATTGGCTTCCCCAACTTGCCATGTCTAAATGGAAGCGGGTTTTGGAATATCTGCGGTGTCCAGCCCAGAGGCGTAGAGGCTGAGATACTCGGACATCTTGGAGTCTAACTCAATATTAGCAGGGGGCTGCCACGTTATAGACTCAGGCTTGCGGACGTACACAGCGCCATTCCATGCTCCAGCTGGATTTTCATGTACTGCGGTGTATCCTAGCGGTCGGTTAGCAAAATAATCGAAATAGTTGGAGATTCATTGTGGTCCACCTACGGCCAGGTTAGCGCCCTTTCTCAACCATTCTTCGATCTCCATGGCGTCGGCCTTTGCCGCTACCCAGATCGAGGTGATGGATTTCATGTTGGCGGTGAACTTTGTGGCGTCAACAGCTGCAGCGGCGACAAGCTCTGCCCGGGCTCTTTTGATCGTCTCCTTGTTCCCGTTCAGCCGGCTGAGCTCAGCCTGCTTATCATCGATCTCGCTCTGGCAAGCTGGCCCATTGTTACTACTTCAAGTTTCGCCAGATAGAGGCCAAGTCAGATGGATGGGCCACACATACCAGCGAATTGAATTCCAGTCGTCACCAGACCGACGCCTGTTGCAAGCACAATGAGAGCACCCGCCACCTTGGTTCTCGCTCAGCAACTTTGAAACCGGTGAAGTAGATTCAGATTGACGACAGACTCACCCAGCAGATTGGGGCAAAGGGCCCAGCCCAACAACCACCAAAGGCAACAGCCGCTCCAACAAGAGCAGTGGCGCCAAATCCGATGAGCATGTTGCGCAGATTTTTCAATTTCTCACTAAGCTTGGCGAGCTCATTAGTGAGTTTGGTGATCTGGCTGTCGAGTGTGCCACTCTGGTTCTCAGCCCAGTTGGCAAATTTCACAGCAAGCCTATTGAAGTCGTCCTCAGCATGACCAAGGTCATCGACGATCTTCTGAGACTGTGTCTCAAACTCTTTGGCTTCCTACCGAAAAAAATGGGTGAATGCAAGTCAGATGATTTCCTTCTAGTGCTCGGAGCATCTTGGGGAAAACGACTTACATTGATGGCATCTGCGATTGCTTTCTTCCTCTGGTCAATCGACAATGTCTTGTCTGCGCACAGAACAACAACGACTTCGTCAAAGTTGGTTCCGTACACGGCAATCCGCGCCGCGAGCCTGCGACTGTCATCAATGATACCACGATACTTTTCTCTCAAAGCCTTCAGCTGCGTTGCAAACGGGTCGCCGACAATCTTGTTATCATTGTCAACTCGAAGCAAGAGAGTCAGCAGCGATCCAAAGATGTCGTCGTTCTTCTTGCAGGCCTCAACGGCCTTTTTGGCTGACTCCTTTAGCATGGCAATGGTAGTTTCTTCCTTGGCGAGGATCTTGGCGACCTCGTCGTAGATCTTCTTTTTTTCATCATCTGTGTAAGGGGGTGGGATATCACCGCTGTTGAGGGCCGCCTTTTCCTCCGATGATAGGTTAGGAACGGCTGCTGCGACGTTGGTACCATCTGTTGCTTTTTCAAGCAAGGATTTGATGACAGATTCATAGGTGGGTGGTGCGGTGGTGGCCATTTCGGCTGCTTGCGAGTAAATCGTAGTACGTGTGTAGGCTGGGTAGAAAGGTATGATGGCTGCTGAATGATTGCAGTGATGAATGTTTTGTATGATCCAACGCCTACAATGCACGAGATTAAGTTGTCATTTATATTTAATTATTACTATGAGAAATGCTTATTAAAGCTCTCTGGAGTCATTTTCTTAGAGCTGAAGGCTTGCAATCCTCTGCTGAGACATCACAGCATTTAAACTCTTGCCGAGGGTGATGTGGCTGTCGTTAGGACTGCATGCGGTTGCGATTTCGAGACAATCAGCTCATTTCTCCTTCAGCTCTCCCTCAGCCCTCCTTCAGCTCTCCTCCAGCTAATATGCATACAGAAACAGAGCTCACTATGTCCCTATTTAAATGGGAAGCTTACAAATAGTGATTCAAGGGTCGGCCGGCCAACACCATCCATGAAGATATCACAGTGATCACGAGTGTAATCTCGGGGCAGTTTTGAGTTATTCCCTGTGCAATCTGCATATTTTGCCTTTTTTGGGCCCTGTCAGCATGGGTCAAAGTGTCTGCCAACACAATCAGCAGAGCGTAACCCACCAAGTCAACCACGTGCAATTCACTATTCATGTTCCTTTTGTACAAAAAAGTTTCGTTCCGTCGACTCTAAAATCCTAACGTAGGTTTGAAGACAAACAACTACTTAGAACACAAATACAAACTCTTCATTCTCCAAATCCGTCAAGTTATCAAACGCTCTCGCACCGACATTCTCCTCAGCCTGCTCTTCCCCAGCGGCAGCCATCTCGTGCCCATTGTCCCCAGCAGCCTGCGCGTCCTGCTCCTGCTTGGCCTTCTCGGCCTCGGCAGCGGAGAACAAGCTCGTGTCGACGATGACGGCGCTCTTGCCCATGGCTACGCGCCGCTTGCTGTGCGAGCGGTTGAGGAAGGCGAGGTACAGGCTCACGAGGACGACGAGGACGACGATGACGCAGTAGAGCACGAGGTTGGACGTGAGGCCACGGGTGTACCTAGGCGCCTCGGCGGGTTTGTAGAGTAAGGGACCGACGACGTTGCCGACGGATTGGCCGATGAAGAGGACGGCGGATGTGCACTTTCGCTTGGTATCGCCGGCTGTGTTGGCTGCGGACCAGGAGTAGATGAGCGGTGCTGGGCAGTTGTTAGTCAAAGGGCTCATGATTGAGGATTGGAAGGATTCGAGGACTTACTTATTCCAGGGTAGACAGAGATGAGGTAGTATCCCACCAGACGTGCAGCTTGCTGGCCACTAGTCGGGAGGACCATCAACATGACGCAGCCAGCGATGGGTGGGATACAAAGTCCGGCAATGACTGGGCCCTTCTTGTGGATCTTGGTAGCGATCCAGGAGCCTCCGACCGTGGCGACGAGCTGGACAAAGCCAAATGGGATGTTGAAAAGGATGGTCTGGAAAGAGTCGAATCCAAAGGACTTGATGATCAGAGGACCAAAGGTGGAGATTCCACCAGACGGGATTCTATCACGCGTCAGTCCATGAGAGAATGTATAAATGGAGCTGAAGACGCTTACGAAATGGAAAATACGAGGGAAAACCAGCACCAAGTCTTGATATCCAATATGCTCTCCTTGAAGTGGTCCCAGCGCCACTCGCGGGACATGACACCCTGCTGATTCATGCGGAGACGCTCAATGGCGATGAGCTTGTCGTGGTCGTTGAGGAACTTGGCTTCGACGGGAGAATCGGGCATGTAGAGGAACATGATGACAGAGAAGACTACGGTGATGAGACCGAAGAAGATGAAGATGATCTATACAGAGTCAGCAGGTCATTTCAAGGTACGCCGGCTGAGCTGAAGGCCTACCTGGTACTCTTTGAGGGGAGAGGAGATGTGACCAAGGCCGTACGTGATAAGACTGCCAAACTAGGGAATGTTAGCAAAGTCCAAGGTGTGAGAGGTCAACATAACGCACCATATTGGTGAAGCCATTCATGGCATACCAGTAGCTAATCCTCAGCGTCTGCTCACGTCGTCGCCACCACATCTGCGTAATGCCAACAAACGCCGGCGCAACACTGGACTCAAACGCCCCAAGAAACAGCCTCGCGGTCAGGAGCCCGCCAAAGTTGTGCGCAGCCGCCATGCAAGACAGCGTGATGCCCCAAAAGGCAACCATGCAGCTGGTGAACTTGCCGACGGGCAGCTTGACCAGCAGCCACGCGAGCGGGAACTGCATGACGAGCTGGGCGAGGTAGACGACGGAGCCGAGCCACGAGTACTGGTCGCCGACGAGCCCGGTGTCCTCGATGAGGCCAAAGACGGAGGCGTAGGCGAGGGTGGACTTGTCGATGCCCTGGAGGAAGTAGACGAAGAGCATCAGGGGGAGAATGACGAGGTCGATCTTGCGGAGGACGCGGGCGTTGTCTGCGGGCGTGACGACGACGCGGTCCTCTGGCGAGGCGCCGGACTTGCCCAGGAGCTCTGCGGCGGCATCGCGGCGGTGTGTTGTGGTGTCTTGGTGGGCGGGAGCGTGCTCGACCTGGTCGACCGGGGCCTTGTTGTGGTCTTCGTTTGTGGCCATGATGATGGACTCTACCTTTTCTCGAGTATCTCTGGCTGGAAGTGGGAAACTGCTCCTCCCTCAGGAACAAATGCAAGTAACAACGAGAACACCGAGTCTGGATGGAACATGAAGGAGACAGAGAAGCGGGAAGAGCACCCGAGATATGGGCGGCGTTTACCCCAAAACATGTCGGCTGACGTCCTGACTACGACTCGTTCGCCGAGACGGGGGCCGACAAGGGTGATTAGTGCGGCTTTCTCCAGGCATCGGGACAAGGCCTTGGGAATGATGGCAGGGGGACTCAGCCAAGGTGACCAGCATGTCGTCCCCGAGCCGCCAAAGGCTTGTTCTCATGGATGGCGGCTTGTCAAATTTCCTCATTGGCCTGGCCAACTTGCCGGCTCTTTGAGACGGCGGCACTGGATTTGATTAAGTCGATTTTATGTCCATTGTTGCTACAATGGGCTTGCGTCAAATACAGGACCGAATGGCTCTGGGACACCGAAATATACATTGGTTGAATAGCCGTCTGGCATCAGACTATGGCACAACGGTGAAGACGCTAGACCCCCACGCGTTCCGCTCAACTCTTTAGATGGGGGCGGTCAACCCGTGGTGTAGTACAGAGACGACATGGAGATTTCAGAGAGCGAGTCGCGGGGAGAAACCCGAGGATTGAAGCATCACGAGTGGCTGGAATGGTTTGTTGTCTGGTGTCTGGGTGGAGGCTGTGTTAGTGTGTAACTCTCCACATGGGGTATGTATGACTCCGCGCGGGGGGGAAGTTGGGGATTTATTGGGGGAATAATGGAGAGAAGGGAAACGCCGGTGTGAAAAGTTGCCCCAGATTGTGCCCCAGAGTCTCCAGGTTGTGAGATGAATCTTATGAACGATGCGGAGTGAGGGGAGGGGGAACGATACGGGCATGAGGGAGAATAGCTGAAAATCAGACGAGAAAGCGGCGCCAGACTCGGAGGTTGGCCGACAAGATGCATATTTCCTCCGACTTTTTGCCGTCCCCCGCAGCGGCTCGGCGGTTCATTTTCCTCTTTTGGGGCGGCATCGCTGTCGGCATCTAACTGCTTTGGGGTCGGCTCATGACACGATGTCCGGAGTGACAATCCACCATGGTGGGCATGGTTGGGACGACACCTCCACCACGAGTCAGAGGACTCCCACTTCATTGGTCTCGCGCCTTCGCGATGACAACAATGGCCCAGCTGTCCCCCATTCGTATCCTTGGTCCCGTCTGGGGGATGTGGAGGTCAGGGTGGTTTCGGGGAACGCTCTTCTCCAATGCTACGCGTAACTCGGGACACCATTCGCACGAGGTTGGTGGATTCAAATGTTGTAGACTTGTAGTTGCTTAGCTAGCTGCCCAATCCTCCTCACGATGCAATTCACGTTGCCAGGCGCAGAAAAAGCTGTCACATATCTTCCGTTTAGCCAAAAACGATGTGTGTTGCGACATCGGAAAGCCTCAAACTTTAAGAATACGTACACCTGCTCTGCTATTCCGCGGCTTCGAGTCCCTCCCCTCCTTCCCTGTGCAAGCAACTTCACAGGTCCGCCTTTCTGCCCCCTCGTTCTGGTCATAAGAGCATCCAGACGCCAGGCTCGTCAACTCATCGACTTGAAGAAGTTTGATCATCTCGGGACCAAAACATACATTTACAATGCTTCTTCAAATCGAAAAGATACCCACCAAGTATGCGCTCCAAGAGGCCAAGGGCGCTGCTTCGGCATCCTCAATACAACTCAAGTCTTCTGAAGGCCACCCTGAAGACTTCACATTCACATTCGAAATCGTGAGATCAAACGTCTTCCGCACAACCGTCACGTCAGAGACCCGTCCCATACCCCCCTTCCCCAGTGCACAAAAGCCGAGCGCAGACCTGGCCCCGAAAGACGTCCAGGTCAAGACTTCAGAAAGCTCACAATCCTTCACCACCTCCGCCGCCAAGGCCGTCGTCGAATGGTCAAATACCCCCATTGTCTCCCTCTACCTCGGCCAAGATGACTCTGGCAAGCCCATCCACGCGGATCTGCCCTTCCGCTCCTACGCGGCGGACGGGCCCGGCATCGCCCACTACTCTGTCTACAGGAAGCACACGCTTCACGTCGGGCTCGGAGAGAAGGCAGCGCCCATGGACCTCGCGGGCCGGGGCTTCATCATCTCCGCCAGCGACACCTTCGGGTACGACGCCTACCGTACGGATCCGCTGTACAAGCATATCCCGCTGCTGATCAACGTCACGCCCGAGGGCGCCGTTGGCATCTTCTCAACGGCCCACTCCCGCTCGACGTGGTCCATCGGATCCGAGCTCGACGGCATGTGGGGAGCCTACAAGGTGCACCGCCAGTCTCATGGTGGTCTCGAGGAGTACATCATCGTCGGCAAGACCGTCGCCGAAGTCGTCCACTCATACGCCGAGCTCGTCGGCTTTCCCTTGCGCGTGCCGCGGTACATGATGGGCTACATCGGCGGCGGCATGAAGTACAGCGCCATGGACACACCCCGGGCCCACGACGCCATCATAGGATGGATCAAGAACTGCGAGAAGCACGATATCCCGTTCTCCGCGTTCCAGATGAGCTCCGGGTATACCGTTGCCGAGCAGGAACCCAAGACGCGCAACGTCTTTACGTGGAACTACCACCGCTTCCCCGACCCACGGGCCTTTACGCGTGAGGCGCACTCGCACGGTCTGCGTCTGTTGGCCAACGTCAAGCCGTACGTGCTTGCTACGCATCCCGCGTACAAGAAGCTCTCTGAAGACGGTGCTTTCTTCAAGGATCCGGCCACCGGAAAGACTGCTGTGACGAGACTTTGGAGTGCTGGTGGAGGTGAGAGCGGAGAGGGAAGTCACCTCGACTTCACGAGCAACGCCGGCTACCAGTGGTGGTACGATGGTGTCGTCGGGCTGAAGAAGGTCGGCATCGACGTGATGTGGAACGATAACAACGAGTACACTGTGCCCGACGACGAGTGGCAGTGCGCACTCGAGAAGACGGATGTAGTCTCGATTCCCGAGGGCCTCAGCCGCAAGGATGTCGGCATCTGGGGTCGCGCCATCCACACCGAGCTCATGGGGAAGGCGTCTCATGATGCCACCGTTGAGGGCAAGCCAGAAGAGCGACCATTTGTGCTCACTCGTAGTGCGACGGCTGGAACCATGAAGTACTGCGGTGCCTCATGGAGCGGTGACAACGTGACCGCCTGGGAGTCCATGAGAGGCGGCAACTCTTTGGCTCTCAACGCCAGCTTCTCCCTTCTCCACGTGTGTTGCTGAATCTGCCTCCGTCTTGAAACCCGAGACTAACGTTTACAGTGCTATGGCCACGACATCGGCGGCTTCGAAGGCCCCCAGCCGACCCCGGAGCACCTCGTCCGCTGGATCCAGCTGGGCGTCCACTCCCCCCGCTTCGCCATCAACTGCTTCAAGACCAGCGAGGCCGACAACCTCATTGGCGGCGTCATCGAGCCCTGGATGTACCCCACCGCGACGCCCATCATCCGCGCCACCATCAAGCGCCGCTACGAGCTCGTCCCCTACACCTACTCCCAGAACCTCCGCGCCCACCACACCGCCGTCCCGCCGCAGCGCTGGACAGGCTGGGGCTACGAGGCCGACCCAGAGGTGTGGACCAAAGCGATCAAGGACGGCGACACGCAGTTCTGGTTCGGTGACGCGTTCATCATCGGCGGCGTGTACGAGCCTGGAGTTGATACCGCGCGAGTCTACCTGCCGAAGAAGGGCGACGGCAGCGACTTTGGGTTCCTCAACACGAATGCGCCGTACGAGCACTTTGAGGCGGGTAAGTGGCACACCGTGTTCTCGCCGTGGTATAACTCCATCCCCGTCATCGCGCGGATCGGGGCCGCTGTCCCCGTGGGCAAGCCGCTCGATACGACTTCACGCAAGGAGGCGGACCCAGAGTTCCCGAACCAGGCCAAGGATGACTGGCGCGGCGTGGAGATCTTCCCCCCGCCTTCGCTGCGGGGAGCTGCTGCGCAGGGCTCTGAGACGGAGCTGGGTGGGGAGGATGTGAAGGGTGTCGTCTTCGAGGATAGCTGGTATGAGGATGATGGTATCAGTCGCGAGGTGCCTGCGGAGTTTACGTTCACCATCCGGTACGAGATCGTTGACGAGCGGATCTCTGTCGAGGTCAAGGCTGTTGTCACGGAAGGCTCAAAGGAGAAATGGAGTCCTCTGTGGCTCGAGAAGGGTGTTGATGTGCTGTTGCCTGTGGGTGAGGAGCGAATTGTTGTCGTGAACGGAGCGGAGGCTCAGGAGAAGTCTCTGGATGCCAGGGGAAGGAGAGTGTGGAATGTGCCTGTTACCTTGTAATGAATTATTTTCAAGATAAAACCTGGCTACTTACTTAGGTAGAAGACGGATATGTAACCAGCTTTGTTGAAGGGACATGAGCCTAGCATCCTCAAGGTGTCACTGTCGTTATTCCATTGCAGATTGCAACTTGTGACCAGCTAGATGCTGACTGCCTCCAAGGTCTTGAGGGTAGAGAAGACATGGCGCCACTTGCCATTGCGCTTGACAACGAGACCGATGGCCGGAAGAAATCTTCCATAGTCTTCGTACTCGATAACGGCGTGCTGCCTGTTCTTGCACCAGGCTATGAGCTCGGCAGAGACCTACATTCTGTACGCTGGCATCTTTTTGTGCAAGACGTCGACGTCCCACTTCAGGTGGGCGACGTCGGGATTGTGCGAGGTTTGGCGGTGATGAACCTCAATCTCGAAGCCCGGGCCCTCATCAGTCGCCTCCAAGCGCGGCATATTGACCTTGTGGCGGATGGTGTGTACAATCTCGCGCGAGAGGTAGTTGATCTGGTTGTCAAGTGAGTTGTAGTAGGTGGTTGACTTGTCTTGGGCCATGAGGTGCAGCCTGGAGACTGTGTGGGTTTCTCTGTCCAGTCTGTTGCCATTGCCTTTGACTGGGCGGTGATAGTAGTGGTTCACGCCGCCGAAGGACCCTTTGCAATGACACCCCGAATCTGATAACAGCATCATGAAAATTCCATAGAACGCTGGCGAACGATACAATGAATGGCTGCGCAAGATTCCAATCAACGAGTCAAAGTTGTCGGGGAATTTGGCTCAAGCTGGACCCTCATTAAGTGAATTCACAAATCAATTAAGTAAAGAAATGAACTATGTAATGTAACCCTACTCAACATTAGGCAATCATTAGTCTACGGCGACGAAATACCTTTCCTAGCCATGGTCTGTTTAAACGCTTCGAGGGCGACCTCTGGTTGGTACGCAGGCACCTCATGGCCCGCCTCGTGAACCCTCAACCAGCTCAAGTTCTTGACGTTCTTGTACTCGCCCATTTTCTTGCCATTGAGGTTGAAATCTTTCATCTCTGCCTTTTCAAACTCCTCGCCGCCAATCTTCTTCGCCGCGTTGTAGTTGCCAATGTAGTTGCATATAAAGTCTATCGTAAATAGTCAGCAACATTCATAGCCCCGCCCCCTCACGGGTATGCTAATATATCAGGCTCACCAGCGTCACCGGCCCAGATAAGAACTTGGACGTCCTTCTTAGTAATGTCTTGAAGTTTGTTAAGAAACGATCGCTGGCCTATGGTCGTTTGAGTCAGCTTTTCATTCTGCTTGAATCATTCCAAGGGCGCTTACCGTCGCCAGTCGAAGTGAATTTGTCGTAAGGCGCCTGGGGGCACTCTTTATACTCAGACTTGGCGCCAATCGCCTTCATAATCTCGGGCTTCTTAATGTACTCTTGATAAGTTTCAGGAGGGAACTTGTCGTCCTGTGCTCTGACGTCGTACACGTTGAAAGTCTTGGCGGCTTCGATGGGTGCCTCGACCGCGTTGTAGCAGGCGGTCTCGGCGGCCACGCAGGCGTCGTTCTGTCCCTCGAGACCAGTACACTTCGCCATCGCAGGCTTGCAATCCTTTTCATAGGCCTGCATAAGCTCATCAAACTTGCCCTGGTCAATGATCTTGTTATACGTGTTGTTGACCGCATACTCCACGTAGTCCTTGTACTGCACAACTAGCACGAACAGTTTTAGCATCTCCTGGCCGTGACGTACGCCACTACAGCCGAATCATCACATACCTGGATCAATCCAGCCATTTCCGATACCGAGAGCTACAATCTTGATCTTCTCCCCCTTGACGGTGCCCTTGTCGATAGCATCATTCTGAGACTGGAAGTGGTCGATAAACTCTGGGCCGTAATGGCCACCGTATGACTCGGTGAACAGACCGAATTCACGGCCCTTGTAATCGGGGAATTTGCTGTAGAAGGACTGCATCAACGCCCAGACTTTTGGCGCGGCCTTGACGGTGCTGTCTGTATCACTCGTGCCGTAGCTGAAACCGGACCCGATTGGCTGGTCCACGTAGAGCTTTCATGGATGTGCCGCCGTCAGCATGGAACACAGGGTTGGGGCGTGGAAGACACTCTGTGGAGGGTAAGGAACGAGCGCGAGTGTATTAAACTGGTGGGGCCGTGTGGTCAATCACACACCGGGATGGCGGACGTACCATGTTGGCGACATTGTTCCACGAGTTGGGGTTCAAGACGGGCTCTGCGCCGGGGGCCTTGTTGAAGGTGCAAGGTCCGTTTTCTTGGAAGAGGCCGAGCATGGAGCTGCAGCCCGGACCGCCGTTCAGCCACAGAGCAACGGGGGCCATATTCGCGTCTTTGCGCGCTTCGAAGAACCAGAAGAACATGTTTTGGTCGGTACCTGCGGCATCTCGTCAATTGTCTGTGGCGTCATCGCAAGGATGTGGAGGGTTTGGCGGGAGAGTTGGAACCTACCCACGTCGAAGTAGCCAGAGTATTGCTTTACACCCTTGGTCGTCTCGCAGATTCCCGAGTCCTGGACATATCTCGTTCTAGAGCCCGTCGCCGCATGCTCGTAAACCGTGAAGTTCGTTCCCAGGTCAGACATGAGACTGTAAGTCCTATCGACGGAATAGCTTTTGGGTGCCCCCAGGGCAGCAGTGAAGCTTGCCAGGCCCAGAGCGGCCCCGGAGCAAAGAAGCGCAACCCTCATATTGGCACCGCTATTGCGACGGAAAGAAAAATAGAGCGGAAGAGATTGGGACAAGATAACATGAAATTAACATCGGGATAGTAAGTAGGTAGATTCAGGAGCGGCAGGTGGGTGGTATTTGACCATGACACGAAGTTCGGACACAAGCACGGGATTCGAAGGGTACTGCGCCGGGATGCCAAGTTGGACAGACTTGGCCGATCACACTACTAAAGTTTGTCTTCCGGGGACTTAAGAAGACCACCTCAGCACTTTCTCTCAGCATTTGCCGCTATAAGACAAAGTGTTTCGGGTCTTTTTGGAGCCGGAGGTAGTAATAACCAGCTTGGATTCTTTTCAATGTTCATGTGCTTTCAGCAAACAATAGTAGGAATGCAAGTGTTAGACTGCTGCAGCGCGGCGATCGCGTCTGTCGGCAAACCTCCCAAATGAAAGTTCTCGGGGCCCGGCAGATCGCATGGATACAGCCGGGCGGGATAGACCGCATTCTAGGTGTATCACGAGCCGCCAAGCTCCACAGCTGCTTGCTCTTTTTCGTGCTGTTTGAGGATAGGTTGTGCAGAAACGTGCAGCCGACCGTGGTGCAGCCACGGCCAGAACGATCCCTCGCCTCGTCGGGCTGTTTCGTCTGAGCGCACCGTCTGATCAAGGGGAAACAAAGCCAACAGTAGACACAGTTTCGTTGGGGAACGGAGCAGCTCTCTTCTCAAGATGCCTCATTTTCAGGAGAGGAGCGCTGGATTGTTCGGCAGGCCGTAGGCTGGCAAAACACCAGCCATTCTGACATACCGATTAGACACCTAACAGTAGAAGAGAAAGAACGTTTAGGACTGAGTTGGGGATGCGAACTGAGATTCCGGACAAACAGTCTCCTGGAAAGTTAAGCCCCTGGTGATGATCGCCAATCAAGGAAGCTAACGCTGAAATACGCTTATCCGCACATGCCGTCTTGCGGCATCATCTCAGCGGTCTTTGATCTTACTGGAGGATGCCTCTCGTTTGCACAGGGAGGATCCATGCATTGCGGAAAAGTCAACCATCACAGTCGTCACCATCGTGACGTTTGGGAGCATTTGGGACGTTCTATGATATGCTGTGTAAAAACTTGATTGTCAGCTCAAGATGCCTAGCTGAACCTTCATTGGCGCCGACGGCAGACTTTCGGAACTTTGAATTCCGTCCAGTTACAATCACGATGAAAATGCGTACGTAAGGCTGGACACTGAGACCACTATCTTTCATCACGGCCACAAAAGACTGTAGTGAAGAGCAGGGTTTAATTTACCGTCAGATATTATCATTACTATCCTTCTCGAATATACTGAATATACTGACCCAGGTTCATGTACTTATGCCATGCGGTCGTCGTAAAAATATATATACAGAATGTGCCAATCTAGGTCTCAAACCTTAGGCGGCTTTTCTTGAACAATCGGTTGCAAGTCATCAGACTTTGCAATACTGTTCCTCTCACTGTCGCTGTCGCTAGGTACCACACCGTTGTTCTCCAACTCGGTGATCCTAGCAGTCTGCTCGCCTCGCCAATCTGCAATCCTGAGTCAGTACGAGCGTCTAGGGTATCCAGAGTTTCTGTAATTATGAACTTACGTCTTGACTTCCAGGCCGGGACACCAGCAGCGAACATCTCATCAATCTCCTCAAGGGACTTTTTAGACATCTCGGGCATGCAAAACCAGCCCCAGACCAATCCACAAGCTGAAATTGAGCCGTAAATAAGACCAACTCGGGAACCAAGGTTCGCCGGCTCCTGCAACAGGTAGGGCAAGGTAAAAGATGAGATAAAGTTGCACAGGTTGGCAGTCAGCCAGAAAAGCATGACTGATTTATCTCGAAGGGTGATATGAGGAATCTCCGTCTTGGTAAGTTGCAAGCTGCATAGAGCGTCAATAAAATTTCTTGGTTACTCGTACGCATCAGTGAGAGGGAACTTACGGGCCTCCAAAGGATACGAAGTGGAAGATGGGGAACATTATCGTCAACGCAACAATGCCCTTGTTGATATTGACTGTCGGGTGTGTAATCGTACCCAGCCCACCCATGACCATGAGAACCGCAGTTTGCATGAAGCCCATGTACAGGAAAAGTGGACGGCGACCAGCCTTGTCGATAATGAACATGAAAGTAATGGCGGTCGCGAGCAAGAGGCCACGCTTGATCATCGTTCCCATGAATGGGTCGATGACCTTCAAGCTCTTCAGGAAGATGGTGCCGTACAGGTTGGAGAAAGATGCACCTGAAAGCTGAGCCAGTGCGGCAGCAACCAGACCGTTGACGGTGCGACGCTAGAGGGCATGGTTAGCTGATAGAAGCACCCGTTAAGTTGGCATAAACCTACCAAATTCGTGCCCTTGACCAAGTCTTTCCATTTTCCGGTAATCTCACTCGTATTTAGAGCTTCCTGGAGGAGCTTCGCTTCCTTTTCAGCGTCATAGTTCGGCATCGCTCCATACAGGTAGTCCAAGTTCTCAACTGCCTCAGCGTACTTGCCCTTTCGAAGAAGCCATCGGGGTGATTCGGGGATGAGAACCCAGAAAAACAGAGAAAAGGCCGGGAAAATGAAGCCGATGCCGACAGGAATCTTCCAGCAGTTGTCGTCCTGGAGCTTGCTGGTGACGTCGGTGATGATAGACGCGATGAAGGCTGCAAATACTCCGTTTACACCATAAATGGCTGTAAGCGACCCTCGAACTGCTGCTGGCGCGATCTCGGCCTGGAACATTGGAATCAAAAAGGCCTCCATGCCAACATGGAAGTTGACAATCATCCGACCAGCGAGTAGTTGATTGTAGTTCTTTGCCGTGTAAACGATAATTGTTCCGGCCATGCAGACAATGTTGGTGAGAATGAATACCAGCCTTCGGCCCCATCGCTCGCCGATCTGAGCTCCGCATATTACACCAACGGCGTAGACCAGGAGAGGAAATGAGTTCATGTAGGCGAGCTTGTTGGATGTGAACCCGAAGGCTTTCTTGGCTGGAATATAGTCGCCAAACCGTTGTTCAAACGCTTTCCATCCATTGTCAGCTATTGCATCCTCGCCAATGTCATGATCAAGTACTCACGTGTCATGGCCTGAATGGTGTTTAATGTTGAGCCCTCATATCCAAAAGTGAAAACACTCATGCCGAATACCAAGGTGACCATCAACAGATTAGATGTGATGTGACGCGTCACCTTGTAGTTGTGACGGCGAAGTATGTCGAGCATGATGGGCAGATTGTCGATTGCGTCCAAAAGAAGGAATTTTCAAGACCAGCTAGCTTACTTCGATCTCTTGTCTTGGCATCTACTTTGTCGCCTTCGTGCGAACTAAACCCAAACACCCCGACAATGGGCAGGGTGGCTTTCTCTTTTATGAGTTGAAGATTTCCCTCCAGGTAGGAGGCGAGTGAGAAACCTTGATGGATGGTAGTCCTTACATCCTGGGACTCACGGACAACCAGGAAACCCCAACCCAAACCCTCAGACCCCAGCTTTGGACCTTGAAGGTGGTGGTGCGAGCTTAAACGCCTCCCGTCGGATGCCGTCGGGGCATCACGGCACCACCAGGACGCTCTGTCCGCCAACTGTACTGCACATCGTTTCAATTCAGGCGGTCTCCTTGCTCCTGAGGCGAACAACATCCCAAATTCCAATCTATACGACGGTCAGAAGACACCGGACCTCCCCTTGACAATGTCGAATCAGACCTGTATGCGCTGATCATCATGACAACCAAGTGCCAGACGTCTTCCACGACGTTTCGGTAAATTGGAGACCTGGCCTGTCCCCTTGCCTCGTCTCTCGCGCCTCGCGACCCCTTTCAATCCTTTGGGGGCAAGGGCCCAGGTCTTACCTTGATACTTTCTGGGAAGCCCGCATGATTCAACTGATCGTTCCCATGCAGATGCGATTTGATGGGGTCGGGCCGTATGTATCGCCACTATTATCCAGGCCTAGCAAGATACGCGGGGTACATTAGCACCGTCTGATTTTAGCTGTTTTTGAGTTCATGCCGAGAAATGCGTCTCCAGCGAAACCCAGCCAAACTTACCCACTCTGGTCGATGAGATTTTGCCAGCTGCAAGCGTCGCACTTAGCCAAGCTGGAGTTTTGCTTCAAAGTCTACTAGACTGTACGCCAAATTATATTTCTACGAGAACGACTTGGCTTCTGTCGTCCAGACTTCCGAGTCTCCATGGCGATTACTACGCAACTTAAAATGCGTCCTGGGTAGTTCTCATGCTTGCCAGAGCAGCTTCGAGTCTCTTGCTAGACTAGCCCCCATCTGCGGAGGCGAGATAGACTCAAAGAAAGCCAACCCACAGAAAAAGCTTGGTTATTCCTCTTCCAGTGGCCAAGGTTTGATGCAATCATAGGACGAATGCAGCCTCATCGGGAAACCACACCGATACGCCGCGTCACAGAACGCCGACTGTCCCATCTCAGGCCCCCTTCTCGGCCGACACATTGAGAAGAAGTTTAGCCATCCACCATCCTCACCACCCTCCATTAGTAGCAATCACTATAACCATAACTCCATATACCATTGAGGCTGATATCCACACCAAGAGCCTCATCCTTCGAGATCGATGTAACCTGACACTGAACCGGTGTGATTAGCAACCCCATGTCCAGCATGTTAAAACAATGGCAATGCGTGATTGGTAGGGTCATAATGGGATGTACCGATCCGAGTTCTTACCGGGAGATCTCACTACTCCCCATGCCTTGTTGCACGCGGTTTGTTGAAGATATCCGCGCGCGTACAACAAGATCTACCCACAGAATGCACCCTCCTCATTCCCCGGTGCTGGACCTTGACATTGCCCGAGGCATTCATCTCGAGAATTCTCCAACAATTGTTCCGGTCTGGGTGCTCGACTTCGGTAAAGGAAGCCTTGACCCTGTCCACAGAGAGGACGAAGAGGTGGCGCTTTGGCCGGCCGCGAAACGCCTCCGCGTTTCGGCGTGAAAGAGGGGACTACCCGGATTCGGTGAGCTTATGGCTCCACCTGCCCGAGTCTATGGAGCCAGTGGGTTTCATTCTTCGATCGCAAGTTGCTACGAATTCGAAGAGCACAGCGAATGGTCAGCCTGTCTGTCGATAGGAAAATCTGTCATGATGTAGGTCTGTGCTCCATGAAGCTCGTTCTGAGCACCCATGTCCTCTCGCGTGCAACTTTATGATATTCCTCTGAACTTCGACATCTCGGTTCGACAAATAAATGGGGGTTGGTGGTCTCCGATTTCTCATCTGGTGGTGACTTGACGGCAACAGATCGTTGGAACTTGAAGATGAACTGCCCCCATGTGCATATCCTGAGACACTGTTAAATGTTTCCTGTGAGCAGGAAAGCTCTTGAGGCCGTACTACGAAACCTACGAAGAAATTCAGTCACGGCTATTAAAAGGGTTTAGGTTGTTGTCGTGAACGGGAATTCTAATGAAGCTCAAAACGCCGCACGTCAGATGAATACTGAAAGTTGGGCTACTCAGAGGCGTTGAGGTGGCCCTTTCTTCACGGGACCTGACATCGTGATCAGACATACGATGCGGCGGGCACTAGACAACATTACCCGCTTCCCTGCTTCCGCGGCAGATGAGACTAGGCTCAAATGGAACAAGAGCACGAGCGTGTCAGGGATGCTGGGGGGAGCAGTGCAGATGTCAGCGATCAAGGTCCAAGACCCCACGCAGATAACCCGTGTATTCTTGCCCTTGGGGAAGCTTTTGCTACAGAAATGGCCCGGACACTCTTTCTAAAGCAATGGGCTCGAACAGGGTCTCCGCGTAAGAAGCATTTGCGCTAAGCTTCGGAGTTCTTAACACAGCTAACACATACCAAGCGTTTTGGCGGTTGCACCTGCGAGACTTAGTTAGGGGCTGCCATTTGCCTTCTCTGTGCGGTTCTATGTCTGTCTGAGAGAGTCTCACTTGGGCTGGGATTCTCGGTCTGGATTCGGAAGTCGGAACTCTTGATTCACGAATACAACAGCTCAGACATAGGTGAGTACAAAAAATGATTTACGAAATTGCGTCCGGAGCTGCCCGCGAGTTAGCACGCGTTGCATTTCTTGGGCATGCCTCAGTGTATGGTATAGATGATAGATCGACCAGAGTAGCCATCCCGATGTCTGCGACGTCGGATGCCAAGCAACCGGAAACTACGATAGACCATACATACCCCACTGCCAAGAGATCTGCAGCTTACTAGGTATGTGGAGGCCAAAGAGCTGTCATTTGGTGACGTCTAAAGCTTCTTCAAAGCAAGCTAATACCATCTTCCCACTTCCGTCTCTTGGCTAAAGACGGGACTTCCCTCCCATTGGCAACTTGCTTTATAATCAAGACTACAAATACTGGATCAGGAGCGTACTAAATATGGTCCAGAATAGCTCCTGTGGAGCTGGTCATGTGGAGGTGAACATCAAGTCTCCCGCGCGTTTGATGATGAGGGGCAGGACGGAGAAACGACCAGAATAGGGCGATCTAACAAGCTTTAGCCCCGAAGAAATTGTGAGAATGAATATCTATTTCCCGTGGAATATCGTCAGCCTCACGAATTGCTTAGATTGTCGGGCCGAGGAAAATCTGCTCCATGTCCAAGTGTGGATTCTCCGGCTCGTTGGACAGTGTGAGGCACGAGGCTACCATGTGAACCAAACGCCAACGGAAAACACATAGAATTCTCCTCTGCCAACTTTTTTCTCGACTTCACTGCTATTACTGCCAAGAACCAGGCTCGCCCAAACGGCTGATTCCAAACAAAATATGACAAGTCGTCCATGGTGGCCAACGGCAATCACTGTCAAGCTGAGTCCAGGCTGCGTAAACGTGAATGAGATGATGGGGGCGGAAATAATCGGTTTGTTTCTTTTCAATTTTCAATGCATGACGGGTGCCAATGCTGTGCAAATGATGATGTTACAGTTGGTATTGTTCGTCGAGGTGCTCCCTCCGTCTCTCAGATGACCGCTGTGTCAATGACTCGCCCTGCTCAATGCGACTTTGCGAAAATGAGACCATTTCTTGGCATGAATTAGGTAGGGAGTGAGGATCGAAAAGTTTTCGGGAGGCTTTCAAAAAAAAAAAAAAAGTGTCAGGGCAACGAGAAAAGGACCGTCACACGGGAGTCTCACTGCAAAGGCAAAATCTGCGGTGTAGTGTGTGCCTGGTCTCATCTGATGTGTGATACACCAACTGACTTGTGCGGCGGACCTGACCCCGATCTTCAATTTGACGTCACTTTGCCATGGAAAGCCGGGAAGAATAAGCCGATTGTGGTACTCTAGCCAACCATTCTTCGGAGGTCGGTGCCTTGATCGAGGCCGAGCGTATAGAAAGAGAGGCTGAAATCGCCCAGTGCTTGGTCGTGATCCAAGAGCAGTTCCGATTCGCCCAATGCTTTGTCTGTGGTTTCAACCCACCGGGGACGACAATCATGCTTCCGGTTCATGTTCAATGTTTATAATCCCATGTTATTGCCACGTTGCCCAGTGCTAAAGACCCCTTCGCGGTGAACATCGTGATTTTGGCCTCATATTTCGGATATCGCGGCCGGGTCTTGCTATTACGGATATTACGGCTGATGGAGATCTGATGATATTGGAAAATGATGTCGATACCAAGCCCGAGGTTGATCGGTGCTTTTGGGTTCAATGGATCGACTGTCAGAAAGCATTTGGACAACGTCAATTTTGTCCGAGTCAACAAACCTTGCAGTGCCGGGAGACGGCTACAACGGCTACTATAATTGTTTTGGGACCAGCTCTTCCGGTGAAATTTGGGATAAATGAAGACAAGATCTGAAAATGTCTGACCGCATCGTCATGAAGCAATAGAGAGCACAGTCCAGGAAATTGCATCTCCGGAAGCACGCTCGATGGAGGCGTCAAGCGCAGTCATGCCACAGACGCGATGTAATTTGCAGATGCGAAAAAATGGCTGGTAACAAACGTCTCAACCAGTCTTATTCTCCAGAGTTTCCTACGTCTCGCGGACTCCAAAGCGTGAGGGCCAGTCTCCGCAAACCGTCAATTTACCAGAACTTTGAAATCACCGAGGCTTTTTTCCCTCTCCACTCTTTCTGATACGATTAGCCGATTCCCTCGCCCTACGATGCTTTGGGACACCGACGCGTTCTGGTCCAATATTTACCTTGTCAGCAACATTCTGCCCGTAGCCCATCTAAAGATGTGCAGACAATCTTTCGCAGCAAACCAGACAGCCTTTCCGTCGCTGTTCTTTGCGCAACTGTATCAAAATCTCGTCTCTTGAAAGGTCTTCTAGTCTTTTGACAACCATACTGTGCTTCGATCCAGATGACTGCTTTCCAATAGTTGCTTTTGAAATATTCGGGCTGAGCACATGTTTAACAGCTGCCCTCTTGCAGGGTACATCCGAGCCAGACTACCGCGCATATAAGACTGACAAACAAGCCCGAGAAGCCTTGCGTGAAAGATCTTGTACTATCTCTTTCCATCCAACGACGCCGCAGGCGTAGGTGCGCATCCAACCGTTGTAACCGTACATATGTCGCGGGACAGAATCCTCTTAGCCTTCGACGAAGCAAGATTTCTCAGTAGTGGAAATCTGGCGAAACAATATTTAATAGCGACGATATTTAACAATAACAGCATGAATGATCAGCATGTCCATAATTCTGCCTGTATTCATGTCAAATTAAATCATTCTTTGGCTAGCGGCTCTGCTGTCCTCATTGCCAAGTCGTTCGCAGATTCATCTCGATTGAAGCAACCAGATTGGTTCCGATGTTGATGAGGACTACGGAAAAAGTAAAGAAATACCTGGGAAATTGCCTCGTGCGTCGGGGATCTGTAAAATCAAGAACCCATTCGCAAGACGATGACATGGAGATGAAACTAGAACTATTCACATTGCCGTTCCAATCATCAATATGGCCGTCACCAGAATCATACATGTTAGCATTCGCCTCTGCAAGAACCTGACCATCACCCTCTATGTGACCATGAACGTCAACAGTTGCCTGAGTTTGATAACAACCACGCTGTTATTTTTTTGGATATTTAATAAAGATCAACTAGATTTCCTAATAGAGCGAACGATGCTTTCAGCTTTATTAGCTGACACTAGCAATGTCCACTTCACCTTTTACCAGTCCTGTTCCGGCATACGATTCTTTTAGCACGCATTTACGTCTTCCCCCTTTTACGTATAACCCTTTCCGTCGCATAGTAATTATATCGCATCGTATCCATGGGCTTCGAAAGGCAAAGCGAAAGTCAGCAGTCCAACAAATCCCCACCCACAAAGCCGCAGCAACATAAATCGGCACGATCAAAAAGTGTGTGAAAGTGCCGATCAGTCCAGCAGCCAGGCCGCCCATCCGCATCAAAGCAGCAGCGAATTAATCCTCGAACCAGCGCCGGAAATGATATTTGAGTCAGACAAACAACAGTGTATGTTGTGTCATACACAATGGGGTTAGCGCTGTCAAGCTGAGATATCCACACATTCCCATGCATCTATCTGGACATGCGAAGAAAGAGTACAAATTCAACATAACCAAGATTTCCTACGATAAAAAGTTATGCCAGGCCAACTCGACCAGGTTGCACAACTGAACCAGCCAGAACAGTCGATTGGACTATGGGCTTCAAGCAAGATTTGAATTTGACGGCAGCCTATACGACCCACCGAGCATTACATCACTCTATGGATCGGAAGAGATGCTGCTGAAGGTACTCGATGTATCCGATTTTGGGTCTCCCGAATATTTGTCCAACACAGCTTTGCTTGCTGTCGACCAGGTTTTCAATGGGGCGATGTATGCAAACTTCGAATGTTGTTGTTCGGACGTGGAATTGGACGCCATCTCCAGAATCTTGACTTTTTCCGCCACATAATCGACCCCTGGCGCTTCTCCACCCACAAAATTTGTCAGGATTGGGATGCTGTATTTGATATCATCAACTATATCCCCGACATCTTGGTCGGAGGGGGGTGGGGCAATTAACTCCTCTACGTAGCTGCCAGTCAAGGCTGCCTGCCGATCATCGAACGCTTGATGGGGATCGCTCAGCACAGCCTGGATCTCAGGAGGGAGCTACTGCGCGAGCCTTAGCATCAGCCACGAAGCTTTACCCATCGAATCCACCAGTCGATTGGAGAAGCTGTCTTAGCTGGCCATGTCGGCGTTGTCGAGTTCTTACTGCAGCAAGACGGCATTGAAACACATCTCCACCACCGCAATACGAATAGCGAAAATGACCTACATCTACCTTAACATCTATACAATACAATCCTGCCATGTTCCAGGTTTTAGCACCTCAATTTCCCGATAGCATATCCCAAAAAGATTACCAAGGCAAGACAGCGTTGGCGCGAGTTGTGGAAAGCTTCGCCACTCTACAGAACCGCATAGAGTCGACACAAACACTTTTATCCCTGAATACAACTCACCAGGGCGCACTATTAACAAAAGATCAACAAGAGCCGTTGCAGATGACTGAATGCGTTAGGAGGGGATGAACAATTCATTGGCCGAGTCCAGGCCAGTCTCATCGAATGAACAACAGGATAAAAGCTGAAGTGAGTAGGGTTATTATTGGGTGTTGGGGATGAGATAGTCGAATCGGTGAGAATGCCCAATTAAGCAAATATCGTTGTGCTTAGTTGACAAGTTACACCAACAAGCCAGCAGCCGAATCTACGAACATTCATCCGTTTTCTGCCCCGGTTTGCCCACGTTTGAAAATGGCCAACAATTGAATCTAACCCCCCGCCCCCATGATCTCGCTTTTCTCTCAACCTCAGCATACCTTATCGATCGAGGCATGCCTATATATCCCCAGGTATCTTAGTATGCTGGCCATGCGTGATGTAAACGTGGGCAAGTACTGCGCCTGGCAATGCTCCAAGAATGACAATAACCTATAGAGTATGTGAACTCAGGCAACTTGACTGTAGCAAAACCTAGATCTCGAGCAAATTCGCCTCGGTCAGGATTTCCAATTCTTCATCGACGAGGGGATCAGAAAAGGCATCGCTAAGTGCTGGAGTGTCGTTTCTGAAACTCGAACTACTCATACCATCAATTGATTTTCGATGACCTGTGATTACTTACAGCAGCCGCAACTCACCCAGTTCCAAAAGGATCTATTCTGTTCCCTAGAACCCTTCTGAAACATAGGAAAAGCGGTTGAGGAAGTAGACTTTGTCAGTGCTATCGCACGGGTGACCCATCACGTGTATGTATCAAGGAGATCTTCACACGCGTTCATGTTTTACCTTCTGCTATCGCTTATTTCGGCTAGCTTCACCAATACGCCGTTCAGTCATTATTGAAATCAAGAACAGGCAATCCATTTTCATACTGCTACCGTTCCATTCAGATGTAAAAGTGTGTCTCGTTCTTCCATTATTCCTATGATAATCTGGTCGCTCGCGCACGCACTAGCAAGCAAACACAAACAATTTTGACGAAATCAAGACAACAAGACTGAGATTCGATATTTTTCCGAGATGTCCGAGGCCGTGGTTGTCCATGGCAACTGCAGGAGGAACGAGAGATTGACACCAGTCGCTGGCAAGCCCAGCCAACATTCCTGCAGCAAAGAAAGCTGTTGCCCTCGCTTTCTTTGCTTCAGCGGCGCGCCTCTTCTCTCTTTCCTGGCTGTTAACGTTTTCTTCGTCCTGAGACTTCGTGGAACTCTGGGAAAGATACTTGAGGATGCCGACGACGTTGATGATGAGAATCAAGCCGTAAACAACATTGAAGAGAATGGAAGAGTCCCAGGTTTCGCGCTGCTGCTTGGTTTCGTTGTTCGTTCGGTCAACAAAGATGCGCTGTACAATACGGACGGCACCAATCAACATGATCTGATGGCCGAGTGACAAGGGTTCGAGGCCCGTCACCATACTCGCGAGTCCCTCTGCTGCTGTATTCTCCTTCTCTGGAGTGTCTGTGCCGGTATCTCCAGTTGCCGAGACTTCTTTGGTTGTCTGTACTCCTGTGATTTTGCTTGTGAAGCTTTTCAAGAAGCCAGTCTTTTCTTGCGTTGGTACAGCTGTGCTTGTTGAAGTGGTTGACGGTGCGGACTCTGCCGAGGGACGAGGGGCAGCACTGTCCTTAGCGGCTGTTGGCACAGTTGCGATGAGTTCATCTTTATCGGCTTGACCTTCTTCCTTGTTCTTCCTGTCCTCCGTATCATCAATAGCGTTCCTCTTCATCAGACAAAGAACGGCTCCCTGCGCAATGACTGTAATAACGACGTGTCCAGTCGCAATGAGTTTGAGATTTCCGTTCTTCATCTTGGGGACCTTAGTGACCGCGTTGGCTACCAAGAAGATGGCATATGCGAGGCTTCCGAGACAGACGAGTGTCTTGTGTTTGAGTTTCCGGTTCGGATTCAGGGGTGTATTGCCGGACATGATGCAGAGCCAGGTGTAAAAGCCAATGATATTACTAAGCCATGCGATGGAACCGTAGGATAAGAAGAAGTGCGGAAGATCTCCGTCGATGCAGGTTGTGCTGCCCATTGTCATGTTGCAGTTGATGTTTCCATTGTGGTCGTCGACGCAGATGGATTGATAGCTTTCGGTATTGCAAAGCGTCACGAGTGAGCCCGCGTGGTCGATGGAAGAACACCCTTTCGTGCCGTCAAACATTTTGAATTAAAGTAAGCACGAATAAGAATATGCAGTTTCAAGTTATCATTTGGAAAGAGAGAAAAGTTCGGGTTCAAAGCCGAGATGAACGCACTTTAATTTGGGGGTAAACCGTAGGCCTCTACCAATATCGCGCCTGTCAGCCCTACCGCCCGGCAGTAAGAATGTGGCGACTCTCAAGGCAGAATCAAGTCTTATACTTAGTGTTGCCTAATTCGGATTCAAAAATTAGCCAATAATCACAGTCAGAAGACGGCGATTGTCGGCTGTGTCGGGAGATCGACGACCCTAAAGATCGCCGACCATTGGCGACCACTCAGCCTCACCAATCAGGTAAGAAGTGCGTCCTTCGACGCAGCTCGCCCTGTTCCAAGCATGTCATTTTTCTTGGAAATCGTCAGCTGACTGTCTCACTCATTCGTCAGCCTCAGTGAGAGAATGTTTTGCCTGCGCGGGGTAGCTTGTAGGTAGGTACGCTGTTTCCAAAAAACAACACGCACACCTTAATAGTGCAGTAGATGTTCCCCCGAGTCCTCAACGCTGAAATATAATTAAACTTGTTTCAAAAACCTTGCAATTAATCAGAAGTTCTGAAATGTATATAGCTTCTCTTTTAAAGAATGCTTTCAATTCTAAGGTGAAAGGTTTGATAGTCAAAAAAATATTAGTCTTTACTAGTAGTATTTGTAAGGTATGCTTGGTTTTTTGCAAACCGCGTGGTAGGCTTAGTCATTTTAAAAGGCTGTCCCTGTGGGCGACATTCAATACACTGTCCTTCACTAATTCAAGCAATTATTAAATCTATTAACACATAAAGAGACTTGTGATTGCGGCAGAAAGCTTCAGAGGATATTCTAAGTTTCCAGGTGCTATTACGCAAGTGGATGATTATCAGGTGCCTGGCCTGCTAAAACAGGGTCAGAACGGGATCAGGGACATATACTACGGAGGTGCCGTTCAAAAGCTTCTGCTAGTCTGCCAAGAAAAGACAAGGAATATCACTTGGTCAACGGTATTAGTACACAGGTCTACTTTATAGACCAAAATACCCCCTGACGTGCCGTTTAAAATATAATTTTTTTAATAAATTTTTGTTTTGCTATGTTAAACATTTTTGGCTGAAAACATCTTTATAGTTAACAAAACACACTGTTTGAGGACTCCGTGCAGCCTCGACGACTCCGAGGTCAAGAAGGGCTCGCTTTCGCGTTCCGCTTAGCCGAACGAGTCGATATTGCAAATTGAAGTACAAAAGGCTTATATCTCCTCACCCTAGCTAGTTATTGAGTGCCCTGGCACGGGATGGGCACTCATCCGGAAGCACACTTCTGGTACAACACCCCCCAGAGCCCACATGGTCTCAAGACACAAACAATGACTGCGATGGCGATAGCGCCACGTAATGCCATCCTCGTCAGCCTTGCCATGTATTCTTTCTGTGCTTCAGCATGCTTATTTAAAATCCCCCACATCATCCGGTTTTAGTTGTTCTGCCTTTTTTACCAGCCATAAAGGTATAAGAAACGCTTGTTGACCAAATGTAATATGCTTTAGTCGTCTCCGTAATATCAAACCATGACCAAATGCCGAGAAGTCGAGCTTATCGTTCTGATGCGACGATAAATTTCCGCAGCTATAAGTCACTAACAGTCGGGAAAGCATTGAATGCAGCGACGCTCTCGTGTTGAGGTCAGGAGATATTTGCTTCAAACAGCTTTTACCCGACAAACGAAAGATCACAAGCGAATCTTAGCTATTCCCATAAAATAATCACCATGAGACTCACCACTCTTCTTTTTGCCGCGACTGCGAATGCAAGGCTTGTGACCTGCAACGCTGGCACTGCGGGGAACGGAGGCTACGAGGCAATTAACCTTTACAGCTACTATGTGAGTGTGGCAGTTTATCCCATGACTTAGTAGCGAACTAACATTGTTTAGTCGTGCAATGCAAATGTCTATGACCCGTACATCTTCGTTCGAGACATCACGGTTTTGTCTCAGGATCCTAATGGCCACTTTGAATGCCTGCCTGCGGGAACCCAGACGAAGGGAAGACGTTACTGTGCCCCATGAGCCCGTCATGTAGAATTGCGTGGAACAGATGACTTGTTCCTCCCTAGAGATGGTACTTGTAGTCCAGTATTCTTTGCAAATGAAAGAAATTATCGGAAACATGAGCTGAAATGCAGTCATACATTGGCTGACCTCAGCCATGGTCAACCATTGTTTCAGACGGATGACAACATAGTTACCTATGCATTTACACGTTATTCAACTTGATGGGCCAACGGCAAATGAGGCCAATGTCATCGGCGGCTAATGGACTAAGAACTATTGGGAAGGTCACATTACCATAAGCTCGTATCGCTCCCTCTGCCCGCGCTTCTGTAAGTCGGTCCACGCTGTGTCTGAGCAGGTCGCTCACTGGCTGAGCTGCAATGCTACCTCCGCAAGAAGCTTCACTAGTCTGAACGCCACAGTGGATCAGTAGGTGTGTGGGTCACAACTTGCTATAACCTTGTCTTAACCGCTTAGACGGCAACTAGGTAGTCTGGCAAAAGAGGGGTTGGTGACCACTAACACTGCAAAGATCAGGCCTACCAGACTTTTTAGTTGACTATCAGTCTCACAACCAGGTTCAAACCTGAATTGGGAGTTCTTGTCACAGCGTTGTAATTATGGCTATGAAAGGATCGAAGGATTTCTCCCCTGTTGATTTTCGGAAATAGACGGACCCTTCAGGAGATGTCCCTTGGAGATAGCCTTTCATGGTAACAACTAGACCCTTGCCATGTCTTGGTTGATGATAATTAGCATATACTTGCCGATTTTTCCAAACGTCTGATGGATAGACCAAGGCATCAATACACGGCAAAATAGACACGTTGAGTCAAGCTTTGTGATATGGAGCATTCCTTTGAAAGATCACATCCCCCTCATGTTGTATTGACATGTTTCCCGGTTGAGCGGGGTTAGGCAGCAGCCGCGGGCTCTCCCTGCAGACGGATGGAGAAGCTTTGGACTAAGCAGCTTGAGGTAAAAGCTCCTCGTTGAACTACGAATGACAATTCTATCCCCATCCACCACGGGATCGGGCCGAGTTTGGTGTTGAGCTAAGCATTTGTAAAATAAACCGATCCAATCGGTTGCAACCGACTTGCATGGTGACTGTCCACTCGTCTCTACAAATCGCCCGGTCAACTAGATCCAAGCTTTCTTCACTTTGTCAACCCTGCATGCTGCATGCTGCATGCACCCAGTACCTACATGTTGCTTACCTGTTCACTCCTCTGTAACTCACAGTGATAGGTAGCAACTGAAAGCAGGCTCTTAAGATGTTGTCATACTTGTTGAGTCTTACTCTTGGACAAAAGCAATGCGCCGAAGCTAGGGCAGCAAATTGCCAGCAGACTGCAGACCGAGCTAACCGAGGTGTCGTCGGTGGCCATAAACAACTCAAGCGCCTATAGGCTGGGTTTCGGAAGTCTTGCCGGGAGCCGGCGCCGCATCAAAAGTTCCTCCTTCTGACTGATGTGTTTCACTCTCGTCAAATGCCGCTGGCGAGTGCTTCGCTCCTTCTGATAGCCAGGCAGCTGTTCTATCTTGGAAGCGGGGTTACAATAGTCTAGACTTGATGAATATCTTGTACCTACGTATTGATGGTGGGAAGAGAAATCTATAAGAGCCCCATGAATCTCACAGAGACCTTGGGCTTCCTTTCACATCATCTCGCTTCTCTAGTACCAAGTGTAAACACGCTCTCAAACACCAAAATGCGTATCAGCCTCTTCTTCATCTCAGCTCTTGTAGCAAGTTGCTCAGCCGTGGCGATCCCCGACGAGCACTCGCACGACCACGACTTCGCCAGGGACATATCCCCCGTTCCCCGTAGCGTGCTAGACAAGCGCGACACGTACGACTGCAAGGGAAGCTCCCTCTGCTCTTCTCTGAAAGTCGCTGCGTGCGACGATGCAGTGAACAACAAGCTCATCCGCAACAACGACGTCAACTACGGCGCTCCGGGGTAAGTTTTCCCCTTTGTGGCTTTACCCACCACACAATCTGTTTGATTGAGTACACAAAGACTAATGTTTCTCGCGAGTAGGAGTGGAAGACCGCAAACGGGAGCTTGCTCCAGCGTCTTTGGGGGCTATGGATGCGGTGTCTTCATCCAGGGAAAGTCTGGCTGTGCTCGCACCGGCAACCAGATGTGGTACGATTACCAGGATATCCGGAGCAACGGCTGCAGGGTCTGTGGCTCCAAGCACTGGGGCGACGGATGTCTTACCACCATCAACTATGTCTCTGGCTGCTAGTTTCTTCAAGTCTTCAAGTATCCAGAGACACAGTTGTGTTGTTTAGCTGCCTATTGTTATGGTGGATATAAACGGTCCAAATATGGATTGAGTTGGGTATGACAGAATGGTCTACATTTGTAACTCATGCAGCGTAACAGTCGTTACTTTTCGGGGTCGTGTAATTCGTGGAAAAATACAATTACACTCTTTAAATGTGTAAAAGACTCGTCCTGTATCTCAAGAAATCGTTCTTGCCGTTTTTTTCGTGACAAAAAGTTGCCGACGTTGATGTTGCTCGCGATGACGGGAATCGTCTTTCGCGACAATTTTCACTGGTCATTCAACACGGTTTGGGTTGTAGTACCATTCCTCCAGCAAATATAATTACCATCAATCGTGGAATGACAAATTGGCCGCTCACTTCAGTGTCTAGGAGCACTGGCCTCAACTTGGCCCAGCTTCATGCCCTAGCATTGCTGCCTATAGGCGTGTAAAATAATACTTGTTGCAAGCTTAGATTGGGCAAGATGAGCCGAGGGGGAGAGAAACAAGAGAGCAACCGGTATTCTCATAATCTAAATACTGTATTGAAGTAAGAACCCCTGTGTCTCAGAGTCTCTTTTTGCAGCGCAAACATTGTATCTCTCCCGCTTTCCTGAAATGAATTCCCATCCATCGAATCACCAGAATGGGAATCAGTAATTCCATCTTGAGCCATGTTCCGCTCTGTTGTCACCCTTGACTCCAGTCCTGTGCTCATTCATAAGTCCTCATTCATCTCTGCTTCGCAACAGTATAACGCATGATAGCCGCATCGTCCTGTCTCGGCCGTCCCCGTCCTCTCTCAGGTACTTAGACTCTATTGCAATATGTCAGGTCTCGACACTTTCTTGCTGGGTCGTCCTCGTCCTCGCCTCGGCTGATCTGTAACGACCCTCTCCGCTGGAGCAGGGTTTCGATGCCTCCTTTTTCGGGAACCCCCGCCTCGCTTGGGCATAGCCACCGTCTCTCTCTTGGGTAGCGGTCGTGCCAGTGGCGGCGCAGAGCTCTTCTTCGTTGGCTAAATCTCCGATTTCCGATAATGCAAGCTGGTCAGCAAGCAAAACGTCCCGGCCTTTGAATCTCTTGTTTGTTGTTGCTTCCGTAGGCATTGAATCGGCGGCACGTTTCGTGCCAGCTACCCTGGCCCTACGCCGAGGTGCTGGGGAGGGCCGGTCATGATTGTGGGCGACATTCATCTCGTTTCGCGATTGGCCCTGGCGTCCGCGTCATGCCGTCTGTGGTGGATGGCTCATAGTACGTTCTCGTGGCCCCGGAGATCTCTGTCCCATCGCATGTGCAGAGAGTTCCGTTCTGTTGTCTGCCTCTTCCGGTGCTTCATTCCTCGAGCCAAGAGCCCCGGTTGAAGCTGACCGCACAATAGGCATAGGGTCCAAGTGGTGATCGTGACTGTGACTTTCTGGCATCTGACCATGAAATGCAGACGTTCTTTCCATGCCCCCTGCGACGGCCCAATAGTTCTCCAGCTGTTCGCGCCATAGGAGTTCGTTAGTCTCCAGCTCATCGAGCTCCGATGGTGTGCAAAGAGACCAACGATTTCCTCACCAAAACCCCGACCGTCACCATGGGCAATCCCAATCGCACCGCCGAGGGACGTTTCACTACCCCAAAGAAATCCGTTATCAAGCTCAAGGGAAGGTCCACCGTCAACGCCAATCCGGAAGTCCACGACTCCCTCCACTTTCTTGAGGCTGTCCAGGACTTGGTCAAGACCTTAGCTAAGAATAAGATCAACAGGGATGAGTTTGCCGCTGCCATGATCGCTCTATAGGACATGAATCCTACCGCGACGCGAGTTCCTTGGCAATGCTATTATTTAGAAGCTTACGGGCCCAGAGTTGGCTAACCAGCTCCTGAATACTTCCCGCCAGACTTCTCGCAAGAGAAACAAAATCCATGATCGTAGCGTCCAGCGAATCAAAGTCATCCATGTTCGTATGGGCGTGAGGTCTTCAGGCTCTAGAGAGGAAATCAGTCTCCCTCTCCGGCGTAATCATCATGCCAGTCCACGGCTCTTTCCACCGCTCAATGACCTGTCCCACGCCTGAAATTAGAGCCAACTTTTGCACTTCTCTGAGGGATACACGATTGGCTCGTGGTTTCTTTTCGGTTACTTCAAGCTCAAATATGAACCAAGGCCTGGAGGAAAGACATGACTCGGCCGGGGAAGCCGTGACATCTTGTACAAGTGAAGGCTGCGGCTCAACGGACACGCGCTCGCCGCAATGCAAGTTCCTTCGTAGGAGCAGCATACGTTTGATTAAGTCCTCTTCCCAGTTATGGTGATGAGCCAAGGAGTTTTCGCCATTATGTTGCTGCCACTTCCAACGCCATGCATAAAAGTCGTCGTTGGGTTGTACATCAAATCCAGCAAACCCCCAAGCGGGATTTCAGATGCCGAGTTTTTCCCAGCCTTTGTTCATGTTATGGCGAGTGACGATTCCTGTCCGGCGGATGCCCTTGGGCTTATAAAATACTGGGTCTTGGCAATGTCATATTTTCCTCGTCTATACTCGGGGCTGTGGAACATGGTCGAATTGGTATCATGTGTATTCAATGGTAGCTGGGAACACGTCCTAATTACTAATGCAGCAAAGTCAACATATCCTCCACCTTTTCGGTTATGTGCTGTTCAACCATGTAACCTAATAAAAAAAGGGAAAAGCACGCCTAATGAAGACTGCAGCCGACAAAATGGTTGTTACCTCACTCATTTCTCGCCTCCCTCCCACGTGCGAATGTCACCCTTCACCTCACGGAAGATGCCCCGCCAGTTACCAATCTCGCTCTCTGTACGCTTCCGTCTGCTGAACGCCGTACGTCTGAAGCTCACGAACCAAACCATGAACCAGTACGTAGCCGCGGCCATCGATGCGACCGCCGCAACCCACGACATGGCCACGAAAGAACCACCCGTCTGGATCTGCATGCCAAAGGCAGCTATGGACTTATTCAGCATACTCTTGCCGCCGTAGATGATCGCCGTCGTGACGACAGCGAAGGTGGGTAGGACGAAGGAGGCGAGGAGGGAGAAGACGAGCGAGACCAGGACGAGGATGCGGAGGAAGCCGACAATGAGGATGGGGAGCGTGGCGAGGAGGACGATGCCGGTGGACACGGTGCCGATGGCGAGGAGGGCCGTCATGGCTTTTGCGCCGCCGGTGGCGAGATCGACGATTTGGTCAAGGGTCCCTGCCATGGCTGCCACGAGGGGGACGGAGACGTTGGCGGTGCCGACGACAAAGGACGACGGGATCGAGCGGGTGATATTGCGCAGGCCTGTAGCGTTGCATTAGCACATGATCCTCCGCCCAGCATCGCACTAGAGTTAAACATACCAGATCCCTTGCTATCGTAGCTCTCGCAGTTGTTGACCGTGACTTTGCTCTTGGGGTCATTGTCGTCCGCATAGGTCGCTTCGCACATCTTTGTCAAGTAGAGGCGGTAGTTGTCCTTGATGCCCAACAGGTGAGTCAAGTTGCCCACGAGCTGGCCCTGAATATCCTGGACACCGTCGCCGATGGCGTTTGTCAAATTGCCAAGCAGGCCTCCCAGAGCGTTGCCGATGCCCTGCGTGATGCCGGTCGGATCGTTGGGTGGTGCAGGAAGGCCCGGGACGCCGGGGATGAGGCTGCCGCCGCCATTTCCGTTTCCATTACCGCCGTTGGTGTTGTTGGCAGCCTTGATCTGGATAATGTCTTGTCCGATGTGCGATGTGTTTAGCTACGGGTGGAATATATTAGCGACTATTCCTTTAGACAGCGCGCGGCGCCGACCGAAACTTACCGACAACCAGTAGTTGTTCCCTCCATTGCTTGTGCTTGTCCCAGCTGCAAGCAGGACAATGGAGAGTGCGACGGCGACGGCCGAGGCAATAATGGGAATGATAGAAGACAGTCGGCCTCCGATGCCGAGCATTGTGAGTTAGTAGTTGATTTTCGATTTCAGAATTATAGTGTTTTAAGAGTTGAGGTGTTTAGATTGACATTAGAAGTGGGCTTGTCCACAGGAAGTCAAAGAACTTTATGATCTCTTTCCAAACCTCCCAAAGATCATAGCAGTACCCGGGCCCCTTCTCACCTTTAATATGCTCTCCACGGGCATCAAAAAACTTTCGATCGCGGGACCTGTCAGTACGTCATTAAACGTCCCGGCAAGCAAGCATATTGGGATGAAACGCTGGGATGAATCTTGAAAGCCTCAATGGTAAATAACCGGTCGTGGAAGGCTTACCCGCGACCAAATATTGCAGGGCCAACGGCTCAGTGAGGGTCCCAGATTTCTTTTCGCATTCTGCGCAGGTGGTGGTTCCAACGGCGCGCTGAGTTGTCTGGGAGTTCCAGGGTTGCGGCTTGTCGCCGCGACGAGGGTCTTACCGCAACGGGCATTTGATGAGAAACTAACGTCATGCCCGCGCCGGGGCAGTCGCATTAACGTCTGATGAATTGGTTGGCTCTCGTAGAAAGTTATCAGCAACGTTCTGCTATGCATATCACAATGTCCAAGCTTGCGACAAGCGGCATAGCATATAACGTGTGCGCTTCTCGCTTGGCGAGACCGGGATTGGGCTGTCTGCCAGACTCTACAGAACACTAGCCCCCCTTGTCTAGCCCCCCCAAGTCGTTCAACGTGGTCGAAGCACTCCTCCCGACGTGTTCGTACCCGTATTGCAGGATGGAGCCGAAGGACGTGCTGGATACTGGAAGCGCTGGTCTAGTTGCAGATCTTGCCTTAGGGTGGTCCTGCGCTGCCCGCATTACAAAGGTAAAATGCTGCCGTATTTCAACGTCGGTTTTCAGCAGGAGCATTACCGTTAAGCCTTTAAAGGATGCACGTCTTCCCGTGGCTATCCTCCCACCTCTTTACGGCAAATGTTGCCGAACGAAGATCCAAGGAGTTTCTGGAACTGTCGCTGACATGATGGTCTAGAAGGGGGAGAGAACCTTGGCCTCAAGTTTGCTGGTTTTAAAGATTCTGCCATGATCGTCTGGAATCATGAATATCCACCACCAATGACCGACCGCAATCGAGGATGCACTCACCTATTTTGTCGTAATGCCACACTTTTGCAGTAATCATGTTGTTTTCGGCACTCGTAACCGCTCTGGGAGTTTTGTCCTTTGTGGAGTCTCCATACAATTTTGGCCCATGTTATCGCCACTGTATCATAGTGATTCAAGGTGCATCCACCTCCCCTCGAAATGACGATAGGTACAGTTTCGACACAAGGCACATGATATAGTGAAAGGGTTGTGCGAGAAGATATTTTCAGCTTAATCAATTGCAAATAAATCAAGGAATTGACCAAGGTCGACTAGATGCCGGTTGGATGTATCCTGTATAGGTCCGTCCATCAGCCAAGCGCAGCCAACTTTCTCAGCTTGATGTTTTGGGAGTTGTCCCAAACGACTCTTTGAGACAGTCTTTTGCAACAGATAATATCATACTCTGGTATTCCTTGATCCAGGAAGACTGGCTTGTGGTGATGGTGGTCTAACTTGTCTATGAACTGGTTTTGATGACGAAGTTATGAGGTTGATCAGCAAGCCCACACCACAACTTCACTACACATCGTCTCACTCCCGTTACATACATTCACTGGATTAACTACCGAGGGAGACTGTGCAACATCTGCTTGTGACATTGGGGCCAAAAAAAAACATGATGCTTTCCTCAAGGGGACACAAAAACGGAGTTCCCCACATAACTGACGGTGAACTCTTCAACGCGACATGATCTGCAAACTGCCCCTACATCATATCCTCTACAAGGCATACGAATGTCTCCCACTTATTACAGACACCTCAAACAACCTTGTGCAGCTCAAGATTTCAAATGATAGAATCTTGTCTGGAGCCTTGGCCACCGTATCTCAGGCAGGTGACAAGAGTGTTGCTTTCTGGACCCGAATACGACGGAAGACGGTCATGACAAGAGTGCCGTAATGTCATGACGTTCCCATGGTTGCGTTGGATTGTCCAATAACATCTTTTGCGTCGGAAATGACGCTTCAAGCCTTGAACGAGCGACGCCCGTCGAGGACATTCACGTTGTGAACATGCCCTGCCTGCATTAGCCTCTGCACGTGAGCGGAATTTCAACAGCGACTTGAAAAAAGAATAAATCCAAAAAACGTCGACACCTGCGTAGTCCAGCAGCCCTTAGAACTATCATGCGCTCGGCACGGATGCTCCCTGGCTCGTCATAAAGACTCTCTGCGTCGAGACTCAGCGCCCTTGAAGGAATCGAACTTGATGCTGGCTGGCGATCAAAACCTCCACGTTGAGTGCTTTACACTCGTGGTTTATTGGAGCGCAGAAATATTTTATTACAGTGCATCGACTCGCAAGAGACGAAAATACAACTGTCGATGCCAAGCAGGTCAATAAGTGGTCTCTAATACTACGCGGTAAGAACTCGTGACTTATATACGTGTTTATAGGCTTATACCATTTTCCTCATATCTGCTAAACACGTGATCCTATGCCCCTTTCTGAAGAACATACCTAGACTGCAGAGGGTCTTTCACAAGAAGATGTAATGTTTTAAGACGAAGCAAGCAATTTGGGCGTAGGTGGGTCGAGATTTCTCATCACCCTTCTAGAGTCCCTGGGGAGGCTTTCAAGGGCACTTGTAAACCCGTCGCACTAAGAGAAAAAAAATCCATCCTTCCGTCCTTCCGTCCTTCCTGTTACAGCCAGGAAAAATGCGCCGGCGCACACTCCGATCCGCCCCGTTTCCCACCATCCGTATCGGGAATGCCGGCCATCTTCCCCGCTTGAGTCACCCGGTCAGCTTACTCGGGGTTGCCCAGCTTACAGCAATCCGTCAAAGTATGCAATACCAAAGCAAATAAAGCAACCTTGACCGGCCCTCCCCGTCCATCATCCCCACCCCCTTTTACCGTTCGGTCTGGAAAAACCGCACGTCACGTCCACCTGTCAGGAAACCCCGGAAAGCCAAGCCCTTCCAACCCGCCGCCGCTCCCGGTGTGCGTCTGTCATCCCATCAACCAATGCGACAAGCTCCTAAAGTCATGGCATCCACCACCTCCACCACCGCCGCCGTAACGGCCACGGCAGACCGTCCCGCACAAGCCGACGTGACACTCCGCCCCGCAACACACGACGACATACCCGCCCTCGCCTCCATTTCCGACGCAGCCTTCCAAGCCGACTCGCACACCCAGCTCAAAGCCTCTATCCGCGGCGACGACGATTTTCCCCGGGGCATGCAAGAGGCTCTGGCATCGTGGATCAATCACCCCAAAGTCGACGTCATTGTCGCCGAGGAAGCGACGACGACGACGACCACAACAACAACAGCAACAAGCGACGGGACGCCGAAGCTGGTGGGTTGGGTGGGGTGGGTGAGGAGGGGTTTCGCCGGCGATACGGACCTGCCCCTCGCCGGACCCGACGAGGAGCCCCGCGCCGATACTTTCTTCACGGGATCACGACCCGGCGGCGGCGGCGACGAGAAGAAGAGTAAAACGGTGGACGACCTCGGCGCGTTGACGAATGCGTCGATGGAGTATTGGGTGAAGAGGTTCATGCCCGAAGGGTGCAAGTGTAGGTTCCTCTGCACATACGTCGTCCACCCGGACCATCAGGCCCGCGGCATCGGCTCACGCATGATGAAGTGGGGAACGGACCAAGCGGATCGCGAACCGGGGGTGTACTGCTGGGTCCAATCGTCCATGGGCGGGCAGCCCGCGTTTGAGAAGCAGGGATTCTACGAGGTTGGGAGGCTGGAGGCCGACCTGGATGAGTTTGCAGAGGGGAGAAGGCCCGGTGGTGAGTTGGAGCACGTCACGGGGAGTAAGGAGTCGTGGGGGAGGTATTCATGGGTGTACATGAGAAGAGATGCCAAGGCATGAAACAAAAAAAAAATTTGAGGCAGAATGAACGACGCCACGCTGTGATTGATGCATTATGCCAAGGGCCCAAATTGGCCTGAAGAAACAAATAACTACAATAGCCCCGCGAGGTGCAGTCCATTCATTCACACTCATCCCGTGAACACACGCGGAGCTCGTCTACAACCCGACAAGCTTGCAAAATGTCATGAGACCCCACGCGCCAGCCAACGGGTTCATCATATCCTGCACCATCATCGAGTCCGAAATAGCCTCGTTGAAATCCTTCATCAGGGGCACCTTGGGCTTCGACGCCCAAAACTGGCGCATGTACTGGTGCCCGTACGTCAGTCCCGCCGCGAGCATGATGGGGAAGCCGACGGTGAAGATGCCCAGGCCGCGGGGCACCACGAGGGAGAAGGCGATGCCGCCGATGGCGGATACAAGGCACTGAAGAGGTGTGCATGTCAGTATATCATGAATGAAGAGTGAGAGAGAGAGACCTGAAGTTTGCCGTGGGGCTGGGACTTACGCCGACAAAGCCTGTTCCGACGGTGTATCTGATTTCCCACAGCTGCTTCTCTGCCGTCCGGCTCCACTCTGCCGCCTTCTTGCCCTTTTCCTCGTACTTGAGCAGTCTGGGAATCGAGTCCGCCGAGTGGACGAGCGCAAAGATGCTGACGATGGCGATGAGAATGCCCAGCATATTCGTCGGGAACGCCATATTCTCTAATTCAGTCGGTGATGCCTTTTTCAGATGATGAGCCGCGACGTCGTTTTGTAGTTGGATTATTTAATCCTTTCTGGTTGCTCGTGTCTGTGATGTGACGATGTCCAGCATAAGGACTCGGTGGTGTTTATAAGACAAGGCAGCTCGATAGCTCACATGCAGGAAGAACGAGTTACTATGGGGGGCCGCGGCAGTGACGTCATGGTTCACTAGGTCACGACATCCGGCGAATGTCCTCCGGGCCAGTCGTGAGCTCACGATCAATCATGGGACGGACAACGCAGGACGCGCTCTGGCTTAATTTGGAATTTTCTCAGCCATTTCTTGCGAAACTCTGAGAGCCCCTCATAAGTAGGCGTTCATGAGATAAACTCACTAAACTCCCCCTCTCTCAGCTATCTGCGGTACGTGGCCACGGTCTGGACTACAAGCTCAGATGAGACACGTCCAGCCCTGCTCATCACATTCAACGGAGCATCGCAGCGGGTGGTCGGATCATTATTCGACCATACTGCCGTACGGCTCTCAGCATACACAGTCCGCGGACTCCCGACGTTGTCATCCGTACCAGCTGAGTTGCTCGCCGGACATTTCCACATCCATACCTTGGTATTTAGCTGCCCAACGCCCTCGCCATACAAAAGCAAGAAGATGGCTCGGAACCCATACTTGAGCCGCCCGTAAGTCCCATGTTCCTCATGCCTCTCGCCAATGATATACCGGCTTAGACACTGGCTGTAAATATCATCCACCAATATGCTGACCGCCTGGAGGCAAGTGGCAGTGGGCGGTCGAGCAACGTTGCCATTGAGGGAAATCCTCAGCTTCTGTCGATCATTTCGGCCGCAAGTCTTTTACGTAAAAATCAAGCTTCTCCGAGTGATAGACATGACCAGGCGGGTTCTTCGCCCCAGTGTACAGGTTGTCGATGGAGTGCTGGTGAAAGGTTTCGGACGCAGTGCACTGCAGGATGTGCGGAAGCCCTGGCGGGTTTGTGAGGCGGAAGATGCCATATCTGCATGCTGTGTTAGCGCTGTTGCACAGGACGAAACATCTACGACTTACGAAGGGGAGTGCCTAGGAGAGCAGACGATGGCGATACTCTCCGGCATCATGACTTGGTACCCGGCCTGCGTATGTAGGTCTCGCGAGCTCATGAAGCATGTCTGTGTGGGATGCGTATGAATCCAGCCCACCACCAAAAGGTCCTCGTTGATGCAGTAATCCAGCATCGACGACTCGTTCTCGGTCTCGCACGTATCGGGCGTGCACTTTTGTTCGGGGATGAGAAGGCAGCTGATGAACAGCGCATTATTAACGGGTCGTCCACAGAGGATGCCACACATTTCCAGGCCTCTCCGAGTGTTTTCAGAAGCAATGTTGAGGAACGTGTCCCTGAGCTGCGTTGGGAGGAAAACAGGTCGAATAGGGTCGCCGTTCTCCAGGTAAGCTGCCGGCCGGAAAGCGAGCCGCTCTTTTTCCGCCGGCGGCATCACCTTCTCCTTGGCTGGCAATTCCGGAACGCCCCCTTGCAACGCGTCAGTTGTCGACGGCGGCCTGTACGACGGCAACGGCTCTTTGCCCGGCCTCATGGGAGGCGCGGCATCGAGCTCCTGGCGCATCATCGTGAAGTCCTCCTTTGGCGGCCTTGGTGGTTGAGGCGGTGGCGGTGGCGTGTAAATGCGCTGCGGCTCCAACGGCGACGCCTCCCATTCCAGCGCTCTTGGTCGTGAAATGGACGGGTAATTGTATGAGTAGCTGGGAGGCGCTCTCGGCGGGGGCACCTGGCGTTGGTAGTATGAAGCTTGTGATTCCCTAAAGTTGTCCTCGTCTCTTCCCCCGTCGGTTCCGTCGAGTCGGCGCCGTGTTGCCTCGATCTGTCTCCTTATGTCTTCCTCCTCTGCTGCCGCCGTCGCCGGGCTGCCGAAGTGCTCCCAGTCTTCCCAGCGGCCGCCCTTCCGGCGTTCCTGCTCTTCTTCTGCGCTGACACCGGCCTGTCGCGTTGCCCTTCTTGCAGCATCTCTCCTCTTGTAGTCTCGCTGCGCCAGGGACACTGCAAGTTCCTGGTTATCGGCGGCATCGAGGATCTTGGCATTTCCGGATAAGGTCGGGTCTCGGGCGGCAAACTCGTCGTAGTTTGTGGGTCTGTTGGTGGTTTCATCGTCCTCTCTCCTCTTTGACGCACTCATCGACTGCCATTCCTTGTAATCATGGTCGATCTTCGGCTTCAATTCCTCCAGTAGCCCAAACACTTCCTTATTCTGGCGGTCGAACAGCGGTTTCGTGAGCGCCTTATTTTCGGGTAACTTGGCGTCAGGGTGTGTTTTCAAGTGGGTAAGAACGAGAATCGAGTGTCGCCATAGCATCTGGTATGCTTTTCGTATGTCGCGATCTTGGAGCGCAAAGGTTGCCTGGGTCGCATGTCATCAGCGGGTGCTGCGCGGCCAAACAAACAAGCGAACTGGGGCACAAACCTCTTGAAACAGAGTATCGGCAGAACGCGCCCAGTACTTGAAGGGAATCGTAGTCCTAAAATCAAAATCCTCTGCTGCTATGGTAATCTCCTTGATGCTCATGGGCCGCGCGGGCCTTGAATTCGAAGGGCCATTCATCTTGGTGGTGCCGGAGGTGTTGGAGCTCTCCGACTGTTGCTTGTGTGGTGATTCTGGTTTGGGGGTGTCACGATATGAGGTCGCCGGTGGTGGCCAACACCGTTCAGGAAGATGTTGGCATGTTTCTGAGAGTGAAAGGCCAAGCGTGGCAACCTTGAGGTAGCAGACGGTGACCCTTTGGTCAAAGATGCCTTGCGAGTTTCGTCCCAGGGACCGTATGACGAAGCGCTAGAGGAGCCACAAGTGGCTGAAGCACACAGCACGACCCCGCCATGGATGGGGTAAACCGACAAGGTCCGCACAAAGAAGGAGGGGCACGGGAGAGAGCTCGGGCCTTGCACAGGAGTGGGTCACGTGGATCTTGATACATGGCACGTGATGTAGCCCACACCGGAAATGGGTCTTACCTCATCCATCTCACCAAGGCCGGTGAACCAAAGCAGTGTAAGGTGAGGAAGAGCAGCCCAAGTAACAACAGAAATCAGCAAGGGGCGGGTCCACGCTTTGTTGAGCTGTCAGTTGCGGGAGGATCCGGGTCGTGATCTCGGATCCTCTCCCAGAGTGTCACAGTGTCACTGAGTTGGGAATCGAGAGAAGGGCAGAAATTTGAAATCTTCCATGATCCATCGTATTGCCACGACGGAATGAAAATTTCAAGCATCAAGGCGCGCGGACGTGGTCTCGCCCGTATTTCCGTTCGATCTACGAGAGCTCTTCTCCTTTGCCCGCCAACCCAGCGGACACCGACAGCAAGGGTTATACGCTGGTGGCTCTCGCCTCATTCCAACATCGGGAATTGTCGGAACGTGCCCGGTTTTCGTAATAAATCTTGCCAACCACTCAGCTGTGCATTCGAAGAAAAAAGCAGCTGCGAAACCAAAGCTACCGGCGGACGCCCAGGCGGGCCGGTGAAGCCGTTCCTGGTTCCATCCGCATTGATCCCCACGCGGCTCGAGTCTCAACATGGCACCATGCTCGAGTGCTTCCACCGCCTGCTTGAACCGGGTCGCATGTCCCTGACGTGCATGCTTCTCGTTGCTTGAGTCGAACGAACGGCTCGCGCCCCCACGCTTCCCTTCCCGCTGGTCGCCGGTGAGCGAGGGGGACAGCGAAAGTGAGATCTCGAGCGGTCTGGAGACTGTACGACCAAGACCCTGTTGCTTGCTGCCCTAGGTGCGGCGGTACCTCGTTTTCCATGTCTCAAGTTGCGGCCGTGGCTGTGCCGAGTCGTCAGGTTATCAGCTATCGCATCTTGCCATCCCCCCAAATCTGATGGCGAGATGGGTTGATGTTTTGCGGGAATGTGGAGGAGGTGACCACCTCCTGGTCATATTTTCCCGCCTTGCTTTTGTAATTCGCAAGTGTTGATGGGGGCCACTGCCGGGCATCTCCCGCAAAGACTGGGGACCCAATGTTGACTAGTCCTTGCCATGTGTTCGTCCGTCCGGCCATGGCAGATTCAGGGATGGCCACCATCTGGGCCATCCTGGACATGGAGGAATCGCCCGATGAGGCCACAAGGCTACAATCCAGTCGAGATTAAAGGAGAACCTTTCCGCCATTGTTGATATTGAGCTCCTTCAGACTTGCTTGATTCTATATATCCATCCTCACAAGAATATAAGTGTACATCCATCCATCTACGAGACCATCACCAATTCCTCGTGAGACGTCACATATCATCACCACCATGTCTTCCACCACCTGCAGAAGTGAGTCGTCCTGTTCACCGTAGGGTTTGCCAAAAATTAAGAACTAGACAGAAAGCATCGACAGCACCATGTCCCATTTCACCCTGAGCATGGGCAAAGCATCAGTCCAAAACAACGTCTCCCTCTGGACGACACTTTCCCAGTGCTACGGCGAAATCGCAGAGATCTTCAACGTCCAAGACGCAGAAGGCATCCTGTCCACCCCAGACAGCATCTCCAAGGTTGTCCACGCAACCTTTGATCACGACGTGCACGGCCTGATCGAGCAACACTCCTCCTCCATGGCCAGCCAACTCGACGACACGACAAAGGCGCACATGCTCGCCCAAGCCATCGCCGGCATGGTCGCCTTCTTCCAGAAGCTCGCCTCGCACCACCAGGGACCCGTCACGCACGCCAGCTTCGACCGCGAGGTCCGCCGTTTCGCCGAGTGCGAGCTCCGCTCCGCCATGATCCGCACGATCGAGGACAGTCGCATCTTTGGGCGCTGCTACACCAAGAGCCAGATCGCCGACCTCATCATGGGCGCCGTCGAGGGCAAGGTCAACGGCGCTGAATTTACGTCCGAGGACGAGTACCAGAACGCCATTGGCTGGGCGACTGAGCTGCCCGCGCGCAACATGGGCTTGCCGTGGGGTTTCTCCATCATGGCTCTCAACTGAAGGGGTGCAAATGATGGAGATGATCATGACCGCTATGATGAAAACAATTTTTGGGACTTGGCAGGGCGAGGGTATCCCCAACAAGAAATGGCGCATTAGCATGGCGTTTATGAATGGAATCGTATCGGAGCATTGCTGGGTATAATTCATAGTCCTAGTAGTTTTGTAATTGTATCACCACTCTTATCAGACCTTGATTTTGGTAATTCTTTTTGATTTTCCCCTTGGTCCCTTGTCGTCGTTGTCGCCGTCATCATGCCTTCTGTGCCTGGGCCGCCGCAGCTTGAGCGCTGGTTTGGATCTGGATGATGTCGCCCTTCTTTTTCTCTAGTTTGGCCTGGGCGTCCTTGATCAGGCCCTCATGTCTCTCGCTGGTAGAAGTTAGTTAACAAGATTCGACCTCACGACAGTACCTTAGCCTGCAGTGCACGTACATTTCCTTGGTGATGAAGTCCAGACGGCCCTTGACTGTGCTCTCCGCCTCCACCTTGTCCTGCTTCAGCAACACAGGTCCTACCAGCTTATAGATCTGCTCGCCATCCTTGAGCTTGTCAAACTCCTATACGGGGCATCAGCCTTGTCAATCTCATCGTAAAATTCGGGGTTTGTGGCTCGCTTACCTCTTTCACGCCAAGGTTCTCTTGTCTCTGGGCCTCCAGCTTTTGCCTCGACTGGACGGTGGTCTGAAGTTCTAATGAGACATGAGTAAAAGTCCCCTCATTGACAATCGGGTTCTGAGAACGTACCCTGTTGCAGCGCCTGGTATTCCTCGGACAGCTTTTGCAGCTTTGCTTGCACCTCAGCCATGATTGGATCTGAATATGAGTGTGAGGGGTTCACAAGAGGTGAGGGTGAAAATTGCAAATCAGAGACTTGGCGGGAGAGGAAAGGGTCGGCAGGGATGCCGCAGTTCGGTCCGACGGCTTTGTTATAAGACGATTCTCTGAATCAGACGTCTTCAAATGCCAAGGCTATGGGAAATAATTCGGTTGTTTCGACTTTTGAGCGGTGGTCTGCGAGAAGATACTTGGTACCTCGACTCATCAATGCAGTAGTGACAGACCATTGGGATACTGATTAGATGAATAAGAAGCAACCCACTTTGCGAATATATGGGCATCGGGGGAAGCAAGTTTATTGAGGATCCGAAACACACAGCGGCATCTTGCTTGTTCTCCAATGTCGAACTGCAATTGAATTTGAGACCAAGATATATTAATCCTTGCTTTTGAAAGTATACAGAGAACAGGAAGAGAGGTCTGCTTCGAACTATTTGGTCACACAGCCTGTCACTGGGGATTGTCGGATGGAAAATGCCTATATACAGTTAATGCATCTACACAGGTCCTTTGCAATAACCGAAACAAGTCCCCCACCCCCACCACCTGCACAAGGCACCCCGATTAACGCAGCGGTCCATCATGAACTGCCCAGGCAACGTCACAGAATCCAAGCCCGCAAGTGCTTCCTCAAGGTCCCTCACCCGCCCAAACTTCCAACCCTCCACCCCGTTTGCGCCAGGCACCGACGCCCTCCTCGGGACCTCATTGATTCTTGCATCCTCCCACGTCCGATCCCGAATCGATTAGCCACGGCGCTTAACGAACACGACGACGTCGACGACGAGAGAGCTTTCCCCGCTCTTTCCACCTTGTCACGAATCTCACCTCTTCCTCGCCGCTGAATCACTAAGCTTCTCGACTGAGTCACCAGCAGCCAACAATGTCCGGCATCACAGACTTCCTCGGCCGTGCCATTAGCACGGTCAAGCAGGCCATCGACGCCGACAACGCCGCTGAGTACGACAAAGCCTTCCAACTATACACAAAGTCGCTCGAGCTGTTTGTCCTCGCCGTCAAGTGGGAGAAGAACCCAAAGTCAAAGGAGCTCATCCGCCAAAAGACGGCCGAGTACATGGACCGCGCGGAGAAACTAAAGACATACCTCAACGAAGCGGAGAGTAAAAAGAGCGGCGGGGGCGGGAACAAACCCGGGGCCGTGGGCGTTAATGGCGGTGGCAAGGGTAAGGGGAGCGCCGACGACGGCGACGAGGACAACAAGAAGCTGCGCAACGCTCTCAGCGGCGCCATCCTGCAGGAGCGGCCCAACGTGCGGTGGGACGACGTTGCCGGTCTCGAGGGCGCCAAGGATACGCTGAAGGAGGCCGTCGTGCTACCCATCAAGTTCCCGTCACTGTTCCAGGGCAAGCGCCAGGCGTGGAAGGGTATTCTCCTCTACGGCCCACCTGGAACGGGTAAGAGTTATCTGGCAAAGGCGGTCGCGACAGAGGCAAACAGCACATTCTTCAGCGTCAGCAGTTCCGATCTCGTGAGCAAGTGGATGGGAGAGAGTGAGAGGTCAGTCGATCGCGCAGGCGAAGCACAGCACGGCACGACAGTATTCTAACCCAGAGAATAAAACAGGCTCGTCAAGGCGCTCTTCAGCATGGCGAGAGAAAACAAACCCTCGGTCCTCTTCATCGACGAAATCGACGCCCTCTGCGGCCCCCGCGGCGAAGGCGAGTCCGAAGCGTCAAGACGTATCAAGACGGAGCTTCTCGTGCAGATGGACGGTGTCGGAAACGACAGCAAGGGGATCCTGGTCCTGGGCGCGACCAACATCCCTTGGCAGCTCGACGCCGCCATTCGAAGACGTTTCCAGCGCCGCGTGCACATTGGTCTCCCGGACGTCAACGGCCGCGCGCGCATGTTCAAGCTGGCCGTCGGCGACACAGAAACACACCTCCAGGCAGACGACTACCGCGTCTTGGCCGAGCTGTCGGCGGGATTCTCTGGCAGTGATATCGCCAACGTGGTGCAGCAGGCTTTGATGGGGCCCGTTCGCAAGATTATCCAAGCCACACACTTCAAGCCGGTATGTGACGACGGCTATTGCCTTGACTTCGCAACATATTGGATAGAGACTGATGCTGACTTTATACAGGTGGTTCACGAGGGTCAGAAGAAGCTGACACCTTGCTCACCCGGTGACCCCCAAGCCAAGGAGATGACGTACCACGACGTCGACTCGGAGGAGCTGATGGCGCCCATTATCGAGCTGAAGGACTTCAAGCAGGCCCTGAGGGACTCGCATCCCACCGTTTCCGACGACGATGCCGCCAAGCAAATAGAGTGGACAAACGAATTTGGCAGTGAGGGCGCATGAGCTGGACTTTTGCTTTCGCCCGCAGGAAAGGGGGAGAGAGAGCATGTCGATTAGTTGTGCCATCTTGGCCATCACTTCACTGTACTTTCTCGAGGTGTTTTTCTCTTTCCCGAGAAGCAGCTAGAATTGGTCGACGACGAGATGTGGATGAACCGGTGTTTGCATCAAAGGTGCCGAGGAAGAGACCGAACTATTCAAATGAGACGAAAGAATGGAAAGAAACAGACTACTGGGATGGATGGGATGGGTGTATGGGGGTGGCTGTGTCGAGAGTTGGGGGCGTCCTCTGGCGTTGAAACGGCCGGCATATGGGTGGGGAAATATCAAACGTGTTACATTTTTGTTCTTCTACCAATTCTTTTTTTTCTGTTGAATTGTTCCCTTTCCAATTCTACTGCATTGCAACATCTTTCCCCCCCCCCCTTCTCTGATACAGCGTAAAATCTCAAAAAGTTGGCCTACCAGAAAGGGTTACGCAATTGATTTGCTTTAATTCCTCATTTCAATAAGTGACGTTTGAGTCGTTGGTGCAAAGAACTTATGGGTTCTAATGAGTTGCAGCCTTCTGCTTCGACGGACTTTGGCGGGTTTGCTTGAGTCCAACGAGGGACGGTCTATCACAGAGGGGAAAAGGAAGTAGACTATTTTTCGGGGGGGTATTCAGTAGTAGAGCTGACCATGAGAGCTTGATCGACATACTGAATATCTCCTACTTAACCCCTCAATCTTGGAATTCTACACCGTCTAATAGACAGACTGGATAGGGCGCCATCAAAACGCGAATCTGGCTATAGAAGCGGTGAAGAAGCCACATTTTGGGTAAGAGAGACGCAGAGACAAGCACAAATCACATTGCACATTCTCACTCATTATAGAGATCGACGAGCAGGACAGACGGGGGGAATCGCTCTGGGGGGGTATGGGTTCGGTTGTTCTTTCAACTGTACATACACACACATGTAGAATGATGCATTAACATTTTTTCAAAGCCCAAAAACTCCGTTCAAGTAGCCCGGTTTCTCTCATTTTTCCCCCATAAAACTCCCAAAAAAGCCAAACAAGGAACAGATAAAGAACAAGAGAAGGACCGCAAGGATGATGCGAAAACAAGAGAGAGAGAAGCCGGAATGCCGAGTAGACCCTATCGGTGTGCCGCCAGACCTACGTTTTAAAAAAGAGAAGAAGAAGAAAGAGCAAGAAGTCTTTTGGAACAAGGTTTGGGTGGGTGATGATGGGTATTTGCAAAGAGAGACAAAAAAAAGAGTAGGCAAAAACCACTCTCTTCTCTTTTACTCATCCTTGGACTTTGACTTCTTCTTCTTCTTCTTTTCGCCGTCAGCCTTTTCGGGCTCGGCGGCACCGACCTCGGACTCGCGCTTGCGCTTCTTCTCCTTCTTGTCCTTGGACTTTTCCTTCTTTTCCTTCTTCTCCTTCTTCTCCTTCTTGACCTCGTCGGCGACGGCGTCAACCATCTCGGCGTCGTCGAGCGTGATGTCGCCCTCGACTTGCTCCAGGACGGAAGCCTTTTTGGTGTAGAGTCATTAGCATGATTGTTTTTTTTTTCAAGGGTACGGCGGGGAGGGAATACTGCTCTGAGAGATGACTTACCATGACGTCGGAGTTCTTGGCGGGCTTCTTGCCGGTGGCGTAGAACTCGAGGCGGTCCTCGACCTGCTGGCGCAGGGCCTCACCGTACTTGGTGTTGGGGTTCTCGGTGTAGTTGTCGATACGGCTGGCAATGGAGCACTTGTTGGCGAGGTAGCGCGAGATGCGGCCCTTGTTCTTGACGGCGGCCTTGCCGATGAAGCTGGAGTGGTAGATGAGACCGTACTTGGGGGTGTTGCTCTTGGTCTTGAGGGCGCGGAAGAGGGCCTTCTCGGCACCGAGGATCTGCAGCGTGGAAGCAGGGTACTTTGACAGATTGGTCAGGGAGCCGGCGTGGGAGATGAGCTTGGCGGCGACGGGGGTGCCGATGAGGGTCTGCAGGTTGGGCGCGACAATGGACATCTTCTTGTCGAGGTAGTTTGCGGTCGAGCGGCGGGCCTCGGCCTGCGCGACGACGGCCTCGGCGAAGCCCTTTACGATCTCCAGATCGGCGGGGGTGATGGACAGACCCATGGAGACCTTTGCGGCGTCAATGATGGCCTGGGCCTTCTCGCCGTCCTCCTGGACGAGGGCGGCGATGTCGTGGAGACGGTCGTCGGTGAGGGTGGCCTTGTCGCCGATGGCGATGACGAGCTTGGCGTAGGTGAGGTTGTCCGACTCGATCTTGACCAGCTCAGGGAAGTGCCAGCCGTACCACTCGCGAACGCGCATGAAGAACTGGTTAACGCCCTTGTCCTGGAACTCGACGGTAGCGCTGGCCTGGATGACGTGGTTGTCGTTCTTGGTGGTGCTGAACTTGACCTTTGCGCGGGAGTAGGAGTGGCCCAGACCCAGGCCGGCGGCGGTCGAGTCGCCCGTCTGCAGGCCCTTGAGGAGGCGGTCGGCGTGCAGGCGGACGCCGCGGAGGAGGTCGCCGGCGACCTCGGAGGTCTCAGAGGTCTCGCAGTCGATGCCAGAGAAGGAGCTCTTGATCACGGAGGCCAGGTTCTTCTCGGCCACGGCGATGGTGATTTTGCTCTTCTTGCCGCTCGTCTGGGGGAGGTTGAGCTCGAGAACGGACTTGAGGTGGTCGGACATGAGACCCTCGGAGATGTGGTTGATCTCGTCAAGTGCCTGCTTTCCGGTGCTGTGAGAGAGAGGGTTTCGTCAGCAGGGTATTCTTGTAATTATTCTCGCTCCATTCTTGTGTCCATCGTCGCTGTTCCGGCATCGAGACGCGCTTCCAAGAGGGCCCCTCCGTCGCGCAGCCGCGAGCCATCACCATCACCACCACGAACACAATCGCCAACAACGCACACTCAATTCGTGAATTGGGGTAGTCCTACTCAAAGGGAGTGAAGTTGACCAGCTTGACCATCTTGCCAAACTTGGAAAGGTCGGCAATGGTCTCCTGAGCCTCCTTCTGGCGCAGGCCAATGCTGTCGGGCTGGTGCTCGATGTGGAACACACCGTAGCCCATGGGGGCCTCGTAGAGGAGGTAGTTGATTGCGGCCATTTTGGAAAAACTATCTCTCTTGCAGTGCTCGTTGAAATCGTTGGCGCGGGGAGAGGACCGAACAATCAAGCCTCGCGGAAGTATTGTGGGTGGGCAGAGGCGAGTCGATAGTTCTGGTCTCGAGACGCAAAAAGGTCGAAAAGTATCCAAGGTCGGATTTTTTTTCTTCAATTTTTCCTTTCCCCCCACTGGTGTCAATTGGAAATTTTTCTGGAGCTCCAATGTCGACGCTCGGACCAGCTTGTCTCTGTTGTGTTGTGGGTGGTGGGAGGGTCACGTGGGTGCCATCCGGCTTGAGACGGCGCCGGCGGCCGGTGCTGGGGCACGAGCTGCTGTGGCTGAGGTGCGGTCCAGCCTTATGTGGCTCAACACATGAAGTTGCTTGGTGGCACGGTGGCTGGACTTATCGCTGGAGCCGGTCGAGACGGTGACAGCAGATCCTCATCGCAGGAGGGCAATATTGTTTATTGACGCCTCGCTGCTTGCTTGATTCGTTCAAACTCTTTATAGGACTGTTCTATGGAATCTGTATGTATGTATGATCAAGCACGGTGGGCGGAAACACTCGAGTACATCTGGAGCTGCTAGTATCGGCATATACAAGTCAAAGAAAAGGTTGACAGAACTCAAATCCAGAATATTTCGACTTAAACAAAGTCTTACTGTGACTTTCCCAGGTATTCTGTCCACTTATAGGCCTAGACCTTCGAAACCTCATACGGTTGTGGAGTTGCGAATTTCTACAATGATTTAAACACCGTTTCAATTCCAAGATTGTAGGCTCATTTTGGTAGGCTTTCGGACCGCAACTCACATTTGGCATCAAATGTGCGAGACATTATATCAGTGATTCTACCCAAGTGAAGCACACAATCGATTTACTTGCCCAGCCAATTTCCCTCCAACATTTCGTGCACAACTACCTGGTCGACGCCGAGCGGCAGCTTATCAACATGGTTGTCACATGTGACCAATCCAACAACTCGGGCAATCAACTCTGCCAAATCACAATCACCACTGCCAAAACCACCTGACTTCTTATTTTCTCCTGGCAGACTCCGTAAGCATCCTTCCCGAACGTCCGGAGCCCTCGATGATTCCAACAGGCTGTTAAACCGGAGGTGGTATCGCTCATCCCGTCGCTTCCGGCATCTGGCGGAGGGTCGGGGTCGCCTAAGAAGCCTAACGTCCTATGACATCATGAATCGAGATGGCCCAATGATTCCGCTGGCTTACAGCAATGCCTGATTGCTCTGCACATTCATTGTCACATCTTCATTGTCCAGTGCCGCTTTAAACGGGAAGCAAACAATGTTGATTAATTTTGTTTGTAGTCATTACACATTAGGCGTTATTAAAAAAAGAATATACTGCATGTACAAAAGCCTGAGCAGAAGGATGCTCGCCAAAAAGAGTACGCAGGTAGCTAGAACCAGAAGATTTTGAACCATTCTCATCCGATCAGACTTTCGTTAAGCAGCACGGCGGCTCCTAGTTCGTGACGCGATGCCGCCTCCGCCGGCCGCCTTGGCCACGCCGTTCGCAAAAGCCTGGGTGGCCTGAGCAGCCTCGCCGCTGACCAAGGGCGCGACGTCGACCTTGGACACCTCCTCAATGGTCTCCATAGGTTCGGCCTCGGAGTCTTCCGCCTCAGATCTCACGTCCTGCTCGACACCCTGGAAAACGTAGCGGTATCCGATGCGCAACAGGAAGAAGAGCCAAAAGAGGTTGAGCGACTGCAGTAGACCGAGCAAGCCAAAGGTGATGACCTGTGAGAGCGTGCACTTGTACTGCTGCGTCTCCCAGTTGAGCTCGTAGGGACCAACGGTGGAGAACTCGGTGAGGATGGACCAGAGGATCTTGAGGTTGATGAAGTGGCGGAGGTAGATCCATGAGGCCAGGGACAGGCAGTACCACGGTCCAGTGATGGGGTGGTCAATGTAGTTGAAGGTCTTGGACAACTGAAATAGGGGGGAACACAAATTAGAATCTTGCTACGAGTGGGTTTGCATAGGTCTGCGAGCGAACTTACTGCCATGCAAAAGTCGCTGATATCGTGGGTCAGGTAGACAGCGATACCCATATAAGTGAAGTGAAACCGGTAGCTCAGGCCGATGAGCGCCAGTGTCACGCAATGATGCGCCACGAGCTCGTAATAATCCTTGCGCGGCTTCTCCAAGCCAAGAAGCATGACCAGCGCCTGCTGCGCCCAGTAGGCCCCCTCAAGCAGGTAGTAGAACTTGACGACGGCTTCGTGGGTTTTGTGGGGAAACGTCTCGTACATGCCGGTGGTGTTGAAGTACCAAACCGGGGTGCGGCTCATGACGTAGAGTCCAAAGGGGCCGAGGATACCAAAGTAGACAGCAGTGTAGGCCTGCTCCATGAAGCGCAGCTGCTTTCCACGGGAACGGATTCCAAGATACTTGGCCAACGGACGAAGAAGTTCCTGCATGATGAAATCACGCGTGAAAGAGAGGACGGTGGCATAGAAGCAGACAAAGGCGATATCCCAGAGACCCTTTCCGTACTGCGCGGGGGCGTCGCCGTTAGCACCGGCGGCCGCGTCGAGCCCTTGCTGAGGGATCTTGTAGGGGAGGAAGATGAAGTTATGCATGATGTTTGACTCGGTGGGGTTTACGGCGTAGAGGGAGAGGCAGGCAAGGATCATGACGAGGGGTGTGGTCCAGGTGTGCTTGACGGCGATTTGCTTGCAGCGGCGGAGGATGGCGCGGGCGCGACTACGCTTGGAGAGGCGGTCGAGCTGCTCCTGCAGCGAGGGCTGGCGGGCATTGGCATCGTGACCGTACCCGTGGCCTCGCACGCTCGACTTTCTCCGTCGGCGGGTCGCGATCTGGTCCTTGCTGGCCATGGCCGTGGCGGTGGACTGAGCCATGGGGGATTCGGCGGCAGTCATTGTCGCGGGTGGCAGCTGTCGAACGCCGATTTGTTGCGATGACGATTGGAAGTTTGAAGACGTCGAGGTCGAAAAGGGGGGATCTCCCAGATGTTGAACAGACGAGGAGGAGGAGGCACAGACGGATGTCGCGTGCACCTTTCGCGATTGAGGCTTGGAAATAGACGCAGACAAGAGCCGTTCAAGACCTGTCGAGCATGCGGACGGGGAGATGTAGAAAGAGAGTTCGGTAGGCCGGAAACTCTGGAGGAAAAGGTTTATAGAGACGGCCGGGGCGGTCGTCGGGGTTTTTTCTTGTGAACCAATTTCCCCCGTGGCTCGCGCAGAGGCGGGTTTTCGGATAGAGTGGGTAAGATCAATTTTAAGGTCAGACATGGGGTGGGCTGATTCGCACCCCCCGCGTCCAAGTGCTGGCAGTGACAACCAGACTGGCCAGCGAATGGCGACGCCCGATGAGACGCGGATGACCACCTGCTGGCCCCCCAGTCTTGCCTCTTTCCGTCCATTTTTGCAGCCCCACCCTGTTGGAATCCTCCACTGGGGCAAGTAGCGTCTACCTTAATAAGCTATTTCATCACCCCCTATGCGAGGGCCAACAACCAGTGTTGCTGGGGGGAAGAAGACTTTTTCTTTGTTCACGTAATTATCTACGGGGTCAACTGAGGTAGGAAAAAGAAATGAATCGATCGTTTATACTGCACTTGTAGAGAGTGCCCAGTGTCTTTCTACCCTTATAATTGCTCAATTCGGAACGTGTAGGAAATCGGAGACTCGATGGAAACAATTCCCCGACACGCTTTCTGCGACAGGCTGAATATGGACGGCTCTTCGGTATCTAATCGTTCTTGGTCATCATCAATAACTCTGCATTTGCCCAGTCCGTGACGGTGGACTGACAGCCTCCTGTTCCAACGCAAGACTTTCTCGGAGGGCCATGGTCTCCTGCGATCGCGTATTGACTGACGGTCATCATCGGATTGGAAAAATTACCCCCAAAAACTCCCCCAACCCCCCAAAAAGACCCCTGGGCCAGGGTCCCAGAATCTTCGTTGCTGCTTGGACTCTCAACATGTTTTTCGTCCCATGTCCACCGACCACCCGCACTTGGCGCCATCCCATGACGAAGTAGGCGGTCTGTCACCGTCGCCGACATCCCGTTGGCAGCCAAGTCCACCTATGATACGCGGAAGTGCCGGTGCTCAACGGGGGAGGGGGCGCCCAAACATGTGCCTCCACATGCAGGAATTCAGAGGCGCCTGGGGTCCAGGCGCACTCCTTACATAAGCTCACCCGCGGGATACAATGTATCCGTACTTCCGTACCGACTTTCCTTCCAATACGGATGTACGCGGTCCAACGGGAGGCAACCCTCAGAAGTCTCTCGGTGTCACACTCCTGTCTGCGGTGTCGTGATTGTCCGTACGATCTACCCTTGTGCTAATACTTACTGCTTTCCTGAAGATCACTCGCCGCTCAAGGCAAAGCGAGATGGGGTAGTGCGTACATTATACGTAGACCAGTCCAGTACCCAGCCACACACCGTGGCTTTGCGAGTGCGATATCCAGGCACAGGTAAAACCAGACGGGAGTGGAGCCAGCTGTAAGAGCTGACGACAACCCGCGCCTCATCCAGCTCCAAGCTCCAGTGGCAGCGCGCAGCTTTGCGCCGCTTATTGAGGTCAAGCAATCGCGGCATCCATAAGGTACAAGGCGCTGGAGGCACTGGACAGTTCATAGGGGCCAGGAGGGGCAGTGTTGCACTCGCATTTGTCGCATTTGGGACTGTCATTTGTCCAGTGCGGGCGGGGGCCATTTAGTCCATGTCCCTGGACTAGCTACATCACCGTTGCCGCTACCGACCTCGCATTGGTCTGACTTGACCTACCAGTGACAAACACCTCCAGTCAGCAATAAGAACCGCCTGCTTCCCTCCAACTGGTCTTGACACATTCCATTGCCTGCGGTGAATATCTTGGCAACGGATTCCACTTGCCCTATATGCGTCTGGCACGCTTGACAACCCTCATCACCTCCGCCATAGTCCTCATCTTCCTGACGTACACCTATACGAACCTCTTTACGCGCATACCTATTCCCTTTCACAGATCAAAAACCACAGACAAAATGGGCGGCGGTCCAGTTCAAGGCTTCCGTTCGGCAGCCTACTTTGTCAATTGGTACGTCATCGGCCGTGCTTTCGTGACTTGAATTTCCCGATCCGTCCTCGAGCAACGCAACTAACACCCTCGCTCACAGGGCAATCTACGGCCGCAAGCACCGTCCCCAGGACCTCCCCGTCGAGAACCTCACCCACATCCTCTACGCCTTCGCCAACGTGCGCTCCGACTCGGGCGAGGTCCACCTCACTGACGGCTGGGCCGATACCGACATCCACTGGGAGGGCGACAGCTGGAATGATGTCGGAACAAACCTATACGGTTGCATGAAGCAGCTCAACCTGCTCAAGCGCCGCAACCGCAACCTCAAGGTTCTCCTGGTGGTCGGCGGCTGGACATACTCGTCCAACTTCAAAGCCCCGGCGAGCACGCCCCAGGGCCGCGACACCTTTGCGCGCAGCTGCGTCGACCTGATCAAGAATTTGGGCTTTGATGGGTACGCTATTGAGCCCCCCATACCGTCTCTTCCTCTTGTCTCCATCCTTGAAGACAGGTCTCTGACTATATGACTGTAGTATCGACATCGATTGGGAATACCCCCAAACCGCTGAAGAAGCCTCCGACTTCGTTGCCCTCCTCCAGACTATCCGCTCCGCCATGGACCAGTATGCCTCGACGCTGCCGGAATGGTACCACTTCGAACTGAGCGTCGCCTGCCCCGCCGGTGCCCAAAACTACCAAAAGCTCAACCTGCCCGCCATGGACGCCCTCGTCGACTTCTGGAACCTCATGGCGTACGACTACGCTGGGTCGTGGGACAGCATTGCGGGACACCAGGCCAACCTACAACCTTGCCAGAAGAACCCAAAGTCGACGCCCTTCAGCACCGCCGCGGCGCTGGCGCACTACACCTCGCACGGCGTGCCGCCGGACAAGCTTGTTCTAGGCATGCCGCTCTACGGCCGCGCCTTTGAGAACACGGACGGACCCGGCACGCCGTACTCTGGCGTCGGGGAGGGGACCTGGGAGAGTGGCGTGTTCGACTACAAGGTGCTGCCGATGCCGGGGGCGCAGGAGTACCACGACGAGGAGACGGGCGCGAGTTACTCGTATGATGCTGGCCAGAGAAAGATGGTCACCTACGACACGGTACACATGGCGCGGAGGAAGGCCGAGTATATCAAGGGATGGGGTCTTGGGGGCGCCATGTGGTGGGAGAGCAGTGCCGATAAACCCGGGCACGAGTCACTGATTGGTAATGTCGTGCACACATTTGGTGGTCCGAATGGATTGTTGCGGCGCGATAATTGTCTGACATATCCCGAGACGAAGTATGACAATTTGCGGAATGGATTCGCGGGTTAAGGTAGTGATGGGTTTGGTAGGTAGAACAGGCCTCCGTAGACCCGTCGAGTTGAAGACATTTGAAGACATTTGCACCAGTTCTCGCTTTTCGCATCACGTCACAAGTATTCAAGGAGACTCAAGAGTGGAAGAATGGTCATAGTGTCATGAAATTGCATCGTCATTGCCAGCCAGTGATGTGTACATCAACGCCCCTTTTTTGTGCGGCTTTCTGCCGACTAGAATGCTAACCCTGAACCGATCCTCCCATAGTTGTCGCTTTTTCCCGTACCTCGCGCCCGCGAATCAAAAAAGGAAGTTTACTCCTTCTTGTCGAAGACGTAGGTGAGGTGGCAGCGGCCGCAGTACTGGCGGTCGTTCATGGCGGCCATGAAAACACCGGCACCGCACTGGAAATCGTGTCAGTATTTTGGTGCGCTAGACAGAGTCGAACGTTGGAGGGGTAAAACATACGGTGTCGGAGGGGCACTCGCGGCGAAGGCGCTCGATCTTGCCGTCAGAGTCGACCTTGTAGTACTTGAGGACGGCCAACTTGGTCTTCTTGCGCTTGTGCTTGATCTTCTTGGGGGTGGTGTAGACCTTCTTCTTGCGCTTCTTGGCCATACCACCACGCAGGCGCAGGACCAGGTGGAGGGTGGACTCCTTCTGGATGTTGTAGTCTGAGAGGGTGCGGCCGTCCTCGAGCTGCTTTCCAGCGAAGATCAGGCGCTGCTGGTCGGGGGGGATGCCCTCCTTATCCTGGATCTTGGACTTGACATTGTCGATGGTGTCGGACGACTCCACCTCAAGGGTGATAGTCTTGCCCGTCAGGGTCTTGACGAAGATCTGCATGATTGCCTACTTGTCACGAAATGTTAGAATCGAAGCCTTGCAAGTTATGGGTGGATAGCAAAGATTGCTGTCCGTCTCCCTCGATGCTCCTCTCCCCTCAGCCCGGCAAGTTGGGATTGGGTTAAAACGAGTGCATAGTCGATGGCAGCTGGCGGCGGCGATTGAGCTCTCGACGATGCAATTCTACAGCCTCGACGGGCTCGCACGCACGCCGCTTCACACGTCCATGCAACTTGACCATCCATAGCGCCTCTCGATGACCCGGAAAACGCTTTCGGTTTCGCGATTGCGCCTTGCGAGGCTCTCGAGTGGCTATAGGAACAGCCCGCAACTCGTTGAAAAACAAGATGCCGGGAACCAAGGGGAAAAGGTGTAACGGGCTCAAGGCCAACAAAGAGGGAGCAGAAGCATCTTCAGACGTACCTCGACAATATGTCTATTGCCTTCCTAAGCAGATCCTCAGATGAGTTCGATTTGGGGATGAGGAAAATTAAAAGGAAACAGCCGCCCTCAGTCGCAGCGCACAGTAAATCCGTCCAGCACAGGCGCTAGGCGGACGGGGTGGGGGGGCTTGCGAGACCTGGAAAATTAGCGAGGCCACGTGATATTGGTGAGATTCGATTGGTCGAGGTTCCCTCTGATAATCCAGTGTGTGGTGCGAAATACCGACCGTGGGAGGCGACTTGCCCGCGTAAAGTGCACTTCGCCTAAACTGCCAGAGTGGGATTTTTTTCCGTTTGGTCAGAGGTGGGTCCCCTGCAGCAGTCTTCGGTCCTCCAGCCCTGGACCAGCCCTCGCACACCTGCCTCCACCCACCTCGACAGTTTTTCCAAGGCACGTCAAAACCAATTCGCGCCCTGGTTGAGCCCACCAATTGCGATTTTTTGACTCAGCAAGCCAGAAAAGATCAAGTACGTCTCCTCGCAATTGATATACCCTCTTCTTCTTCTCTTTTTCTCCTCTTCACGGATCTACTAACACACAGTCAGACGTCGCCAAAATGGTCAAGAAGAGAAAGAACAAGTACGACAATGTCCCCCTCCGCTCCCTCCATCACGCCTCACCTGTGCCTCCACCCTCACGTCCCGGTCGTCGACGACGGTATCACGCATATATGAATCGACTCGATGACGCCGGCGACTGAGGCTATAGACAGAAATGCACATCCCATCTCGCAACGAACGCAATCGCTGACTTGATTCCCCTTCCTATAGCGGACGCAACAAGAAGGGCCGCGGCCACGTCAAGCCCATCCGCTGCAGCAACTGCTCGCGATGCACGCCCAAGGATAAGGCGATCAAGCGCTTCACCATCCGCAACATGGTCGAGTCTGCTGCCATCCGTATGCTTCATACCCCTCCTCTCCACTCCTGCTGGCGGGTACGAACATCACACTAACACTACATCAGGTGATATCTCTGACGCCTCCGTCTTCGCGGAGTACACCGTACCCAAGATGTACCTGAAGCTGCAGTACTGTGTCTCTTGCGCCATTCACGGCAAGATTGTCCGGTACGTTCGTCCGCGGGAGCGACGACTGCGCGCTGTTGGTCTGGTTCACCCCACGACCGCGGCGCGCAGGCGCTACAGAAGAACCTTGGCGCTACTCGAAGCTCCCATACACCCCGTGCCCTGCACATCGACGACGCGATTCTTCTCCCGCGGGAGGTCGACTCACGTCCCGATGGATGCTCTTGGGCCATGTGAAAGACCACCCAATGCTGACTTACTCTCCCAGTGTCCGTTCCGTCGTGGGCCGCCGCAACCGCGCTCCCCCTCCCCGCGTCCGCTACAACAAGGATGGCAAGAAGATTGTCCCCAACACCCCCAAGGCCTAAAGAGTCTCTTCTCTACTAGGGTAGTCGGTGTTTTAGGTGTTGGCAGTGACGATCAGTGGATGAAAAAGTTCTCCTTTCAGGCATGGTTTGGGAACCGGATTGGGCTTTATGATGTTCATCTAGGAGAATCGGGCCATGGCCCTAGGCTAGCAAAGGAAATGCTTCATGACACTGTCCTCTCATTCCCTGCGATACGTGCTTCTCCTGTGCCATGTCGTGTTTCCTAGTCCATTGCCAGCGTTTACTTTCTCGTAAGCTCGAAGCCGACAAAACGCAAGTCCTTACCCCACTGGCGGTCCCTCACAACCTCCCAGTTATGAAGCTGCTCAGAGAACTCAGTCCTAAGCTCCCACTTGGTCCCAGTCTGCTCCGATAGCTCGGCCCACATCTTCTCCCATGTCTCTAGGTTGTGTCTCAGCGAAGGCTTGTTGTGTACACCCGCCAGCTCAACCCCGTCAACGTGACCCGTAGCGTGGCCCAAGATCATCACCCCGGGCTCCTGCTTTAGCAACCTGATAACTCTCCTCAACACAACCATCTGCTTCTCCCTCGTCCACAGGTGCAGACACAGACCCAGGTGCGCCGTGTCGAACGAGCCCTCCATCGCGTCGAGCCTCGTGTCTCCGTCGTCCAGCATGTCCGCGTTGAGGAAGCGCGTCTCGAGCTTGCCCCTGTCGCGGAAGAGCTCGTACCCGGCGTCGATAAAGCCCTGCTCCAGCTCAATGGCCACAATCTTGGACGAGTCCACGCCGTCGTACACTAGGCGTCGCAGGTCCTGCCCAACGCAGCAGGCAATGTCGAGGTGCCGCGCGTCCGGCTCCTGGAGGCGCGCGAGCATCTGCGGGTACCCCGGCCGATGGGATAGATTGAAGTCGAGGAAGTGGAACTCGCCGATGCATGGGTAGGGAAACACTTCCCAGATGTTGTCGCGCTATATACACATTTGCGTGGTCGCATGTGTCAGGTAAGCTGATTCCCTCTGTGCCGTGGAAGCTTCGGTCGGGGAAGGAAAGCAAGAAGGGGGAAATGAGGGAGGGTTTACGAACCATGGTGGCGATGTGGTCCCTGACCTCGTCTGGTGGGACGTTGGCGTACTCCTCGAGCATCTTGCGCGCCTCCGGGGAGATATGGACCTCGTTGGAGTACCACGGAGCCGCCTTGCTCTTGTCCCCCATGACGATTTGGCTGTTTGCGACTTGCATTTCGTTCATTGTTTACCAGCGATGTAGATATGATCCCTAGATATTCTCAAATGACTTACACTACGTTCTTGTCACATCTACAACTTCGCGGCCCCCCTTTTAAGAGCGCATCCAAACATCCTCACGGCATCCTCGCAACTCAAAATCTCGTGCAATCACTCACCTCCAAAGCAAATTCGCCGAGCTCGGCTCCGTCAAGCTCCAGTATTGGACGGAGCAGTAGAGGCTTGCTTACGCCGCGTTTCACCGGCGTAACCGGATCATGCTCAGAACTTTGCGAACTGGTGAACTCTGCTCCTCCCCCTCCTTGGAGCCGTCTGATGTCCCCCTTTTACGCTTTGCGTTCCCAAACAGACCTCGATTTCACAGGGAGGAAGCGTCTTACGCAGCGAATAAGAGAACAGACATGATCAATCGACTACCGGGCTTTCTATCAAAAGGGTCGATCTAATCTTAACACCGTCTAACCTACGTTCCCCCCCTCCTTTCTCTCACCCAGGCGAGCATCTACCACATGACCCGTAATTTGACCACTAAGAAATCCTTGCGGGGAGGCATTTACTCAATGTCAGTCATCAGCACGGCGATTTCGAGGCCGGGCAGCTTTTGGAAGAGCGTCGAGATATTGGTACGGATTAGCTTGGTGCAGCCGGATGAGGCGGGGGAGAGGGTTGAGGGGGTTGAGGGGTTGAAATTAGGAGAGTTTGCTTCTATGCATCATGTCCGAGTCACATGTAGATACAATAGGCACATAGAAACCTGATGGAGCCAGACGGGGTAGCGAACTTTATTCAAAACGATCTCGAGCTCGGCGCGCGAGAGCTGTTCAGTGATGCACCTGTGAGGTACAAAGCCGAAGCCCAGAGCGTGGTTCGGGTCCGGGGTCCGGTGCACGTTGAAGACGTCCGGGTGTGGGAAAACGTCCTTGTCCCTGTTGCCGGATCGGCTTTGAGTTGGGAGAGCTGAGCTGGGTTACGGAAGATCTCGACGACGCCCTAGGTACTGGATGTTAATTAAGAGACAACGATACCCCCGTACTCCCGCGAAAACAAAATCAAGACCCAAAGGGTTAATGGGGCTCATCAGCGCATTCATGTTCACCGTCGTCGCGTTGCCGGCGACGAGCAGGAGAAAGGCAATCTCCACGGCGTCCGATCTCTCAATGTGGCGGGACCTGAGCTATTCGACCACAAGCTTGCTGATGAGGTCGTCTTTAGGCTCGATTTCGCCCTGGTAGACCAGCTTTGTGAAGTAGTTGAGGAGTTCTCTGACCAAGGGGTCAGTCATCGCCGACTCAATACAGTAGTGGGAGAGGCGGACAAAAAAAGGGGGAGAGATTGAGTGTACTGGTTCGCGGATTGGACCTGCACAGCGGTGCCGCTACCATTCGTCCGGACCGCGTTTTGCTGGTTAAGATACTCTAGGTACTCGAACGGGACGCCCTGAATGATGTAGATGACCTTTCATAGAGAAAGAATCGCTATCAGCGGAAAGTTGAATTATTAAAGAAATATTTTTTACCCCGTGCCCCTGAGTGTTATATTTACATATGACGGAATAGGCAAGGCAAGCTTTTCGATCAAGTTAACTGGCTCCCGGCACCCCTGGTCGATCACAAGGTCCGGCAGGCCCTTAATCGTCTTTTGAATGTACGGCCTTACGGAGTAGACGTGGTCCTGAAAAAGAGCGGTTCGACCTTGCCGCACTGCGCCATGTGCGCTCGTGCTGTGGCGTTTAGTTTTTCAACTGCCTAGGCTCACTTGCTGACGGTGGGAAGGAAGGCATGCAAAATGGGGCGAGAAGACGGAACTTTGAGAGACGGGTGTCCGTGGCGACTGCGAAGACGTCTTTGTGCTTTGTGACGAGCCACGCGAGGGAGCCGTCAAAGGGCCTTACTCGCGAGATGGGGCTCCATAGAGCAGAGGCGACGCTATTCTGCCGGGGGATCGAGGCCCGAGGCGCGCTTGAAGACGGAGTCTGGGGGCGTGGTTGTGATCGTCAGTTGGACGGGTAGGTTGTATGAGTGCAGAGTATCGTCGGAGCTGAGATGCTACTGAGGATAGACGAGGGGATGAGGTTGAGAACATGATTGGTTCTTTATGAGCTGTTTAATAGAGCACGAGTTTTTTCGTGGAAGCCCTTTCACGGAGCTGAAGGCTTCTCTTTTATATACACACATTTTGGCCAGATTCGCTTCGTGATGTTTGAGTCGAACCACATAGTTCCAAGATCCGAGTCTTTTTTTCCCCCTTCATTCACCATCTCTAGCCGATCAGTTGGCAATTCCCTTCCATTATATGCACCTCACCATCTATGTCGTGTGCGATGGGCAGCATGGTCTGGCTACGAACGATACTCCTCAACGTCAGCACATACGCTGTAATACGGACGACCCGGTTGGTCGACGCACCATAGGGGGCGGGTGGCAGGGTGGGAGTTACTGCATTCCAAACCTGCATTGATTTCAACGTCGACATGGGAAGCATTTCTTGCAAAAATTGTCACAACGCGAGGCGAATGGTCGGCGGGCGGGCGTTCGAGCGGGCTTGGTCCGTCGAGTTTTCAATTCTTCGGAACCTTTGGCTCGAAGCCCCGCCGAGACCCGGAATCATCGAACATATGAATCAGATTCTCCGGCAGGCTAGTTATGAGGTCTACAATGGTTGGAAGACTTTGGACATTCACGAGTACCAAGTTGCGAGGTGGTTGATCATCGTCGGTTACATATTTGGATTTCCGTGCATTTATCACTTTGTGGGCTTCCTTTTAGCCAGTCCGCCATAGACAGAGTCAGAACAGATGTGGTTGTTCGCGATAAATTGTCTCTTCGCCTGATCTGGTAGAGCACCTCTTGGCCATGACGTGCGCATGCAAGCACCTCATGACCTCCTCGACGGACGTCGTCCAGTCACACGGCACATACAGGACGTCAATATATTCCGTCCACAGCTTCCCAAGGATATTCCTCACGGAGATGCGCATGCTCTTGAACGAATTGCCCGTGAAATTGCTCGGCATCGGCGTCCCCTCACGGTCGTGGGCGTGGTAGCCGGCCGTGGACTTTGTCACGATGACTATCTGGTGGCGGTAGCCGCGCGCCTCCATCCACAGCCCGATGAGCCTCTCCGAGTCCTCCAAATTGTACGTGTTGGACGTTGTCTTCATGGATTGAGGTATAATCGGCGTCCTTATATACAGGTTTTCGGCTCTGCTCGCGGCTGGCCGACTTACAGCACCAACTACCGGTGACGATGCCTAATGCCGAACGGAGGGCGGTGGAGTACGAGATTGCAAGGAGGCCGTGGTCCCGCCATGTAGCCGCTGAAATGCGCAGTAGGAGGGTGTCGGGCCCCGGGTTTACCAGCTAGACGCACCAACCTTGGGTAGATGCTAAAATTAAGAGCAACCACTAATACCAAGAAGCTAAAAAGGCCCAGCGAGAGGGGCCGGGGGCCCTACCGCATCGTCCTTCAACCCTTCTTGCGTTCAGCAAAGGCATCGATTATGTTGTCCATCAGCAGGGCCGGCCCCTATAATGTCGGGTTTTAAAAGAGTTGTCTTTAAAGAAGCAGACTATCTATCCATCACTGCATTGGCAACGAACTCAACAGCCTTGGGAGTCCCTTTGGCGATCGACCCATACTAAGGAGGTGAGATGAGTTCGAACTTGACTGCTAGCCTTTGGAGAAGGGTGGCAATGTGCTGCTCAAAAAGATCTTGCCAATGGTGGAAAGCAACGCCACGGTTCTCCCACTCTTCGGGATGGCATAGTCAGCTCTACCCTTCTTGAACAGCACGAGTTTGTTCAGCAATATCTACAGCATTCATCTGATCTCATCGCCACCGCAAGCAAGGGTCTTGGTTGACTTTGGCTTCAACCCCCAAGGTAGTGTGCACCCACGCCATGATCCGCGCTCGAAACCGCGAGGCTTCCTCATTTTTTCTTTTTGAAACTCAGTAACACACCAAGTCGATAATGAGACTGACGATCATCACTTCGCCATGTAGTAGTCTGGCTGACGAGGCAACGCATGTTTGATTTTTTGGCTTCTTTGGCTTCTTTGTAAAGAGTGGTATCCCATTTCCTCTGGTAGAAGGGAGATAGTCGAAGAGAGTAAGCTTGACAAACAATTTAGTGACATATCTATCCTTGCATAGCTATGAACGACGCCTCTCATCGGTGCTGGCGTTAGTTTCTGACGTAGCTGTCATGTTGCTGTTTTATTCTCAACCCGGCAGCGCTGGGCGCCTCTACTGGCGCCACCCGCATTCAAAGCACCCTGCGTTGTAAACTCCAGGCGTTGTCAACCCATTGAACCCCTGAGACGCTAGGCCTGTCATGCGCGGGTCCTCCCGCCAGCTGAATCCCTGCAGCCCACGTGGATGCTTTGCCTTATTCAGCAGGCCGTGATCAGCGCATTACCCTCGTCCAAGCTGTCCTGTCTGCCTGCCCTCTGTGTACCTACGAATACATCGTACCGTGTCGGGTGTGTGCGCTTGAGAAGTCGCACCCAGATCCATTCACACCACGTTTAGCAGCGAGTAATGGATTCCGTGGAAAATGGTCGAGACATTCTGCGGTCGCCGTTCCTCCAGCCAAGCTAAATTTGCCTTCTTGTTGTCGCGGTCCATCTGTGGGTTCGATCGAATTACACTTACACGTTGACAATCGGGTTGCGAGGGGAAGCAAATAGTAAAGATGACCGACCTGTCCGTCATTATAGAGATACCAAATCTGTACTTGTGGTCTTTGCGTACCGCAGGTGATTCCATTCGTCAGAAGGTAACATACATATATCAGCCGCTTTTCACGCATATAGTCATTATTTTGCATGTGGAAACAAACCCTAGTCGGCCATGCCCCACGGTTCAAGATTTTGGGGGATTATGATCCACTTCTGGAATCATGGTTTCTGGCGTCACCGAAGATGACACGCAAATAAGTGTTGCGTTGTGAATCGGGATTTCCAGGAACAATCTACAGGCCAATAAATTACGATAGATTTGCTGCCGATTCCAAAGGGCCAACTTCATAGACATTCAGCTCTTATACTGGCTATCAGCGTACCAACGATGATGATACTGTAGACACGCGCCGAAATAATAAGAGTCACATTCAAGCGCGGCCAGCATTTCTCAGTCTTACCCACGTCCCGTGCATTCATTTCCGGGGTAAGGTGTACTGACCGCCTGTCCCCTCACTATCCACCAACTCTCTTGGAAGAAGGCAGCACGAAAAGCAGCTGTCTCCTGATGGGGATCAAGACTGATATTTCAGAGTTTAAACTTGTGTCAGCCTTCCCTCAAGATACTTGGAGGCGCCAGTGACCTGTTCGTTTCCAAAGTAATTGATCCTATCGAAACCAGCAGGAGCAATTTCGGCGCCCTAGTGTGACTTTCTAAGTAATATCAATGCAGATCAGCTTTATTCCCGTATGGAGTACATACACTTCGTCTAACCATCGTGTGAGCCAAGCCTTTCTCTGACGACAGGGGAATGATTTATGAAGAAAACTTCAAAAAGGAATCTCCCTAGGACCAGAAAAGTTACCCTAGATTCCATCTCAATCACAAAAGATGCAGGACGGTGATCCTGTCCAGCGAATGCGTGGAGGCCCCAGTCGTCCTCAAAACCATCATGATACCTTACAGGGTTACTACGTCGTGGCCGACCGTATTGGCAGCCGTTGGCAACCACACTTCTTGATGCGCTTCTGCGTCTCAGTCAGCACGAGCGGATCCGATTCTGACGATGAGATCCCAGTCAAAATCAGCGTCGATGGTTTAGTGGTAAAATTCTCCGTTGCCATCCAGCAGCGTCGGGGAGCCGGGGGTTCGATTCCCCCTCGACGCATTCCTTTTGCTGCCTCTCGACTCCGTCCTCTTTTTGGCCCTCCGTCCCACCGTTCGGGCTCCGGTACCTCGCACAACGGAGGTTCAACATGCCGACGGAGGAGAGTTGTGGTGGATGACCGAGATGAGGAGCTCTTTCTATACGAGATGTATGGGTTTCAACCGATGGGTATGCGGTTGCCTTGGTAGAAATCCGAACATAACGGACCGGTCCGAATCGAAAAAGTGCCTCTTGAGTCAGGATGGTGTAGAAGAGTTGCATTTCCACCCCGCAATCTTGAAATTCCGTACCTATGGGAAACCGAGGCAGACATAGATTCGAAGCCCCTCCCCCCTCCTTATTTGTTACGCCATAGGGGATGGAGTGCGCCCCAGGGTATTGGACTTTGCATATTACGGACCCAATGAATAATGCTGATCGGACCTCATCAATGAGGAATCCTCTCGGAGACGAGGCTGGTCAATTTCGGTGTCTGAAATTCTCGAGGGGGAATGTTAACGTGGACTTCATGTTGGAGGGGCTGATTTAGGCTCTGCATCAGGACAACTGCCGACCTGACTCAGCAGAGATGTCCGGGGAGATGATTACCCGATCCGCGGTTCCGTGGAATTTGGAATGGTCAGCCCCCGCCATTCCGCGGTCGTCAGATTAGAAATCTGGCGCAAGGCTTGGCGGAGGGGTGGTGTTCCAGGGGCGGTGCGAGGAAGTCTCGGCAGCATATCCGTACACTACATACACTAGAAAACCGCTCTCTTAGTCTCCGAAGAATTGGACCATTCACAACTCGCGAAACCCCTGCGCTAGTTCCCACCATGACGCATACGACCTCTAGCGCATTTTGGCCTGCGACGCAGGACATGGCTCCGCGACGGTGAGACCTCTGGTCTACGGACAGCTGGCCGAGTAAAAGGGGTCGAGCCGAGGTAAGTCGAGAACAAGAAAGGAAAAAGCTAATTGTTGGAAATGCTGACTTGGTGGTGAGCAAACTTTGATTGGGTGTAACGGTCGCCAATGGCATATCCTCTTGGGCCCCTCCAGGTTACATTCTTTGGAAACTTACGAGGCCATGGACGCAGAGAGCCCGAATGCCGAGTGGGTAACGTCGTTCATCGTCCCATGCGAGGGCCGAGGTGACGTGGGGAATAACCACATCATTACAAAGCAATTGGTTGCGGGTTTCAGAGCGGTGGACGTCAGTTGCTCCGCTGTTGCAGAAGGCCGAATAAACAGGCAGAAGAAGTGGGCATGCCGTGTCGAGACATACAAAAACCCTCAATCCTCCCGCGTAGTTTGGTGACATCAGGGTAGACACTATATCGAGATTTAACTCATCAAGAACAAAGCCAACTCACAGGTTTCGTTCATCCCCTCATCAACACTCTGCACCCCGAGTTTGAGACATTTCCCCCAAAACAACACAGACACAAACCCCAAAGATGGCGCCCACGAGATACGCCGCCGAGGCCGTCGACCCCACACCCCTGGCGGAACCCCTCAAGTTCGAGTTCTCGGGCAAGGTCGCCAAGAACCGTTTCCTCAAGGGTGCCATGACGGAGCGCCTCTCGACCTGGGACCCGAAAACGCTTGCCAACCGCGGCGTCCCGACCCCGGAGCTTGTGAACCTCTACCGGCGCTGGGGCGAGGGCGACTTTGGCGTCCTGCTGTCTGGCAACGTGATGCTCGACTACGACCAGCTCGAGGCCGCGGGCAACCCCATCATCCCGCTCGACGCCCCCTTCGAGGGCGAGCGCTTCGAGGGGTTCCGCAAGATTGCCGAGGCGGCGAGGGCGCATGGGAGCTTGTTGCACGCGCAGCTCAGTCACCCTGGACGACAGGTCGAGCAGCGGATTAATGCTAACCCCATCTCGGCGAGCGATGTCCAGCTCGAGGGGGATATCATGGGTATGCGGTTTGCGAAGCCGCGCGCCATGGAGAAGGCGGATTTTGAAAAGGTGATTGGCGGGTTCGCGCACGCGGCCGAGTACGTGTACAAGGCTGGTTTTGACGGAGTCGAGCTTCACGGCGCACAGTTAGTTTTCTCATTTCTTTTTGTGCCTGTTACTGCGTTGTCCGAGGTATCGTGAGCGACGACTGACATTTAACAGCGGCTACCTCCTCGCGCAATTCCTCTCGCCGACGACGAACAAGCGCACGGATCAGTACGGCGGATCTCTGACGAACCGGGCGCGCATCATCCTCGAGATCGCCGACGCCATCCGCGCGCGCGTCCCCGACCCGTCCTTTAGCATCGGCATCAAGGTCAACAGCGTCGAGTTCCAAGAGGGCGGCTTCTCCACGGAAGACTGCCGGGACCTCTGCGCCGCGCTCGAGGCGCACGGCTTCGACTTTGTCGAGTTGTCCGGCGGGACGTACCAGAGCCTCGCGTTTGAGCACAAGCGCGAGTCGACCAAGAAGCGCGAGGCCTTCTTTTTGGATTTTGCGGAAAAGATTATCCCGCAGCTGAAGAAGACCAAGGCGTACGTGACGGGCGGGCTGAGGACTGTGCCGGCCATGGTGGAGGCGCTCAAGACGGTGCACGGGATCGGTCTGGCGAGGCCGGCATGTAACGAGGTTGACCTGCCGCGAAAGATTATTGCGGGCGAGGCGTCGGCGGCGATTGATACGCTGCTTGGGGAGCAGGATTTTGGGCTGACGAATTTGCTGGCCGGTACGCAGATGAGGCTCATTGGGCGGGATCGGGAGCCGTTGGATGTAACGCAGGAGAAGTACAAGAATGTGTTTTTGCAGTCGTTGGGTAAGTGGGCGGAGGAGATGGGGAAGAACGAGGACGGAAGCAAGTATGGATATATTGATATTGAGGGTTTGGAGCTGCAGCCTTTTGGGAAGCCGTATGTTGCGTAGGGGAGCGGTAGATATGGATATGATGGATGCGTACAGCTCGGCGTTGATTCGTTGATAGAATGGTAGAATGAGCGGCGTATACAGACTAAAAGTAGTTAAATGCATGCTTCAGTGTCAAATGATTGGCGCTGGGTGGAAGACGCAGCGATGAGTCGGGGTCATTGGCTTGCATACACCATTATATCTCGAGTGCATTTCTTATCTCTCGTGTTGGTGGTCCAAGGTGCAACCTCTTGGTGGAATATCAGCATGATGACTAACCTGTCACTCAGCTGCAGACACACAGACATGACGGAAACATCAGATCATCAACATCGGACGCGACGAATCCTGGGTGGGCGGTAACTTTAAACTACCAAACTCAATTGCAGACCAGGAACTCCTCCACATGCCCGCGGTTTATCTACCCAAAGACAAAAACACTCTTGCAACCTCCGGCGTGAAACAAACGGTGGGAGAAAGAAAGACAATAAAAGAGACAGAGGGAGAGAAAACCAAGGTGAGTCCGACAACAGCGGGCGGGCAGTGACGCTGGGTGCCCCGCCTTCAACCCGAGGCGTCGCTCCCCCCTGAGGCATCCCTGTCTGCCCGCTTTCTCCACAGGGACCTTCCAGGCGCTAGGCACTAAATTCGGCCACTGGCCTGTCATCAACCGCCCCCTATTGGCAATCTCGTCCCAACTCGCCGTTACCCTCGTTCTTGCCGGCTCACCTGCCACCTTTTTTTCTGCCTCCTTCACCTCCAGCTGCCACCACGCCGGCCGCCTCTCTTTCGGAGATAGCAGCAGTAGTAAATACATCAACACCAGCAATGCCGCTGTCGACTCCCTCAATCGCTCGACCAAACCACACTCGCTAGAACCGTCCCGACCAACCACATCCAAGTCAACAATGTAGGCCCTCTCCTCCTCTTCCTCCAGGCGAAGCAACTCCAGCTAACCTCCCCACCTCCAGGATCGAGCCCTCCCTCCGCGTCCGACGCGCCATCACGGCAAACGACGCCCTCCTCGTCAAACGCATCCTCAAATCCCATCCCCGCCTCCTCCACAACCCAGACAGCTCCCCCGAAGCCCTCTCCAACTCGAACCTCCACCTCGCCGCCTCCCTAGGCCACCTCGGCATCTGCAAAGTCCTCGTCAACCTAGGCCACGAAGACCCGGACCCAGCCCTCAACGAGCACCACCAGACGGCTCTGATGCTCGCCGCCGCCGCCGGCCACATCGACGTCGTCCACTTCCTCTGCGAGCGCACCCCCAACGTCATCCTCCGCCGCGACATACGCTGGCGCGACGCCATGATGGAAGCCAGCCGCGGCGGCCACGACACGGTGCTGCAGATTTTGCTGACCTACGTACCCGAGGGCGCCCGCGCCGCCGTCCAGAGAGCGGATCTGGACGGCAACACGGCGCTGCACTTTGCGAGCAGTAACGGCAACCTGCTCGTCCTGCGCACGCTGCTGGCCGCCGGCGCCGACGCCGAGAGGAGGAACGTGTGGAGCTGGACCGCCATGTCGTACAGCGCCACCGTCCAGGCCGAGGTTTACCTCAAGGGGCTTGTTACCGAGGTCGAGCGCCGCAAGATGGTGCGGCAGGAGGTTGAGCAGCTGAAGCACTCTGTCAAAGGGGCGGCTAGCATCAAGGGTGGTGCCGTGCGCGTAGTCGAGGAGGACATCGAGGTTGAAGATTGAGGCGCTTTAGAATGTGAATGCGCTTGGTTCTCATTTTGCCGAAATTCTTACACATCTGGGCCCACGACAGCCTGCGGATTTGCTATTAACAACGCCAGATTTTGGACACCTGGACGACGGAACAGTCGGAGCTCAGAGCTCCTGGGATTAGTGCGGATCATTCACAACGCCCCACTACGCTGCCAAACCTCCGCACCACGATACGACGGGGTAAAAGCTACCCGATGCTATCCCGCAGCCAGGAAAACGCCACTGAGCTAATGGTCTTGCTACACGAATGGTCACGTACACAAGCATCGGTGGCATTACACAAACTCACCCTCAGCATCTCCAGTCGACACGATGTGGCCGCGGGCTGTTCTTTCTTGGGGGCCAATGAAACTAAACGAGCCTTGGTGGAGGCAGAGTCAGCTCGACGTTCGCCGACGATGGTGTGCTGACACCGTTGATTATGGTCAGCGACATAAGTCAGGGTCAAGACCAAGGTCGAATTGCCTACTCAACTCCTCATCTCTGCCTTCTTCTCATGATCTCAACCAGACCTCGTATGGCAGAAGAGCAAGCCAGTTTGTAGGTGCCAGTCCTGCGAGAGTGGCTGCAGGTGTTGCTCACATAAGACCACCGAGAGCTTAGGTCCCTGAATCACTAGCCACACCCTGCCACAACGGGCGCCACATGCCGCTTGGCATGTAGATGAGAAGCTCTCTATACGCAGCTACCCAGATAAATACATGATAACTCCAGACTATGCAACTTCGCACTCAGACTCATGTGACTTGCCGAGGAGATTGTTGAGGCAAATCTGAGGCCCTGTCATCAATCCACTTACAAGATTGCACCATTGCAGTGATTCACCGTCGTTGGCCCTCACCCAGCGTATTCATCTCAACTAGGACGGACTCAAGATGGGTCTGGTGAGTTGCTGGCCGCGCATCACCACAAAGTGACGTTTCGTCGTCTGATGAAACACCGTTGGTGATGCAGCGCATCTTCTAATCTCATCTCTCGCAAGCTTAAAGTCACTGATTCACACCTCTACCCAACAGCATATAAATCTAAGCCGAAATCTCTGGCCAAACTCTTCTTCGTCAACTCACTCGCATTCGTAAGCACACAGACAGTCTTCAAGCTTAACTTGACCATCACCCAAAGACCGACTCTTGGTATTTACCCCTTTTTTCCTCAATCACAAATCGATCCCAGTCACCGTGGCTTCTCATCAGTCCCCCCTCGAGGAGGAGAGACCAGAGTATCTGCCATACCCGGCAACCAAGCTGATCATCGCGCAGTACTGGCACTGCTCGCGCAACCCACCGTTCTGGGGCTACCTCATCGTCGGCACCTTTTACGACCAACACAACAACATTGTCTGGAGCACCGAGATCTTTGCCCTTCAGCGTGATACGCGCAGCGACCGGGAGGAAGACACGGGGCAACTCATCTCAATTCCGGACTCGGGTGAGTCACTGTGTGTCCTGCGGAGTGGTTGTCATTCACTGCCAGTCAGGCCAGAATTTAGCTTCGTCTCGACAGTGCATATAAACCGCTGTTGATATCTTCCATTTTGCTGACATTTGGCTCTTACTCTGTACAGATTCAAATACCAGCCAGGACTTGAACGATATATTTTTTCGCAGCCTCAACTTCGCTCAGAATAACAGCACATACCAATCAGCACACGTACCGACGTACGAACACCAAACACACCCGCACCAACTCTGGGACCCGTCGCTCGCAGGCCCCGTTCCCGGCAACTGGATCACAGCATTCGACCACAGGCTCGGAAACTGGGTACACACTTGGCAGCCAGACCATCGCCGTAATCAAATCTGAACCTACCTGTACCCCACTCCCTGACAGAAACATACTTACACCGCACCAACAATGTCCAACCCCGTCAACGGCCCGGACATGGAAGGCCGCCGCCCGCCCTGGGGTCCCCAAAACGGCGTGCCCCTCCCGCGCTGGGGCGAGCCATATATCCCGCACGGTGGTTACGGCGCACCGGCGGCCTACGGTAACTACTATTACCCGGCCCCCACTTACCAATCCTACCCCGTCGCACCCGCCACCGCCGCCGCCCCCTACCCGGGCTCCACAGCCTACGCCTGGCCCGGCGCCCAGCACCAGCAGGGGTATTACCCGCCCCCTCCACCAGGAACTTACCCCTTCCAACCAGGCGGCCAATCCACCTACGCGGCGCGCACGGCACAGGGTCTCCCGGCCCTCGACCCGCGCAACCCGGCCGCCACACTCTCCAACTCGACGGGCGGAACCGGCTGCGAGCCGGGCTACAACTACTTCTTCCCCGCGGCCCATACAAAAATCCACGTGTTCCGCACGACGACGCCGCCGTGGCAGTTGCCGACCAACGCGCGGATCCAGTTTTCCGCCTTTCACGTGCCGGTCAACACGACGCTGGCGGAGTTGCTCAAGGGATTTGGGGCGACGAATGCGAACCCAAAGAAGAACAAGTGCTTTGAGATTGTGCAGGCGGGGAACGGGAGGTGGTATAAGGGGTTGTGTTTTTCGGGGGACGACAAGGAGATGATGAAGAAGAGTTTGGCCGAGGTTGGGTGGGATGCGGGGAGGAATGGGGTGGCTGGGGGGAAGCCTGTTGTTTGCGTTTGGCTTGTCAAGGATTGAGGGACGGGACGGGGGTTATACAACAGGGTTTTCTTTTAGCAAGCGCGGAAAACACTGAGTACTGAGTTGACGGAGATGTGGCTTGGTGATTGGGGAGTTGTGGTTTGAAGAGGATTATGAAGGTTGAGATAGGCGGTTGCGGGTTTGTCTGTTGTGAGATCTTGGGAGATCTGCTGCGTTGGGGGTTGACTCGTTGTGGCCTCCCTTTTCCCTTTCTCTCTTGTTTTTCCCCCTTCCTAGTCTAGCAGGTCTGTTTTTTGATTGGTTTTACTGGAGTCAAGCATCTTTTTTATTTTTTTAAATTTTTGAGCATTCCATTGTGAGCTTTAAGGCTTTTCCTGCTGGCACTTTTGAGCAGTGCGCTTGTTGAAAATAAATTCTTTCTGCTCAAGCCAAGCCAAGGTTGGAAAAGTTTCTTATGTCCGCAACGTCTGATAGATGCGAGAGTACGGGAATCGAAATGTAACTGCGTTGACTTGGGGAAACTTCAGAGCCAAGATTGAAGAAATGAGAGCGACAACCAGCATGAAGAGTTCTGCCTACCCAATTTGGCTTCTTGGCCATCTCAGTGTAGTCCTATTGGCGCACCTTTATTGAGGGCAAGGTGGAGGGGGGGCCATCACCAAGACTCTCTTCTGTCGCAGCCATAGTTGGTTTTTGGAACCATCAGAGTTGCTGCAGGAGAAGAGTTTTCACCAAGAGAGAGAAATCCATGCTGCGGACACCCAAATATTCATTTTAGTAAAGTGTTCCAAATTTCAACAGTGGACTCGCTCTCACGCTAATAGATGCAGGCGAGTAAGAACAACATCTTTTATAATTGAAGGATGTGGGGGGTTTGGAGAAGAGAAGAAACAAAGAAAGAAAGATACCGAAACAAAAAGCAAAAGGCAGAGTCAGGCTCTAACCTCTACACTTCAGCGAAGGTAGGATGGCCGTGAGATGATAGGCTATTAACCACTCGAACTCTCCGACCACTTTCCCTTTCGGCTGATGATTATACTGATCGAGTTTTCTGCATATTGCCCAAACCGCGTGCCTGCCAGGGCGGGATGGCAGCCTACTTCGCATTAGATGCCAGCCAGATTGATTCGGGTTGACAGCACAGTATGAAGCGGCAGGGGACCACCAACCCACTTATGTCCTTGAGTGCAACACGGCCCGCAACCTTAATTTTGACGACCGTGCTGACATAATCCAGCCGTGTCAGTTAAGAGGGGCCTCGTCAAAAGACATGTAGATCAATTGCGTAGGGCATGGCAATGAGCTCCGAAGCTGCGATTTGGGATCAAGACTGGGCTGCCAACGCTCAATGGCGGCTGTTCCTGCTCAAAATCTATCAGGGCTGTTAGTTCTCAAAGGCATCTCTCAGGGTGAAAGCATTGACAAAGTCGACTCGGTGTGTTTCAAAGTATGCCTGGTAGATATGTAAGTCTATGGGAGCTGCCCAGCTTCCTATTTCATTGCTGCGGTGCTTTGACATACCCGCATATTCTGTTGATTTTCCCGGACCAAGATTCTGGCTCTAATTGCCTCGTTACAGGATTAGAGCTGAGCAGCATTTGCGTCGTGGTAAGCACCACTGCCGTACACTAGGCCCAAAATCAATCAATCTCCCTTGATAATCAAGTATAGCCCTTCTATATAACATCGTTCACAGGCTAAAAAGGCGAACTGTAGGCGGGCGTTTGTCGTGCCTTGCTAAAGCTCCTGTAATCAAAGTACAGCTTTAACTCCTCCTTCAGACTCTTACAATAAGCATAGTGCCAGCCAGAAAACACAGTCCCCGTGTGTATTTGAGTTAATAAGTTCTTAAATAATTTACTAGTGAAACAAAATCAAAGGTCAGCCATTTAATAAGGGCACATTACTTTGCGTTTCTCAATTCCTCTTCATGAATGCAAACTCTAGTTACTCGCCACAAGGGAGCTTCATAAACCCACTTTAGAGCAGAAGAGACTCTGAAAATTCACTTCCTCAGTATGTGAATCGTAATCCGGGAATTTTTGGAATTCCAGATTATATCCGGCAAGAAAACGGGAAATGCTCCAGCTTAATCAGACTGTATCACGCACCCTTCTCTTCCCATTTAATCGTCCCGTGTGCTAGGAGAGGAATTTGATATCAGCAAACTGGTTTTTGAGCCTAACAGCGATCTTGATCTTGTTAAAGAGCCCTCAAATTGCCTTCTGGCTTCATCCTGAAATGATACGGTCATTCTGTCACTTAAACGCCTCAAGCAGCTGCGAGATGTGCCAAACAGGATACTGTTCCTCTCACACACTGCATGTTTCCTGATTTGAGTGGTCTTTCGAGGCGTAAGGATCGTCGTTGAAACACAACATTGCAGAAAAGATACTCCAATACTATCCGACCCGCAAGACTTTCAGCGGGAATCCAAGACCGCCGACAAACCAGGACAACATGTCTAAAGTTTTGCCCAACTAAGAAGAATACGTTTGAGGCTAGAAACGCACGTAATAAATGATTTAAAAACAGGAACTCACTCTCTATTGGATATTCTTCAAGTCCAAGAGATCTTGGAACCAATCGAAAATCACCTGGTTGTGCTGTTTGAAGGCCCCAATACCACAATGCTCGCCGATCCCATTCTCTTCCGTGAAGTGATGCAAGTACGCCCAGTCACCCAACGCCTCCGCGAGAACAGCCGCCTGACCCTTGAAGAACAGATCATTCTGCGCATCGCCAATAAAAACGGGTGTCCGGACCTTGTCCACCACGGGTTCCATGCGATAATCCAGAGACAACGTCACAAAGCCGTACGCGGACTCCGTGTTGAACGCCCACATGCCGTGTCCGAGACCCCATCGCAGCGGAGTAGGAACGCTAGGCTGGAGGAACCGCTTCGTATACTCGTCAAAGGCCTCTTTATCCCCCAAGTCGTGGATGGCCGTGAATTCAGTGCCCAAAGCGGCGTTTACGACGACCGGCCAGTCCCAGACTCCGTCGACGGCGAAGATGGCGGCTAGGCGGTGTTCAAAAGCTGCGGATCGGGGTACGAGGTAGCCTCCGAATGAGAATCCGAGGAGACCGATAGAGTCCGGATCGACGACTTTGGGTTTCTCGAGGAGCCAGTCCACGATGAGCGTGATCACTCGCTCCCAGTCGTAAATGAAACCGACCTCCTAATAACGGCGAACGGAGGGCATGCCGGGTCCTTCATAGGTCAGAACATTGTAGCCTCGCTCGAGAGCAGCGGCGCCAGCGGCGCCAACGGCGTGATATATTTCCTCCTGCTACCCGTCGTAGCCATTACCCATGATGATTGTCGGGCGCTGCTTCTCCTCGTCGTCGGGCGTGAACCAAATACCAGGGATATCAAAGCCAGCCGTTTCAATCGTCACGCGCTGATTTGGCACCGTCAACAGCGCGAGGCCCTCGTCGAATGCGGCAGTCTGGTTTCCCCAAAGCTCGTAGATGCGGGAATCGGACGCGTCCTCATGGAGGTAAAAGTCCGCGCTGCGAAAGTACGTCGCCGCCGCGAAGAAGGCGCTACGTGCGGAGACAGGGAACTTTGCCTTTGCGATGCTCTTTGCGCGGTCGAGAACACTGTACGCGAGACTGGAGAAGGAGCTGGCGTAGCTTGCGAAATCGCCGGGGATGATTTGGTTGGCCGTGGTGAGGACCTCGCCGAGGTCGGCGCCGTCGTAGACGGATTGGCTGAGGGTGCGGAGGATTCAAACTGGAATGTGTGGTCAGCGCTGAGTTGGTACATGGAGGAATCGGTACTAGCCATAGTGGGTGGCTTGTCGTGGGTAACTTTGCTCTACCATGTGCTGGAGGTGGACCCTCCTGGATACCATTGCTACTTATATAAGTAGTCTAAGGATTTCAAGTCTCAGCCGTAGATTTAAACAAGACCACTTTTGGTTATCAGCAGATTAGCCCCGCAGTCCTCAGTAAATTTGAAGGAAAGACGGAGGTTTGTGGGGGCTGAATCCTCCCAAAAGTGCAGTTGATCATCTCATTGCGAGGCGGACAATGTAACATCAGCAGAGACATATTCTGATTATTATATCTGACAATGGACACCCAGTACTAATAAATCAAATCAGGATTGCAGCAGTCGAGGCAAAGCTAAGACGGAGCAGTTGAAGGGATTGACTGATCTAATGCAGGCGAGTGGCGGGTGCTCCCGAAGGATCAAGAACCACGAGGGGAAGACTTGGCGTAAGCATTGCGTCGTCTACCATCAGAACCATCGCACATTATCGAGATGGGAATTTGACTTGAAATATAATGGTTTGTCTCAATGAGTCTTGTACCAACTCTGATTGATGCATGACATGGCGTCAAAGTCTGCAAGATGACCGAATTTGCAAGTATGTGACCTTTTCCCTTTCATGGTGTTACGGGGTGGATGCCCACCTCCCGGCCCGTAGTGTAACCAAACTACAAATCAGTGACTTGTAATTACGTACCTTTCATTAATCAACACCAGGTTGGGCGAATAGCCAATTGGTTAGGTGTGCTGGTAGCCATTGTTGCCCACATAAGTGGGCCAGCCCTTCATATACGGTCAACGTCAACCTCACGATTGTTGAGTTCTACATTCACCCTGGGCAAAATTTCTTGATTTGGCCAGCTCTAGGCACATAGGAAAATTCATACATGATAGAGACTCGGTGATGGAGCAGAGGAAGCAGAACCTGGGCCTTTTCTGACACTGAAATATGTCAAAATTAAGTCGCAATCGCCAAAGCCATGCTTGGTGGCAACTTGAGGTGATTCTGTAAGGAAAACACTGTGAAGGTAAAGATGTTAGGACATGGTTTTGCAGCCAATCAGCGAAGACACTGCGTGATAGAGAAATATACAAAACCGAGACCAGCACAAAATGTGCAAAGCAACACCTTTTCGGAGCAGTTTGGAGCAGGGTGTAGCCTGTTCGCGACTTCCCCCTTGCAATTTCGCAACTCACGGGCCGCCTAAATGACACATGCAGGAGCGGAACCTAATTGCATGGTCTCAACTCTCAAGATCGATCCTCTGTACTTTCAGATCCAGGGCGCCAGGGCTTGATCTTCTCTCCTCTTTAATATGACCTAATTTTCCCTCTGTTTTCGAAATATCCATAAAAGCGACGAGAACAGTGGTCTATACCTTTGACAGTGTCTCCTTGATTTCGATTCCAGGATGAGTCAGCTAGCGCAAATGCAACCCATGAAGACGCGTTGAAATTGATGATTGGCGATGCCCTTTATTCTAAGCCAACGCTTCCCTGCGTGTTGGACGTCTATAGCTCAAAAAGTTGTAAAATAAGTCGTTGTAGAAAAAAGGAAAATCCAGCAAGGATTCGGATTTAGGATGGATTCATATACAGTCTCGTCATAGCACCTCAATAATCATGAATCAGTTAATTTGAGAACCCCGCTTACCGGGATACTTTGGAGAAAACTCAGAGTAGGGTGCCACGCATTGGCCTCCAGCATCACGAAAATGGCTATCAATTAGAGGTCTTGGAAGTACTGAAGCTGGATGTTACTGTTACGCAAGACATTCAATTCGCTGCCTGATACTGGCAATATTAATATTTGACGCACTTTGACGGAAGACTTGCCCTTATTCGGCAGCATTGGCGGGGTTCAGAGTCTTTGGTCTAGCTTGTCTTACTTGGCCAATGCTAAGAGGCGTACAACTGCACTCGCTCACATCATGACTCAAAAGCTCCGAACACTCTACGCTCTTATTCTGTACAGGGAAATCCAAGAAATACACATGGCGGTCAATGGAAGCTTTTACCCAAAGTTTTGTAATCCCCAGAATAGTTCCCAAGATAGTCCTGTTGGCAATCTCGTCACACGCATTTATCTGAAGTACGTCTGTGAATCTGACTTCCACCGCAGCGAGTGTTCTACAGACCACACCTGAGAGACTCTCAGTGAACACAAAACTCGTGATGGTCTAATATCAATCGACTTGTCTTGGAGATAACATGAACCACGAAAGCTTCGTTCCGCGGAGAAGTCGAAGACGCGAGTATGGTGGTTCGAGGTTGGAGTCAGATCTGTGCCCGAGCGTTTGGGGTTCGTGCCAAGACTTTGACTAGTGCCACACATCTTTCGAGCTTAATTACCCATGCGAGGTTTCACAGTAGGAGCTTTTGCCGCCTTTTCCTATTACAGCCGAAGCTTCAAGTCGGTGAATCCGAAAACACCGACGTGTACTTAGAAACCCCATGTATCTGAGACTGCTGAGTAAAGTATCCACTGAGAAACCCCAGTGTGCCAGCCCAATTAATGAATTGAATGTGAAGGTTGTGTTTGATTATTTGACCTTTTTGCAAAGCACATTTAATAGGCCAATGATTATTTGATAGGTTTAATTTGTAATGAAATTGAACTGTTTCATATCAATATGTATACTTTGAGCGTTGACTATGTTCTATGAAATTTGTGAGTTCGATATGTTATCTTATTGTCTTAATGTCCTTAATGTACTTACTTACAGACACTTAGTTATGATTTTCGATTCTTTGAATGGTTTGGCGCGCTGGACCCCCTTCATCAGCAGATGACGACTGTGACTCCATTATAAGTGCAATGTTAGACCAGAAGTTTACATGTACCGTACGAGATATTCAACCTGAATTCTTTCCTCATCTATATAGCCTATGGGTCACAGGGAATGACTTTCGGCCACGGCCCGAGCATGAGTCCATTGTCTGCACAACCTTTTGACAAAGCTTGGTGTGTTTTAAAGTCGGAAGAACGGATACAGCATTTCTAGTTACCCAAATCATTCAGCGACAATGACCAGTAGTTCCGCTAGACTGAATACTTACACCAATGGAAGGGAGCACTGCACCGTTTACTGCTTTGCAGAAGTTGTCGCTCGGGGCTATGTCTCCGTCCACTGTCATACAGTAGTACGTCCTGAAGTCATCCATGTCCTGTCTGTGTGTTGCGCAAAACGACTTAGGATGAATACGCAGGATTTGATGGATCTCGAGCTACGGAGATCAAGACTAATGGGAAAACACTCACCCGAAGACAGTAGTTAATAGGGATAACATAGTAGCTACCAAGGTGATGGAAGAACGCATTTTGCCTGTGACCTAAGTAAAGATAAATATGTCTCCAGAATGTGATGTATCTGTTGTAGAGATCTAGAAGAAAGTAGAGCAGTAGCGTTTGAGAAAGGGTAGTCGATCAGTAGTTTCTGGATCGTTGATGGCCAGCCACCTAAAAGCGAATCTAGGGAGTTGGTCATGCCGTGTTTATATGCCAAACCCAAAGAAAGGGAGAAAGTATCAATTTTGACCCAAGCAAAGACTTTTAACCACCGTGGCCGAGTGTTCGGGCAGAGATTCTATCTGCCCATCCGTACCGGCCCATAGAGCCCCTGAAAACGGGGCTGGCTTGGAGAGACATTGACTCATGCACACGCCCTTATAAAGGTATTTGGGCTCACCAGTGATTTAAACAAAACCTGTTAGTTTAATTACTCCTTTCTGTCTGTCCATAGCAGTGACCCAGAAACCCAGAACTCTAGCTTTCTATTAACCTTGATTTATTAAGGATGACTTCAATCTGTCCGGGTGTGGCGCCGTCAAGGCTAAGAGCTATGGCGGTCATTAAAACTCAAGAGGAAGATGCAAGGCCTAGGAAGTGAGCTCAATACGGAAATCGCGATTTCATAATGCGGAAGAACACTTATTTGCATAGGACCCTGAGCGCTAGGACGGTAAAGGCAGAGAGGCCCGGCTCCAACATGAAGTGATCGGACCCGTGGAGGTGTCACGTGGCTGCTGCATCTCCTTCCATTGTTCCATTGTGTACTGTGAATCAAGAGTCAATTTCTTGGTTTACTCAAAGTTCAATGTCCAAGCGAGAGCGAGGCATGACGCAAGAAAACTGCCGTAGGCAACGTCGGGAACGGAAGAGGAAGAACACGAGTCAGGTTGGCCAGCAAACCATCATCATACCGTTGCATGGCGCGTTTGACCAAAACTCTATTCTTTGAGAGTTGGAGGTTTCTGTTCATCACCGCTTGGACATTCCGCGCAGACGCACAGCACCAGCATGCCACGTGCGGCAGCTGTTCATGAGCGCGTGCGCGATAATCCCCAGATCTCCATACATGAGGGACAAGATCCGATTGATCCCGCCCCCAGATGCTAAAGTTTCCCAAGCAATGCCCATCTTTCCCTGTCGCCCCGTACCGTTTCACCAAATTCCCCATCAACCCCTCCCGCCTCACCGTACGGAGCGCAATTTAATCCTCAACAAGGACATATGCGCAAATAGTTGACGGAGCTTCGACCAATTCATCGTCGTCAACGGCCTCTAAGCATTCATCGCGGGCCTCCGTTGCGCCTTGTCTTCCCCCTACCCGCTCGGCAAATTTGGGACAGGCTTCTCCAGACTGGGAACTGACGATTACTATCTTGATGGGGCCTCAATAGCAATTCGCGACAGCACGCAGGAGGTGGAGCCATGGAGTTGGAAAGCGTCGAGGCGGTGATGCGCCGCGCAAGCATCAATCACTCACCGGAGCCTCTCGCCGGAAAGGTTGTCAGTATCATTGTCGCCATGCTATCAGCCTGTCTACTCGCCAGTCTATTTGGTCAGTGCTTTCAAACCAGACTTGGAGTCATATTACATGAGCTAACACGATTAATCATAGTGATGAGATGTTTATCAGTAAAAGACTGGAAAGCATTGCCGTGGACGATGTGGCGTAAGCAAACCCAACAATTGAATCGAAAGCCTTGTTTTGGCCGGTGGAATCCTACTGACTATCGAAGTCGTCGTATTCATCTACTTCTTTTCATTTCTGTTTGTATTTGGCACATCCATTCTACAATTTGGATTTGGAGCAGACCTCAATTTTGATACTTGTTCGGCGGCCACCCTTTTCTGCTTGGGGGCGTACGTCTCAACAAAGGTAAGTTGGACTCATCGCCTTCCCTAATAATATTGTTGACTAATCGAGATTTCCAGCTGGTAAGTAGGCATCATCTGAAAGCATCGCACCAGGGTCTAACACGGCGAAAAGTTCATCTACCTCTTCATGGTGGACAGAGCAGTAAGTCACCTTCGACGACAATACCGCCTGCTTTGGCTAATCATCTTGGTAGCATATCATCAGGCAAACTAGAAAAAGCCGTCTCAAGTCGAAGCTATATATCTTCAACTCATTCGGCATGTTGGGTACGGTTCCAAATCCAGGCGATATACATCTTGAGTAACTGACTTCCGCCATAGGAGTATTTGTTCTGGTTGTTATCATGAACTTTATTTTGTATGTTCACGTTGACTCAGAGCTCGTCAGTCCTCTAATGAATTCAACAGCCGGATCACCCATTTCGAAGATGGAATTTGTATCATTGGCATGGAGAAGCCTGTGTTGCTGCCACTCATCTCTTTTGACGCGGCTGTAAACGTGAGTATTGTCTTCAGGGGCGTTAATCTTATATTAACATGCGCAAGGTCTATCTCACCATTTTATTCTTACTTCCTTTATTGAGTAAGTCTCTTAAGACATATTTATGTGGCGTGCATACTGATGGTGCTATGCTAGGTTTGCACTCCGTAAAGTACAACTTCTGGAAGCCGTGGACGTTGGACTGGCGGAATCGACGTATCCCCAGAGCTCCTCCCAATGTTCGACTACGGAGACTCGTAATACGCACTTTTATTGGATCTTGCTGTACCCTCTTTAGTAGTGTGACGTAAGGGATCCTCGTTTCTTTGAAAATGGAACTGGCACTGATGAATGGCAGAAATTTGACTGTTCTCATGGCCTTGAACGGCGAAGTGGCATGGCTATGTTTGCTTTGTTGCAACACCGACAGTGAGTATTCGCGCACTTCCTCATGGAGAACCGTTTTACTCAGATCTTCTAGTCTTCTTCTCGGCCCTGGTGATCAACTGGATCACATCGCCTGGCCAGGAGTCAACATTACGAACCTTAACACGTCCGTCTCGCGGCATCTCTTTACTCAGCCCGGAAGAAGCAGTCACTATCCCGCTTGACCCCGACGGCAATAGCTCGAGCGCGAGAAAGACCTGGGAACATCGAGGAACAAGAACACCGACGACGATAGGCCTTGAATCAGCAGAGGCACTTGATGATGATGATGATACAGAATTGGGCGGGCACCATGTTCGGGACGACGATGATGCGGGGGCAGATCAGGCTTTTGAAAGAGAAACGACGCACTCGGATGACGAGGACGATATCGACATAAGCGCTGCTGAATTACGAGGAGCTCAAAAATGAGCGAGACAAGTGCCTAAGGTCATGACGAATTTTACGAAGAGTTCATGTTCGGTTCATTTCTTTTGGGTTTACAGGCCACTAGACAGAAAAAGGAGTTGGGTACATGTATGGAAATGATGCGGGAATCGGTGTCATCACGGTATGATACTTATGGGACACAGTAAGGCGCGACTTGGGGACGTCGCACTACTGTATGGAAGAATACCTAACGACTTTCTCACTACAATCGAGATGCCGATGACCTGGGATATTATTAAAATGTGATGGACCAAGATGAGAGAGTTTCTGAAAGGTGACATGAACCCTCCCAGACCGCGCCCGCGCCTTGCTATCTTTTGTTAGCATATAGGCAGCTGGTTGCCCGCCCAAGACAATTAAACAAGTTTTCTTATAACTCATGCTCAAATTAAGAAGAATTCACCGTTTCAGCCGGTCCATATCTGTCCGGATACTTGAGTCAGGAATACGAAATGCAAGCGAATACCGAACGTTAATACCTGAAGTGTTGGTGGCGTGTGGGGCTAACTCGCAGACGGAGGTTAGCATCATGATGACGAACGATGTTATCCAACCCGGAGCCAAGACGGAAATGGAGATTTGTTAACTCTATTTAGTTACGCACCAATCCTACTGGCATCTTCCATCAGAATATTCGTGAGTCCGACACAAACGGCTTCATTCTCGTTCGTGTCTTCAGTAGTCGAACACATTTGAATTTGTCCCTCCAATCAAACACCTAGACAGATGTTGCAATATCCATATATCATCAATACCTCTACCGACTCATGGAAAATCCATGATGAGTCGCCCACAGAGTTCAGCTTATTTTATCCCCTTTTGGACATTCATACTTCAGAATCTCACAAGCGCCGGAACTGTCGCAGGAGCACCCAGGCGTCCCTGCAGTACGTCAGCACGCTCCGCGTCAAAAATACCATTCAGTAACGTAGGTATGACGGACCAGCCAGAGCGATGGTCGATACAAGCGCTAGCAGGGTATTGGAGAGTCGCATTTCGGACCGCCAAGAGGTGGGAATACGAGGACCTTAATATGCTCAAAGTTTAAAGGGAATATTACGTCAATTTCTTCGGGCGTTGCGGTGGCTCAGTCTACCAGGATCATAAAAACGCTATGTGAGAAGAAAGCTGGGCATAATACGGAGTAGAATATTCCGAGTAACGAATGGCTAGGGGATTTTGTGGTGATAATTTGATGAATACATGCGGCATCTATCAGGCAAGACTTTCCTCAGCAATCTGGGTTGTTCCGTTTACTTGTTTCTCAGAGCAGTCCAACTCAGAATTTGCTGCTATTGCGATCAGAGTGGAAATTCATTTGAAGCGCTTTCCGCTGACAATCAAACTCCCGTGATAAAAAGAAACAACAACAACGTGAGTTCCGACGTATGACCATGTGGACCTGAGAGGAAATTGCGTGGCAGCCATAGATAATTCTGGGGTACTCCAAGTTTCCGCATTGCGTCTAAGGACTTGGGCTGAATTTCTGAGACGACATGTTGCAGACAAGGCAGGATTTGCTACTTAAACAGAGACAACAGACGGCCACGAGTAGGGATACAGCGGACGAACAGTAAGATAAAACTACCGAGACACGGGGCATCTCTTACAGAGTTGCTCTAGCGAAAATGGCTTGAGTTAGGTGTCTTTTTTCTCCACGTTGCGTTGTTCGTACATGAACTTTTTCGGCCTCCCCTATTAGGTTGGTTATCGAGGCCAACATGTACACGCCGAACTGGTGGCACGGGTAGCGCCCGGGAATTCTCACAGTTGGCACAACCCCCGGACTCTGGCAAAAATCTCGAAAAAGATATTGGACAAGTGTTCCCAAGGCGACCTTGCTCATGTTTCTCAGGGTATACTTAAAGTAGTGACATCTACGGCATATCGAATCTGAGAATTGTTCTTCACATACTAGTAGACATCAATTTCGCCGCGAGGACATGTTCAGACCTAGGGGATTGAGGGATATCGGCCCTTGACTCCGTGTTCTAGTTGAGGTCCCCGAGCCCGAGATAGTCTATCATGGCCCCTGACTTCTACTTAAGATATTCCATGAGCATTCTCCGTGTCACAGACCTAGGGAAAAGAAACATGACGCCCATAGGCTAGGCACCAACAAGATCTTGTATCTGATTCCAGGAGCCTCTCAGTTCCATCTGGACGATCGAGGTCCTGAGAGGCTGGCTCAAATCAATCTGCGTAAACTACCGTAATGCCACTGAGGAATTTGTCACATGGACTTGACTGTGCCGTTCATGGCTGTCTGGCGGTTTGTATGGGTCTTTTTGGATCTGTTATAGATGGTGCTACCGAGCGGTTACTATGAAACCTTTCACAGCACGTACAGCCTCGCGGTCATCTGAGACGGGTTGTCGCGTCATCCACCGAGCATCTTTAGTTCCTTTTACTTTTCATTTTGGAATCGAGAGTCTATACTGCCTCAAAGATTTGTGTCATCACCGTTGCCGATGTCAACACTGGCCGTAGTCCTGTGCCTTATCGGGTTCAACGGCCGGGTCAGAAACCAAAAAAACGTGCTCTCGGTCTCTACGCAGCCTACGATTAACTGCTATAGATTCAATGGCAATGCCTTAGTCTACTTGAATGTATGAGATGCTCTCTTTTCAAAATATCAACTGACGGGATACCAAGTCAATCATTCAACTCCTAGTCAATAAACAATGTGTACTAGAGCCCATGGTCGTTAAGACGCTTTTAGTGAAAGAGCAAGAGATGCAACTGTTTTAACAAAAGTGGCACTTAAGTTGCTTTTGCCATTTTGTAAATAATTGGTTTTGTTAATGGACGCGAAAGAAGTCGAGCGATAACCGGGATCTTGATAGATCCATGTGGTCGCCCTAGGAAAACTTGGTATTATGTTGATGACCATCCCTTTGTGGTCCTGTCGCAAAATGCGTAAACTATGGAACCACCACAGTCGCAATGCCCTCGCCCAACTCCGCTTTAACGTTCCTTACTTCTACAAACTCTGTATGGAGGGAAGTACTACCGTCAGGCTTATCGCGTCTGAAAAACCCAACCACTCTTCCACGCACAATGTGACCATTCATATTCTTCTCTTCGGTCCTGGGCTCCGTCCAGATATCCGCCACCCTCTTTTCATTTGGCGGCAGAGGCGCCGAAGGGGAGACCGGGACCAGAGGCCGCCCTGCAGGGTCCAGCGAAATGCCGTGTTCCAGCTCAATGACCCTCCGCGCCACTGCAACCAGCGTCGCCATTTCCCACAGGTTCTCTCGAGGGAGCCCCAGGATGGGCATCAGCCTCAGCAAGTCCAGCCGCGTTTCCAGCTGTCGGCATGTCGTCGTGAAGAAGAACAGCATCGGCGTGTACCCAGTCTCAAACATAAACTTTGACGTTTTAGCGTGCACGCCTGCCGTTTTCGTGTGCTCGGAGATTTGGACAACCATTTCGGCAAGGTTTTTCGCTAGTCGGCTATAGTTTGGCAGGTATTTATCGTAGCCAGTCAAATTGTTTGTAAATGCCATATTCAGCCAAATACGGCAGCACTCGTATCGAGTGGAGAGGAATCCTCGCAGCATATTCGGCACGTAGTCCGGTTCCTTCGCGGAAGCCTTTGTTGTTGGCGAGGATGAGTATTTGCTTTGGTTGTTCAGCTGGGCAAACAGGACGTTCCACCGATCGAGCAGCTGATTGACGTATTCTTGCCGCGCTAGTAATTTCGGAGGAACGCCAGTTCCTCTTGGCGACAAGGAGCGAAAAGGGTACCCTTGCTTCATGAGCTGGAGGGTTTGGCAGTAGAGGTCGTCAATCATCAACTGAGCGTCCTGGAACGAGGAGAAGCTGGGGGGCATAGGGTGTTCCAGTCCGCTCAAGTCTGGGAAATCGGCCTTTTCGCCGCTAAAGAAGAAGGAATACTCTGTGAGGCGTCGGAAAAGTGGGAGGAGATGCTCCTTCGTCCAGGGGAACTCGCTGTGGGTATTTCGAAGCAGCGCCACCCCATGCTTGCAGTGTTTAATAGCGGCCTCGCGCCCCGACTGCAGGAACTCGATGCAGATGAACAGGAGACAGACGAGCAGGACCGTGGGGTGCTTGTCCTGCGTCTTCATGCCTATCAGCTCTCTCATGGCCGCGTTGTAGTGCCGCACGGCAAAGCTGTAGTCCCGCGGGGCAACAATCTCGTCGGTCCCGGTGTGGAACTGCTCATAGAGATCGCTGATGGCTAGGATGGAGTGCGTCACGGCTGGCTCGAATGTGCTGAACTGCATGACTATGTGCGTCCAGAAGTATGGATCAACGGCCCCAGAGAGGAGCGGACCCACGGCTTCGGCAAAGTACTGCAGAGCGCGGGTGTCGCTTGGGGAGCTGACTCCTGGAGAGGCGCGACTTGGCTGGACCGTCAGGACCACTGTCGGACCAGAGCCCGGGGAACTGGATGAGACATCTGTCAAGTCGGCGACGTGTGGATAGCCATCGCATTTGCGGCCAGTCGCAGTACAACGCTTGCAGGATGGTCGGCTCTCATCGCATTTGATCTTACGTACTCTAGCGAGCGTTAGACAACACGCCATTCATCTCGAAAACCTTATTCTCGGGTCGTCCCTCCCACGATCCAATCGGACGGCAATCGATGGAACTTACTTGCAGGTCAGACATCCCGTCCTCACCTTTCGGCTACCCTTCCGAGCCATAATTCCGCTAAAAAGGACAAGACCACCGGTGCGAATATCCGTAAAGGCTCGAGCCAGCCTGGTTGTTTCTCTGTTGGTCTCGAGTCCGAACCAGCCACTGACGTTGTGCGCGTGCCGGTGAGGGGCAAATGACGACCGTTGGACGCCCTCGGTGAGCGGGCAGCCTGATGAGAAAGAACTTTGGGAGTCCGAGGGCGAGGTGCAGGAATGCGAGCGGAGACAACCCGAGATAATATCTGTGCCCACCACGCTCGGAAAAGAAATTGTGGAATATGCCAGGGTGAAACCGAACCCACCAATGTGAGCGTGAGATTCCCAAAGAAACCCTGCCGTCAGCATGGGGTAGGATTGAACACTCCGCCGAGGACGGTGTAGCTGTTTGTCTAACCCATTTCGGGACTAACCGTTTTCATAAACAGGCTGCAAACGTGTAGGCAACGACTGAAAAGAAAAACGTCTTGGTGAGATGGTTGATCCTTGAAGCAATCGATGACGGGTGTACCCGCAGGTCGCTAAAGCTCATTGGGAAGGTCATGCTTCTAGTTGATTGGATCGTATGATGCATATTCGCTCCTGAGTTCAGATCTTGTTTTCTGGTTGCAAGAGGGTGGGTACCGGTAATTCGATAATTCACGGGAAATGCGAATTATGCAACAGCCTCTACGGAAAAGAAAGGTAGCAATACGATCCATCTGATTAAAGGCTGCGAATTCTACTTCCTACTTCTCTATAATTCCATGTCAGCCACATGACCCATGGAAACATCCCACATAGTTGGTCTCCCATGTGTCGCTTCTCTCCAAGCATCCGTAGATCTGACTCGCCCTGCGTACGCCACCAAGATGGCGGGTATCAGATCTTGCCTCCCGCAATCTTAAAGGCGGGTAATGAGCGGAACCACATGAGCGTCCAGTATAGTCGGGCCAACAGCTTGGCCGAAAAGCCATTCATCCCCCTCATGATAGGTTTCGCTAATCTCACCAAGAGCTTCTTTAGCTTGAGCCTCTGCTAAGAGCACCTGATCATCTTCCAGGGCATTTTCCATGTATTTCCTGTGGCTGGGAAACCCGTAAGCTTTTCAAGCGTACGTACATATCCGACATCCGAGTACACCATTCAACTTACAAATCTGCTTTGAACTGCAATGCTTTCCGGTAGTCTTCCGTCACGTCGCTGGCCGTACTCAGCTTTTCAGCAGCCACATTGGGAACCCCATAAATGCGATCCCTTTTATCAGGTACAGAGAGAGAAAGTGACTGAATGCTATGAATCTTTGAAAGAAGAGATGCAATGTGAGCTTCGTATTCTTGAGGCAGGAGGTGAGGATATTGTCGGCACAGCCAGTAGGATATGCCCAAAGAGCTGGTCAGTGGTTTTGCGAGTCTTTCTCCTGTGAGGGCTGGAACCTGATCGAGTTAACACTGTACAACTAATCGCTTTCGTCGGTGATGAGATCGAGAAGAATCATCATCGACAATGCTGCATAACGTGAGGCGGGGGGTGGGAGCTCACTTGGCCTTTAGGGTTGACTTCAAGAAGATATCCCGGAGAGAAGTTCTCGCCGCGGTGCAGATTGACCAACTTAACTTGCATCGGCAAGTCTTGGTGCTCCGGACTCTTGCGACCTAAAGCATACGTAAATCTCGCCATAATAGAGTATAACGAGAATGGAAAAATGTAAAGTGTGAAATTTGAAAGGCTGTCAGCCGTGGCCGCAGTCTCCTCGTTAATTAACATTATGCTAGCGAGAAGCAATTGGAGTAGGAACTAAGCCTTCCAAATAGCGGATGACAATATAGCGTGCTTTATTTAGGCCTAAGGAACTTAATAACATACCGTATTTAAGAATACCAAACCAGACAACACAACACAGACAACTATCTCAATCTGTCTAATATACATTTTCTAAGCGGGGTAGTGATATCTTAATGCTTAATTGGTTTTGGGTGCTAGGATATACTTATTGGTTTACGTAATCACAGGGTAATTTGTTTAATCGAACTATAGTAACGAAGGGTTAATTATTAATATAGTCTCTTTAGCAGAGGGCACCTTTAATAAAGGGGGTAAGACTATAGGCTAGCCGGGTAAGTATACAGGCTAGGCGTATTAATCGTAAAAAGTAATACAATTAAAAAGTAATATAAAAAAATAATATAAAAAAATAAAGCGAATAGTAAAATAAGTATTATAATAAATATATTCTTATTATTATCCTTTTTAAATAAAAAAATATAGCGAGCCCGTTTATATATATAAAATCGCTTTAATACATAACTAAATTATTAAATAATTATAAAAAAATATTATATATACCCCTTTTATAAAAATAATCGTCCTAATTAAAATAAATAAACTTAACTTTTAATATTTTTTATTTTTTATATATTATAACTTTACGTTTAAATATTTAATTTTTATTATGGCGAAGGCTAAAAATAACGTTTAAATTAATAGCTTTTTTTAATAGGTTTTTTATTAGCTCTTTTAAGGGGGGGTATTTATATAATAAAGGAGTCGGCTATATAAAAACTAGGTATAATAATAATATTTATTTTATAAAAGTTATAAAACCGAGTTTAGCTATAGTAAAGGTATTAATTTTTTAATAAAAGTCTTATACCTCTTTATTTTTAATATTAATTTTTTTTTATCTTATTATATACTTTTTTTATTTAATTAATTTTATTAATAAAACTAATTTAAAAATTTTTTAAAATACCGTTTATTTTAGTTTATATATTAATTTATATAGCGGCGGTAAATTTAATTATTTTTTTTATAATTTTTATATAATAAGCGGCGGTAATAGTATTTTTTATAATTATATTTATTATATTATTATTAATAACGGGTTATTTTTTATATTTTTTAAAATAAGTTTTTAAAACCGTTATTTTATTAATAAAAGTATCGACGTATTTTTTATATTTTTTTTAACGGCGGGTAATTTTATTTAATTTCATTTAATTAATTTATATCGTATTATAAATTTTAATATTATAAAAAATAAATAAATCGAAACGACCGATTTTAAAAATAATATTAATAATATTATTATTAACATATCCTTTATTGCTTATATAAATATTATTAAAAATCGTAATATAAATAAAAAGCTTATTAATTTACGTTTTATTTTTTATAAAATTTTTATAAACCCGGCCGTAAATTTTAAAAACTTTTTAAAATACGTTATTTAAAAATTAAATTTTATAATTATTTTTTTTATATTTAAAAACGGCGTTAATAAAATATTTTTTAATTTAATTATAAACTTCCCGTTTTAAATAAAATTTATTTACGTTTTTAAATTTAAAATTAAAACGTTTAAAAATATTAATATAAAGTTTATTAATATTTTAATACGTTTTTTTTACGCTACCGGACGTTTAAAAAATACGAAAAATATAAAAAATATTAAGGGCGTTAAATATTAAAATAATTTATTTAAAACGTATATTCCTTTTTTTCTTTTTTATAAATAACTACGGCTTTTTTAATAATATAATTAAAAACGTTATTATATTCCGTTTTTTTATATTAAACTTTTTTATCCGCGTTATAATTATTAATAATAATAAATACCTTTTTATTAAAAAGTTCGCTATTTTTATATTTTTTTAATTATTTTATAATTTTTTTAATTATATAATTATTTATTTAGTTATAATTTAATTATATTATATCGTCGTTATATATAGGTTTATAAATATTAAAAAAGTTAAAAATAATCGATTAAAATATAATAAAATATTTATTATTATAAATAAAATATTTAAAAACCAGGCGGTTTTAACCGTTTTTAAACGCGGTATATAATATTTTATTATTGTTATTATTATATTAAAAAATCGTAAAGCTAAAAATTACGTAAATAATATTAAAATCGTTAATATAAAACTTAAAAATATCGATATAAAAATTAAAAAAAGGCGTAAACTTATCGTTTTTAACTTAGCTATATTTTAAAATATTTATTAAAAAATCTTATAAAATATTTATAAAAAAAAAAAAAACGGGTACGTTAAGTTTAAAATCGAATTTAATATAAAAGGCCTAACGCTTTTTATAAAACGATTTAATATTAATTATATTTTTATAAATAAGCAACGTAGCGTAAATAATATATTAAAAAAACGAAGTATTAACGATTTTTATAATTAATATTTTTATATCGGCGCTAATAAGGACCGATATATTATTAGCGGTATTTTTATAAATAGTTATTTTATTAATTTAATTATAAATAATAAATATTATATAAAAAAAAAGTCGGTATATAATTACGATACGGTAAAGCGATATAAAATATTATAATTATAATTATAACGCCGCGATTATTATAAATAAAAAATATATAAAATATATACGTTTTATAATAAAAATCGTATTAAATTAATATAATATCCACAGTTAATTAAATATTATAATAAATAATTAAAAAAGAAAATCTCGGCTTAGTATTTTAAGCTTTTATAAATAAAAAAGAATTATAAATAATAAATAATTAAATAGGTAAATAAATATAAGCGCGGTTAAAATAAATACGTAAATATAAATATTAAAAATAGTAATATTAAAACGATAAAAATTTAAATAAATATTTATTTTTTTATTTTAAAGTTTTACGGCCGCGATAATTATATAAAAAAACGCGAAATTAATATATAAAAAAAAAGGTTATTTTAAATTATAAAAAAAAGTCTAAAGGCCTTTTTATTAAACTAAGGCTATAAATAGTTAAAGTTTAATTTTATATTTTATAATATATAAAGTTTATTTATAAAAAGATATAAGGGTTTATAATTAATTTATATAATTTTATTTTATATACGGCCCGTTTACACCGTCGCGTTTAATTATTTCTTTTTTTTTTTATAATATTTATCTTTTTAATTAATTAAATTTATTATTTCGAATTTTTTAATATAATCGCTTGCGTTTAATATAAAGTTTTTACGCGGCTTTTAAGTATTATTAAATAAAATTTAATTTATTTATTTAATAAAGTATTTAATTAAAAAGTATTTACCGCGTTATATAACTCGGCGTTAAATAAATTTTTTATTTCGTATTTATTTACGCCGTTTATTATTATAAAATTAAAAAAAGATTTTATTTTATTAAAAAAGTCGTTTTTTTAAAAAACTTTTTATAATTACGTATTAAATACGACGGGGTAAACGTTTTATTATAATAAAAAGTTAAGTTTATAAATTAATAAGTTTATTATACGTATAATATAAAAAGGCCTTACCTACTTAAATATTTTTTTTTTTTAAATTTATTTAAAAAGTAATATTTATTATTAAGTTTAAAAAAGACTTTATTATTTTTATAAAAAGATATATTTTAATATTTATTATCGTATTATTATTTATAAATTACTTTAATAATATTAATAAACGCAGCGGCCTTTTATTAATAAACTTTATGAAGTATTTTTATTAATTTTATTAAAAGCGTTATTAATTTAATATAATTTAATATCGACTAAGGTTTAAAACTTAATACGAGTTCGTTAAATAATCGGTTAATAATAGCAATTAATAAGTTATTAAATATATATTATAAAATTAAAAAGATATTTATTTATAGTATTTTAAAAGATATAAAGACGTAAAAGCGGATAATAATTTTTATTATTTAATTATTTTATTTGTTTTATTTATTCGTTTAAAAGTAATATATAATAAAAATAAAAAGTTTAATATTTATTATTTTAAAAATTCCTTTTTAAACGGCCGAGATAAATTTTAAGTCCCGATCGCTAATAATATTTTAAAAAAGACCTTAATTATATAATAAGAAAGCGTAAAATAATATTTTTATTTAATAATATATTTTATATTTAACGTTATTAGGGATAAGTATTATTTTTTTAAAAAATTTATACGTTACCGTTATAAAAGCGTTAAATATATCGAAATTAGGTAATATTTAAAAGTTATGCCGTAAAGGGGTTTTTAATATATTTATAATAAAGTTAATTATAATTATATAATACGATATATTAATAAATATAATAAATTAAAAGCTTTTTATAAATAGCGTACGGTATATTTAATTTTCGTAATAAATTAAATAATATTTAATATATTCCGTAACTAACTTTTTTTTTTTTTAAAAATAAAAATTCTTAAGTTTTATAAATAATCGCTCGGTTTTAATATAAAAGTTTTTATTATAAACGAATCGAATTACGTTTTAAATTATTAATTTAAAAATATAAAATTAGTAATTATTATTAATCATAATATAATATAATAATTTTTTTTTATTTAAATATTAAAATGCGACGGGTCGTTATACTTTTTAGCGTTTTTTTTATAATAGTTTATTAATTATGATAGTTTATAACGGTATATAATATTCTTTACCTAAATCTTTTATAACGTATATAAAATCTTTTATAAAACGTAATCGTTTATTATATTAATAATTATTAATAATTTTTTATATTAAATTTTATAATAGCGTTATAATTATAATCGCTATTATTTTTAATATATAATTTTCGTTTATAATATTTTAAATTACTATTTCGAAGACGTTTATAAATTCCTTAAAGTTAATATTTTTTAATTCGTTTTTATAAAAAAACCGCTTTATAAAATCGAGTCTTTTAATAAATAGTTATAAAAACGCGTTTAAAATAATATTAAACTTTTTTAAAATATAAATAATTCGTAATTTAAATTAAAAAAGGTAGTTTATTACGTTCGTAAATTTAA